GCCTGGTGCTGTTTGCTTGATATGAACCCTTCACTGCGATAGTGGAGGACGACTAGATGATTCGGTAAAAGGGTGAGTGGGGTGATAAGGGTTAAGAGGATATAGCGGGCGTAGCGGTGCAAGATGCAGGGTAAGAGGTATGAGGTAGGAGGGTATGAGGGGAGTCTTCGAATTATGTGACAATCAACCCAAAAACAAAGTCGAAAAGAGAAGTAAATTCAAAGACTGGAGAATACAACCAAGTAGCTACAGTATTTATACCCAAATCCAGTCTGAGTCATATCTACAACTAATGAGTCATAGGGCTATGTACCGCATGGAACACTGGTCATGGGTCGTAGTAGAACCTTCTGGAGCATATGTCGCGCAGCCTCGAATCGATGAAGATAATCCCTGGAACCCCTAGTCCGGACCGTCTGATGCCGTGATCCGTGATAAGATAAGTCGTGCCAAGATAAGATAAGATCGTCGATGATAAGATGAAAAAGTGGCCAAACTATGACAAACAGGGCCAAAAACATGGACAATAATGCCATGCAGAGTAATAAGTAGGTGATATTTTGTTAAACAATGAATTTATTTCCAACCATTGAACAGAATCCATTGGTCCTGTATTGGATATGCCATGTGCTTCAAGGTTCTATCAATGATTGCCACAACTCCTTGCGTTGTACATCCCTTGTTCACAAAAATCTGGGAGAAGTGAGCCAAAAGTATTTGTGTCATAGTTTGGCCACTTTTTCATCTTATCATCAATGATCTTATCTTATCTTGGCAGGGTTTATCTTATCACAGATCACGGCATCACACGGTCCGGAACAAGGGCCCAGGGGGATATCTCTATTGATTCAAGGGTGCATGACACATGCTCCAGAAGGTTCTACTACAACCCATGACCAGCGCTCCATGCAGTACATAGTCTTATGACTCATTAGTTGTAGATATGACTCAGACTGGATTTGGGTATAAATACTGTAGCTACTTGGTTGTATTCTCAAGTCTTTGAATTCACTTCTCTTTTCAACTTTGTTTTTGGGTTGATTGTCACAGTTTGGGAGAGTCTGCAGCTTGTCGCAGACAATACCGCGCAGTGGAGATACGACCAGTAGCGATCACCTATAAGACAGAGTCTCAGCGAGTGTAGAGACACAGGAGCTATATCATTAGCTGTACCTATAAGACAGAGTCTATGGTACAAGTCATAAGTAAGGTCATTAGATCGTAAGGGAGAATGCATACCTCAGCGAGTGTAGAGACACAGGAGCTGAGGATATGGAGCGTATAGTACTAGGTTTATATACCAGTCTGGAGCAGATATCATGGTGTCATAGTGGAGTAATGATATCATAGATGAGTAATGGATGACGCAATAATGAGGTCAGGTATGAGGTCATTGTGGAGCGAGCCAAAGTAATCTAAGAATACTACTTATGATGTCATGTCTACATACTGTGATAGTCGCTAATACAAACAAGCTTCAACACAGCTATCAAATCGCAGTAGATGCTTCCATCACATCTAGATAAAGGCTGCGGTTGTGGTGGTAATGCAAGACAATTGACCAGCTTCCCATCCAAACTCCAACTCAATGTTGGTAAGGTGTGCTGGATATGCAAGCCCCTGCATCAACAGTGTCCCTTGACCCTCCCTACCTGCAGTCTGCATTGTACCTCAATGTGCTTAATTACAGCACAGGAAATAGATTCTGAAAAAATGACACCCCAGGGACCTCCAATTATTACGTAAAATGGCTTCGAGGCCCCCTCCGGAGGCCATCAAACCACCCCCTACCCCCCCTGATCAGAGGCCATCCTGGAGGCGCCTTCCTAATTGGGATGCTGCCTGGCCATTTGTCCACCGCTTGCATGGTATGCTAGGGATCGGCCTGAGTGCTGATATATGCTGTAGTAGTCATTATAAAGCCTCAGACAATGTCTGACCTCTCAAAAGCATGTATTTCTTGCTTGCAAATGGCAGACCACTGGGTGCACAAAATTTGGGATCTGAGTATGTGAGCACTCCTCAGGTGCATAGAGCAACAGTATATGTATTAATTCAAGATTGAGCATGAGGTAGCTGTGCCCACACGCAAAAAATGAGATGTTGCTGAAGGGATGGTTTATGGCCTCCACGACCTCCCAGGTGCAGAAAAAAAGGTGTTGGGTAGCCCACAGGCCCTTGAATTCCACTTCAATAGAACAATTTGATGCTTATGCTTTGTCAAAACAACAGCTCAGCATATAAATTGGATGTTGGAGCAGTGGCAGAACAAGCCTCCACCACCTCCAGGGCTGGGGATCAAAAGCGGTTACTGTAGATTTAGCCACACAAACTGTGTTCATGACATTATTTATCTTCATTGAGATGCACAGGATCCTTTAGAGTGATAGCTCAACATGTGAATTGGATGCTAGAGCAGATTACAGAAAGGCTCTCCACAGCCTCCACAGCCGGGGACTAAAAGCAGTTTCTTTGGATTTAGCAGCAGAAACTATGTGTTCAATGTCAGGTGTCTTATTTGAATGCCAAGGGTCCTCTATGGAGACAGCTCAGCATATGAATCAGATGCTGGAGCAAATGGCAGAACTGGCCTCCACCGCCTCCACAGGTTATTACTTGAAGAGTTGGGATGAGATGACAATGTAACAGACAGATATTCTCCTGGCTGACCACATTCTGTCATTTCCACCTCTAAATGCGAGTTGAATTGCTGCAGAATGTTAAAATGAGAGAATGGGGGACCCTGGAGGCGCTGGAGGCACATGCAAGATCCAATCAATATCATCAATATCATCAATGCCATCAATAGCATCAATAGCATCACCAATCATTGGTAGATTGATCAGCCAATCAGATGATGAATAAACATCGAACATCTAGTATATTCATTCCTGAGAGACACAGACTATATGTATGCTCATACTGAAAGTGGATTAGTGGTCCCAGGACATGCCCCAATGACATATTACATCCTTGTCTCAAGAACATATCATTGAAATTCGGAGTTTGCAAATGAACTGAAAGTCAACTGAAGATGAGTGGTACAGTGGAGTACTTTCAGTTCATTTGCAAACTCCGAATTTCAATGATATGTTCTTGAGACAAGGATGTAATATGTCATTGGGGCATGTCCTGGGACCACTAATCCACTTTCAGTATGAGCATACATATAGTCTGTGTCTCTCAGGAATGAATATACTAGATGTTCGATGTTTATTCATCATCTGATTGGCTGATCAATCTACCAATGATTGGTGATGCTATTGATGCTATTGATGGCATTGATGATATTGATGATATTGATTGGATCTTGCATGTGCCTCCAGCGCCTCCAGGGTCCCCCATTCTCTCATTTTAACATTCTGCAGCAATTCAACTCGCATTTAGAGGTGGAAATGACAGAATGTGGTCAGCCAGGAGAATATCTGTCTGTTACATTGTCATCTCATCCCAACTCTTCAAGTAATAACCTGTGGAGGCGGTGGAGGCCAGTTCTGCCATTTGCTCCAGCATCTGATTCATATGCTGAGCTGTCTCCATAGAGGACCCTTGGCATTCAAATAAGACACCTGACATTGAACACATAGTTTCTGCTGCTAAATCCAAAGAAACTGCTTTTAGTCCCCGGCTGTGGAGGCTGTGGAGAGCCTTTCTGTAATCTGCTCTAGCATCCAATTCACATGTTGAGCTATCACTCTAAAGGATCCTGTGCATCTCAATGAAGATAAATAATGTCATGAACACAGTTTGTGTGGCTAAATCTACAGTAACCGCTTTTGATCCCCAGCCCTGGAGGTGGTGGAGGCTTGTTCTGCCACTGCTCCAACATCCAATTTATATGCTGAGCTGTTGTTTTGACAAAGCATAAGCATCAAATTGTTCTATTGAAGTGGAATTCAAGGGCCTGTGGGCTACCCAACACCTTTTTTTCTGCACCTGGGAGGTCGTGGAGGCCATAAACCATCCCTTCAGCAACATCTCATTTTTTGCGTGTGGGCACAGCTACCTCATGCTCAATCTTGAATTAATACATATACTGTTGCTCTATGCACCTGAGGAGTGCTCACATACTCAGATCCCAAATTTTGTGCACCCAGTGGTCTGCCATTTGCAAGCAAGAAATACATGCTTTTGAGAGGTCAGACATTGTCTGAGGCTTTATAATGACTACTACAGCATATATCAGCACTCAGGCCGATCCCTAGCATACCATGCAAGCGGTGGACAAATGGCCAGGCAGCATCCCAATTAGGAAGGCGCCTCCAGGATGGCCTCTGATCAGGGGGGGTAGGGGGTGGTTTGATGGCCTCCGGAGGGGGCCTCGAAGCCATTTTACGTAATAATTGGAGGTCCCTGGGGTGAAAAATGACCCCTGATCCAATTTCAATTCTGAGTCAGTGTACAGAGTATGTGTTGCTGCCAGCTTGTCACTGCATTGAATTCCAAAGAGATTGAAGTATTCTGGCCTGTTTGCACAACTGAAGGCTGATCAATTGAAGTGTGCATCATACTGTTTTGTGGTTGGATTATTGATATAGTTGGTCCAGCAGCATCCTTGAGATAGAAAACCTTATTCCAGCAGTATTTCTCCCATCATGATCCCCCTTAACAATGCTTTGCAGCACTAAGATTCCTGTTCTTGTCCCCAGTACATAAATGTGCTGTCAAGCCAAGAAGTGACTGCAAGTTTGGATGCGACCAGATATCTGGGGTGAAAGATATTCAACCACATGTTTCCGCATCAAATCGATTGTTGGTCTGTCAAAAGAAAAAATACCCTGAGTTCCGTAATAGGAAGGGCATAAACCTCCCTATTTGGCTCAGAAAGCAGATCAGTGACTAAGTATCGTGCGATCCGGTAGGTTTTCGTCTCAAATATCAGGTGCCGTGTCCTATTTTCACACGACTGGGACTTGGCGCTGACAATGATCATGAACCGCAGTGGGACACACGAGGATGAAGGTTAGGAAGCAACGCTGCTGCGCTAAAAAGCGATTCCGTCGGGTCGAAAGATGATGAATTGATGGCTGTTGTACACATGAGCGAATAGATCTAAGTGTGAGCGTGCTGTAGATTATGTAGGGATATATGGCAACCGGGGTCAAGGGCGTGTATAAGCTTAAAATTATCATCGAGAGGCGCGTTTGAGTTGCCGCAGAGCTTCTTTCACCTGGTCGTCAATGGTTGTCGTCCACGCTGCACGGAGGAAAAGATGTTAGCTCGGTCACCGCCGCAGTGATCCAAAAAAAAGTAAGACACACGCACCCCACTCCCAGTTCTTCACTACGCGCTGGTAGAGATGCTGCAGCCGGTCCCACAGTTGCTGACCCTCCAGCCCGTCCATCGGGTCCTCCTCGAAACTAAAGTAGCGCCCGTTTAAGCGCGACGCGCTGGCGATGTGCTGCGCGGCGGGGCGGCGGATCTCGTCGTAGATGCGCAGTGAACGTCCGAGGGTCTCGCGCGTCGTGGATGCGTCGCCGAGAATTGTTGCTAGGATATATGCGTCCTGGCGGAGAGACGCGTAAGCGGGGACGAACCGACGATCGAATGGACTGCGCTTCTCACCTCCATGGCCTGACCTGCCCCGGAGCTAGAGAAGTCAGTCACGCGAGGCGAGCCCATAATGCGCTTGCTTACCCTTGGTGCGGCTGCATAGCATGAGCCTGCGACGGAGAATCAGTATCTGGTACGGAGAGCCATAGCGAAAGTAACCTACCGCATCGCCGAGAAGCGCCACGTTTCCGGAAACGAACGAGCGGAGGGGCTTGACGGTATGGATCGCCCAAGTCGCCGCCTGGTCGACGCACTGGGAGACCAAGTTAGAGCCTATCCATCGGGCAGTGCGGCCGCAGCCGCGAAGTTCACTTCACCTGTATCAGGAGCTGGACATCCGGCTCCCAGTTTTCAAACAGGTGGGCAAATTGGGACTTGTCCCCGAGGCTCATCCAAGGCCCGCCGTAAGGCGTTCCCTCGAGTTCGTGCCGGAAGTCGAAGGCGACAAAGTTGATGATCTTGCCGTTCTGGATTGGGTAACCGAGGACAAACTTCGCGTTGGGACGTCAGCCCTCGGCGCAACGAGGAAAGGGTATTACATCCTCACCGCGCCTTTGCCCAGGTACTGCGAGGGTGGAAATGAATGATTGATTGCCCTGCGCTACGAGTGAGGCGCATGCGCACCTGAGTGCCTTTCGTGAGCACCTGATGGGAAGGCGCCAGGGCTCGGAGACGTTCCGCAGGGAAGAGCGCGCGGTAGGCCGTGCAGCCGCTCCACACCGGCTCGATGCAGGTCTCGATTTCTCTAGCCTCCTGCCACCTGCCCTGGTCCTGCATCCACCGGATGCGCTCGGAGAGAAACGCGCGCCGGGTGTTGGATTTCAGGCCGTCCGCGCCGACCCTGCGCCGCGATATGGAGATGAGCATGCGTCAATCAGCGGCGGGACAGGCGGCCCTTACAGTACGTCGCAGAAGCTTCGTGTTCCGTCCTCAAAGACGAGCTCCGTCGGCCCAGATGGTCTTTGGACGAAGGTGTGCAGGCGCTTGGACATGTGAATTCGCGTTGACGACGGTAGGTGGCTGAGCAGCACGTTCTGAAAGTCCGCGCGGTGGAACGTCAACAACGATCCTGATTTCCAGTCAGTGAGGACGGGCGAGATTCAGCGAGATGCGACGAGTCGCATTGTACCGGGCACGCACCATTCGTGACGAGCGTCGAGAATGCGAACCCTGCACCCTGATCCGACTTCCTGTAGTTGAAACCGGCCACTGTTTAAGCTTAGTTTATTCTGCCCAACATCGAGGGAGAAGGCTGTCAATCACTCACCGGGTCCTTCTACCGGTTTCGTCTCGCATGTCATAGCCAGATCGTGGTCCAGACCGAGCAACTGCACGATCTTCCATGGCCGCGGGAAAATGCCGACACCGGCGCCAACTTCTGACAGAGACTTGGCTGCCTCGTAGATCTGCACTTCGATGTCTGGATATCGGGACAGCGCGAGGGCGAGAGTGAGTCCGCCGATTCCTCCACCGCTGGGTCGGCCTTTGAGCCGCGCCAAAGCACGAACGAGAGGCCAGACGTGACGTACCAGATGGCGATGCGTAGTCGGGGCTGGGGCATGGCAGACGGTCGAGGAGTTTAGTCGTGGTCGATGGATTTGCAGCCTCAGCAGCCATCTTATACTGTCGTGTGGACTGGGGTACCGCGGTTTTGACGGAAGTCGATAGGCGTTGCAGGTGACAGATTAAGCGAGCAAGTGGCCTGATTGGGACAGGTCCGATTTGTACCCACGATCCGGTCGCGCCTATCGAATACACACATCAGGGCTCGTGGAGACTTTCTTCGACTTGCCAATCAACTGATCTGTCCTTGCCCAGCGCTGTGCAAAATCCTACCACGGTTCCAGCGCAAGAAGTCGGCCCACGGGCGCATTGCCCGACAATTATCAGGATTGTATTGCAAACACGAGAGAACAGTATCAGCCACGAGTGGGATTGCATGCGTCGAGAATGTGATAGGACGAGATTTCCGGAAACATGGGCGACGCGCCGAAAGCCCGTGTTGCGTTTGAATCGGAACCGATGATCTGCGGCCGGCCAATATACACGCCACATTGTGGCCTCGACCCTTGCATGGTGCAAATGTACAGCGCAAGCAAACTTCACGGGCCGCTGCTGCTACGCAGCGTTGGAAACAGCAGTCAGCAGCTGTTGCTCCGAGAGTGAGAGCGAGTCTGCATGAATTGCAGCCCAGGGGTCTTCGGCCTCGGAAGCTTTTGGGAATATAGCGAGATGGGCAACGTGATCGCTCGCTGCTAGCTTGCTTGGACATCTCCAGAGAAACCGAGTGCAACATTCAGAGCGTGGACGGAAGAAGAGAAGTTTCTACTCTGTCGCATGGTAGATCTCGGCAGCGGATGCCGGCCCGGAACACCGATCAGGAAGCGGATGATCGCTGCTGATCCGTCGCTCTCGTTATTCTCAATGTGTCCCTGAGCCATGGCTTCGGGCGTCGTGCGTAGTTAGTGTCAGAGCCAAGAAGATAAGCACAGGCGTGGGCCGGCGTGAATCCGCCCCGTGTACACATAACCCCGCCCTCTCCTCTGCCCGACAGATCAAATTCTGTTCGTCCCACGAAGCTTCTCTCAAGCATCTGTCGACTACTAAATGTCCCGGATGCATTGAGTTCCGCAGCGCGTCGATGAGCTTGACGGTCTGGAGTTCGCCGATTACATACAACTTTGTCTGCGCCAGATCATTGTTACACCCATCGCGCTTGTGCGTTGACGTCACGACACACCATCACGGTACCCACTTCTCGCTCACACTCGCTCGAGATACCGGCCAAGATCTCAGCATTGATGCTGAGAATCCAGGATTGACTGGCAACACATGCACGTCTTCTGCGATCACTTCATGACAAGTCCCCATCGGGGCTTCGTTGTTATCCCAGCATCCCAATGGGGAAATCGAGTATGTCAGATGCAGTCGACGACCAGTAAAACACATTGGGCTCTCGTAGAACGGCCCTCAGATCCTTCCTGCTGGCTGTAAAATGACGACGCCACCGCCTCGACGTCTCCACCGACGTCATGGTCCACCGTCGGCACTGCAGGCACGTCGTACCCCGTTTTCTCAATTGTTTGAGATTGTCTTTGATGACCTCGCTAGGATTCTCGTCTGGCCTACGGTCTTTTCGCACATTCGGATAATTCCGGCCTGCAAACGAGGGTCAAGTGGGGACAGGCTGTGTCCCCGCGGCGTGGATCCGTTTTTCCAACCCGCGCTGTGTGCTTACAGAGAGCGAATGACATACATCTCCGTGATTTACGCTGTGAGGCAGATCGTCTCGGCGGCGCAAACACAGATTACGCATTTTCTTGCCGGTCTGACATCGGATACTACTCCTGACGGGAAATTCCAGGACTTTTTCGTTGCGTTTACTATCAGGCCGAGACCGGGCCTCGATCTCAGGACAAGGCACTGAAGCGGAGAGGCGCATTCGTCGAATTTTGTCTCAGTGGGGACGATGTGAAGGGCCGCTCCTGAGTCCCTACTATCCAGACCCTGCCAAGTAACTCCGACTGCAGATAGAACGCGAGAGTGACGGCGAAAGAAGATACATATCCCACTGCTGCTTGAAGCCTGGCCGCACCAACCTGCAACCACCCGGTCCTGCCGGATGTCGCTTATGGGAAATAGAGATGGTGGGGAAGAAATAATGCTGTAGCAGGCCCGCGGAAACTCAGTATAAGGTCACTCAAGGACCAAAGACTGTTTTACTTTACGAAAATTGCCATTTTGGGGTAGTTTTACTTTAAATTTCGAGGGACCCCTCAGTTTTTGTGCATACGTTCACGTGAGGTCTTTTTTGAGCTCTTGGACTGAGATTTACTGCACGTTCTGTGCTTAAATGGGTGAAAGCTGGGAAAAAGCGAGGGGAACTTGTCTGATCAGCTCCGCTTTTAGAACATTTCTCTCCCCCTCAAGCCCGAAACCGCTCAACTGGGGGCTGTTTTACGCTAAATTCTGAGGTACCTTGGCACATTTTGACCCGTTTTACTTTATTCTACTGAGTGAGGTTGGGCCATTTTTGGACCTTGTTTTACTTTATTTTTGAGTGACATAATACTGAGTTTCCGCGGGCCTGCTGTAGCGCGTTTCACATGACAGGCAACTGCGAACGATTGGTGCGTGCGTTTGCCACTACCTTCAGATAGGATTATCTCCATCATCATCACGGCCCTAGCCGCGTGCAACCAACATCAGGTCTGCAGCGAGCTGCTTCCCTAGACGATGTCTCCTCATGAAGTGAGTACAAACTTGGATGGACATCCGAGACTGACGAGACGGCAAACGATTTTCAGAGTCCGCTGCGATGCACATGGAATCGGCCTCAAGACATAACCGGCAGCCCACCCGGAACTGGGTTGAACATTGAGCAAAGTTCAAGATCAGAACTACAGTCTTCTGATCTGAAGCGCATCCGCATCCACTCCACGAAATGAGGTCGCGATCTCTAACAGAACTGGGTGCAGACCAGCAGCATCTGCAGCCGGCCGCGCCCTGACCGGCGTAACTTTCGAATCGAAATAGTCGCGTGCGAAAACGCAGCGATTTTCAGCTGCACGAGACTGAGTTTAGGCGATTAGTCACCATTTGAGTCTAGTATCTACTTTAGACTACCCCGGGCCAACCCCAGGCCACGAGTTCCGTATGCTTGCCGGTACCGAGCATCTGCCATGGCGATCGTGCGTGATTGGACCCGGACTCATCGGCGGCAGAATGTACAGCAGGGAGAGAGAAACGAACGGGAGAAAGGAGCGGAGACCCCCCGCAAAAAGGCCTAGGCCCGACCAGGAAACGAGAAAAACTCGGAGATTGATAAGTATGAGATAGTGATGGATATCGATAGTAGTCAGAGCGAGGTGAAATGTCATATGCCCGACAACGCAGAATACAGATTGAGACCCGCACAAAGTAGGCAAGTATCTACCACCCAAAGATCATGTCCGAGACCTGTCCCAGCACCCCCTTAGTCGGCGAGGCATTGGCGTACGGCGCCGGGCCGGCAGTGGAAGCGTGAGCAACGGGCGTCGAGGGGGCCGTAGCAATAGGTGCAGACGGAGCCCCGGTGCGTCGGAACGCGGAAGAAGCGGGGGCGAGCCTTATCGGCGTGCCTACCATAGGCGCTGGCGGTGAATTGGCGCCTCCGCCCCCGTAAGAAGGAGAGGAATTGTCATTCCTGCTAGGAGTGTCAACGGCCATCGCATTCGGATCCGGAGACATGCGCCGCGTTACGGCTTGGGCGAGCATTGTCTCAGCCTGGGTGACGTCCTAGAAGGTTCGGCCACCGAGTCAGCTGAGCATCCGGAAACGAATAGCGACACCGCACTCACCGCCCATTTGACGCCTACCATCCACGTTCCACTAATCACTTCCCCGTTCTTCCGCAAGGCACGCACAGCATCAGCGGGGTCATAGTAGCCAAGTTTGAAGCAATTGACGATCTCCAGATGTTTGTCGGCTTCGGTCGCGTCGCCCAGATTCTTGAAGTAGTCGACGGTCAGGGTGAACTTGTCGGGCGGATAGCCGAAGACTATGATGTACAGTAGATCGGCGGTGGACGACTGCAGGGCGGGAGTGGGCCGTGAGCGAAGGCCACGCGCGAAGGTCGGGTTCAAAGCGGAGAGCTACGAAGGTCAACGCATTAGCCGGACTTGGCAACAAAGAAGGAAGGCTGTTCACGAACGCGAGGCTGGAAAGATGACGTGGTGGTGTCGGCGTAAATCTCATTCGGGATATCGTTAATAGAGCTCATAGGAGGCGCGTCCTCATCAGGCAAGGCCTGACGTTGTCTGACGGCCCATGAATGAGCAGCAGAGCAGACAGAACGGTAGCAGTTGTTCGCTCACCTCGTGCTTTGGAACATCGAGTCCATCCCAAAGTCGGACGCCGGTCCGCGCGAAAAGACATGGTTCATCTTCGCTTTCGTCGGCACTACAGGAGGTTCGTCTTGCCGTTGGGATCCGGCCGGGGCATTCTGGAACGGAGATGCACATAAGCCACCATTCCTAGCAAAGCAAAGGTCATCTGTATCACCCACATTGGATTGAGAAGCGGACTATGAGGAGATCTGTTAGACAAAGCGGAAAAGACGACGAATCATGTGTCAGGTTCTCACCATGAGGTATCCCGGCTGGTAGTGGCTCCGCGGTTGGGCGAGTGCATCGGTGAAGGAGTTTGACAATGAGCCACCAGGATTCGCTCCGCCCCACGTGTTCAGGTTCTGGCCGTGGTTGTGCGACTGGCCGAGTTGGGACGTGGATGCCATACCGGCCACAGAGAAGCCTAATGGAGAGGAGGGCATGAGCGGTTTACACGGCGCGACGCGTCGTGGTTTTTGGTGGGGAAAGAGAAGTGAAGCAGGGCGTGTCCGTGTCTGGGGTTAGGGTTCGACGCAGCATATTGTTGTTTTTCGCTCCTCACATTTACCTGGCATCGTATCTGTCTGAAGTCGCAGAAGACTTTGTTATGGACATGGACATGGACCTGGACATGGAAGTCGAAGTGTCATCCGCCCCGTCTCGACTTCCTCAACCCTTCGACGAATCAGTGGATGTGGTCCTCGATCGACTTCAGACCTTCCCTCCCCACTTACGGCGCAAAACACAGTATAACGAACACGCGCCAGGACATGGGATCGTTGCTGCTGAATTTCTCGTTGTGAAGCTGGAGGGCCAGTCGAGAGCGCACATGGTCAGCGCCGTGAAACGCAGGATTATCGACACCGAGCCTGGGCACGTCTTGGATTCGACCGTTCCACCTGGCTGTGGGTGCCCGTCACCTTTCTTCAGGAATAGGACTGACCAGGTCTCCAGACCATCGCAAGAAGTTTATGTCAATGGCGCGCGCGGAAGCACACGCCTCTCAGACTCTATTGTATATGGACGAGATCGGGTCATCACACTGAAGATGACAGACTCAAGTCGCTCGTCTCGGGCCCGTCGTATCTCCTTGGAAGCAGGCATCTCCGGACGCCCGCCCCAACACGTCTCGAAAACGCATGAGGACGACAGTCGTACACATCAAGTTTTTCAGCGGCATTGGAGTTGCCCCTCCCTCATGAGGTCACCGGATCCTTCATCGGCAGTTGGCCTCTCTCGTGCTTCTGCTCGCTTATCCATCTCACGCTTCACCCGTCCCCTCTCCCTTTACGACACTGCGCCTACTAGCTATCGGGCACGCGGGAGGTTTACAAGCTACGGGAATATATGATCGCTCGGCCTGGAAAAGATCGTCCGGGCTTTACGACGCAAATAATGAGCTTTGTCGGAGAGCTTGCCGCCGAAACCAGCGCTCGGAGTCCGGAAAGACTTTGGAACGCAGCGTAACGTCCGCGCCGAATCGTATGAACGCTGCAAGACGGGCAGTCACGTACTCTTCGTCTCGTGCTTTTCCGCAACACACGTTACGGCCCAGGATACCTCAAGTCAATGTACTTGGTGAACATCGCAACGCTCCGCTCCTTCCGCCCATGGCCACTGCGTCCCCGTTCGTTCTGCTTCTCGGTCAAACGACAAGCCTCACGATCAGATGCTAGCACCAGATTACCTAGTCGAGAGAGGGTGAGAAGCCCATTCGGTCCTTCTGTCCAGCCGCGATGTGCCCAGCACGAAGATCAAATGCCGATGGTCAGGATCCGAGCGGCCACTGGCGGCGTACGGAAGAGGGACGTTAGTGGCATAGGTTCTGTGGGAGGAGCTTGGCGATGCTCACTCAAGATGTCGGGCACCGAAACAGTCGGGCAGCTTCAAGACGTAACACCCTTGCCCAAGCTTTTCGCCTTCGATGACAACGTATATGCCAGCTACAGCCTCTGCCTTCTCGGGTTCTATCTTCTTACCCGCGCTCGAGGCGAATCCTCCCTGCACTCACATGTGTCCGTTCGTCCTACCATGACATTCCTGGGTCAAGAGAACCAAAACTTCGTCGCCGCTTGCATCCTACCTACGGTTTCGATAACGCATGGACTCAGACAAGATCCCTCCTTCTCTGTGTGGTGCGCTTGAATTCCTAGAAACCGCCAACCGTATTCAGCGAATGCGGATGGTACAGAATGAACCACTCCGAACGCAAGACAGATGAATGTCTGCTTATATTCCCTGTGCCTCGGAACTCGGCCGAGGGACTTGCTGCAGTCGACGCGTCAGCCAAAGCATGGTGCCACGGAGGAGACATCCATCGCACGCCGTACCCAACCAACTCTCCGATACGATGCACGAGCCCTGGCACCCCGGGCACAAACTGAAAGTCAATCCGATCGAGGCGATTAGCCCAGGGAACATTTCATGCGACAAATCCTGCGTATCAGGCATGACTGATGTTCGTCGGAGCGCACTTGAGACACGATGGGTGAAGACTCGGAGTCGGGGGTTTTGCTCAAGCACGTTCCGGTGGCACTTCGGAATCTCTCTGCGACACTGGCGGACTCAGTTGTCGGGGACGTGGTTCTCTTCATGTCATATCGAGGCTTGGGCGCACGGAATCGAGCACGAAGCAACGCTGCAATAGCTAAGTATAATCTAGAGGAGTTATAATACACAGTACACTACACAGAGCCTATATGTGCCACAGCCTATATACACGTACGAAACACACAGAGCTACCAATACAGGAGATAGAAACACACCGGAGCTAATCTTCAAATGTACAGTGTACAAGCGAGAGCAGTGTCTACAGCCCGCCGTTCGATGCGAAGTCCAGGAACTTGTTCCAGTTAATACTGTCGCGAGTAGAGTCGTTCATAGGAACGGGCACCCCAGGGAAGAAGACCTGAGGCTCATGCGCCGTCTCGTAGTTGAGTGCCGGCGGATCCAGGAGCGATTCCAGAAACGGAGGGATGGAGTGCTTATCGAGCAGATGGGACATCCCATCGGAGCCCAGGCGCCTCAAGCCGGGATCGAAAATCGCGGGGTCGAAGGGAGAGATGTCGGCCTCCGCGTGGTAGACCGCGACATCGGGACTGAGGAATGGGAGCTGGAGCTGATGAGCCATCGGCCAGGTAAGAGGGAGAGTCGGGGCTGAGAAACGCGATGAATTGGGGTGGGAACTCGAGGGAGGGGATGTCACGCCAAGGTAGCTCGAAGATGGTGAAGGCAGCGACGAAGAGCTCGAGGATGGGGAGGGGAGAGGGGACGGAATGGATACGGGCGAGAAGGAGGGGGAAGAGGGAGAGGAGGAGGAGGAGGAGGAGTCGATCTCTTCCGACTCTGCCAGCTGCAGGCCTGCAAGCTTGAGTCTATGCCTACGCGTCTTCTTGTGCCTGGAGAGCCCGGACGGGTCTGCTGTCCTGTAGCCACAAGAATCACAGCTGAATGGTTTCTGGTTCGTGCTGCCCGAGACGTCAGATATCCAGCAACGGCTGACGAAGTAAAAAAAAATGGAACGCACTGGACGGAGCGATAGTGGGTCTGCAGATTTGACTTCTGTATCGTCTCGTAGGAACACCCAGGCTCCTGACAGCGCATTTTTATTTGCTTGCGCTCTGGATCAGGGAGATGGACAGGTTCGTGGCGCCTAAGATCGGAGGCCCGTTGCCAGCTCTTTCCGCATCCGGGATGGAGACAGATATGCTCGAGAGGAGGGTAGTGCATCGCCGATTTACTGCTCTTCTGGGTGGAGCTCTAAGGAGGAATATCAATAAATGATATCAAATTTGAAGATGCAGGAGAAGACTTACCATGGGCGACATGCGCTGGGCAGCTCTAGAAGTAGTGGCTTTCGGCATACTTGGATCGCAGCGCGATCGGCTAGAGGAAAGAGTGGGACCGGGGGAGCGGAGAGACTGGGCCCCAGGCTTGCGTCCATGGCAGCTTTATACGCTATGCCACAGCCGAGGACGGTGCAGAAAGTGCGTCGAGGGAGCCAATCCATCAAAACAATCCTGAAAGATACCCACCTTGGAAATCAGTGCTTGAGCCACCCAGAGTGATTGCCTGGCGAAATAGCCTTCTATGGTAAGTTTTGGCGAGGGGCTCCAGCGCATGGCGCTTTGCTGTAGGAGACAAAGGAGACAAAGGAATCACTGATGGAGAAGGCCACAGCGTGTCCACATTAGGATTGATCTCCGATGTCAATGTGATAAGATGAATGACGAGTATTACGGCATGGACGCACACATTGTCACGTACCGTCGCTCTGCAGAAACTAACGCGGAGACGAAGAGTTGGTGAGATACGGGACAATCAAGCGGGATCTTCGGGGGAATGGGGCATACAACCACCCTAATTGCATCTCATAATGAATGATCCAGTCACTGAGAAAAATGAGTCGGTCGCAAATACAACCTTGGTAAACAATGCCACGACGGCGGAGAGCACAGAACATCCATCCAGTTTCAGGCGCGTACTTTGTTTCTTCAGAGAGAAAATATGGTGGATCACAAGCGGATCATTTGGATTCACGTGCATGACACGGTCACCTGCTAAGTCGGCAGCCAGAAGGGACTCTGTAACGTCCGTCGCTCACGCTGGAAGCTCTCTGCAACTTTCACGCCTTTGGCCCAGGGAAATCTGATGACACCCGAGCTCATCCCGGAGCGACCATTCTCCATGAATCCTGAGTCATTTTCTTCCCCCTTCCACCGCTACACTGAGGGCATCCTAGTAGACATCATCTGCTCTCATAAGAAAGCTCGTGCGCTCAAATTGCTGTGCATGGTAGACTTTGTTGAAAGCGTCTTTCGATCACAGCTGTGTTCGATTTGCTCGGCATGTGCTGGTGCTGGGCTCATGAGGTCGGGAAAGAAATCTTTTTGTTCTGGATCTGCAATTCCCGCCTCCGTTCGCGCCCAAATCTGCGCAAGAACTTTGCTAATGCGCTCGATGAGTACGGATTGCTCCGGTTGCTCGAAGAGACGACCGCGAATAGCCCTCAGCTTCTCTGATTTCAACCAGGTACTTGGTATGGTCAACATGACACTGTCAATGAATGGAAGACGAGGGTGTCCCCTGTGCTGTGCTCGTTTTTTTGTGCGCGCAAGACCGAAAGATTCGTGGAGAGCTTCGCCACCTATACAACTCAATCTGACCAAGACACAGGACACAGGGGTTGCTCACCAGCTTCGCGGGACACCCCGACAAGGTGCATTCTGAGCTGCTAACCTGATGTATGGCACGCGCATAGTAACAAGCAAATCGACGTTGGAACCAGAGTCTAAGAGGAGCTCTAAGAGAGCTGTAGGCGATCATGACTCAGCGATAAGCTTCCGAAACGTTTCGGGCTTCCGTCGGGGAAGGAACTGGAGGAATGCCCGTAGCGGCAGTGGGATATTTTGTTGACCCGTAGTAAGATCAAATCCATACCAACGTTGCCCAGCGCAGGAATCGACTGCCCACCCGACCGTAATGGCGAAGTCGCTGAATGATGTGTAGAAACATGGAAGCGCTCTAGCTTCAAGTAATTCAAGTCCTAATGTATGAAAAAGCTCTGCTCGTCTTGCCGGGAAAGAGGCCGGGAGCAAGCGGTGATAAGCGTAAGCGAATGGGGTACAAACACCGCAGACCATTTTCGTCTGATTTTCGTCATCCGCCATAATCCTGATGATGACTCCTCTCATTATTGGTCTCCCTCCTTGCTCAGGAGCGCCATAAACCATCCAGGGATATCTCACCGATGCCCAAACTCGTGTCCACAGTCGTCGATTATCTCTCTCACCGCCAGCTCTCCCGATATTCGTCGCGCGTCGGTTTCCTAAGCTCGTCGGAGGCCACATCCCGTCAGTCGACACTCCCGACACGAGCCAACTCCCAAGATGGCGACGCAGTGGAACTACATCCAGTCTCCGAGAGTGGAGAGGTGGAACCTCAAGTGCCCGACCAGGACCCCGAGCTGCGGCTTCCGCCTTTGACGTCGGTGGGGATCATGCTGGGCTCGAATGCGTTGATGCAGGTGCGTGTCTTGAAGCTTTTCCCCGAGAATCTGCCTCATCAGAATACTCTGAATATCCAGTTCGCGTTCTTCGTCACTGTCTCTTCCGCGGCGCTCTACGCTGAGCATCTGGGAGGGTCTGCGTTGTTCTCTGGTTTGACAATCGGTATCCCCACGGTGTTTTCTGGCCTTGCTCTGATACCACTAACTCGATACGATGAGGGTCAGTTTCTCGTCAGGTCCTATTCTTCTGAGACATTGAAGAGTTGGCAGGTCGATACACCCGCCCGCTCATGGCCATTTACCTGTCCCTCTTCATCGGCAGCATCTTTCACGCGCTTGCGTACAAGGCCAACTTCCTCTACCTGATTCTCATTGGCCGCATCGTCTCTGGATTCGGATTCACAGGCTTTATGTATTCCAAGCGATACTGCTCGGGTACGTGCTCACGGCCCCCTTCCCCCCCTCGGCTTGCCTCTCATTCCTGCTCAGATCCCCGCATAATTGGTGTTCGTCGACGGACAACACTTGCGAGCTACCTCGTTCTGGGACAAGCTTTCGGTTTCAGCGCCGGTCCCTTCATCGGCGGCCTGCTTTACAAAGTGGGCTTCCCCAACGACGTTTTCAATGGGTACACAAGGTGCGACTCGTAAGATGACTTGCTCCAATGCTCAACGGCCGACTAGTCCTGGCTGGGTCACCGCCTTTGTGACGCTTCTGTTCGCCACAGTCGCCTTGTGCCTGTTTCAAGACGTCGGTAAGCCACAGCAATCTGGGGCGGAGAACGGTGCTGCCGCCGATCCACCTCGATCCGATGGATCCTTGAAGGACTTGACCCGCGAGCAGTGGGGTGTCATTGCCTCGATGTGCTGGACAGCGATGACATGCTTCTTCGTGCTCGGCTCGTGGGAGTCCAATATCCCGATCTTCACTGCCGTCAGCCTCGGCTACAGCCCCTACGCTGCAGGGAACTTCATCGCACTGGGTGGAGTCGCGACCTTGCCGTTCCTCCTGCTCAACATCCGGTTCGCGCCGCGATACCAAGATCGCTCGACGCTGGCTTTGGGCTCCGTCATCGGGACCTCCGGGCTCCTCCTTGCCCTCATCCTCCTCGCCACGGACAGGGTCGTCTTTGCCTCGCTCTTCATCTGCTGGTTCCTCGTCGCGCTCGGATTCAATATCGCGAGCACCTGCACTGTCAGTCTGCTGTCGAAGCAGCTTCCGAATGCGTACAACGGCCGGACGAGCCTTGCAGTCCAGTACAGCAATTACACTGGTCGGGTTACTGGTGCGATTCTGGGTGGTGCAGGGGTGCAGATGGGAATGAAAAGTTATGTCGGGGTGCAGCTTGCTGTCGTCGGAATCGGCGCTGTTCTGCATGCACTGAATTGGCAGAAGCTGAAGGCGAAGACGGGCTAAATCTTTTGTAGAAGTAGGATTAGTGACTTTGCATGTCTCATTTATATTCCCGACTGCGCATTTATCCAGCTAGTCGGACTAGATATCAAGAACTCGCTGTTTGTCCAAGTTTGGACTAAGATTCCGACGCACCACCTATCGCACCTCAGCTGGAGACCACCATCTCGCAACCATCTCATGGACGTCCCAGCACTCGCCTCCGATCCTGTTCAACCGGAGATCGTGGAATGTGACGTTCTTGAAGCCGATATCACCCAGCGCGCTCTTCCTCCTATCCACCGACTGCCCCCCGAACTCCTGGTCAAAATCATCCTTTTCATTCGCGGCGGCTTCTCCCCGGGCGACAAATGGAGTCTAATAGAATCTTCCGACGACCCTGACACGGCACCGCTCTGCTTTGGGCGGGTATGCTCTAGATGGAGATCGATTGTGCACGGCACACCAGCGCTCTGGACCTACATCGCATTCAGGACCTTGCGAGGGATCAAGAGAGATGAAAGCATCCGAGCCAAATGGCTGATCGAAAAGTCGTGCGATATGGCAGTGACTCTTGTGTTCTACGACCAATCGAAAGTCAGTGGCGTGGATCATGAAATGGACGTGAGTGTGAGAGACACTCTTGCGACGTTCCTGCGCCTCGGGGCGCCGAGGATTCGGAAGTTGTTCCTCTTTATTTGTCCCGCTTCCCTTCCTGAGCCCCAGGCCGAGTGGATCTTCCCCGAGCTCCAGAATGCGCACTTCAAGCTGGTCGACTGCACCTATTCCCGCGGGATGACGAACGTTGTCGACGGTGTGGTCAGATTCCTTGCACACTCAAAGAACCTTTGGCGGGTCGATCTGAACTCGACTTTGCCAATCACGCTGGAGCATGAATGTCGTCCTGGTGACATGTGGACTCGACTGACCTGCCTTAGTATGAATATGGCCATCACCTTCATCACCTGTGCAGCCCTGCTTCGCAGCAGCCCAGTCTTGAAGTCAGTCTGTTTCGGAGACGTGTATGCATTCAGTCCGGTGGTCTGGAGCGGCCGGGTTGCAACGCCTACGACGCATGGACTGCAGCTGCTGATCCTGCAGTTCCACCCAGAGGCCGAGATCGACGAATTCTTCTCGCAGTTCTCCTTTCCCAATCTTCATTCCCTCGAAATCGAAGCCATCTACTGCTCCCGACGAAATCGATCGCCGACGGTGTCATGCCGCGCCGCTCTGACCTGGCTGCACGACAACACTCCTGGGCTACCACTCGCCAAGCTGATCTTACATAGCATCATGATTGACCTCGACGATCTGAAGCGTGTGGCCACACGTTTTTCCAACAGCCTGACATCGCTGAGCCTGAATCGTGGTTGTAAACCGACTTTGATCGAAGAGCTGACGACGCACGACGATCCGGTACACCAGATCTCGCTGCCCCTGCTGCGCCACTTGTTCTTCCGGTACATGTTGTTGGAGCGCGCCGAGGGTTATGCTCTCCTCCAAGTGCTCGAGAACCTCGGTCCTCCTTCCCATCCGGCTTTGCCCAGTCTTGTAGATTTCGAGTGCGAGCTCATCGATTCGACGGAGACGGCTTACTTTCATGATAAATTTCGCGAAGTCGTTGGCAGGTTCGAGTCTCGATTGCGATACAAAGTCTCTACGCCCCGTTGAGTTTGACTGCGGTGGATTGGATCAACTTATTGGATTCAGATATGTCCATCGTTATGCAATATATCGTTCGTCGTCGACTGATCGAGCTCATACGAGCGTTGAACACTTCGATTGCGGGTGCTGAGATTCTTGATGGGCCTGAAAATGCTGAAAGAATTTGCAATCACCAGGTTGCTTAGGTCCTGGAATGTGTTCCACACCGGCGAGTCATTTTAGAGCTGCTTATTCTGCATGGACGGCGCTGGGCCCGACCCATATTTGCTGGCGACTGGAGCCTAAATCACATTCTCCACGGGAGATAATGAGCGAGTGCTCAAAGATAAAAGAGATTGGATTGGATTACGGGCGACTGACTTGTATGATACCTATTACAACACTTGGTTGAAAATTATTCTGCCGAAGTACAGAGAGATTATGCGATGTCCAGAGCCACATCTGCCTGCCAGACATCGTCGAAGGTGTTATGCAAGCCCACCAGAAACAGATGGTCAAATTTCACGCAGTTGGCGGAGAACATGAACCCCTGTGCTGTCGGCGCTTCGAATTGACATTTCTATGTTGTAGGTAATATATGTTGTGTGAGTACGCGTTGCCGAATGATATCGACGCGGGACGCACCTCGACGAAGCGACCGAAGTTGAGGGCGATTTGGATGGCCAGCTCAATTCGAGTGAGGGGGACACCGTTTGGATGGACCACGGGAATCGTCCGGCACCATTCAACGTGCGTGTATCCAGGCCACTGGGAGAGGGATCAGAAAATGCTGGGAGGTAAACTTGAATCAGAAACTCACGAGGATTCGCAAAATCACTCTCTGCAGGCCGGTCTGGGACAAGGCGGCCTCGCCAGCGCCAGCCATGGGCATCCCGACTCCGCGCAGCCTCAGCTCGCGCATCTGGACGCCTTGTCTGGCGCTTCCGGGAACATCGAAGGACACAGGAGCGTGGACGCCCCTGCCGGTCGCAGCCTTGAACTGATTTCCCGGGGTGTAGGGCGTGAACGGGACGCGGCGGCGGGTTTGAGAGGTGAAGGACATTGCGTGGACGCTGTGTGTGTGCTTGCTTTCTGGAGCATAGTATCTGAGCTCGAGCTACCGCTTAAATAAATGGTGAGGGTCGCAATGCGCGCGCGCAGTGTCTTGGACGGCGGGGCGGGGGACACATAGGGAACGGATTCTGCAATGCGTCGAGCAGCGGCTTGGACATAGGGATCATTCTGATGGGAATTTGGATAAAGGCGATTGGGAAGCGTGATCCCTTTCTGCAGTGCACGACAAAGGGCGATCTACTTTCCTCATGTGGATGACACATGTTGGACAAAGCCACATCGCTGATGGGGTCTGAGAACAAAGGGCTGCGTTGCTGGGCCGTGATGGAGGCACAAAGGGAACAATTAAAGACACGAGTTCAACTTTTTGTCGGCTTCTAGTGACATCATGCGGTTGCGACACGTCAAATTCACAGCTGGTCCTTCAGTGTCGCGCTTGGCAATGATACACGTGATCGTGTCCTTCCATCACAGCCACCTTTTGATGCTTGACTAGTCATTTCATTTACAATCTTTTACATGTATGCTCCGCCGTCTACGATGTACGTCTGACCGGTGATGTAATCGGCACCGTCGCTGGCCAGGAAGCTCACCAAGTTGGCGACATCCTCTGGCACGCTCAGCCGTGGCAACGCAATGAGGTCTCGCCCCGTCTTGCGCATGGCGTCTCCCTTCTTCGCAGCACTGTCGCCCTCGTACTCGCGCATCTTCGCGTCGATGACGTCCCACATGTCCGTGTCGACGATCCCCGGCGCGTACGCGTTGACCGTGATCCCGCGCTTCGCCAGCTCCACGGCCCAGCCCTGCGTCAGCGCGCGGACGGCGAACTTGGACATCGCATACGGCCCCAGCATGCTCCACGCGCGGAACGCCGCGATGCTCGCGGCGGCGATCAGCTTCCCCTGCGTGCCCTGGGACAGGATCTGCCGCGCGGCGGACCGGTGGCAGTTGTGCACACCCACGAGGTTGACGTTCATCATGTGCCGGATGTCATCCGCCGAGGTGTCCAGAAGCGACTTGACCTGCACGATCCCTGCGTTCGAGATCATCGTCGACAGCGGCCCGAGGGCTTCCACGGACGACGCCACCAGCGCGTCGACGGCCGCCGCGTCCGTCACGTTCGCTGCGAAGCCGTGCGCGGCGCGCCCCAGCCCGCGGATCTCCGAGACGACGCTGTCGATGGACGGCTGCAGGGACGGCAGGTCGTTCACTGTCACGTCGTAGCCGTCCCGAGCGAGGCGCAGAGCGATGGCCTTGCCGATCCCGCGGCCGGCGCCCGTGACGATGACTGTGCGCTGCGGCGCGGCCGCGGACGACGAGGACAGGAAGCGCTGGAGGCCGGTCCTAGCGGGGGACCGGCAAGCGGCGCTGCGGGCGAGTGGGAGGATGGAATGCATGGGCCGTGGTGGTGGTGGGTGTTGTATTTGGGGTGCTTTTAAACCGGTAGAGCGTCTTCCACGGCGTGTGAATGATCGTGCCCCGTTCACGTACCAGAGCCCGCACCCGTCACTCGTGACCTTGGCCTCGTGAGCTAGTATCAAGGCGACGTATTGGAATCCGGCTGCAGGTTCTACCAGGCTCTTCATACGCGATGACACTAAACAGAGAAGATATCAGAGCCTTGCTGCGGGTGTTAGGACCGCGCGAGGACCGAGAGCTACGCTCTTTTTGCACAGTCAGGAGGCCAGCCCTGCCGACGAAGCTCCAGTGTCCTCGAGCAAAGCATGGCGGCGACGCCTCCAATTTACGAACAGTTTCATCGGCTCTGCGTGCCGGTGCATGCCTCGAGCGTTTCAAGGCGAGGAAGACAGAGCCGTCAAGAACTGTCTCTGCTCTCCAGGATGATCGAATTTCCCTAGCGATGACCTAGCGATTGCGCTTGAGTGTGAGAAATAAGGGCTAGGATGTTACCCCACACCTCAGGTGACTGCAACCCCAGATTCTCCAGCTTCACGCTTCTGAGCCACGTAGCGCTTCTGGAAGCCAAGTCGACCGGCGAGCGCATGTCGGATCACAGAAGATTGTTGACGAACGGCTGAATTCTGCACACTGCCGAACGCGAGTGTCAGGCAGTCGAGGGACGGGAGGGTGAAGCTGAGATGGCATCCTCGTGGAAATACGACGGACGACGGCGTAATATGAAGGCGGAAAGAGAGGATCCTCAAGCGTGGGAATGAGATATGTGCAGTACGACATCTTCCATCTCTCCGCGGCACGGTAGAAGTCGCACGCGCGCGCAACTCCCGACGCAAGAAGCTACAGTATGTATCCGAGTCTACGTTGCCGCGAAGCCGGAGCGCGCAGATCCGCTCTCCCAGCTACTGTATGTCCTGTGCCACCTGCGGTCCGGCGGAAGAGCTTCGACCGCCGTGCACAGACTCCCGCAGGCGATTTCCTCGTTACATACAGGGATTCCGAATACGATCCGTGACGGTGCGCGTTGGTGTCGGGCTGGGGGTACAGTACGCTCAGTGCGCGGCGGACGCCCTTGAGCAAGTGCGATCTGCCTTGGCGCCGCTGGCCCTAATGAAGCGATCGAGAGATCTGCTGCCCCCCCCTCTTCACACGTCGACGGGAGGACATCTGGAACCCGGCGGCGAGCTGGACTGGGACTGGAATTCCGATGAGGCTGCGGGGGCTGGTTATCTCGGCCTGCACCCGTTCGTGGCGTTGATTGAGGTACGCGAGGATGGTGGACCGCGCGCGAGCTCGTTCAGACTCGCCCCGAGGAGTGTCTGCATTTGAAGAGCTCGTTGTACGGAGGGATTTTTCCTTATGCTGGAGAGGACATTCGGAGGAATCGATTGCGTGGTGCGTGAGGAAGCAAGAAAGACAAGTGACTTCAAATCAGGCTCAGGCTGCATATGTGTGTGTGCGCTCAGTAGTCCAAGCCTATGGTTAGGGTTACACAGCTGTTTTCCAGACTCAAGAACGCCGTTAGCCACCAGGCAATCAAATACATAAATGGACACACACAGATCCGCACCTCCAATGCTTTCCCTACCAGCTGCCAAAAATTTTCAGCAAGTGAACGACAGGAGACGGGTGCCTGAACATCGCCAACAAGACCTCATTCTCAAAACCGTCGCTTGTCTTTGTCCTCCCTTTTCCTCCGCTCGTTTTTCCTCTGAGGACCGGACGATGAAAATCTTCGCCCACCTCACGCTCGTTTTCACTGTCCCTGCCGTGCTGGTCTCCGGCTACGGAACCCCGACGCGCAGAGCCCCTGATCCCCGCGCGTTGGAGCCCTATACGAACGCGAGGCGGATGGCTCTGGGGCTGCCGCCATTACGGCCACACCGACAAGGTGCGTCATATCCGTTTATCCTCGCCATCGTGCTTACGGATCCATCACCAGAGCATGCTGCCCCTCGCCAGGCTGAACAGTCCGACAGTCCTCCTCACCCGTGATCTCGTCAGCGCCGGACTTTCCTCCGTCCCCGCTTATCCCGAGGCCAGGACGACGTGCACAATCAGGCTTACGACGCTGGACGGCGCGGACATGGGTTATGTGATGGACGCCGGGTGTGGCCCGCAGACGGCCTGTTCGGCTGGAGCCAGGATGTCGGGACGCCGCTCCAGCTCACTTTCACGCCCGGCACCGGGACTCAGGGCGGGTCCGTCGACTTTTCGCTGAGCCAGTTCCCGGTCGGTTACTACCCGTACGTCGGCGCAGGTGCGTTTCGGACGAAGCGGCGGGTTGCCTGGCTGCTTGTTGATCGCTGATTTGGAAGGTTAGTGGCTGGTATGCAGTCGAAGCCTCGCAGGGGACTCAGATGGGGGTGGGCTCCGCCAAGTAGCACCGCAGTACATCGAGAGCCGGATCTGGCTGTACGACCCGAGCGACCAGTCGATTATGCCGCGATGGGTCAACAGCGATGGGTCGGGGTGGGTGCCCTGCATCATTCTCGTGCCCGGAGGAAGCGATCGTATGTCTTTCCTCCTAGTACGTCCGTTCGAATAGCTGCGGATGTTGATTGGCTTCGTCAGCCGCTTTGAGCCCAAATTCGATCATCTTCACCGGCAGCTCGGGCGCATTCCATTCTGAGTTCGATCCGGGATTCGCGTGGCCGGACATGGTGCGTCGTCGCTTTGGCCCGCCTCCGGGTACTACTGAGGCTGACTTGTGCCGATACCCGCAGATCATGAGCTGTGAGCCCGTCACGGCGGCTGCGCCATAAATAGACGACTGTATGTATCTTCATCTCCTCGGTCGGGGGATATCACAGGCATTGCGCTCGGGCTCTGTTCGGGGATGTTGTGTTCTGCTCTGTCATTAGGGGTCGATAGAAATTCACGAGCCGGAGTGGTTGCTTACAAAGGAGTCATGCCCCAATGGCGTGCCGCATTATTCAGGCTCAGGCTCAGACGCGATTTCGATCTACACGTAAGGTATGGGCCACTGGCATGTGCGCGGCTCCTTGGTCGTATCGTACACGGATAGATACGGATAGTCTTCGGGACAGGCGTTCGGGCCGACGGGACCGATCCGGGATCTGCCGACGCTTGGGTTGACGGCTTACGTCAAACTGCGAGCGAAGTATCCTTGATCCGCTGCAAAATCGGGTGCTTCTATTGTTGCCATCATGTCGATGACGTGTCACTCAGACCAGGCTTGGACAGGCCCAAGCAACAGAGCCCGACAGAGCTCAGGCTGAGATGTGCTGGCAGGCCATCCGCTTTGTATCGTCCTCCCAGCAGTGATAGATTTCACAGGTTGCCCGATTCCGCACCCACATGTAATGGGTCAGCATGATTTGAAAGGCATCTTGGGAGCGTACAGAAGCTGACGAAGAGATCTCCGCACATCTTCGCTTGCTCCTGGCCGACGGCAAATCGCGCAGATTGATCGGACAAACCTTGTGCCCGCTGCGCGTACCTGCCCAGTTGGCGCCGCACATCTCCAAACGACTTTTCCCACTCGATGTCAGGGCGCAGCACTGGGTGTGTGTGTGTGTGCGCCCCATGGGAGCGCCGCGGGGCGCTGGGCAGACGATTCCGGGTGGTCCAAGCGCGAGACGGATCCGACGCGTGCAGGGATCGTCGCGTCGGCGCACGGATCACCCGCCTTTATCACCCATCAGCTGTGCCTTGTCGCGTCATTTTAACAACGCACTCCCTGCAGCGTTCCTCTTCATTCGTCCATCTCTCTCTCTCCCCTTCCGTCTGCGCCCATGCCGCAGTCCGACGAGAGCGTCTCCGAAGATTCTATCGGCGAGCCACCCGTCGCCGACTTTCTGTGCGTTTCCTGCCTATGCACTCGGAGCGGCGGCTCGCTAAGTTGCTGTTTTGTGGAATCAGCGAGTCACGGAAGGACATGCAGAGGGCGAAAACCAGGGCGCGTATGGTGCGGTGCGTCCCTCTCTGCACGACTCATCCCCGTCCGCCCGCGATCTGAGGAGCGCACCGTCCAGGCTGCGCCAACGCGTGAAGCAGCTCCCGCCGGACGAGCAGGAGGCCGTCAAGGCACGTGCCAGAGCCGCACGCGCGCGGTACCGAGCCAAGTGCGTCTCCGTCTCACTCATCCCGTGCTGGCAGTGCATCGATCACACGCGCTCACGCTCAACCGTCCCCGTGCAGCCACCCGAGGAGCGCCTCGGCCAGGGACCCAGACTCTGCCCCGCCCGAGGACTCGCCCCCACCGCCGCCGGCTGCGGCATTGGTGTCAGCATCAATCGCGTCCACGAGCGGGCCCCGGACATGTCTGGTGCCGTCCCCCGCGTCCCAGCCACCCCCGCTGATCGCATCAGCATCATCCGTGTCGTATTTCCGCGCCCGACGCGACGGGTGGAGAAGCGACAGCAGCAGCCCCGCCGCCGCAGCCGCCGCTTCGTGCCCCCAGTCTAGGTCTCCGCTTCTGGCTCCGCCTCCGCCCCCGCTGCAGTTGCAATCGCAGCGACGCCCGGCTGCGCCGCCGCCGCCGCACGACGGCGCGCACACCCCTACGTACGTTCGTCTCCCGGCTGCAAGCGCCGCCGCTTACCCCGCGACGCCCGCAGATACGCGAACCTGCCGCCGGAAGACGAAGCGGAGTACTTCGCGTGGCTCCGCGCGGGGCGGGGATAACAGAGGGTCTGCTGGGAACTTGGTTCCGCTGCCCCTGCTTGCTGCTGCCCCTGCTGCCTCTGCTGCCTCCGCCCGCGATGTATTTTTAGTTTCTGCTGTATTTTTATCGGGTCGATCGCTGCGCAGCGAGCATCGGCGCCAAGAGATCGCAGTACCGCAGATTGAACCTCCGGTGCAAGAGCGAGGATTCGAGCTTCGGAGGGATGGGAGGGTAGTAGACACACCCGTGTAAAAATAGCCGATGACATAATATGCCGATGATCTCGACATCTTGCCTGTGAGGCTGGGGGAGATTATTCATCTTCCTCGATCTTTTCGGAATATTACTATGCGGTGTACTGCGGGTTGCTTACATTTTGCTGTATAATGGTTCCCGATCCGTCGGCCGAAGGAGCCCGAAGCTCGGCAATGTTGTTTCTGAGCTGAGGGTTATAATGTGCGTGTGACAAAAAGGGATGTGCGACTTATTGCCGAAATGGGCCCCCGGCTACTTACTACGCAAATCCAGGCCCGAAAATGGTCATCCCTCAGTCTAAACAATAGCGAAAATCGGGCCGGAACACCAAACCTCAGGCTGACATTGTGCGAATCGCGGGCTCACACCCCATTTTCTTTCACAGTTGCTGTTCTTGAGTGCCAGAGTAGAGTCAAAATCAGGTCACTCGCCCCTCAGCCTGAGAGAGGACAAAATTATACTAAAATTTGCACATGACATTGCAAATAGCCCCAGATTTATCCAAATATAGGCGAGCCGCAGTCAGGATATAGATAGCACAAATCAACGCTCAGACAGCTGAATTGGTAGTGCAGATCAACAGCTTGGGGCAGACTGCCTAGTAGGGAGTAGCCGGGGGACTTGCCGGGGATCCGGGCAAAATTAAATCCAGTGACATCGATGAAGCACGCGGCAGCGACCACGGCTCACGGCTTACGGAGACGGGACATACAGCATGTAAATCTTACGGAGACGGACACATGTAAGTCAAGTGACCATGACGCAGAGGTTCCACATGCCAGTGGGAAATAAGACCCAGAGAAGAGTGAGATGATCGGCGGAGAGCCGGATACACAGCCAGCCAGCCTAGTGCGTATATATGTATGTTTAAAATAAGCAACAGTAGATCCGGCCCGATGTACATTAGATGATGTCTCAGGATGGGTATGCCGATAATAAGAATAAAGAGGGCCTCACAGGCGCTTCTGGTGCAAAGCCTCTAGTGCTGCTGACGTTCGCATGTGCAGGGCATTCTGAGGAAGCGGTGCGTAAAAATGACCTTACAAAGGTAAGAAAGGAAAAGAAAACGAACCTCCAGGCTGTACTTTCCCTTCTTCCCGGACGTCCCAACCTCCAGATATTTCCCTGCGGAGCCTGAGTGGTAGAAAAAAAAAACTGAGCGCGGAGCGCGACTCACCCGACATCACAAGCTCCAGATGTGTCCTGGCCTCGGATTCGTTGTCCATGCACGCCAGCAGACGGCCATACTCGTAATCTGACGATGATATCAGACCCCGGCAAGCACACACGGCAGACCACTCACGGGCGTGATAAACAATCCAGTGATCCAGCTCTATCTTTGGCCCGTGCTCGAACACAGCTTCGAATGCCCGTTTCGAGCCCGCGGCGGCTTCGTCGCGCGTCATGAGCGGCGTTTCAGCTGGATCCCGGATCGCGTCGGGGTCCTGTTGGTCATCGTCATCGTCAGCCAGCGTCACTGGGAACTATTTATAGGGCAGCCACGCACCGGATACGCTACATATCGCAAGCAAACACCTTCGAGGAACCGCGCCAGACACAGATCATCGGCGTATCCAACGTTCTTCTCCGATTCCGGCTTGTCGAGCTCGACGAGCTGCGCCCGGACTTCGGGGAGCATCTTGCCTTCGACGACGTTTCTCGGTGCCCGGGAGATGGAGAGGAAGAAATAGCCCAGCTCCAAGACGGGCAGCGCAAGCCGGCCAGACTGTGCCGTGTATTTTCGGGCTTTTCGGGCCACGAATTTCTGGCGTGAGGTGTGAAATCGGGTTCTATAAACAGGAAATGAAATATAAATCCAACCTCTAGCGGTATGCTCTTTCCTGCGATCTTTTGCCTCGACGTGGGCACCTTCTCCATTAGCGCGGAGACCTCTTTGAGCCGCTTCTCCCGATCTTCCGCGCTTTCATCGAACGGTCTGGGCTCGAGAAGCGATACTGCGAGTCCGTAAGAGTAGATCGCTTTGCTCCACTTCGGCGGTTCAGCAAACGAGAGGCGCAATTTTCATCAGAACTCACTGAGGCTTCCTTTTCGAGGATCCGCCAGCAGCCTTCGCTCCCATCAAACACGAACCCGTCGCTCTTCTCATTCACTCCACTAGCAACATGCCCCAATGCGAATCCTGCAATGGCCATCTCCCAAAACGAGACATGGTGCAGATTGCGATACTGCGTCTGCACCTGCATAGCCCGGGTGTGGTGCTCGATCGCCTTGCGGGGCTGCGACTGCGCCAGCGCGAGCCGCCCCGCAGCGAACAGAAACAGCACGCCGTCGGGGTAGCGCTTGAGGTTCCACCGCACGATGCGCTCCGCCATGTGCACATCGACGCCGTCGAACGTCACCGTGCTCAGCACCAGGTGGAAGATCAGCAGCGCAAGATCGCAGATCGCGCGCCGCACGCCCTCGTCCTGCGTCGAGACCAGCGGCTCGTCGGCCTTGCCCCACCCGCCCGCGCGTGCAAGCATGTCGAGCCCCTCCTTGCGGTCCGCGTGGTACCCGAAGAGCTCGACGAGATTCAGCAGCCGCCCGGGGAGCAGCGAGAGGATGAGGGTGCTCATCCCCGCGCCGAGGTACACCCCGGATCGGAAGTGCGCGTCGATGGCCGGCGACTCGGGCCCGTGTCCGCGGTCGACGAGCGGCCCTGGGGGCGCGGACGCGGCGTATTCGGCGTCCGCGGTTTGGATGTATTTGTAGAGCGTTCGGTATATCGACACGATCGTGCGCATGTTCAGCCTGCGGGCCCTAGATGGGGTGAGGGGTCCAGGCTTCCAAAGAAGACACGCACGCTTCCTTGATGAACGCGAGCCAATCGCCCGAGTACACGATCCCGAGCAGCGCCTTCTCGAAGAGACTCTCCGCGTACACCAGCTCCGCGTGCCGCTCCACGGCCGTCATGCCCTTGATCCAGCCCACGCCGGTCGTGTTCAGCGACGAGACGACGTAGCCCGCGAGCCGGCTCGTCAGTGCCGGAGCGCGTTTCCGGTGCTGGGCCGCGATCAGGTTCCCTTGCTTCGTGTGTCCGAGGGCCGAGAGGAGGTCGTCGTCGGCGTACGACATGAGTGCCTTGACACATTGAATGAGGCCGTATCCCGTCGCGAAGTACAGCCGCTGCCTGGACGATGGGTTCAACTACGCTCACACCCACAGAAACCCAGCACAAGGTTTTTTTGACACAGGGGTTGGGATGGGAAGACGGGCAGCGGGGGGACGTACTTCTCTTTGTCGCTCTCGTTGCAGTACTCCTCCGCCTCGATCATCTGGCTCGCGAGGAACGTGTCGAGTGCGTACCCGACGCCGGGAAGGTCGGCGAGGGCGTCCGCGGGCTTGTACGGCCGCTTGACGGGGGGCGGGGCGGTGTACAGCCGCGCATACGACGGGGAGGCCGGAGCGGGAGTAGCAGGAGCAGCAGCCATCGTCCGGGTGGGGGTGAGTGGGGTAGGGAAGCGGGTCGCTGATGGTCGACGACACCCGTTGACAGAGTTGGTGGGTCAGAAGAGTGATGACGATGATGGGAAGTTGGCACGTGCGATCGGGCCGACGGTGCTCTGTCAGATGGTTGACGTCAAACTTCGAGAGAAGATCAGACCGGCTGCAGCTTGGAAGCGCGAGTGATTCCTCGCTCTAATTCATCGAAGTTTTGCGCAGTTGAGATTTGGTACGAGTGAAATGTGAAGTCAAGATTGCTAAAGTCAAGATCGATTTCCACAGGTTGCTTGCAGATCGTTGTGATTTGCAGTCAAATGCATAAAATCCAGAGAGACGTGGCAGCTTCTATTCGGTAACCCGCAACTATTCGGGTTCAACAAATCACGCAGGTGCATACAATCTCCCATTCCAGCTGCTCAACGCATCTCCACAGTTCGACGCATGTGGTTCCCTCCATCTGCGTTGACACTATCATGGCTGGATAGAAGTTCTGCTCATGCTGCACTGATCATGTGAAGCTCAACCAGAAGATGCCGGTTGTGCGCACATGACATGTCCCATGGACGGACACGAGGGACACACAATGAACGACCACCTCTTGCACCTATGAGCTAGGAGGCCTTTCTTGTATTCAACATCCGGCCTATTTACATTCCACTTGATGGCCTAGCTTTGCTACTTTGGCGGAGAAATACGCACATGGTGACTGTTCTCGACCAAGTTTCGATCAATTGAAGCTGATGCCCAATCACTATCATTTGATGGTCGTCGCACTAGTCACACAAGTTGTTCCTCCTAGCAGTTCCGCAACATTGCATCACGTACACCATGGCTGGCAACGGTCCCAGATTTCTCAATAAACCATAGGACTCCTGCGGAAGAAAATTCGTCACGACTGGGAATCTACACATCCTGTAGCTCCACCTCGATCGGCGGGGATGAATTCCGGAGAGCGCGTGCCGCGAGCGTGATTCGTCCTGCCTGGGATCAGCTGAGGTGCGGTATAATCCCAGGGATACTGGGCTGACGACAGAAAATTGTGAGAGCTTCAAGAGGAGCTGGGATGTCAGCAGTGTGTGTGTGTGTGTGGAGCACCCTCCTTCCCGTCGCTCAGCGTCCCCGTCTACAGTATGTGCAGGGAATGAAAGAAGACAGATCTCATCATCATGAAGCAATTGCATGAGCATCATCTGCGTGTGTATTGGCTTAAGGTGCGCCGTCGTGTCTACATAGCCACCCTTTCGCTGACGGCCGTCGGCGGGATAGGGCAGCAGAAAGTCTGCCGGCCAAGCTTGATATCTCAGTCGCGGAATCGTCTCACTCCCGTCTCAAGCGCGCTGATACGGGACATACTGCACCGGAGAGCTATGGACTGACCGACCGCAATGAGCGGTGCGCATGGGTGATGCACCCACCCATCACACCATGCGTTAGAACTTAGCCTTGGCTTGAATGAATGACGTTGTTACTACTCCCCAGCTCCATCGGTCGCCGGAAATGCCCCCCCGTTCCGACTTCTACCTCTGATCCTCGACAAGTGGATGTTTACTCTTCTGTGTCTCCCCACATCACATTACTGATGATGGATCCAGAGCGTAATGTCTAATTGTATTGTAGGCCGCAGGGGAATTCGGAGTCCCCCGCTGCGACTGCACTTTGTGTATGTTATCTCTCTGATGTGAAGGTGCTTAGGAACTGTTGGTTGGGCTATCTTACTTTTATGAACACAAACCCTGCATGCTCAGCCAGCATCCAAATATCCTTGGGCGCTCCGCAGGCTCCTCCTCCTCGCGCACATAGTTTGATCTTCGCGGCGTGAACGCGACGCATCGGGTAGATTGCTATTATCGACCGGATGTATGCGTTCTCCTCGATTTTGCTAGATCTTCCTGGGCTTTTTGAGGGATCACCAGGAGGCAAATCCAGAATGGATGTCCGGAAATGAGTATTGACAAAATAACATGCCCTTCGTCTCGAATGTCATGCAAATGTCTCGTCGGTGAGTTTGACATACCATACTTACTGTAACATTCTGTCGCTCATCATTCAGGCGTTCTGCTGATAATTGGGACGCGGACCGCATCATGAGTGGATACTCTGTCAGCACTAGTCTTCAAGGTCTAACTAAAGTGGGTTGCGTGTATAGCTTGGAGTTGCTCCATGGGGACAGGGGCCCAATGACACGATGACGTTCCGAAGAAGACATCGGCGATCGAGACGTATAAAGCCGCGCGTAGTCACTCCCTCACGAATCTGCCCTCCCCTGCATCACCATCCCACGCCATCCCACCCATGATCGACTTCCAGAGCCTCCCGCGCGACGAGATGGAGGCCATGTGCACCCCGCTGCACCTCATCCTCCCTCCCCCAACAACGACAGCGGCACGCGACCCCGCGGCGGCGCCCGGGCCGTCGTCCTCCGGCGGCGGCGCGCTGTACCTCGGCTCCATGGCCGCGGTCCTCGAGCCCGACACCCTGCGCGCGCACGGCATCACGCACATCGTCCAAGCGCTCGAAACGCCCTGGGCGCCGCAGCCCGAGATCGACGCCAGCGCCAGCGATGCCGTGCCGGGCGGCTCCGGGCGGACGAAGTTCGTGTACCACCGCATCGACATCGAGGACGACGCGTCCGCGCCGCTGCAGCCGCACCTGGAGGACGCGTGCGACTGGATACGGGACTCGTTGGAGGTGGGAAACGTCCTGGTGCATTGCCAGCAGGTGCGTCTGCTGCGGCTGGTTTTCTTCCCCTGCGGAAAGACATGCGTCATCCATTCACGGTCATCTCCACCCCGCTAGGGCGTCTCGCGCAGTCCGTCCCTTGTCATTGCGTACTGCATCCGCGAACGACACATGTCGTACGACGAGGCATTCGCAGCCGTCAAGAAGGCAAGGCGGTGTATCAAGCCGAATGCGGGGTTCGTCAGAACGCTGAGGGAGTGGGAGGGGACGTGCCGCGGTGTGGAGAAAGAGCAGATAAATCGAAAAGCAACTGAACGAAGGCGAGACGCTGTTGCCGAATCTCGACATGACGAAAGGACGGCCTCCGGGACCGCAAGTAGCACCCAGACATTGTCACCACACACGTCTTGAATGACAAGTTACACTCCTTGCTCCGAAAACACGATGAACCCGCTGCTTCAGCAGTCCGATTTCGCTATCAAGAACCAGTCATGAACCATCCATCGTCCAGCAGGGCAGATATCTCGCAAAGGCCTTGTAAACATGTCGAGAGTAAGGTTGCAAGGCATTTGTTGGGCCGGTAAATGCGAAAGAGAGCCGGGCTGAAAGGTATGCTGACCTAATCGCCATGCCCAAGACTGAGCTGTAAAGTATTTTCGCGATGGAGTAAGCTCGACTGGACATCCTGTCCAAGACAAACGTGTCTCTCCATGCCTTGATGTCCCGAGTACCACATCCTCTCCTCGAGGCAACGTTGCGCTATCTCGATCGAACTATGCACCGTCTCTGCACCGTCCATGTGCATATCGAGGAACGAAACGAGCGTTTGTAGCAATCTCAGCATCCGTTCCCATGTGCGCAATCCCTCCCGATAAACCATCTCAGGTTGTCAGCTTAGTCTGTCCCCGATCTCGAATTCGCAGTAGAGGTCAGGGCCGTGCGCGGCACCATGCGATACTTTCCCCTAGCGTCTCTGTGACTGGGTGCGGGGACGCGGTTTTCAAATATGCCAAGCATCCTGGGTTGTTGAGCATGCTATAAGTCCACAGAAAGCCGTTCTCGGCTTCGTTCCCTCCCAATAAACCATCTCAGGTCATCAGCTTAGTTTGCCCCCCACCTCGAAGTCGCAGCACGTGTTAGGACCGGGTATGGCATCACGCGATAGTTTCCAGCCCAGCGTCTCCAGGATCGGGTGCGGAGATGCAGTTTTCATATCGACCGAGCATCAGGATTGTCGAGCATGGCCAAGTCCACAGACAGTTGTTTCGGCTCCGTCCTAATCCCTTGCAAAGCATGACCTGGGCGCTACCGAAGTTCGTAGAGCGGAGGGATGATATTCTAGCCCCGATGGATCATTTCGCCAGCGGAGATGGACTGGGGTCGTGCGTTGTATCGGGGCGTGGTGTGGGCGTGCTTCGGAAGGCCCTCGCACCTTGAGCGGAAGGAAACGGAAACGATCCCCGGATCGCCTGGGTATCGCAGTCGAGTGAAGATCCGCCGTTCCTGGTCCAAGGATTGGATCCACACCGAGCAAATGCATGGGCTAATGGAGCTCGACGGATCGTCGATGTATCCACATATCTGTCGTGGTAGAGACCTTAGTTCTTCAAAACCGCGTGCATGTGCCTCCATTGACCCCTCACTCCACATGCATTCGCCCCATCCACTGATCAGCGGCGCAGTTCGCCAGTGTGGACAGCGCTCTGCGTCCATGAGCAGCCTCCAACACTTCCTTGCCTCCTCTTCGCCAGTGCACCAGCGGACCGCCATCGTCACTGGCGCCGGGCGCGGAATCGGGAAAGCCGTGGCTCTGCGTCTGGCGCGGGACGGCTACGACGTCACTGTCAACGACCTTCCTACCCAGCAGCCATCCATCGACACCACTGTCTCGGAGATCCGTGCCCTCGGTCGTGCCGCGCACGGTTTCGCAGCAGACGTGACGGACGCGTCCGCCGTCGACGCGCTCGTGGCCTCGTCCGTGCAAACCCTCGGCCCGCTATCCACCATGATCGCAAACGCAGGCATCGTCCAGGTGAGACCGCTGCTGGACACCTCAGCAGACGAGGTGCGGCACATGATGGACGTCAACCTCGTGGGTGTGCACAACTGCCACCGGTCCGCGGCGCGCCAGATCCTGGCGCAGGGCACCAAAGGGAAGCTGATCGCCGCCTCCAGCGTCGCGGCGTTCCGCTCGAGGAGCCTGCGCGGGACGTACTGCGCGTCCAAGTTCGCGGTGCGCGCGATGACGCAGGCGTGGGCGGAAGAGCTGGCGAAGCGCGGGATCACGGTGAACGCGTACGCGCCGGGGATCGTGGACACGTCGATGTGGAGGAAGATCGAGGCGGAGATGCGTGCGTATGGCGTGGGCGAGGCGGCGGCGGCGGCGGAGAGCGGCGGTGCTGTGCGGAAGACGGGGGAGGAGGCTACGTCGCTGCCGCGTTTGAGTGTCCCGGAGGACGTGGCCAACCTTGTGAGCTTCCTAGCAAGCGAAGAAGCGGATTGGATCACCGGGGAAACATATATTATGGATGGCGAGGCGTTCATGTAGGATTCAATACAGGTTCTGTTGAGGGCTAAGTAGTAGGCACAGCTCAAGAGGTGGCTGTGAGCACAATTTGTCATAGATTTCCACGATCATTCCACGATCACGTGAAAAACGCGAGGCTGCACGATCGGTTATGATAAGATTGTGCACATATGGTGATGACCCTTACACCGATCCATCAAACTTGATCTCTATTGCAACAGGGACGGACCAGCTTCAGATCAGCTGTCAAAAACGAGACACACGTGATATTCCGGTGATGCCGGTGTGATCGATTGTGATGGACTCCGGATACCACCTCGTAACTCAGTTCACGTTATATCTAAGACTTGTCAATATTCTTCAGTCAGGATGATTCGTACAGATAAGATAAATATTATCTTCTCAGCCAATCAATCTTGTACCGCAGAATCTTGACAGTTGATCAACTCTGCCACTCCTTGATCCTTGCGTTCTCTCCTGCTAACTCTCCACACAGGTTGCACCCTGACTGTCACTGGGAAATTCTTTGTTAAACCATGTCAACTTGAAACCCACAATGTATATATATTGTAATACTCTATCACTGTCAATTCCGCTTTGGGCTGTACACAATCTTGTGGTGAGATTACATCAAGTGCGGCGACTGAGTTTATACGTAGTGCCCAAGCTCATCATTGACATCACTGACACCGTGTTCTGAAATTCTTCTGGATCTCCTGAGCTCTTCACTTTCATCTTTCTCATCTGTTCCAATACGGAGCGACCTGCAGCCACGGCTCGGGGTAAAGGGGTCATGGTTCCTTCACCCGTTGGCCATTCCGCATAGTTCCTCCCCAGCTGGAAGAACTTACAGAAATCATTGCAAACATGCTGTAGCTCGAGGCTCATAAATCCAGAGAACACATTGCCGTCGCCATAGACACTGCCCAGTTCCCTTGTATGTTCATCAGCTTGAGCGTCTCGTAGAGACAAGTATACGTACTTGGCTGCCATTATTTGCGGGTCACTCAGTAGAGTGGTTCCACCTGAGAAATCAATATCAGAAAGACCGAGATGGCAGGTACACATAAGCAGACCTTGGTAATCGGAAAGAAAGATCTGCTTCCCAGATAGCATGTACTGGACGTGTTGGGTGAAACTCAGAAACGCTGCCCGGTTCTTGTCTTCTTTTGTTGTCTGTTGCAATGGGATTGTTGAGCCATTGCCGATGTACTTGTGGAAACGTCCCTCAACAGCTGGGTCAATATACTCCTCAATGAGGTAGACCTTTTTCTCCATTGACGACCCGTCCTTCGAAGGCAGCAAGCCCGAGCCAAGCCCGACCTTCACAAACTCCATGATTGGAATGTTGAGAGATACCGCCTCGGTTGGGTGCGACTCCAGAAACATGTCCATGAACCCATAGCAGGCAGTCAGCATCAGAGACGCTGTGATGGCAATTCGACCCTCCATATTCAGTCCCGTGGCCTGTCCTTTTGCATGCGGAGGCAACAAGAGCTGATCCTGTTGATAATACAGCTCCTTGACGGCAAGCTCGTACTGGCCATGGGTACCACGCAAAGGCCCTCTCGGAAAAAGCTCCAATCCGCACTGTGCACGTCGCATGATCTTGAAAGCACCCTTCTCATAGTTGCTTGGTCCAATGTCCAGAAGGATGGTCACCGTCAGCGGTGAATGACAGTAGTCCTCGAGGGCATCCCCAGTCTTTTTGGAGGCGGTGGTCAGCATTTGACGAAAGGTCAGATCAAACCGGAATTCATGGAAGGCGATCTGGACAGGGACACGCGACCCTGTATATACACATTTCAGTCGGCCATCTGCATGTCACAGATTGAAAACGTACACAGGCCCCTCATGTCTCTGCTTGACACGTGAACTTGAGCCCGCAGTCCCTTCACAAAGTCATCCATGCTCATTGCCTCTGTATCAGGATCCCGTTCGACGTTGGGACCATCAAGATTGGAGCCAGTCTTTTCAGAAAGTAACAAGTCATTCAACTTGAGTGCTCGTGTTGGGGGACGCAGGTCCACCTCATTAGAAGCAGAGACTGCACGTCGCTTTGCAGGAGGGGTCACGGTGGTAGCCGGTGCACTTTGGCCTATGGGAGGAGGAGTGGTCGGTCGATACAATGTGGTGTTGTTCAGAAACAGCGGTATGATAGCGGAGCTGTTCACCTGTAAGAGGTTCAAAGTCTGCGCTTTGTAATCAGGACAAGGAACTGACCGGCCCTTGCATTGCCTGGGTGGATTTCCCAGTAGTTTTGGTAATAGGGGGCAGCTCATCATCAGACGGTGCACGGCGGGCAGACCAATTCTAGCGTATAGTAGACGACATCAAAAACCATGACCACAGATTCGTACATTGCGTACCTCCTCTGGATTGGGATGTTGGTCCTGCTCCTTCATTGTACTGATTGAACGCTTTGCATGCATCTTGGATACGACCAAAAAAGGTGCATTAACCTGGTTGACTTCGTCTCTCTGTCTAGCCTTGAACTGGCAATAAACAAGACATCAGACATCTGTTTGACGACTCGATGCAACTGTCTCTCACCGATGCAAAGGTCTCTGGTGGACCATATTCTTCTGGACTAAGACCCGCTCGACTCTCCCATTCTATTCCAAAGGCGCTCTTTAGCCCGACAGTGAGTGTCTCTGCCTTTTTTGGTATCTTGTACGTCTGCCCATCCTTCAAAAATGCCGCAGATCCAACATTCGATCTCTTGGCCCTAGGCGCAGCCACTCCACCATTGTTTGCGTCTCCCTCAGCACGGTACATGGGAGAAATGAGGTCGTGATTGATGGTTTTGTCGTACAGGATCCAGGATTCATTTGGCTTCATCAACTGAACATCCTCGAGAGTGAGCACCAAGCCTTGTCCAAGCATTCTCTCGTTCCAGGCAATAAGAACGTTGTCAAACGCCTTCTTGATCAGATCAGAGTATCCGATTCGAATGTGAACTTCGATGCCGTTTGCCTGCCAGGTGTTATCAAAGGCACACAAAGACTGAGGTTTGCGTACCGTAAGAATTGTGACGGGCTTGTTTTTCTTGCTGCTCATGAACTGTAGCTGTACTTTCAGTCCGACGAGACATCCAACATCGGCAGCGGATGTCTTGTTCTGCATAGCAAGTCTCTCTGTGTTGTAGTGCTGGTGAGCGGCAGTGTAGCCCATGCCTCGATGCACGTTGGAATCAATCATGTGTTGTGCTTGCAGAGAACCCGGAGGATAAGATGCTCGTGGAGGTGGGGGAGGGATGTATAGGCCATGCGTGCCACCCTGGGCCCCCGGGACGTAAACGGTTGGACGACCACCTCCAGGTACAGCAGAGATGCCGAACACCGCTGACCCTACACCACCTAGTGCAGCAGGTACTGCTTGAACAATCTGACGTGTCGGATCTGTACAAGTGTTTATAAAAGTCAATCTCTATGTTGTTCAAAAACAATGCTTACCTCCGCGCTGCGCCTTTGATATCTCCTTCCGAATGGCATTCACATTGGCAAGATCAAGATGGTTCGGTCTGGACACTGGAGCAGCCCGTGTTGATGCGTCTGCCATAACTGTTGGCTGCGTCAGAATCAGTGTCAAGACTTGCATCACTCCGACCAACCTGATCTTCTCACTGTGGAGATTGTCCCAGGTGCTGCGTTGTAGCGCAGACAGCAATCAGGACAATACCATTTCCCACCCTCTTTGGGCGGAAGTTTGCGGACGTATTGCAGAATTCCATTGGGCCACTCTTTTCTGCGGTGCGGGCACCGCGAGCTTTCACATTCCCGAGTTCGACAGGTTGGCGTCAGGTGTGCTGCAATACCGGAGTCGCGGTTCATATTCATGTACATTGCGGGAGCGAATGCCAAGTGGAACGAATAAAAATTTGAAAGTGATGTGACTTGTGACAAACTACTATCGTCCATCTTACTCCTTGTCGTCTTCACTGTCTGATGAGATATTGCCGTACAATATGTGGTCGGTGTCATCTTCAGAGTCGTCTTCGTCTGGTGGTGGTTGCTCCATCTGATGCTCCTGAATGGGCATTTCAAACTCCATGTGGTCGTTGATGTTACTCATTTCAGTGAGCACTATCGGATCTTCAAGAACAAAGCTGCCTTCGAATAGACCCAAGAGATGATTGTACACATCCCAAAAGTTCTCGGACGTCACCACGGGCGAGCTCAGGTAGACGTAAAACACATTAGCCTGGTGTTGTTCTCAGAATTGTTTGTGAGACAATGAATCGACATACATATTTGCCAAACGTGTCAGGAACCAATTGGAAAACCGGATTTGAGGGAGGTGCCCATGTTGTCTCCATGTCGTCGAAGAGTTCAGGGGAAACAGGAATCTGCGAAGAGTATCAGGCCATGCAGAAAACGTCATTAGGAGCAGTCATATCGACCTTGAAGTCTTGAACATTATAATCCGCCGGCTTTGCACGGATGAGATCCGGGATTCCTTGAGGCAGGACCTTGTGAGGATCGTGACGACGCGGACTGGAGTTGAATCGCGCACGCCAGCTGTCCAATTCACTTTGGAGCCATGGAATTGCGAGCCATCTGAAAACAAGTCTGCAAAGTTGATGGTAGCTTACATTGACATACAATGTATGGACTCACTTATGCAGCCGGTTGTCGGTGTCATATAGATCATGGTCAACACCCCATTGCAGAATACTTTCAAAGCCTTCTGTAAAGGTCCGGCGCAGGATCAACCAGCCAATCTCTGGTTTGATGTTCGATCCCTTGTGCTTGTTGGTCCATCGATGTTGCAGGGTGCCTTGCAGAGCAGGATCGAGTGTTTGCCGCGTGGTGGTATGACAATACGCTATGCCAAAGTTCTCTGACCCAGGATCACTCTGACTTAGCATCGGGATACCTATAACAATTTTTACTGCGTCAGTGCGGTCTAGCATCATTTCATTTTGTAAGACCTTGCCCTGTAACGATCGTGCCACCTCGAGATAATAGCTCGTAATCAAGATGGGATTCCGATTGGTCCACCATATCTTCAGCCAGAGAATTGTCCCAGAACAAGGCTCAATGCCAATGTGGAGAAAGAGGTTGAATCGCTTCCACTTGTCGTGCTGATCAAACGTCCAGACATCATGCAGACCAGCGCAGTGAAACTGTTTTCTCTTGAATCTCCGTGCCTTGCGCTTCATAACCTGGTCTCCTTCGACAGTACGCAGAAATCTGGCTAGGTTCCCCCTGGACAAAGCATATCGAATCGGGTTATCAGTTTGTAAGCAAACACGCACTCCGAGACCTTGATCTTGTTCTGCTGCCGTATGAGAATGACCATGGCTCGTGCACCCATGGAGGGGAAGCGTGCCCGAATCTTGGTGTAGATGGGTTGAAGCCTCTCCCAAGTCATAGCCTCTTTTCGTGTTCCCTTCAGCTTCAGTCGTACACGGCGGCGCTTCACGGTGGTTTTACTAACAAAAGAGAATGAATCCGTGAAAACACATTCCCATTCTGAAGCCATACCTCAGACCGTAAACGTCACGGTCAAAGTGGTCCATGCAGTGATGAGCGATGACTGGATCTGAGAACCCAAAGCTCCAGTACAATTCAATGAGCGGCAGCAATTCATCGTCCGGCGCTGTCAGAACAGTCAAAACGTTTTCTTGGGTATGGATGGCGGTCCTACGACAGGGCAAGAATTGGTTTGACCCATCCCCATTGCTGCGACGTGTGGTGTCGGACATCAAGTCAAGATATTGTTTATCCTAGTTTGTTCCCACCATCTGATACGACCGCCGCAAGAGCTCATTAACAAGACGATCTTACATACAACAGATATACAAGTTGATACTGTGTACCGTGTATACATCATGACAATAATGTTGCCCAAATCGCATTAAACCGCCTGTACCTCACTGACTACTGCATCCAATAAACCCATACTTGACTCGACTGGGAATGGAAGCGCCGTTGGATCGACAGTGTTAGCACCAGAGCTCCATGTCAGATTTTTGACCAGGTCCAAGGCATACTGCTGAAGGCTCTGTGGCATACCAGCCTCTTCAAATCGATGTTCCCATCGCTCCACCTTGCACAAGAAATTCTCCACAAATATGGCTCCAAACCCTGTCGTCTCCTTATCGCGCTTTGTCATATGCTTGTCCAGGTGCCGATAGACAAGAAGAAAGGCTGCCCGAACACCAATCTTGTCCTTCATGGTCAGACTGAACCCAAGGCGGAGAAGGCCATTAAACGCGCCCAGAGAGCCATTCTCTGCAATCCAGGCTGCCATCTCCTCAGGAGATGGAGGCGTACAGACACCCAGAATGACGAGATTGTTAGCGCATTGCAAAGTGGTCAGGCCCTTATCCTTCATGCCGGTAATTTCAAGTGAAACAATGAAGTCGATCGCTTCTGTCCAGGAATGACGAACACCAGTAAAGCTTGCAGGATCCTTGCCCGCAAGTTTGCCAAGCCATCTCGACCATTTTGCAGACATGTCCGGTGCAAAGATCGGAGCGATGGTTTCGTCATTGGTCTTGCGCATTGCACCTCCTGTCCCGGGAATTGTGGGGTTGAGCTTGAGAGCATTAGAGGCCTGTCCCCAAACGTTAGGGTCGTTGTAGACTATGTAGCCAGGAATGCGCTTGAACAGTGCTTCTGGTGTTCGCGGATGGTCGGCAAGATACTGGATAACAATCGACTCATTCGACTGCTGGACTGCAGTGAACCGAGCAACACATTCAGAGCCAGATGCAAACCAAAAGTTACCCTGCTCCAGGAACTTCTGAGTGCCAAAGCCCTGACCGGTGACCATCCAGATACCAATATTCGAGAGACCAAGGGGCTCGGTGATGCGGTTATTGCGGAAATGGTACAGGACAAGCGTGGCATTGATGTTGCAAAGCCTCATGGTGTCAACGTGGTCGAGATTGGAATGGGATGCAGTGCCCATGCGAGGGTGGAGACCTGTGAGGATGCGATGGAGAACAATATCGGCAGGAGGATGGTTGTTAGACCGACACAGCCCTTCACGAATCAGAACAGCTGGTACAGCAAGCAGAGTGGGCATGCGGCTAGCATCCGGCATGAGAGAAGCAGCAGAGCTCTGAAGGATGGGGAGGTTGCGCGTTGTTCCCGATTGCCGAGTGCCCTTCCTAGAAAGGAAAGGCACATGATTGAGCAGATGCGGATTGAGAATCTGCTCATCAGTCAGAGGTCTCTTGTGCTCGAACTGCAATGAGCATCGATGAATGTGTGTCGCAATCTCTTGCATGTAGAAAGGGATATCCTCGTCGATTTCCAGCTGTGCGCATAACTCCGCACGAAAAGGTTCCAGTTTTTTATGCATAGCGAGCAGAGACTCAGCGGTGAGTATATCGGGCATGAACTTGGCATCGGAGGTGCCGGAGAGGAGGGAGGATGGACTGGTGAGGACTTGTTTGACAAGAGGTAGGGCGAGGACATCCTCTGACTGGCAGACGTCGACTAGGCAGTGGAGAAGAGCACCTCGAGAGATCAGCCGAGCATGAACATACTGAAGATCCTTGCGATGGCGCTTGGTAATCAGCAGCTCATCAATCTTGCTCATTGGCAAGACGATCATCTCGTGTGCAAGCAGGGTGTACAGAATACGCCGTCCCCCATCACGAACAGATTCGGGAGAGTTAGGAACAAACTTCATGAGCAACGGCTGTTGAAGCGATATTGGCATGTTTCCCCCCTTGGTCTTCTCAACAGGACGCAGTCCATATAGATCACGTGGCACCTGCGACAGGTTGGACGGTGGCCAATCCGGACTGGGACTCTGTGCATCAACTGCAACAAATTGAGTATGCAATGTTTGACGCAGAGCCTTCAACAACATACCTTCCCAAGGCTGAAACTGGAGAGGAGCAATCTTCACTGAGCCAGCACCCTTGGCTGCACGCTGTAGACAAACATGGTCGGCCCACAGCATCGCATGCTCAGTCAGCTTAGCAAATGCAGGGAAGTCCCGGCGCAGAGATGGTACACCATCTTTATAAGCTTCCACCAGAGCGTTGGCAAGGTGTCGGCCAGTATCCACCAGCCAATCGTAGATAAGAAGCATGATACGAGCAATATCCCACTGAGTTGCCCGGTTGATGATGGTCAGCTGCTTCCATAAGTTGTACAGCTCTGGTGCAGCTGCAACCGCAGCTTGCAGGCGCACAAGTTGTATAAGGGATGTCGAATTGTTGAGAGGGCTGCACTGGAGATAGCTCATAACCCAGTTGTTCGTTGTCCGCAAGTTATTCATGGTTTCGAGTGCGTGGGTGAGGTTGGGAAGGCGTGAGTAAGCAGAGCTTAGATCCATTGTAGAAAGACTGCGAAGGTCCTCCTCGAGGGCCTGAGTTGAGAACAGCGAGGCAATAACAGACATGCCAAGGCCATCTAGCCGTTCCTCCAAATGCAGTTTCTTCGGCTTTCTCTTGGAAACAGGGGCGGGTAAAGGATGTTCGTCATCATTGTCGTCTTCAGTGGCAGACTGCTTCCGCTTCTTTCCAGCTCGTGGTTTGCAGACAGGCTTCTTTACAGGCTTCTTCCCTTTGCCTGAGAGTGGGGCTGGCTCTTCATCAGAGCTAAGCTCTGTGAGGTCACTTTCGTTATTGAGATTAAGAGACGGCATAGAGTCCAGAGCTGGATTGGCAGCATCATCGATAGAAGGCCGGGCAGTGAGATCCGGGTCGCTGTTGTTGTCGACTTCCATAGATTCAAGGACTTCAAGACGATGTCGGCGTATGTATCCATGTAGGATCTCTTTGCTATGGCTGCAAATGTGTTAGAGCAAGATATAGGCAAATCACAGTGACTTGCGTGAAGTTTTCGTAAGGTAGCCAGGATTCATCGTCATCCCTATCAACAGGGTAGCCTTTCCACCGAACTAGCCACTTCTGAACACCGTCCTGCGTATGTGTCAGCTGGGTTATTTGGTCGATGTGTAAGGAAGACACTAACTATAACCCTGTGATCAACGATTGCCTCAATCTCGTACTCGCAATCGGAAACAGGAAGAGCTGACAATGCGGAAACCAAACTGGCTGATACAACGGTGTTAGTTTCTTGATCAGAGTTAAGCGTAGTGGTTGTGTTGTCCGTGTTGCGGCTCGGGATACTCATCAACATCGGAGAGGTGGTTAACATGGGGTTTGCATGCTGATCAGCGGCAAGGTGTTCACGTATGTGTTGCAGAGATTGAGAAGCGGGGATGTTCTTGCTGACAAACGCAAGTACAGATGAGGAGTGCGGCATATCAAATAGCCTAACAAGTATCAGGAATGTGCAACACAAGAAGCAAAGAAGGAATTACTCACCAAGGACTGGTTGACTCTACAACGGTGACATGGGTCTGCGTACCGCCTTTTGTTTGTACATCAAGAGTCCAATTCACCTGTCTAACATAAGATCATAATAGATAGAGAGCATCCATGGGACGCACCTGGCCATCAACAACTTGCCTAGAAATCACAGAGATGACACGAGCATATGGACATGGAACAGAAGATGGAGAGGGTGCGCTGGCATGGATTGGATACCTCTCCATGTCCAAATGTGAACCAGACCCCAGCTGGTGTTTCAAAGCGATGCAGGCCTGAACGGTCTGGTACATGTCCTTGGTCACACGAACCTGATAGCGGTTGCACAACAAGCGAAACCAGGTGTACAGTCGCCGCATGCGCATCACTTCCTCTGCCTGATGAGAGTTGCTGAGGTCGAAAGGAGGTGGATCAACGGTGTGATGCTCGCCAAGTGAATCCCTGTACTTGATCCGAGAGAAGAGATCTGCAGCAGTCATATCCAGCGTAAGCCCAGCATACTGCAGCGCATTGAGTGCACCCCACACGATCTCGCGACTGAGGCGAGTACGATGAGCATGGAGGCCCCCAAGGATGTGCTCCCCATGTTGAGCGTAGTTACGGGCATGGAGCTTGTGGGGAACGGGAGCTCCAAGGTTCATGAAGGTGACGGGAGGTGTGACAGACAACCCTGCTGTGCGTGAACAGGTGACCTCCGTGGCATAAGACACAAAGAAACAGCGATTTTCTGGGGCTGCGATGTTGAACAAGGCGGTGACTTCCTCTTTGCTGATCCAAGCCTCCCGGGCACCAGTGGGATATGAGGGTGCAAAGCCCGAGTGCAGATCATTCCCCCGAAAGATCAGGAAAAGAACAAGGACACCGGTTTCACGAACATACAAGCCGGTCCGCCCAAGCATGAAAGGTCCCGGATCCGAACCTACACAGATCTGAGTACAGCTATGGAGAAGGCTGAGCACATACCGGGAGGTATTTTGAGAAGAAGGATGCCCAGTGTCCAGGTTGCAGCGGCATCAGAGATATCGGTGTGCCATTTGCCTTGGAGTTGGCCAATGTACGCAGTGAGATTACCGGTACCTTGGGAAACATTGAGCTGGAGACCAGTTGCGCCAGCACCCAAGCCCCCGAACACAAAAATGTTGTTGTCATTGGTGGCAAATCGAATCATTTCCCACTCGAAGTGTGATAAGGAGCGAGGAAGAATGATCTGCTGAAGTTCGTGGATGATGCTGAGGACCTCCGAGATCATGGCGGTGGCCTCAGGTGTGTTGACTTGCACCGCAGGCTGAGCCGAGCCTTGACCTTGGCCCTTCTCGACGGTCGACGCAATGCTGAAGGAGCTGACAGAGCGGTCGTTGTGCTTCAGGACCAACGAGAAAAGCGAGCAAGTGCGTGGCTGAGCGGGATGGTTTGGATTGCTGCCGAAGGCGAACAGATAGAGCTGGTCGACCAAAACCGTGACACGGGCATGGACAGCCTGACCAAAGCAGGCTAGCGAGTCGACGGTGTGCGCGACAGCAACAGTCATGGTGTGGTTGACATTCCCGTCAATCGACTGCACATATGGCACACCAAGTGTCATGTGAATCATTCCGGGGATAGGGACGTCAATGTACAACCCATCGTCGTCAAAATTTGCCTTGATGTTCGGAGGGTCAATGGTGCACATGGCCCGCTGGCGAATCAAGGCCTTGTCGACAGTCCGGAAGTCAGAAATAAAGATAACACCACGCATATAGTGGGTGTCTTCCACTAGGTCGAATGTGGTTGCGCGCGGATACCAGTAGTCAGGAGGTGGTTCCACCGCTGTGGTAGGTTCAAGGACAGTGGGCAGAGTTGCATTGTATACAGAAGAGACAAGATCAGGTGGATAATACACGAATTCCTGAGGATCTGGCTCCAGTGGCTGAACACCGTCGAGGGGCATTCCATAGAAAAGTGGCCCTGGACCAGACAGAGATGACACTGCACCTGAATGATAAGTGACAAATATATGCAAGGAGCAGCCAGCAGACACACCGGTTGCCTCAGCCATTGACGTATGCGTCATTTCCTCCCTTATCTCGCTCCCCATCTCATCCTCGACACGCCGGTTCTGAAGTGCGGCCGACAGGATCTGGTTCATCGTGGTTTGCATCAGCAGAGGCTCCGAAACTCCGGGCGGTGGTGTAGTCATGGCTTGATGATTGGCTTCCATATGTCGAGTGTCCGAAGGGAGAAAGCAACGAGGAGTGAGAGGAGGAGCGTGCACAGCATTGTGGCTGTGGCTGTCAAGGAGTCAAACTTGCAGTTACTGAGGAGTTACCACAGCCACACCTTATCTAGTCTAATCTTGTACTCAGTAGTGACGAAGTCGGCTTATGTTTCAAAAGTTGGTACGGCATTATGCTGACAGAAAGGTATCAAGAGTCCTGCCTGTCAATCTTTCCGGCATCACGGCCATGCACGTGTTTTGAAGCTGGTCCGTCCCTGTGTCCATAGATCTCTTTCCTCGCACCGATCATAAAGTATGCAATATTTGGGACTTAGATGTTGTGATCTGATTCCAGCCTGAACAGAAATCATCGGGGCACAGAATTGGCGTAGTCAAGTTTCCGCGATGTCGGAAATACTCTTCGGGCCACTACTCCATGGTGCGATGGCCGAGTGGTTAAGGCGACAGATTCGAATGGATCTTATCTGTTTCGGTTTCCGAGCGCAGGTTCAAGTCCTGCTCGCGTCGGATAGGCCCGTTCGTTTTTCCAATCTTGTACTCTCTGGTCAAGGTACTTTTCACGCGCTCCAACAACCAAACTGCCCTTTACATTCGGACCAGTGCTTGCACGCTCCCGACTTGCTTCTCCCCTACACCGGGCAACCCCCTGCCGGGGACTTCGTTCACAGGCAAACCCTAACAAGCCTCATGCTTTCCCGTCATACCATGACCATCGAGGGAGTCTCAAGCTCAGGTCAAGAAAGATGAACCGGAGGAGCCGCATGCGAGACAAGAGCGGCGACGAAGTTCCTCTGGCGGATGATTATCATCCGATTATCGATCGTTCGACGAATCACGATGTTTGCATATGAGACATTGAAGATCTACCAGGGTACGTAGTTGTGCAATCCACCGCTCCCGCTACATTGGCCGAAAAATCACTGATCGTTGGGGAAATCAATGGCTCGATCCGTAACTTGTCTCTTAATCGACCTTGCAGTATGTATGTCGGATAGCTGGTCAGGTCGAAGAATATGAGCCCAGGACGGGGGTTCAATGAACTTGAAAAAGCACCCTGGATGCTTCTGTAAACATGAAATCCAGTCCATTGCAATACTACCTCGACCGCACCACGATAACTCCTGGCATCGGACATTCTACCAGAGCGCAGTCCATCCTACGCCCGGCTCGATTTGTGGACGATCCGGCGTACAGTATCACCCATCTGTGCCAAAGCAGTGCCCGCAAAGTCCCTGGTCTTATTGTCCAGGACACTGGATGTGGAGTGCCAGCCGCTCTTAGAAAACTTTTCACGTCGCTCGCTTCTGGCAGAGAGCCGATGCATCGCGGTCGAAAGCAGCCGCGTCGTGGATGAGTGGATGCTGTGTCTTGAGTGGATACGAACTGCCGGTAGGCGGCGGGTCAGACCATTTCATGCACCGCGATAGCGATTGGTAAAACGCTTACATATGCTCGGCAGCTGTTGCTCGCCAAACCGACGCATCGGAAGTCGAAACGGCGCGTATATCTTGAGTTGAGCTGCAGGGCCTTTGGCTCGTAGATCGCAGCGCTTCTGGCTCGTAGATCATAGCGCCCCAGATTGTGACAGAATTGGGATTATTGGTGAGTGCGGCAGTGGCGAAGAAGGACGCACCACGCTTGAGCTTGAAGTCGATCTAGGCCGCGCTCAGCAGAGGGGAGGTCATCAATCTGAGTGGGTTGTTAGCAGGACTGGGGTACCAGATAGCAAGAAGTGCAGCAATCGTGCGCGTAGATCTCTCAGGTCGGTACAGTGCGAGCGCCGGTGTCCGATCTTGCCCACCCAACGAGTGAAATTCGAAAATTTTCTCAACACTTGCCTTCCGCTGTCTGTGACCACGCCAGACAAGACATTTCCGGCGTTAGAAGCACGCATTCTTCCGGACAGCTCTTCGCTGGAAAGTTCTTGTGGAGCCTAAGTTGCGAGCACAGGCAAGGAAGGCTCGTTACTATGATTCCCGATAGCTGTTGCTGTCTGCGGTACTCCTCGGTCCGGTCCCGGTAAATCCTCTGGTTACCTGGCATATGTACAACGCATCGATATGCCCTGTTGAACCCGGTGGACAGTCACGAGGAGGACGCCGCGCTTTATTTTGGGACACAGGCATGCCGGGCCGTGGATGAGCTACAACCGCACCTCGTCTCTTCTTGCTTAGCCGTGGAGAAATCGGACGAGCAGCCCGGTGTCCTGTGTCCACGTTTACCGAAGATATCAGATGTGAAACAAAAATCATGCTTCAGGATTATCGATAAACCCCGCGGCAGCCTTCGCACCTAAGGAACATCCGCCGCGGAGGGTACCCCCCCCTGTTAGGGGTCAAAATTCGACTGATTTGGGTACCTAACAGGGGGGTACCCTCCGCACTTTTGGCCATCCTCCGCACCAAAACCTCCGCAAATGGGTGCCAAGCATCCGCAACAAGCCCTGTAACCAGCTGCGGATCCATCCGCTCCTGGCTCTCCCCGTGATCGTTGTGATGCCATCATGCAGGCCATCCACGGACCATGTCATGTGACTGTTCTCCAGTGCGGAACCCTCCGCATTTCTTGCTCTTTTATTTTTCAGTTCTAGCCTGTATATATTGCTTCACTGTGGACTTGAGCCTTCTGTAGCCAATGTATGCAAGTGCTTTTGACTCCCAAATGATTATAGCTGCTTCAAAGACCTCTATGTGCAGCAAACAAAGAGTGTTAGTTGGGCCAATTCAGTGCTTGGGCTGTGCGGATGCTCTGCATTGTTTCTGGATTGCTAAATTGGTTGCTCAGAACCTTAATGCGTAGGATAAACATAGAACGCAAGCTTCTCAGATGTTGCCAGGTTCCTTAGAACCCAGGTAGGCCTCTCCAGCACCCACAGCAGCTGAAACGTGCGCCATGCGGATGCATCCGCCACCTGCTGTCCAGGGCCAGATTGGGGCAGGCCCTGTTCAGTACAGGCTCTGCAGACAATTCCACTTGCACAGCTTCGCCTGCCATGATCAGTGCATGCAGCCAGGATCCTCCTGCATTGACAGCATGCTGTGCAGATGCATCCGCCCCTTGCGGTCCAGAGCCAGATTTCAGCATAGGCTCTGTGGATGGTTCAACTTGCACACCATCAGCTGCCAGGCTCCTTAGAACCCAGAGAGCCCTTGCCAGCACCCACAGCAGCTTAAAAGTGTGCCATGCAGATGCATCCGCCACCTGCTGTCCAGGGCCAGATTGGGGCAGGCCCTGCTCAGCACAGGCTCTGTGGACAGTTTAAATTACAGACAATCACCTACTATGATTGGTGCATGCAGCCAGGCTCCTCTCACATTGACAGCAGCTTGAGAGCATGCTGTGCAGATGCATCCGCCACCTGCTGTCCAGGGCCAGATTGGGGCAGGCTCTGCTTGGCACAGGCTTTGTAGACAGTTAAAATTGCACACTGTCAGCTGCTATAGTCGGTGCATGCAGCCAGTATCCTCCTGCATCAACCACAGCTTGAATATGTGCTGTGCGGATGCATCCGCCCCCTGCGGTCCAGAGCCAGATTTCAGCACAGGCCCTGCAGACTCTTTGGCCTGGGGTCGCCCTCTGCATCAGAGCTCTGCAGATCCAGCCCAATCATCTGCATGCAGGCTCTAAAAACATCTGCTGATCCATCCGCATCTCATTTTACTGGTGATGCCCTTGATGGCATCATTTTGGTGCATTGCAGATGGTCCTTGAACATCCGCACAGGGATTTGATGGGTCCTGCGGATCCATCTGCACTCAAAATAATCTTTGCAGGCCCTGCTTCTTCTATGCGAATGGCCTGAAGAGCCTCTGAAACATTGTTCATCTGGTGCACAAATGGATCTGCACATTGGAATGGGGGCTGTGGCTCTGTCCCACAAGCCAATCTTATGCAGCATATATCTACTGACATTTTAGCCAGTGCACCGAGCTCCAGAGGCTCTGGGGACATCCAGAGCACACAAGGAAATGAACTGCTGATGCATCTTCAGCCAAATTGGCCAGCTAAATATGTGGCTGCTGCCCAGACAGCCCAAATACATTACATCACTTGAATGAATAATGCTATTGACCAATACAATTCATTACACAATTTCTGGAAGGGATATTGCATGGAATTTGATATGTAAGCAAGCCAAACAGTGATTCTCCTATCTGCGGATGCTATTTCAACCATCCGCAGAAGCATCTGCAGCAGCTAGTGACATGGTTGCGGATGTGTCACATGACCCTCCGCAGTCTCTTTGTGGGACATATCTGCTCAATATAGCCTCAATGGATGTCCTCTGTCTCTGCAGCATGTATCTAAGATGTCTTTTTTGCTACCTGCATAGTTCTATCAACAATAGGAAATTTATCTGTCCTGCACAGGATTTTAAATTCTTTGCACCATAATTGTTGCTCATATACAGGTCGGATAAGCTCAGCTGTCCCACTAGGGAATCGAAACTTGTCAGAGACAAGCTATAAGCCAGCAGACACTGAACCTGGAAAGAACCTATCTGTACAATATAAAAAAAGTGAATTGAACATGATTCATATTTCAAGCTTTACACATTCATACATGTCTTGCAATTCAAGGGCCAAGACTTTAAGACACAGCATTCAATGTTTTGAGCTCAAAAAAGTCTCTTAGATCAAAAATATTTTCGATTTTGGTCAATGAGCAGGTTGAGCTCAGTACTACCATAGGAAACTGTGTTCAGGTCATGGCACTTTTCTGCATGACAAAAATATTTTCCTCAGTGAGCTGAATTGAGTTTATATTCGAGATGGGGCATATCTAAATAGCATCTGAACAAATTCTGAGCAGGATCGCAGCATCATAGCTTTCTTCAGTGCAAGTTTGAATGATCCGCAGATGCATCCGCAAGATCAACATTTCAAAATTGTGTCCCTGTGAAGGCTATGATGCTGCGATCCTGCTCAGAATTTGTTCAGATGCTATTTAGATATGCCCCATCTCGAATATAAACTCAATTCAGCTCACTGAGGAAAATATTTTTGTCATGCAGAAAAGTGCCATGACCTGAACACAGTTTCCTATGGTAGTACTGAGCTCAACCTGCTCATTGACCAAAATCGAAAATATTTTTGATCTAAGAGACTTTTTTGAGCTCAAAACATTGAATGCTGTGTCTTAAAGTCTTGGCCCTTGAATTGCAAGACATGTATGCGAGTCCGTTGCTCCGGCATGGCGGCCAGGATTGCCGGTCCGTGCTTTGAGCCGATTTTGTGACCTGCACGGAGTGCGACCTTGGGCGATTTGTTTACAGGGGAAAAGGGATTAATGTCGCTGCTAACAACAGAGGGAAGAGCGCAGGGTCAACTGCGGAAGGCAGCTGACTGTGATTCCACTGACTGAGAGACAAGGACCCGGACCTACGTCCTGAAAGCTAGATGTTACAGAAAACTTGTTATTGATGTCTGAAATCCTATGACAACAGCAACACAGAGCATCACGGCAGATATACAACAGGAAAGCTGGGACGAAACAATCGAGAGCACAGATCTTGTTTGTTTACGCAGATGAAGTCGGCGGAGCAGACTCCTTCTCCTTGTCCTTGGCCGAGGCAGCGACATTTGCCTCGTCCAATGGGGCGAGCACCTGCGGATGGTCGACGACCTTGCCGACGATATCATACCGCAGTCTGTCTCGCCAGTCAAACTTCCGGGAAACTTCACCAGAGATAAATGGCGCGACGCACGTGAAAAAGTTGTACCAATCGTCCAGAACACCTCGGTCCGCTTCATTTAGCCCGCTGTAATCCGGCACGGCGTCCTCCTCCTTCAGACTCGACATCCCCATCCCCTTCGAGGGGTCCTTCCCCGCGAAGACGTTGTACGAGCGCCCGAGGCCGTAGACTTCGGCTTTGCGTGTGACGTCGAATACCGTGCCTACACACCCACCCACACACACATATAAGGACGAGCTGATGATCTAATGCGGACAGTGGACGGACGGACCCTTGACAGAGACGTAGATCGGCTTGCTTTCGTCGCGCCCGTCGAACTGTCGCAGATCCTCGAGCGTGTACGGATCGTCCTTGGGCGGGGCGAGATCGTCGCGGGGCGGCTGCATGATGAGCGCAGGATGACAGACGCGTATACGCCGACATCACATGCTCTGCTGACGCGGCACGAGTGTGGCGGTGCCGTTCATGCGCCGCGCAGTAGGTCGTCTATCGGATCTGATCCCGGCGGCGCGCCGCATCAAATGGGTGCGCTGTGGGTGTAGAATGATGAGTAGTTCTCCCGAGTAAATCTTATTCGTGCCTGCCGGGATCTTCCGATGGGTTTTCCCTTATAGAACCCGCTGCCGGCGTTGCCGAGGGTAGAATTATCATGCAGCAGGGTTCGATGGTATGGTTCGGATGCGGGGCGCGCGCCATGGAGTATCATTAGTCAATATACGAGTGTCAATTTAATCTATATTCCTGCCACTTTGAAGCAGAAATGTGGCAACTACACTGGTCTCCAATAATCCCAATCGTAATGCTTCACCCGTGAGTTCCAGCGTCACCCAGTCCCTTCCCCGGGATATCCTCCCGAGTATCTGCTCAGGAGAGTTATAGTAGATCTACGGAATTGGGGCAAAATCAGCCAGTGGGAAAGTAGGAGCAGAATAGGCGATGAACTGACCCAAATGTAATTGTCACGGGGTACGAATAAAAGTGCAGAACCGTCTGCCCAGGTGAAACTCCGATATCTGTAGGACGTCAAGGGAGATGCAGCGTGAGCGCAGAGGGTACATACGACCGGTCATGAGAAAGCGATAATAGACTCGAGGTGGGCTGTCTCGCCGCCACGCCTTGAATCTCCACGTCTGGATGTTGATTCCACTGCACCAACGAGAATGTGCCACCGGTTGCGTTCTGGAAGACCGAAACCCCCGCCATGGGCGCGTCTGTGATGATTCTGAAATAGGCTGTCGCTTGGGGACCCATCACTGTGCAGTTCATGATCGATGGGTTGAACGATGTGAAGCGGAAGGTGAAAAAAGTCGGTAGTGCGCTCGCTGCAGATGGCAGCGCGCCGAACACCGAGGGTGGTGCTGAGGCGCCGCTCGGATGGTTCCAGTCTTGGGCGTAGGGATTGAGCATTTCCGTGTCGCTGGGGAGGGCGAAAGTGGGGTCTGACGAGTCCATTCGGAGGCACCCGCTGAAATACAACTCGAGGCCCCCGATGAGCCTGGAAGCCGTACCGCCTGTAGCTTTCTAACGCTGGAGGTGCTCAAAGCGCCCACGTGTATGTCACTATGCGCACAAGTGAGTATTTGGGTTTGCGATTCGAGCCAAGCGCCGTCTGGTCTCGCAGTGCCGAAACGCACCGACTGGGCGGCTATCAGCAGACTAAAGTCATGCTGGGCCGTCCTCCAAGCATGTCTGCGGATGCACTGCTCGTTCTGGCCATCTGTTTCCCGGGTCGGAGGGCGATTGACTTCGGGGACGCCGGAGAGTGCGATATTATCATGCACGGCACAGCCTTCGGCTAGCTACAAAATGGATCCCTGGCCAATGCAGAATTGACCGTTCCTGACGCTCCGAACCTTTTGGGAAGTGGCTCTCTCGATCCCTGAGTAGGATGTCATGCACGAATTCATGAATGGGTCCGGTGCTCGTTGACTCCAGGGTCTTCGGCGCTAAAGTCTGCCCGACGAGCCCGACCACTCGAGAGTGCTTTCACCGCATCTGCAGCGGTCGAGCATGGAAACAGATTTGAAACGGAACAGACGTGTAGGCAAGAGGTGCTGATGGACGAGCTCTGGTGCATGAGCGGGAGGGCGACGGCGAGGAGAGATCCGGAATCAAAAGGCATGGGCGCTCGGAGCAGTTATCCGCGCTCACCGGCAGCTGAGAGTGCCCGAGTGCCGTGGAGGGACCGCGACGATGGAGACGGCGTTGACCGAGGAAATCGGCGTTTACAACGGGCGGATCAGCCCAGTCCGGCCCTCAGACGCGGTGCCACCGCAGTGCAAGGCTCCGGAACGACGCGGACCAGACGACCCGGTCATTTCAGCGGTTCCTTGAGCTCAACACCAAGGTGCCCGTTTGGGAAACGTGTATAATGCTCGCTAGTAGATGAGCCACGAGCCGGCCATGCGTTTCATAGCTAGGCGCGCTGTCTGCTGCGCAGAGCCCATGCGTAGAAGCCCTGGGACGTCTGGCGACCGCGAAGCATTCCGAATCGGGAAATTGCCACAGAAACGCATCTGGAGGGCCGGACGGGCGTCGTCATCCGGCAATCATTCCGCCACAACAGCTTTTTGCCCCATGATCTTCCCCAAGTTTGCGCGCCGGTAGCCAATCCTGTTCCGTGCCATCCAGTTCCGACAGATATTTTCAGACACCGGTAAAACTATGCCTGACTCAGGGTGCTCACGTCACGCCATTCTCCGGGTTTCTACGCCAATTCCGACGGAATCCAGAGGAGCAGGAAGAGACCGGTTCAGGGAGAAATCGGGCGACGACTGGAGGAGCTTCGACAAGGAAGAGGATTAAAGCTTCCATCTATCTCGCTGCTATCATAGTCGCCGGTGAGAATTCGTGGATCGTTTCAGATGGGTGTGCTGGCTGGAATTGGGCGAGGATGGCAGCTCATTACGTAACCGATCGTGACGTAGACTGAATGCCAAAAATGCCCTCGGTCTCAACATCAGCCGTAAAACCGCGAGCGAGAACGGATTCGGCTTCTAGTCGTCGTACATAAAAGAATGTCAGCCACTCTCATCGGCAATACCGCCCCCCACCCGAGCACCGATGGACCCCTCTGCCCACGATAAAGCCCACCTCAGGCGCGGCAAGGCCTGCTATCACTGTCGAATCAGGAAAACGGTGTGTACGAGCCTCGGTCCTTTTTGCCCCTATGATGACCAAGATCCCAGAGATGCGACGGTGCCCTCCCGTCGTGCGGGCCCTGTGTGCGTGCAGGATGCGAGGACGATTGCGAATACCTCCACATCGGCGAGAAGGCGCGGGTGCAGATCATCGAGGAGCGGATACTGGAGGTGGAGGCCAAAATACGACGATATACGAAAGGCAAGCGTCAATCTACATTGAAGGGCAAGGAGAAGGCCCGAGCCGCCTCTCCATCGGCCTCCTCGTCGTCCTCGTCCTCTGCTTCACTATCTACGGCGACCTCCGCATCGTCGCGCAGCTCGTCATCGATGTTGTCCTCGCCCTCTACAAGCTCTTCGGTGTCTTCCCTCCAATCTCAGAGCCCCGCCTCGTTGTCTCCGACCTGCCCTTCCCCCTGCCTGTCCCCAGATTTGACTGGGTCCGTCCCGCCAGAAGCGTTCGCCACAGTGATTCCTCTAGATGTAATACATCTGTTGTGCGTCGCGGCCCTTCCCCGCGTACGGTTTGTTCGCTGACCTCGATGCAGCTCGGACACTTTCTATGATCACGCGACCGACTTTGGCTTCTTTCTGGACGAGGCCGTGATACAGTTCCGCCCTGCTGGCGATCGCCCCAGCTGCATGAGCCCGGCCCTCACAGCCACGATCTATCTGCTCTCGGCGCACCTCTCGGCACATCCGAGCGTGGCCAAACTGGAGTCCTTCCTCCTCAAGACGGCGTGCAATCTCTTACCGAAGGAGCTTGCGACACCGGGTGCCAACGTCGCTGAGATCCTGCAGGCGGAGCTACTGCTCGCTCAGTATTTCTTTGCGCTGGGCCGCAACACCGAAGCGCGGTTCCACATGTCCGTCGGCTCTGGTATCGCGTTTGGCTGTGGGCTGCCCGATAAGGTGTGTCCTGGGCTCGATGCAATAAGATCACGGGCAGCCTATCTATTCCTGCTATCCCTCGATAACGCATGGTCTGCGGCACTTGGCTACACCCCTCACAAGCCGCTCTCTGCAGTGCTCCATGGCTCTAACTGCGATGTCATGAACAGTATGTGGACGATGTCCGGGTTTCCGGGGCAACCTGTCCTGGTCACCAAGTCCGTGACGCTCTGGCAGGGCGTAGAGGCCTTGATTACCAGTACGTGCTGTGTCATCAATTCACCGCCCGCTTTAGTCGCTCATATCACCTGGTAGCACCCATGCCATTCGGCGATCTCCTCGAGCGATCGGAAAATCTGGAGAAGCTGATTCAGCTGTGGTTACTTGAGCTGGATTACTACGAGACAGAAACCCGGGACACTGGCGCGCTGAGCCGTGTGCTTCTCTTTGCGGGAACCGTCACGCACTACGCGTTCATGAAGCTGCGCAGATTGCTGTGGGCCCGCGAGACACCGGAAGACCACTTGCATTCCGCCTGTGCGATTCTGCGCAAAATCATCGCCGCGGTCGAAAAGGGGCAAATCACGTACTTGAACCCATTGATGGGCGTGAGTTCTGCTTTTCCCTGTCGTCGGTTACTTGATCTGACTGCCTCGCGTAGAAAATTTGGTACGGTGTCTACGAGCTCGTGTCGCACGAGATCCGCCAGCGAGGGCCGCTTGGTGAGGACACCGCCGAGCTGGCGATGACCCTGCGCTCCGGGCTTGTCGCCATTTCCAGTCTATCTGACACCTGTTGCTTTGCGCGGGAGTTTTCAGTCCTGCATGTACCATCATAATTTCCGCTTAGAGGATATTAGTATAGTGTCTCTGCTTCTGCTGTATGTAACATAGTGTAGAACTGATTTTCTTTGTTCCTGTAAGTGCTAGACTCAGAAGGCCCTTCCTTTCGCGCTTGCTTATCACCTGGATTTGATGCCTGAGCCTCAGGCGGCGGCTGGAATACCGGCTCGGTTCTCCGACACCGCTCTCTCTGCCTCCGGATTCGCAACCTTACACATCACATCACACGCGTGGAAAGCAATCTCAGATCTGGCCCAAGGACTGACCTTGACAAGACATGACCTTCGATCGACCGCTTACTAGATGCCGACGCTGACAATCCCTTGGAACGGAGAATCACAGTGGTAACAACAGGGTCCTGACAGGCGTGGGGAGTCCATCTCCGCGCAAAGCAGGCATCAGATGGAGTGCTTGCCTAGCGACTGGAGCGGTCGGATTTCTATGAACGTTGTGCAGGATATTCTGTGCAGCAGCAGGTCGAGCTGGGGGCGCGTTGTGAATCAGCCAGCCATGACTTCCAGCGAGCCCTGCTAAATTCCCAGTGAGATTTTGGGTGGTGGAAACTCCACCACTGTATCCGCCGTCCCGAATGTTCCGAATGCCGGGCTTTCATCTCCGACCTCATTCCGGGGAATTCAAGCAAGCGATTTTCAAGGAACTTGTGCTACTAGGAACTCGAAAATCTCCCGGTTGAGGTAATTTCGACGCTCCTTTGTCTAGCTCCCTAGACTTTCGAGTGTTGGGCCCGTCCATTCAAGTCGATACGTAGAGCATACGAATTTTCTAGGAATCTTCAAGTCACCCATTTGGTCCAGTAGAAGAAAGGATCGAATCGCTCGGCCTGGATGGAACCATGCCTTGGCGAGAGAGTGCTATTCGCGAAGTGCAGTCGGTGCCTTGCGATGGGAGAATGCCAAATTTTCCGCTGCCTATTCCGCTGCCGAGGGGGAATCTGGGCTCTGGGTCGGGCCTGAATGCCCGATGTCCTTCTTCATTGTCTATTGTTTTGAGCACCCGATACAGGATGAGGGATGATAATCTGGGCGTTTCTGGAATGGAAAATGAGTCCATTGAGCCTGGATATTGCATCAACTCTACGCATTCGGCAGGAAGTTTGGAACTTGGTGTAAAGGCCAGAAAATCCCAAATAGGTCATGTTTTTCTATGATTCAGACTAGCAGAAATTCAGCACCAGGAAGGCTCTCATCACAACTTTTGGGGCAAAGGGGTGGGGCAGTTTTGACCCCAAAATTTATTTGGAGGTCTGAACGGAAGCCCAGCTCATTACCTATACAGAGGGGCCCCAAAAACCCATCGGAAACGGAATGTAGAATCATTTCGTCCTCTGCTGAAGAGCTGTCTTCGTAAGCGGATGCTCTTCCGGTCTTGCGCTAATGAATTTGTGATCTGGAATGAGTCATCGGTCTCGAGCCCCATCAGGCTTAAAATGGGGTGGATCGGGTCCGACACTGCCACTGATTAATTACGGCCGTGGCCACGCAAGAACACGTAAATCATGTGGCGATTGCTCTCACGTGACCCCTCCCATCCGGGGTGAATTCCAGCATTCTATAACTTCTTCTTCCCGTTCCAGGGCGACTAAGAAAATGATTTCCAGTCTCGTCTCACCGAGCGAAGAAGTCTTAAGGATCATTCTATCACCGCAGAGATGTTGATGCTGTGACAGCATGGACAGGGCACAGCAGATTTCAATAGGTTGGTGATCGTTGAAAGACCTGGTTATCAATACCTACTCGGTCTCCAGTCGCCTAGTAGGCGGTTCTGCCGTTCGGTGAGCGTTCCAGGGCTATCTCAGTCACGAGGAAGACAAGCGAATGTGTTTCAGTCATTTTCTGGTGGCTCGAAATGATTTCGGGCAGCGTGAGTGAATGGCAATGCTAGCCGTAGATCGTCTTATCAATTGACCGAATTCGGCGCCGAATTCGAGACAAAAGAAGCATTGGCTCCCTCTGATCGAAACCGCCCAATGCATGGAAATCTGCCCATAACCTGGCAGGCGGGCCGCATCGACTTCACAATTCGCCGACTCAACGTGCCCTCCACGGGCTCCGCCTTTTTTTTTTAGCTCGAGCTTTCGCGAGTCTCCGTCGGAGTCTCTGGCACTCCGCCCCATCATGACGTAAAATCTAATCGAACAAACCCTGGTCCTTCGCCACAGACACATGTGCTATTGCGTGGATAGCTGACGGTGACACTGCGGCAAAGACCCGCGCTTGCGCCAGCCGGATGTTTTAACGGCTCGCGGTGAAGCCACAGACACGTGTACTCGCATCTTTTGCAGATAGTGGATATGGCAGTGCTCGGAAATACCTCAGTCTTCTGTCCTTGACGCCTAGCATGAATACGTTACGGTTAATCCACTGTCAGTCAGCAGGAGGACGAGGACACACGGAGAAAGTGCAATGATAATCGTGTTTTCTGGCTGAGTGAGATCACCGGCCCAGGGTAACTGGCTGCAATGTCGACATTGTCCTCGCGCAACCAATAGGAGTCGAGGCCGTCTGGGGATTGGCCTTTGGCCCGCGGTCGGTCCGAGAGCCCTGATGCACGGGAATCTCCGCGCAAAGGAGGCATATGTGAGTGCAGCGAAACGCCCCAGAAGGAAAGCACACCTGGATGGGGGTAAAGCCTCCGCAAGTGTTCCGTTTGAGCGGAACCGGTGGGGTTCCCCTTTGAGCTGACCGAGGGGAAGTATGAAGAAACTCGGCAAGGCCACAAGGCGAGCGAAGCAGCCAGGGCTGTGATTTGTTTGGCGGGGAGAATCGAATCTGTCTCTCGAGTCATCGGCGACCTCGGGATCGACGGGAGGCAAGTCCCGTGAGCACCTGGACCAAGTTACCGAGGTACAGCAGACTCATATCGGCGGATTCCGGTGCGGAACGACGCCCCGGACATGCTGGAGATCGATTCGATAGATAGACGGATCTGGGGTCGCAGTTCAGCTGCTTAGCGGTTGCTTTGCAGAGAATTTGGGAACAAGTTCCACCATACTTTACAGAAGATCCAGATTGGACATGTGATGCGAAACCCTGCATGGGAAGCACTGCTGATCAGAATATGCTGGCAGACCTCCCACTTTCTGCGCACTAAAGCCTTCTGTAGAGCAAGGCATGAGGGAGGAGAAGCCGCAGGGAATCTATCATTAATGAGTTCGTTCGGGGGAAGTCGAAACAACATGCAGAGCAGAATGACCAGTCGCGATATGACGACGGTGTCCCAGGCACAAAAGTGCCGTCGGTGCATGTCGAGCATTCACAACACAAGAAAAGAGTCCCCAAGAACAAGATTTATAGGAGCTTGCGGATATTCACGCCTTCAGCGCATGTGTGGAATGTAGACAATGAGCCTCTAGCCCGACGGCCGGTGCATTACTGTCCGGAAATGGAAAAGGGCCTGGCTGATTGCTGAGAGAGAACCAAGACACACAAATGAGAATTCAGAGGAGGGATGCCTTCCACATACTGGATCTCTCTGAAAAGCGAAAGCTCAAGGACCCAGGAAAACTTGTAGAGCCCTGGTGGGATGAGTGACGATGGAAGGTGACTGCCCGTCACAGTCACCGTGACTGTGACACGGTGTGCGGGGAACCCCACAATGCTTACCCGATCTTTGCGCAGAGCGGTCCGAATTCTACATTCCAACCCTCACGCTCGCTGCGTCTCCAGCAAAGTCTTGCGTACATTCAAGCTCGCCGATATCGGGGAGGGCATCACGGAATGCGAAGTCATACGATGGGCCGTTGCTCCGCAATCGAGCGTGGGCATCTTCGATCCGCTGTGTGAAGTGCAGAGTGACAAGGCGAGCGTGGAGATCACTAGCCCATTTGAAGGGATTGTGAAAGAGCTGCTTGTCAAGGAGGGCGAGGTTGCGCGTGTCGGGCAGGGTTTGTGCCAGATCGAAGTCGAGGAAGAAGCGCAGGAGGAGCGGAGCTTAACCGGCGACGACGCGCCACGGAATAACGAGGAGTCGGTAGCCAAAACAGAGGCGCAACACAATTCGCTTGATGAATCTGTCGAAGCCCAGACACCTCGGACGTTGCCACCTCAGCAAGCCGCACGACGCCCTCACCCGCTGGATCCCACCCAGCAATCCGAGAAACCCAAGAGCAGCGCCGAAGTTCTGGCTCCGCCCTCAGTGAGACATTACGCCCGTTCTCGAGGCGTCGATCTTGCCTACCTGGTGCCGGGAAGCGGCAAAGATGGTCGCATCGAGAAGGCAGATGTTGACTCGTACCTCTCTGCTTCTGCGCCCTCGCCAACTTCTGTCTCGTACGATGGACAAGACATCACCGTTGAGCTGGGAAGAACGCGTAATGCCATGTGGAAAGCGATGATTAAGGTAGGCCGGATCTTGCTCATGCTTCATACAATCTCACCGTCTCATCACATAGAGCCTCGAGATCCCCACATTTGGGTATTCAACGTCTCTTGATATCACAGAGCTGCATGCGCTGCTACAAGTCCTCAATCTGCACATCCCAGCCCACTTCCTTCCTGCCTCGGATACAAAATCCAAGTTTGACCCGGCCAATGCTTTGGGTGTTGCGGTGCCTACGACACCCGATATTCCAGAGACTGGGAGGTTCACCCGGATGACATACCTGCCGTTTTTGCTCAAGACCTTGGCGCGGACCATGATGGATTGGCCGCTCTTCCGCGCGTCCATCACTCCGAATGCGGCTAAACCGTCCCTTACTATCCGGTCTCACGCCGATATTGCGCTCGCCCTGGCGACACCGACGGGCTTATATACTCCTTTACTCCGTGCTGCCGACACACAATCGGTGTACTCTCTGGCCAGCACTGTGACACATCTCGCGGCATTGGGCCGACGCACTCCTTCCGGCCTGACCGCTGCTCATCTCGGCTCTGGCACAGTGAGTGTGAGCAACGTTGGAGCAGCTGGGAAAGGAGAAGGCGCGTCTCCGGTCCTCGTGCCAAGTGGAGGATTGGCCATCGTTGCTCTCGGTCGAGCTGAGTGGATCTGGGACGTGTCGGAGACTTATTGGGACGAAAGCAGGGGTCTGAAAGGTGCTAGGAGGCTGCGCCTGCCCGTATCTTGGACTGCGGATCATCGAGTCGTTGAAGGTGCCGAGCTTGCTGCTTTCGTCGAGGCTTGGAGAGCATGGGTGGAGGCTCCCGCAAGAATGATTGGTGAAGGACTGTGAAACCGGAATGTCCTCATTTGTAACAACATCACTGCATTTAGCTATCGAACGCTTGCTTTCTGTTGAGCTGGTTGGTAGTACATACTTCGGCCAGGGATTCAATCTTATCGGATTGGGTCAATACGAGCCGGCTGCTACGTCGACACTTTCCATGATAGCAGCACCAGAAGATCTTTAGTAGGCCCATGAGTGAAACAGACTAGCATACAAACGGCAGACTGACGTTCCAATGCGCTCGGCCCCTGCCTTGAACATCTCCACACACTTTTCAAAGCTGCGAATTCCTGCGGATGCTTTCACCTTCACACCCTCCTTGAACGCGACGGTCTTGCGCATCAACAAGACATCCCCGGCAGTAGCACCTCCGCCCAGGAAACCAGTGCATGTTTTGACGAAGGCGGCACCGGCATCGGCTGCTAGGAATGAGGCAGCGATCTTCTCCTCGTCCGAGAGAAAGACGGTCTCGAGGATCACCTTGACGGGAACAGCCGCTGAAACGACGACGGCCCGGATATCGTCATGAACGAGGCCATAGTCTCCGGATTTGAGGGCACCGATGTTGACCACCATGTCGATTTCATGGGCACCGTGCTTGACGGCGTCGGCGGCCTCACTGTGCGATTATCAGAGAAGGCGGTGGTGCATGAACTCTACGGACAATGCTTTGGATGCAGACGTTCCTGCGCCAAGCAGGAATCCAATCACAGCGCATGTGAGGACGCCGCTTCCCTCTAGATTCTTTGACACGCGACCGACATTGGCCCCATTGACGCAGCACGACTAGGACGACGATGGTCGGTATCCCTTAGGATGTACGAGCAATGGGTGAGACCTTGAATTTGTATTTGATCGCCTGTGCGCACAACGAGTCGATCTGTGCTAGCGTGGCCTCCGGCTTCAGCAAGGTGTGGTCGATCCCGGAAGCGAAGACGGAGTCCGGTGAGGCGATCGATGAGAACTCCGTAGTTGGCACTATGAAATTGGTGTCGGCGAGGACCTCCGAAATCTTAGCGGAGACCAGAGGAGTCCAGTGTGTGGTCGAGGAGGCCATGGTAGGATTGTGTGAATGTGGACAATCGACCGGAAGATTCACACGTGATAACTCCTTACGATCACGTGGAACTTTCTGGATTCTTCCATCACCCTCTCCACTTGACTGCAAGGCATTTAAAGGGTTGGGCGCGCATCTTGAGCGCCTCCCACTTTCTTACTTTCCATGTCTCGAGTCCTTTCTCAATCTTCTCGTCTTCAAGCACGGGTCTTTTCCCGTGTTGGATTGCCCACATCTGCACTACGCGCTGTCCGACCTGTGCCACAACCGGTCTTGCGCGGGCTTCCTTCAGCATATGCCTCGATTTCGAGGCGAAATTACTCGCAGGGCCCGGTGGGTGGTGGAGGAGGGAGCAATCCGTTTTCTTTCAAGATGGGGCCCCAGCATGCCAAGGGCGATGCTCTGAAGGAATACAGTGTTGACCTCACAGAGTTGGCGAGGGACGGAAAGCTGGACCCTACCATCGGAAGGGATGAAGGTGAGTGTGCACATCTGCACTTGCTTCTGCTAACTGAGCTGGTGCTGCTAGAGATCCGAAGGACCATTCAGAGTACGCCGAGCTGATACTTTCACGTTCTGACTCGCTCAACCTGCTCAGTCCTTTCTCGTCGGACCAAGTCGAATCCAGTCGTAAGTAGACATCCCTCGAACATTTCAGCGAGCCGCACTCATCATTATCCCAGCTCATTGGCCCCCCTGGTGTAGGGAAGACAGCCATTCTCGAAGGTCTAGCGAGTCGAATAGTCAGTAAGGAGGTTCCAGAGGTACGTTCGGTCTACTTGATCTGATTCCCACGTTTTTTACATCGCACAGTCTCTACATAACAAACGCGTTCTCTCGATCGACCTGTCTGGTATCATGGCGGGCTCTGGCATCCGGGGACAATTCGAAGAGAAGTTCCGCAATCTGCTCTCGGACATCGAAGCCGAGGTAAGTACTGGACCTTTCCTCATCGTACGGTCTGCTTATCTTCATACCGCAGGAAGGCAACGTCATTTGCTTCATAGATGAAGTGCACACCCTCTTCAATCTCGGCAAGACGGAGGGGAGCATTGATGGCGGACAAATGATCAAACCTGCTTTGGCTCGCGGTCTGCAACTCGTTGGCGCCACAACCCGTCGGTCTTTTTCTCTTCTCCCTGGCTGATCACTGACGCACCCTCAGCTGACGAATACCGGAAGACTATCGGAAAGGATGCTGCACTGGAACGTCGCTTCCAGCCAGTGCAGATAGAAGAACCTACCGTCGAATCGACCATCTCCATCCTGCGCGGGCTGAAGCCTCGTTACGAAGTCCACCACGGAGTCGAGATATCCGATGCTGCGTTGGTGACGGCCGCGGTCTACGGCGCGCGTTACGTGTCAGAAAGATTCTTGCCGGACAAGGCTATCGACCTGGTCGATGAGGCCGCTTCGTCACTCCGGCTTGCGCAAGAGTCTAAGCCAGACGAGCTAGAGACCTTGGAGAGGGCGATCATGACACTTCAGATCGAGTTGGAGAGTCTCAAGAAAGAGTCGGACGTGTTCAGTGTCGAGCGCAGGAGTGCAGTCGAGGAGGAGATCAAGACGAAGCGCCAGTCTGCTGCCGAGGTGGAGAGGATCTGGCAGGCAGGTATGAGAGCCTTGTGTTGTTGATGATTGGATCCTGACCCGTTCAGAACGCGCTCGACTGGACCGCACGAAGCAGCTGAAACGGGAGATCGAGCAGGCGAAGCATCAACTCGATGTCGCTCAGCGTCTGGGTGACTTTGAGAAAGCTAGCCGACTGCGTTTCTCTTCGATCCCCGAGCTTGAGCGGCAGCTGCCGCCGGAGGAAAGTGAGGCGAAGGAGGAGGGATCTTCGATGTTGCATGAGCGGGTCACATCCAACGATATCGCGCGTGTGGTTGCTCGTGCGACTGGGATTCCAGTGCAGAATCTCATGAAGGGCGAGCGAGACAAGCTTGTGAATGTGTGTGAACGGCTGTGCGTGAGTGCGTCCACGCTAATGCTCTGCAGATGGAAGACGCTCTCAGAGGGCGAGTCGTTGGCCAGGACGATGCTGTGACTGCAATCAGCGACGCAGTCCGGATCTCTCGGGCGGGACTGCAGGCTCCGAACCGACCAGTCGCCTCTTTCCTGCTGCTCGGGCCGACAGGTGTAGGCAAGGTTTGTGATGTTGCCCTTCTCCTCGAAGCGTTACTGACTACGTGACATCCAGACAGAGTTGTGTAAAACGCTCGCTGGATTCCTTTTCAATGACGAGAAACGGGGCTTGTGAGAGACGCGTTGTTTCGTGTGTTGCCGCTCGTGCTGACTGTTTTCAGGATCAACATCAATATGTCCGAGTTCCACGACCGACACACCATCTCGCGACTGATCGGCGCAGCACCCGGATATGTCGGATTCGAGGAGGGTGGACAATTGACCGAGGCAGTGCGGAGGAAACCCTATGGTACGTAACGATCTCTTCTGTCGGATTGTCAGGGGGACTGAACCTCACTTGCCAGCCGTGATTCTGCTCGATGAACTGGAGAAGGCACACAAGGACGTGGCGATGGTCTTGCTGCAGATTCTGGACGAGGGTAGTCTGACAGACAGCCAGGGCAGAAAAGTGGACTTCAAGGTGGGTCGCCGCTGCTTTTTTGCTGAAGCGTTCCTTGCTCAATCGCTCTAGAACACAATCATCTGTCTGACGAGCAATCTGGGAAGCAACGTGCTCAGCAACCCGGAGGCGTGCGATGCGGATGGGGTGGTCACGCCCGCAGCTAAGCAGGAGGTGCTCGACATCACATCGGAGTACTTCCCCCCGGAACTGCTGAATCGGCTGGACACGATGCTCGTCTTCAACAAGCTGTCTCGGGAATCGATTCTGCAGATTGTCGGCCTGCGGCTGAAGGACGTCGCTGATCGACTGGCGAGTCGCCGGATAACGGTTGACGTCCACGACGCAGCGAAATTGTGGCTAGCGGAGCACGGGTACTCCAACGTATACGGCGCCCGGGCGATCGCTCGGGTTGTGAGGACAGACGTCCTGTTCCCGCTCGCGCAGAGGTTGCTGCGCGGAACGGTCAGAGAGGGGGACACGGTCGAGATCCGCGTGTCTGATGACGGGAGTAGTCTTGTGGTTGGGGAGAATCATGCACCAGATCCGTCTGCGGCGTCGAGTGAATTGCACGATAATCTGAACAGACAGGAGGAGGTGTAGAATAGACTTGTATTCACAGATGTAGCTTGATGTCTAACGACCTCCCTGCTCATGATCATGCGGCACTGGATTCTGAGACCGAGCCGTCGGATGAGCGCAGCTTGAACACTCATCCCAGCCGTCCATCATAGCGCACACCCGGACGATTCGAAAGAAACTGATCTCAACTCTCCGAGAACTCATCAAGCGTGTGTATAAAGCAATGCACATCTGTTGTACGGTATTAGAGCAGATGTGTGGCCCCAAGCGAAGCGGCGACGTCATCCGTGAACGCCGTGCTGACGCCGTTCTTAGCCCAAGTCTATTCACGAGAGGTGTCTGAGATGATATCATCGCGAACATGCATTTGGCGCCACTCACGCAGAAGATCAACGCAATAGCTGGAGGGTCCATGATTAGAAACCCTGACTCTGTATTATCCTGGAAAGACGCACTATCTGGATCTGAGCCGTTGAAGTTACCCGCATGGACGAAGGAGCGGGAAAAGGTGAGCCCCTCCGAGATTGCAGCGGGCCAAGTGGCGCATGCGTTGTCGAACCTGTGTAGCGAAGAATGAGCACCTCAGATGCGCTACAATCTGCGGGTGCAGCTGCCGCTCACGCATTGGTGAACTCGACCATAGTGTCCTCCGCGGGGATCCGGTACGGCTCGCGGAAGTCAATGGCTTGGGCAGCAGCGGCGAAAAAGAGAGGGACGAGACAGGCAAAGCGCATGATGGGAATGTGGATGGCGGCGAGCACTCAGCAGGCCATCCAGCCCGCTTTTATGGTGGAGAACAGAGGGCATCTTTGCCCGTGCAGGACCTGATCATGCCGGCGACTCTCAGATCCGAGTCAGGTCGCACCCGGCCCACCGGATGCCTTATTCATTTCCCACGTGATCGCGAAAGCTGGATTGAATTGCCCTTGATTGCCATCTGTCATGAATTGATCTGACGCCTGCGAAGTCCGCACGTTGGAGCAACAGACTCGCACCTAAACAAAGGTGATGACTTCTCATCACGATGAAATCCCGATCAACCCTTCCCCGTGGCTCTGTGCCATGGGTCACTGCTCTTCACTACGCCTCGGAATCAGTCGCAGTTGATATCGTTTATCAAGGCGAACTTTTTTCAGCCCGCGGGATCGAGCACGGTGGTCAGACGAGCTTCAGTTGAAGCTCATTCGGGGATCGATGCTTTCGGGACACCATCGCTCCTCATTCATTGATCCGTGCCATGCCCCCTGCCTACTGAGAAGAAAGTCATGCATCGGGGCTGATGTCGTTATTAAACACAACGAGGTGCATCAAGGCCAGATTGCGACTGTGCTCTCACCTCGAGTTTGCTCGCTCAATTGATTGTTCTGCCAGCATCCTCCTGGTGAAAAATCAGTCACCGATGATCCTTCTTTGGCGGTCCGCTCCTTCTGCCAAATTGTCTCCCAGCATCTCACGGAGATCAGGGCAAAGTTTAGTTTGCTGATTGAGCTAACAGCACCCGAGTCGCCTGACTACACAGCCTGTCTTCGGGGAGGGGTTTAGTGCGCGGCGTGGTCTGTTGTATGTATAAGAGGGAGTCACTATTTCCAAACTGTCTCTTCCCCGGCGCTCATCTCTGCCAGTGTGCTTCGTTCATCCTCGATCCCATGGTCTCCTCCGAATCCATTTTCAAGAACATTCGCGTCTATTGCAAGTCTCCTTCGTTGGTTGAATCGAATGGGGCTCACGATCTTGGTGGATAGGGCTGGCGTTTGTGACTTATTGGGGAATCATACTCTTCGGGTGCGTCAAATTAGTTTCGCGTCTGCCCGGTTGCGCTCCAGCATGATCCCGCAGATACGACACGTGAGTAGATGGGCCTACTATCCGCATCGGTCGAGTGAGTATACATCTCGCCGCAGGGGGATCGCGTAAGCTCTGGTCCAGCTGATCATCTAGCGTGCGATGCTCATGCGGCGATGACGCAGCTCGGGAGTCGTCACCGCCCCAATCTTCCTAGATCAATTTGGTCTGAACAACGCGGACGGGACACCAAACAAGAAGAAGTGCGCTTCGGAAGATGCCCGATGTTGTTATCCATGAGTTGAACATCGATTCTCAGGAGCAACAACATCTCGGAAAACGTCGTGGCTGTCCTCCAAGCCGGGGCATTCTTTGGGGCGCTGGGAAGCGCGCTAATTTCGGGTGCGGTCGTGCGATCGTACACGGCTATTGCGGAATTTTGACTTTCATAGCGAGATTCGGCCGTCGATACACACTTATCGGCTTTTCAGGTGTCTTCATCCTCGGCGCCGTCTGTTTCCTATCCTTCGACTCCCAAAATCTCTGAACTCATTTTCGATCTTAGATTCTGACTACCGTGGCCAAAGGCGGGTCACAGGGTCTGGCGGAGATCTACGCGGGACGCGTCATCACGGGTATTGGGATTGGCGGGATCTGTGAGTCTATCTCTTCCTCACTCTCTGACATGGATGTGCCTGAAGCTTATCTGCTCAGCCGCCGTCGCCCCCGCTTTCGTTTCCGAGTGCTCTCCGAAAGAGGTCCGCGGACGGATCACCGGTCTGTTTCAGGTGAGCTTCAAGCCCTCGGATGGGGTTCCTCGCACGCTCACGAGTACTCTCGCAACTAAGATATTTGTCGCGTTTGGGGTGATGATGTCCTACTGGGTCAATTGTGCGTATCGGCACCTCCCCATCGGGATAGGGGACTGAATTCTATCTCCATTTCTACTGCATAGACGGGATCGCTCTGCATGTCAAACCAGGCCCCAAGCTCTGGCGCATCCCCTTCGGAATCCAGCTCATCCCCGCCGGCGTCATGCTTCTCGGCCTGCTCACAGTCAGAGTGCGTTCGAACATTCCTCGCCTTCCGGGGCTCACCCTCTTCCCCCGATCAGGAATCGCCGCGCTACCTGGCATCTGTGGGGCGCACACAGGAAGCACTCGACAACCTCGCGTATCTGCGCCGCGAGCCTCCCACGGCCGACGGTGTGATCCACGAGATGGCGGAGATCGAAGCGGCCATCCAGGAGGAGCGCGATGCGAGGCGGGAGCTGGGGTTGAAAGAGGCGTTCCTGGGAAAGGGGAATTGGATCCGCTTCGGTGCGCAGTCCTCCATGGATTTGTGGCGGTGGAGAAGTGAAGGGGGTTTCAGTTATCGCAATCGTGATTTTCTTGTTACAGCAGTGGTCCGGTCAGAATGCCGTCAAGTGAATGTCCTCGCGCTGTGCGAAAGCAACACCGAGCTGATTATCTTTTGCTCTCAGCTACTACGCACCGCAGATCTTCGCCTCGGTGAGCACATGCCATCTGGGAATCGAGTGGGGTTACTGATCGGGTAAGTAGATCGGGTACACCGGCAGAAAGAACGGATTGCTTGCAACCGGTATGCTAAATTCACCCTCATGTACATTCCTTTGATAAGACGCCTTCTTCTCAGGAATCTATGGTGCACCTCGTCGTTGAGATCTCACCTGGATCGATCTAACCTGTCAATCCTCAGGCGTGATCAAAGTGGTCGCCACCGCGATATTCGTCTTCCTCGGGGTCGAATGGCTTGGCCGTAAAGCATCGCTCTTCATCTCGGCGGTGGGCATGGGAACCTGCTTCTTTATCATAGGTTCCATTCTCAAAACTCACCCGCCCCCCGCCACCAGCGCCACCGCGGCCCCAGTGGGTAATCCACCCGCTGCGTCGAAGGCCATGGCGGCCATGCTGTATATATTTGTTTGCTTTTATTCGATGGGGTGGGGTGCGTGGTATCCTGGCTCTCAAAGGGTGTTATCGTCTCGACTAACTTACGATCCCGTTTTTGAACCCAGGTCCGCTTCCCTGGTGAGCTTCCCCTGATTGGATCCATTAGCAGAGTCAATTCAGTAATGCTGTCGCAGGGTCTACTGTGCTGATATATTTCCCACTCGGACACGACACTTCGGGTTAGCGGTCGCTAGCGCATCACAATGGCTTTTCAGTTGAAACAATTTCCGAGAGATCGCATTCTTTATTCTCACGAGCCGCCACAGATTTCGTGCTCACGCGTACGACTCTGCAAATGGAGACCAATCTCGGCTACAAGGTTCGAAGCGAGAATTGCCCTGTTAGATGTGAACCAAGGACTCACTGCGCGCTCAGATATATCTGATGTTCGGGGCCATCAATATCGGTGGTTCCGCAGTCTTCTCACTGTGCGTGCTGCAAAAATTCTCAAAATTGGACGCCTGATTTTCTTGTTCTTGCCCAGCTTCATCCCCGAAACGAAAGGCCGTTCGTTGGAGGACATGGATGTAATTTTCGGCGCAGTATCGCGAGAGAAGAGACAGGCAGATATTGCCAAACAGGAGCAAGGTAAATCCAGCCAACTGCACCGTAGTGTTGGAACTTTGTTTATTCATCAGTACCACAGAACTGGACGTCCGAGATGGTTCGGAAAAAGCTTGAGCCGTGTGGTATTTTGTTGATCGGAACTTATTTGTCTTCTTCCTGTGTCGCTGCTCCTTCGCATGGCAAAAACTCGGGAATCCCATCCTGTTTGTCAAGTGTGACCACGTGCTACTTCAGTCAGTGACTCGTTTGTTTCAAAGTCCAATCATGTATGGAAAAGTGGATTTGAGAAATGACCCTTGTTTATCTGTGGGTACTTATAGACGTTGGAAAGAGAGAAAAAGGTTTCGGCTCAAAGGGATTTCCCTCCTGTGATTAAAATGAATGAATGAAAATAACATCTTTCTGCATGAAACTCTTTGGGGTCAAAAGACATCCATTCTCAGTGACTGTCATCACAAAGATTGCCGTTGACATTCGTGTAAATCTTCATTTGAAGTGAATAGATGGCCGAAAATGGTAATTCTAGACCTTTTTTTGGGATTTACATGGGAAGGGGAATAAAATTTGGCCCCTGCAGTGTGTCAATCTCTCCCAAGCCGAGCTAGGTTTTTGAAAACCGACAAGTTACACACGTGTATTAGATTGTGGACTGACTAGCATTCTAAATCAATATTTTCTCTTCGACTTCCGCTGCTCCGTGTTGCTGACATAAGTAACGTCTCGTCACCACCGGGGGATCTCCGACTGTTTCTCTGTTTATTTCCCACCTCTAATCTCCCGCTCGGCATAGGCATCCAGAGTCTGCAGCCAGTCCAACTCTGATAACTCGGGCCACAGTTTATCGATGAAGTGCAATTCGGCCGCTTGGCTGTCCCACAGCAGAAATCTGTTCTCAAATTAGCGACCTTTCATCAGAGCACTGCCGAGCGCGTCGACATACCCGCTGGTTCTGCAAGAAACGAGCATCAGATGATGCTTGTCGAAAACAGAAGTGTAGCGCACCGTTTCTCAGATGTGCGCACGATGAGATCCACAGGGGGGATGCCGCGCCCACGGCCGTACATCTCGCGCGAGACACTCGCCTCGCTGATGCGTTCCTGACGGTCCTGGAGCGACTTGACAGCGTCCACAATCTCCTCCCTGCCCCCGTATCCGACAGCGATCTGCAGAAACAGAGCATCATACCCACACGTCACTCGCTCGACAAAGTCCATGGCCTCGACCAGCGTGGGCGGCAGTTTAGTCCGGGCATTCGCGCTGCCGATGAAGGTGATCCGGATGCGATAGAGATGAACGACGCTGGAGAACGCGAGCGCCTTGAACTCGCTCGTCATGAGGCCGAACAACCCGTCCTGCTCCGCAGCCGGCCGGGCGAAGTTGTCTGATGAAAACGCCCAGCATGTCAGGTATCGCGGGCCGATGTGGCGGTGCCTAAGCCACCATTCTACCACCCGGGAAGCAGTCACGGCACCCGTTCGGTGCCCTGCGATGACTTGCTCATTCCGCCGACGAGCAAAGCGACGATTGCCGTCCATGATCATGCCCACTGGACCCAGGATGGATTCGTAAAGCGGGCATCGAGGATGAAAGAACGCACCGTGCAAAGGGCTCGCTTTTGCGTCCTTCATGCGGGAGCCTAGCAGATGACAGCGAGAGTCGTCGATCAAGCCGAGCAGATGGAATTTGGTTGAGCTCGTTACGTGGCCAATGACACTTGAACCTATCCCCAAAAGAGAGATCGATCCGGCCCGATACTTCAGCAAGCTAATGAAGGCACGTTGGAGAAACGTCGGGCGGATGCGACCGCTATGTTCCAGCCAGCCAATGTAGTCCGCGTGTTCGATTTCGGATTTGGAGGTCGGGAGTGGCCGGTCTTCCATCACGTCCATCGAGTGGATCGTCCGCAGAGTTGACTGTTCACGTGTGCAATTCAGCTGCTACCACGTGGAGGAAGGACGGAGTGAAACTCGCCGACACAACGCCTTTCATGCTAGGTTCGAAAAAGACAACAAATGCAATCAAACCACGAAGCGGGAGCCACAGTAGGAGCGGATAGAGCAGCCATAGAAGCGCGCATAGGACTCGCTGCACCATGCGCGAAACGGGGCTGCGCACACCAGCGAGGACGTACTGTGCCTTCAACTCCTCCGGCAATAGGGTATGTCCGACGAGAAATGCCGCCCTAAGACCCAGCGACGTGATCCAGCGCATGCGAGTTGAGACCAAGATGCTCGCTTCCAAGGAAAAGATGATGTCGGAGGTAAGCTTGCACTCGGTCGAAAGTGAGTCGATACGAGCACTGAAGGCGGAGATGAAATCTGGATAGGATGAAGATAACATCTCCCTCGGGACACCGAGACGCATCGCTGCACACGTGTACTCCCATACGATGAGATCCTTCATGCGGGGCGACAGTCTGACAGGGATCAGAGATAGCAGAGCAGTGGCAGCACTCGAGTACTCACTCGCCATTGAACCGCTCTTCGAATGCAATCGTGACCCAGGTCAGAGTCTGAATGACGTAGACCTTGAGGTCGTCCACGTAGCCGTACATGTCGATGCCATCTGGGATCCCGAAATCGGCGCGCGTCTTCTCGGTCACCGGCCCATGGATGTGCCGATGCATCCAGCGTAGCCAGGAGGCCGTCTGCTCTTGCTCCTGGTTGGTACCGTTCAATGCGAGCTCGACGTATATGAACTAAGCGTGATCAGTCGAATGCGTCGAGGATTATGACAATTGGCATACGGTACGGAGATAGCGAATCAGCGGACGTTCTTGAAAGTTCGAATGATTGTGCATGGCGAGGCTGATACTGGGATGGTGGTTCTGTCCAAAGATGAGAGTCCGGAGACAACCGCACCACACTGCGTCCACCCACCTGCAGTATCAAAGCCACAGTCGATCCGACAACACTGAGCAGCGCGCCAGGTTGGAAGTTGAAGTCGATCTCGTTTCTGCGAGGGCGCAAAGCCCGATAGAGAGCCGAGGCCAGCATCGTTGCTGGGAGGGCAGAGGCGAGGCAAGATATCAACAGGTGCATGTTTAGTGACTTGGGTGAGGTTCGGAATCACCCTTGCTTTTAAACGTGAGCTGGGGAAAGTGCAGCCGATCTATGAGTTGCATTGTTGCAATGCTCGCTCCGGCGTTAAATCAACGGCCTGAGGACACCGAATGAGGATAATATCCGGTCACATTGGGACGCCGAGGTCGTACCCGAATAAGGAGTCCCAAATTCATCCTTAGTCTAGAAATTGACTCATTCGCGACATGCGCTAGCAGAGGTAGTGCTGCGCCACGGTAGGAAAGAAGATGTGGTGATGGCGTTGTGTCATGATGAACATGGTCCGATGATCCGATGACCGCCGGAAAGCTCAAGCTCGTGACTCGTTGAATCTTTAGTGTTGTGTGCGACCCTGAGCGCAGAAAAAGACGTTGAAATGATGTCCAGTTCTAATACAGGAAATTCAAACAACGCGTTCTCATCTCATTCGCGAAGTGTGGATCTGAAATAATCCCTAGTTACTGGTCAAAAATTAAGACCAGTTGATTGATTGATGGCAACTTGGTCTATGATATCAAGTTCTCAAACGGCCGATAACACGGCAGGAGTCATCAAAATAGACAATGTCTTGTGAAACCCCATGGTGCAAGCTTGCGTACAACTGGCTGCACCCTACAACTTTGAATGCCTGAGAACAAATGGTGAATGTCTCGCGGATTTCACTTTGTCCACATCAGCCATTGTGACAGGACGGCATTCAAAAGCGTGATTATATCCAAGTCTGTTGACCTGCTGTCAGCATCCGGACCAGATAAAATTTCATACATCCAGTCCAGTCGGGCTCACCGATTCCGGCCATCCTCGCCCCCAATCTTGAAGAACTCCGGCCGCCGAAGAAGAGCAACAACCACAGCGCCTCCGAGCCCAAAATTGTGCACGAGGCCGTATTTACCACGCACATCCTCACCAAGGCTTTCAAATAGGCCGGGAGCCTGCATTGGACCGGCCCAATTGCGTAGCTGCATCACAATAGAGAAGTGCATGCACAATCCGGTGGCGCCCAATGGATGCCCCCGGGCCTCCAACCCGCCCGATGGATTGATCACAAATTTACCGCCATACTAGAGTGCATGTTAGCGCGGCGACTGCTATGGACCAATCGCATGAAATGCTGACGGTGTTGTCTCCGCGTTCAACGAATTTATGGGCTTCGTTCTCAGCACAGAGTCGTAGCGCGGGGTACATAATCAACTGTGCTTTCTTTTTAGAGATCGGCCGCATAATGGGATCTCGAAAGAAAAAAGACTGACCTCGGCTGCAGCGAAACAGTCGTGCAGCTCAATCACCCCCACCTGGTCTCTGCCCCCGTCTGGCGCAAAGCCTGCTGCTTCGAACACCTTGTCTGCGCACAGCTGGGTCATGCTGTATGTCACCACATCCATGGCGCTGTTTCCCTCCAATGATTCTGGGCCATCCGTGGCTAATCCGATTGCGACGATCTCGATCGCCTGGTTCTCGAGCCCATGTGCATGCACGAACTGCTCCGACGCGACGATTCCGCACGCTGCGCCGTCCTAAATCACTGTCTCAATATCCAAGAAAATTTCAGTTCTGCCAAGGAGACTCACACAAGTCGGGGTGCACATGAACTTCGTCAACTCGTTCGTCACCTTGGGTGCGTCTAGAATCTGCTCTTTCGTCCACCCGGCGCGGAACTGGGAGTACGGATTATGGACCGAGTGCTTGTGGTTTTTTGCGGCGATGAGCGCGAGGTGCTCGATCCCGCCGCCGAATTTCTGGAAATACTCCTGTGCGCCGTTGGCGCACATCCTCGCCGGATCGGGCCCGCGGTTCTTTCCCAGACCTTGACTTGTCTCAAGATCCCAACTGTGACTCTCGAGCAACGACGTTGGTGGGTCGGGAAAATGGGTGCGTAATGAGCCTGGACTTATGTGAACGGGAGTCTGCGGAGGGTGGAGGACGCACGTACCAGGGCTCATGCGCTCAAATCCCAACGCGAGGACACCTGCCAGATTGTCAGTAGCAGCACCTGCAGTCGAAATGACACACGCACACTCGGCCTGTCCGTACTTGACGGCCAGATCCGCGTGATACAACGCCGTGGATCCAGTCGCGCAATTGTTATTGACGTTCGTTATGGGAATGTTGGTCAGCCCCAGTCCATAAAGAGCGCGCTGCAATCCAGTCAGCATCGGGCCTATGCCAGCCGTTTCAAACTTGCTTGGCCTGAAGTCGAATCGCCGTAGCAGTATCCGACAAGAGCTGAATCGATCGAATCATAGGTAATCCCTGGCCACGCAGTTGGAACAGCTGTTGGCTAGGATGTAGTGTACCAGAGCGTGCCTGCATCCAGAAGCGCCTTGGTGGCAGCTTCGAGTCCCATATCCTCCGTGGCCCGGGCTCCTCTGGGTTTGGTGAAAGCCGTGCACCCGACGCCGATGATGAAGGTTCGTCGGGCTTGAGGCATTCTGCACAGCGCGAAGATATCACAGTATGTAGCGGGTGCTGGGGCAGTCTAAGCAATAGGACGCTCATCCAGGGAGCTTTTCACTCACAGATTCTCTTGTGGATGTGCGATACACTTGTCGGAGCTTGTCGAATGCAGAGCCAAGGCAGCGATACACGACTTATATACCCGTCCGAAGTGAGTGACATCTTCGATCATATCCAGCTTCGAGGGTTGAAAAACTCCTCCAGAATCCCAGATACAGCCGCTGCAAAGGCGCAAGCATGGCACGCTGCTGAAGCTACGGCGGTTGTGAGCTCGTAAAAGCCATCCAGCGCCAACGTGTAGACGAATTCTTGGCCTGAGGAACTCGTGAGCAGGCATGAGGATAATGCGTGGCATAGAAATCGAGTCGTCAGTCGGTCACTGCAATGATTCGCTTGACAGGAGCAGAGGCACACATTTGAGGGAGCTCGAAAGCCCTATGGATCGGGACTAACGGGGTCAGTCACGTTACATAATGCTGATCCGATATCTCCGAATACGTGCTCTGTCCTCCGCAGTCACAGCCAACCAGATGAAGAATCTGTGATGATGCCTTCTGAAATGGAAAAACGGGGTCAGTCTCTCAGTCCATCGAGGCTTTTCAACCTTTCTAAGTCCACTTCCGTTCTTCTCGAGGAATGAGGTGTGCAGCCCCCAGCTGCAAGTATAAGTATCCGAGGGTTGTATACAGTAAGTGGACAAAATGATTGACTGATCAGTTCTCTTTGATTAAAAATGGGCTTTCCAGGCTCTTAGAGCTCATATCATCCTAGGGTCTCTAAGAACAAAATGTAGCCTTGGGCCTGTAGAATAGTCCACTGAGCCCCTGAAGTTGTTGCAAAATTATTTGTAGAGATATACTACCAATTATCAATGACTGGTTTTACAATAAAGACAACATTTTGCTTCTGTGGCCAGCCTTGAGTCCTGATTTCAATGTCATCTAGCACATGTAGGACTCTCTCAAACATATAGTGAAAGGTCAGCACCCACTGCCATCAGGCAAGGAGGATTCCAGGCAAGGGTGGGCACATTTGAACATGGACAAGAGTTTCATTTACTACACTGTAATCTGGAGTTCTAGATATTCTACACATGGAAACTAATACTCTTAAGGTGCATTTCATTCCAATTGACCCTTGGGCAATATCAGCTCTGTGAGCCAGGACAATCAAAAAACTGATCAGTCAATCATTTTGTCCACTTACTGTAGTGGTTGTTGACCTGGTCATCCGAGGAGCCATAGCCCTAGGATTTAGTCAAATCCGTTTGGCTGTAGCCATAGAAATTGCATCCAAATCTATGGCTGTAGCCATAGGGCATGGCGGTGCTGATGTGAACAACGATCATTGTGATCGACAACCTGTGATTGTGATTGACACCCAACAGCTAGGCAGTGGTTTCAGTGAGGATTGAACGGCTGACCTTCTAAAAATGTAAGTTAAACCAATGCATTATCAAACTGAGCTAAACTGCTGTTAAACATGTGGCAATTTCCCTCAACTTACGGTAACCCGCAAGCGGCTTACCCTAAGTGGAGGGAAAGCTTTATCCTAGTACTGGTTATCCCAACCCCTTATCACCCAATAAACATATTTCTTGCCCCAACCAACCCTAATAGAGCCTCTAACAGGATTTTTTTTTTGCTCCCTTGCCCCAACCCTAACTGACAATAAATATATTTCTTACCCTAACCAACCCTTACAGAGCCTGTAATAGGCTTTTTTTTTGCTACCTTGCCCCAGCCATAACTGAGAAAAAATGACGTCTCTGGGGACTAACCTTTAACCCAAACCCAAACCCTAGCCTGAACCACTAACCTCCGCGCCCAGAGGGGCGCGGCTTGTTGAAGACAGTAAGGCCGATCAACACTTTATGTTGAGGGATCATGGTGGTGCTGATGGCAATGATGATCTTGCACATGCCATGGTGATGCCGAGAAAAGCAACAGGACCAAAGGCCTGCCACGCTATGGCTGTAGCCATAGCAGTATTAGTCAAAGCTATGACTGTATCCATGCTATGGCTACAGCCATAGATTTGAATGCAATTTTTATGGCTACAGCCATAGATTTGACTAAATCCTAGCACTATGGGTGATCCGACATGGACGATCTGCCAATCTTCACCTGGGACACTACCGCCGATAAAGTTGCTGACACGTTCGCCGAACAAATCATGGGAAAGAACGGTGCGCATCCACTAGTTCTCACATCCGGATGAGTCCACGTTCTGACAGGGTTGCTTCAGTCCTGATCACGGGAACATCGTTGAATGGAATTGGATTCGACACCGCCAAGTCTATCGCCAAATACGCCAATACGGTAATTGTCTCTGGATACGATAGTCAGAGGTACTTCGACCGTCGTCCTCTCTCAACAAGGGATTGACGTTCTCTGGGGCGACAGGCTGCGACAGACGGTTGACGCGCTCGATGGGGACTTGACGAGCGCAATCATTCGACCCCTCCACTTGGACCTGACCTCGTTTGTCAGCGTTCGTCGAGCAGCAGCGGAGGTCGCGGGCTGCGTCGACCGCTTACACGTGCGTAGAATTGCCATATCTCAGCTCTGCTGAGCCTATCCGACACCCTCATCCGCAGGTCCTCATCCACAACGCTGCCGCCGCCGTGACAGTGCGGCCCAACCTCACCGAAGACGGATTCGAAACCCAGCTCCAAGTCGGATTCCTCAGCCCGTTCCTGCTCACGGCCCTGCTCAAGCCCCAACTCCTCGCAGCTCGAACGCAATCGTTCACCCCGCGTGTCGTCGTGGTTTCGAGTCGCGGGCATTTTCCACGTTCCCCCGATACCCCTCCAGTCGACTTGCCCGCCGTTCGAAATCCAGATCCAGTGCGGTACCGGGGCTTGGACGCCTATCGACAGGTGAAAGCTGCAGGAATTATATTCGCGCGCGAGATGGCTCGGCGTTGGGGGAGTAGTATACATGCTTTCAGCGTACATCCAGGGGGTGCGCAAATCCTTGATGTTGGTTGCCTCCTAGCTTACAGATCGATTGCAGCGATTTTCACGAACATGATGCTGAAAGAAGATTCTCTGGCAGTCTTGGAGGGCATCATGCTCCGTCCGGACGGATCCCCTCGGCTCAATATCTCGGTTCCGTGGAAGGATCTCCAGCAGGGCGCGTCAACGTGAGTAATCCATAGAACACGTCGATGTCATGTCCATGGGTCCATCTTCCAGCACTCTGCACCTAAGGAACATCCGCCGCGGAGGGTACCCCCCCCTGTTAGGGGTCAAAATTCGACTGATTTGGGTACCTAACAGGGGGGGTACCCTCCGCACTTTTGGCCATCCTCCGCACCAAAACCTCCGCAAATGGGTGCCAAGCATCCGCAACAAGCCCTGTAACCAGCTGCGGATCCATCCGCTCCTGGCTCTCCCCGTGATCGTTGTGATGCCATCATGCAGGCCATCCACGGACCATGTCATGTGACTGTTCTCCAGTGCGGAACCCTCCGCATTTCTTGCTCTTTTATTTTTTCAGTTCTAGCCTGTATATATTGCTTCACTGTGGACTTGAGCCTTCTGTAGCCAATGTATGCAAGTGCTTTTGACTCCCAAATGATTATAGCTGCTTCAAAGACCTCTATGTGCAGCAAACAAAGAGTGTTAGTTGGGCCAATTCAGTGCTTGGGCTGTGCGGATGCTCTGCATTGTTTCTGGATTGCTAAATTGGTTGCTCAGAACCTTAATGCGTAGGATAAACATAGAACGCAAGCTTCTCAGATGTTGCCAGGTTCCTTAGAACCCAGGTAGGCCTCTCCAGCACCCACAGCAGCTGAAACGTGCGCCATGCGGATGCATCCGCCACCTGCTGTCCAGGGCCAGATTGGGGCAGGCCCTGTTCAGTACAGGCTCTGCAGACAATTCCACTTGCACAGCTTCGCCTGCCATGATCAGTGCATGCAGCCAGGATCCTCCTGCATTGACAGCATGCTGTGCAGATGCATCCGCCCCTTGCGGTCCAGAGCCAGATTTCAGCATAGGCTCTGTGGATGGTTCAACTTGCACACCATCAGCTGCCAGGCTCCTTAGAACCCAGAGAGCCCTTGCCAGCACCCACAGCAGCTTAAAAGTGTGCCATGCAGATGCATCCGCCACCTGCTGTCCAGGGCCAGATTGGGGCAGGCCCTGCTCAGCACAGGCTCTGTGGACAGTTTAAATTACAGACAATCACCTACTATGATTGGTGCATGCAGCCAGGCTCCTCTCACATTGACAGCAGCTTGAGAGCATGCTGTGCAGATGCATCCGCCACCTGCTGTCCAGGGCCAGATTGGGGCAGGCTCTGCTTGGCACAGGCTTTGTAGACAGTTAAAATTGCACACTGTCAGCTGCTATAGTCGGTGCATGCAGCCAGTATCCTCCTGCATCAACCACAGCTTGAATATGTGCTGTGCGGATGCATCCGCCCCCTGCGGTCCAGAGCCAGATTTCAGCACAGGCCCTGCAGACTCTTTGGCCTGGGGTCGCCCTCTGCATCAGAGCTCTGCAGATCCAGCCCAATCATCTGCATGCAGGCTCTAAAAACATCTGCTGATCCATCCGCATCTCATTTTACTGGTGATGCCCTTGATGGCATCATTTTGGTGCATTGCAGATGGTCCTTGAACATCCGCACAGGGATTTGATGGGTCCTGCGGATCCATCTGCACTCAAAATAATCTTTGCAGGCCCTGCTTCTTCTATGTGAATGGCCTGAAGAGCCTCTGAAACATTGTTCATCTGGTGCACAAATGGATCTGCACATTGGAATGGGGGCTGTGGCTCTGTCCCACAAGCCAATCTTATGCAGCATATATCTACTGACATTTTAGCCAGTGCACCGAGCTCCAGAGGCTCTGGGGACATCCAGAGCACACAAGGAAATGAACTGCTGATGCATCTTCAGCCAAATTGGCCAGCTAAATATGTGGCTGCTGCCCAGACAGCCCAAATACATTACATCACTTGAATGAATAATGCTATTGACCAATACAATTCATTACACAATTTCTGGAAGGGATATTGCATGGAATTTGATATGTAAGCAAGCCAAACAGTGATTCTCCTATCTGCGGATGCTATTTCAACCATCCGCAGAAGCATCTGCAGCAGCTAGTGACATGGTTGCGGATGTGTCACATGACCCTCCGCAGTCTCTTTGTGGGACATATCTGCTCAATATAGCCTCAATGGATGTCCTCTGTCTCTGCAGCATGTATCTAAGATGTCTTTTTTGCTACCTGCATAGTTCTATCAACAATAGGAAATTTATCTGTCCTGCACAGGATTTTAAATTCTTTGCACCATAATTGTTGCTCATATACAGGTCGGATAAGCTCAGCTGTCCCACTAGGGAATCGAAACTTGTCAGAGACAAGCTATAAGCCAGCAGACACTGAACCTGGAAAGAACCTATCTGTACAATATAAAAAAAGCGAATTGAACATGATTCATATTTCAAGCTTTACACATTCATACATGTCTTGCAATTCAAGGGCCAAGACTTTAAGACACAGCATTCAATGTTTTGAGCTCAAAAAAGTCTCTTAGATCAAAAATATTTTCGATTTTGGTCAATGAGCAGGTTGAGCTCAGTACTACCATAGGAAACTGTGTTCAGGTCATGGCACTTTTCTGCATGACAAAAATATTTTCCTCAGTGAGCTGAATTGAGTTTATATTCGAGATGGGGCATATCTAAATAGCATCTGAACAAATTCTGAGCAGGATCGCAGCATCATAGCCTTCACAGGGACACAATTTTGAAATGTTGATCTTGCGGATGCATCTGCGGATCATTCAAACTTGCACTGAAGAAAGCTATGATGCTGCGATCCTGCTCAGAATTTGTTCAGATGCTATTTAGATATGCCCCATCTCGAATATAAACTCAATTCAGCTCACTGAGGAAAATATTTTTGTCATGCAGAAAAGTGCCATGACCTGAACACAGTTTCCTATGGTAGTACTGAGCTCAACCTGCTCATTGACCAAAATCGAAAATATTTTTGATCTAAGAGACTTTTTTGAGCTCAAAACATTGAATGCTGTGTCTTAAAGTCTTGGCCCTTGAATTGCAAGACATGTATGAATGTGTAAAGCTTGAAATATGAATCATGTTCAATTCACTTTTTTTATATTGTACAGATAGGTTCTTTCCAGGTTCAGTGTCTGCTGGCTTATAGCTTGTCTCTGACAAGTTTCGATTCCCTAGTGGGACAGCTGAGCTTATCCGACCTGTATATGAGCAACAATTATGGTGCAAAGAATTTAAAATCCTGTGCAGGACAGATAAATTTCCTATTGTTGATAGAACTATGCAGGTAGCAAAAAAGACATCTTAGATACATGCTGCAGAGACAGAGGACATCCATTGAGGCTATATTGAGCAGATATGTCCCACAAAGAGACTGCGGAGGGTCATGTGACACATCCGCAACCATGTCACTAGCTGCTGCAGATGCTTCTGCGGATGGTTGAAATAGCATCCGCAGATAGGAGAATCACTGTTTGGCTTGCTTACATATCAAATTCCATGCAATATCCCTTCCAGAAATTGTGTAATGAATTGTATTGGTCAATAGCATTATTCATTCAAGTGATGTAATGTATTTGGGCTGTCTGGGCAGCAGCCACATATTTAGCTGGCCAATTTGGCTGAAGATGCATCAGCAGTTCATTTCCTTGTGTGCTCTGGATGTCCCCAGAGCCTCTGGAGCTCGGTGCACTGGCTAAAATGTCAGTAGATATATGCTGCATAAGATTGGCTTGTGGGACAGAGCCACAGCCCCCATTCCAATGTGCAGATCCATTTGTGCACCAGATGAACAATGTTTCAGAGGCTCTTCAGGCCATTCGCATAGAAGAAGCAGGGCCTGCAAAGATTATTTTGAGTGCAGATGGATCCGCAGGACCCATCAAATCCCTGTGCGGATGTTCAAGGACCATCTGCAATGCACCAAAATGATGCCATCAAGGGCATCACCAGTAAAATGAGATGCGGATGGATCAGCAGATGTTTTTAGAGCCTGCATGCAGATGATTGGGCTGGATCTGCAGAGCTCTGATGCAGAGGGCGACCCCAGGCCAAAGAGTCTGCAGGGCCTGTGCTGAAATCTGGCTCTGGACCGCAGGGGGCGGATGCATCCGCACAGCACATATTCAAGCTGTGGTTGATGCAGGAGGATACTGGCTGCATGCACCGACTATAGCAGCTGACAGTGTGCAATTTTAACTGTCTACAAAGCCTGTGCCAAGCAGAGCCTGCCCCAATCTGGCCCTGGACAGCAGGTGGCGGATGCATCTGCACAGCATGCTCTCAAGCTGCTGTCAATGTGAGAGGAGCCTGGCTGCATGCACCAATCATAGTAGGTGATTGTCTGTAATTTAAACTGTCCACAGAGCCTGTGCTGAGCAGGGCCTGCCCCAATCTGGCCCTGGACAGCAGGTGGCGGATGCATCTGCATGGCACACTTTTAAGCTGCTGTGGGTGCTGGCAAGGGCTCTCTGGGTTCTAAGGAGCCTGGCAGCTGATGGTGTGCAAGTTGAACCATCCACAGAGCCTATGCTGAAATCTGGCTCTGGACCGCAAGGGGCGGATGCATCTGCACAGCATGCTGTCAATGCAGGAGGATCCTGGCTGCATGCACTGATCATGGCAGGCGAAGCTGTGCAAGTGGAATTGTCTGCAGAGCCTGTACTGAACAGGGCCTGCCCCAATCTGGCCCTGGACAGCAGGTGGCGGATGCATCCGCATGGCGCACGTTTCAGCTGCTGTGGGTGCTGGAGAGGCCTACCTGGGTTCTAAGGAACCTGGCAACATCTGAGAAGCTTGCGTTCTATGTTTATCCTACGCATTAAGGTTCTGAGCAACCAATTTAGCAATCCAGAAACAATGCAGAGCATCCGCACAGCCCAAGCACTGAATTGGCCCAACTAACACTCTTTGTTTGCTGCACATAGAGGTCTTTGAAGCAGCTATAATCATTTGGGAGTCAAAAGCACTTGCATACATTGGCTACAGAAGGCTCAAGTCCACAGTGAAGCAATATATACAGGCTAGAACTGAAAAAATAAAAGAGCAAGAAATGCGGAGGGTTCCGCACTGGAGAACAGTCACATGACATGGTCCGTGGATGGCCTGCATGATGGCATCACAACGATCACGGGGAGAGCCAGGAGCGGATGGATCCGCAGCTGGTTACAGGGCTTGTTGCGGATGCTTGGCACCCATTTGCGGAGGTTTTGGTGCGGAGGATGGCCAAAAGTGCGGAGGGTACCCCCCCTGTTAGGTACCCAAATCAGTCGAATTTTGACCCCTAACAGGGGGGGGTACCCTCCGCGGCGGATGTTCCTTAGGTGGCACTCTGGTAGCAGCATTCGATACCCGGCTTGCAGGTGTGTTCATTGGATTGTAAGATAGTCTCAAAACGCCTCAACTTACGGCTACAAAGATTCATCTGGCGCCTACATTGATGATTGCCAGATCGGAAAGATCGCCAAGTATTGCGAGGATTTGGCAAGTGCTCTGCGGTCCACTTCTTTGAAAGCACTGACATGTCACAAGGGTTTCGCGAAAAAACTATGGAGCTTCGCTGAAACTGCCACTGGATTGCGGCCATTTGAGTTTTCTGATGGAGGAGAGGGAGAGATCGGGCTCAAAGCCAAACTGTGACAGCGCTCGGATATCTAGTCATGTTTTCTTTCTCTCGTCCTTGAAGACTCCGGTGAGGGGTATGTCTTTCGGCGAATCGGTTCATGGATAGCTCTTGCATTCCTTCCATCGCATTCGAGACGGCGACTCTGCGCTTGTACGAGATGAAGGAATCTAGCCTCCAATCGAAGATTCTCCGCGCCATATGTGCTGCGCTGAAACCGGTTCTGGGGTTCCTTCCTGATTAATTCCAAGAACACGAGGCAGAAGAGCGCTGTCAAGGCGGAATTTCAACTGTGGGCCCAGACCTCCAAGGCAGAACCTTGAATCCGGCTACGCTGGCCTCTGCTCAAGAAGCCGTTCAATCATTTTCGCAGTCTCGCAGTGAGCAAATAACAGGCCCTGAATCCTCCCACCGTCTCCTCATTTTCAGTATTTTGTCGCCCTTGGAACGTCGCCCCGCTATCTTTGTCAACACGTTTGCAAACACGCGATGGTTTTCTTGGAATCACTGTGTCTGGCTCTCGTGATCCATATCTACAGTTCAAATGTTTCATAGCCGGGCCAACTGCCATGAGCGCGTCGAGAATCGTCGACCAGGTTGCTATTTCCTTGCCACGGTCGGTCAAGATGACCGAATCGATGAGATATATCCGGAGCTAGAGGGAGAGATTCGGCAATCACTTCCTCAGCTACGGGTGTCAACGTCTGCCGCTTGATCTGTTGAGCCGGTCTGATCTTCGCCGAGTGTCGCTCAAACGCAGCACCTGGTCGAGTGCAGACAAGTTTTGCTGTTAATTTATTTCGGATCCACGAATCTCGCCGACCCCTGACCTCACAGCGGCCTCGCACACATAGTCGGACCTCCACATAAAGGTTATACTATCTGGTCTGATCCTGATCCAATCCTTTCGCATTTCAACTGCACTGTTACAAGCGCTGGACGACTAGTTTGCATGAGGCTTGCAGCGGGCGCCGGGATGCTACATCCCATCTGTGCACCGTCCAGAAGATCCCGCTCAAGTAGATCTCGGGCGTCAAGTTGACTGCGTGTTTCAACAAAGTGGGTCATGCACACAAATCATGCCAGGTTTTTGGTTCAACCTTGTTTACACGACACTCACTTAGTGTCCGTTTTCGGCTCCTGATACCGCCATCTCCGGCCCGGCGTTAGGGAACACGAACGGATCGTTTCAATCGGTGCCAAGGCTCAAAGCCGACTCTGGCCGATCGGGCCGCATGACCGGCCTGTCAGACTTCAAATCTTGCGGTTTGGAAGTCCATCAGAAGAGGGGCTCCAAGTAAGGAAATTAGAACACTTGGAGTACCGCTCGTGTTCTGAGAATAACGAATCGATTATCAGAGCCGCACAAGCCCAGACGGCGGCCATACAGATGGATGGATATAAATTTAGTCTGACGGTCGATTTTTTTTGGGGGCTGAGACAACTTCAAGAAGGCACTCCCGCTGCATCCAAGTTGTTCGGGCACCGAAATCGACAGTTTCGGGTTCCTGGGACACACCGACCGATGTCATTCATCGCCTGCTGACATTCAGGCCGTCAGATGTCTGCACTATCTACATCGACACCGGCCAAAAATCGGGTGCGGTATTCTTATTTCAACACGTGCGACAATTTCGGGCACTGAATCCACGACATAGAGGAGTCAGAGGTGTCTATTTCAACACTTGGGCGCGGCATGTACACTCAATTTGCCGGAGCAGAGTGCGAAAGGAGCACCGTCAACTTTCACGCTACTCATTGATCGGTTGAAGAAGCCCGCGCAGATCTGCCGGGAGTGAAGGTTGCTGCTTCAGCGTGCCAAAGTGAGATAGCCGTTTGAGCTCTCAGATCTGGAGTCGATGTTGAGAAGAATTGTCTTGGACGGCGGGAAGCGAAGCCTTCACCTGGGCACCGTCTAGATGCAGGGTGGCGAAATGATCACCCGTGGTTCAAGCCAGAGGATGAGAATCAGCGAGATGTCGATCTCATAAGGGACTAGATCCCCGCGCTCAATTGAAGTTAATGTAAGAACGTCGAACTCTAAAGTCAAAGCTCTTGATTGGATTCTCGACGGTGATTATTTGAGAGCCTCTTTCGAACCGCAGAGCTCCTGAGGCAAAAGCAAATCCAGCAGCGCAGGTTTTCCGCGGACAGGGTTTCCGTACAGTTCGGGAGGTGCTGATACCCGAAACGACAGCATGAATGTAGGGGTTTCCGATGGCCAGAATCAGACCTGCAGAAGATATATTGTCGTAAGTCGAGACATGAGTGGTCGTTGAGCTGATGCGACGGCTTGGGATCCCCCCGAGCTCTCTATGAACGACGTGTACTGGATTCAGGACCGTATCAACAATCATTTAGAATCAATGGACATGCCAGAATGTTCCTATGTACATACTTCACTCAACGGCACTGACGTTCGGGGAGCGTTTGGGCCTGACTGCTGGCGTCGAACAAGGTGCGATCACGGAAAATAGTGATGTCACATCAGTGATGTCAGTGACCAATGCGGTAAAATCTTCTTCACCAGTCCCATCCAAAGCCTCGTTGCAGTCGCGTTTTTTGCTGCATCGTTTCCTCATTGGAATATCGAATGGCCTGGGCGGCCCGCAGGCTCAAGCTCTGTCTCTGCACCTTTGTCTTCGACACGTCATCGCCGGACTTCGAATCCAATGCCTTCCGATTTCCCATGTGCCCTCACCCACCATCTTCTGGCCGATGACGATCCATCAACCGGCGCAGAACAAGATTATTGTATACCGGTGGGCGCCGGGACGTGAGCAGGCGGAGCGCATGGAGCACTTGTCAGGCCATTTTGAGCCAATCTCGCAAATATGTACGTTTTCTCTCTATTGTCTTCCGCAGGCACGAACACACGCTAATGACTTTTGCTGTTACAGGCGCCGCCGAAGGCAGACGGACAGATGCACGTGCACATTTGATACAATTTGGCGGACCACGGCGCGATGGGGAGTGTGCTTAAAAGCCACGGTCTAGAGGTCAGATCTCTCACCGCCCTCTGCCTGCAATGCCTTCCTTCTCTCGTCTCCTGGCCTTCGCCGCGCTCTGCGCCTGTAGGTGGCCCCTCTTAGCGCGAATGTCTCTCTAATCCACTCCTGCGCAGCCGCCTCCGCCATCATCCCTCCCGCACACCAGGGTGCATTCAACCAGCCTCCCGACGCGCTGCCCCCTGCCCCCAGCACGGACGCGTCCTCCATCGCTGACACCACCGGCCAGGTGAACCAGAAGGCGGGAGCGACGACCGACGCGGCACCCAACGCGGAGGTCCCTCCTACCACGGTCACTGCCATCGACGGCACGCTCACGAACGCGACCATCAGCGAGGCTAACGCTTCGAACAGCACACGCCGAAGCATCATCAACGACCGCCGGGTCGCCAATGTCGGTCGATTCGGGAAGCGCGAAGACGGCTTCCAGGAGCTCTTTTCGGGCCTCCCGGCCGGCCAGCACGACGCTTCGATCGAGGGCACCGCGTATTTGACCTACACAGTCGTGCCGAACTCCACTTACAACGTCGACGCATGTTTGGACTGGGCGAAAACCATCAAAGATTGCGGTGCGTGAGACTTTGTGCATGCGGAGCGATAGCGCGACTCAACTTGCGGCAGTCTTCGTCAACCTCTACTATGAGTTCAACAACTACCTGTTGGACAAGGTCTTCGGCGAAAAGTCAAACCTCAAATGTGTCGCGTATGGTGACATCCACACCGCGGCTGAGAAGGTCAACTTCGGCGGACAAACGTCGTACCCTCAGGTTTGTGACTCTCCCTCTTGAAGGATAAGTTTTTGACTCGCGCGCAGGTCGGAAATGAGACTGTGCCCCTCACCTTCATCACGCAGAGCAGCGGATGGGGACTGGACGCGTTGGTGGAGCCGGAAGATCCCGAAGGCTACCAGCTGGTGTTCGGGCCCACGAACGGCGCCAACAATGCTCCCGGGGTGCGTTGTCACAGGGCGCACGTTTAGGCTTTGCGTTGACGATGCTTGCAGTACATGGGCTTTGCGTTCCTTGACAAGTATGACGTGGATGCCTGCGCGCTGCTTTGCAACGGCCGCGGTGCTGACCCGGTCGGTGGAGGATGCGCCTACTTCAACATCTGGCGTGCGCTGGTCAATGGTGTGCCCACGACCTACACCTGCTCGATGGTATGTGTGGATCGTGTGACTCGACTAGGATGCATTCCTCATCGTGTTCCACCAGTACTATCTCGTCACCGATGAGTCCACCGCCGTCAACTACGGCCAGGGCGACCTGCAAGTGACCTACTCCCGCGGATACAAGCGTATTTCTGTCCTGCCCGACGGTGGGTTCGAGGACTACGCGGCCTGCAGCGACTTCTGCTTCACCACGAGTGATGCCACCTGGGTCGGCAGCGGTGCTGGCCTGGACGATGCGACGATCTTCTTCTTCACCTCCTACGCTTACACCGGCCACAGCGTCGCGCTGCTCGGCGGTGCGTTCGGTGACAATAGCGACGTCGGCACGCTCTCTCCCGCGAATGCGCTCGTCACCAAATCCGGAGTGTCGTATGTGATCCAGTGCTTCGTCAACACCGCCTTCGCGGGCTCGAGCCTGGAAGCCAAGGCCACCGTGGCCATCACCTGGAACGGCCAGACAGTCGGCACGTTCACTGGATACACCGGAAGCACCTGGAAGTTCTTCGAGGCCACCGCAGTCGGCACTGGCAGTGACAAGCTTGCCTTTGTTGGAGGTGCGGCCCCGGCGTGGGTGTTTGTGGACAACTGCTTCGTCTACGAGGGCACCAATGCTTAATTGCGCGTTGGAGTGCTGTAACTCACTCAATCTATGTACCTTGTAGAATTTTGGTAAATTGGAACTCGGACTGGGACTTTTCATGCTTCTCTTTGGTTTGAGTGGGCAGCGAGCGAGCGTGTCTCTCTGTTTATGTTTGTTTCGTTCTCGCCGTCATCGACTCCGATTCCCTGGCTCTCTCAATCATGACTACTCTGAGTGATCTGCACTAAAGCTGTACCTCGTGCGTTCGTATGGAAATTCAGGACGCATCCCCTGATCAGAACCACGTGTCCGTGCACATAACACACAACTGTCCAAAGATCTTCTAGCCGACTTCCTCTGCGCCAGTGATACACTTGTCCTGAGGCAGGTTTGGTCTTCCCTGCGCAAAGCCATCCGTGGCACCCGCAACAATCCAGGGCAGCATTTCGTCTGGGACCCACTTCCCTGCTCCGCACTTCTGCGGGTGTCCATTCGCACTGAAAGCTTCCATGGACAAGTCAGGCCACCTGTCGCGGGCATCATCGTTCAACGCATCACACAAGCGGTTCTGTGCTTCTTAGGGTCACTCGCACGAGGATCAGGGCATAGACACAATGGGGTCCGGGTTCTTTTGCACTCTCAGGATGGACTCCGCCTTCGTGGACCTCGAATGGGACCAGGATCTCGGCAACGCTGGAGTCGTCTGCGACGTCTGCGTCTCGATGCGAGCTTCTTCGAAGTGCAGTTGCGACAGCGTGCTCCGGGCCAGCCCAGCACCGATCCCGTGCGACTTTGGTCAGACCGAGAAAGATGCGCGCTGAGGAGTCATCACCCGAATGTCCCACGGCAATACGGCAAACTGAGGGCGCTGATTCCCGCGTTTGAGGATGTGGATTTCCCGTCGTTCTTTCGCGAGTCTCGCAGCGCTTATTCTGGATGGGGGGGGGGGGGGGGGGGGGGGGTTGGGCAGGAGCGGGCTTGAACTCGCTTGAGAGATAATGTATTTCGTTGGTTCGCTGCTGGCTTTAGAGCTCGCAATCGTTCGCACGAGCAGCAGAGCTGAACGCATGCGATCGCCGATCGGTTATTTGAAAGCCGAAAGACCAGCAGTGTCCACACGATACCGAAGATTGCGAGCGTGTAGTCCCGTTTCAGTTATTCATCAATACGATATGCTTTCGCTGTGAATCCGACCCGGGTTGAAGATAGATGGGAGGAGATAATACTATTCCCGATTTTCCCCTCACAGTGAGAACGCTGATCGGCTAAGAGAGAGTGTGATGGTGGCACGTGGAAACGTAAGCGTGACCCGCGACCATCTCTCTCGCGACCTCGGACCTTCGTATACAAGTGGCAAGAGCTTGCTACGTTCACAGAGAAGATTCTTCGCCTTTCAGCCACAACCAGTTTCCGAGGATCCCAAATGTGTCAGATAGAGAAGGGACCAACTGCTTCTGAGCATCGAGTTTCGTCGATGAGGCGAAGGACAACGCCGTGCGGTCAAGATTTCGTCCATGGAGGATAGTGGAGGGCGAAGATCCTTCTGCGAGAGCCTCCCATCTCTTGTTCTTGAGTCGAGTCGGTGAACATGACCAAGTCCCCGCTCAACCTACCAACCCTCCTTCGCCGCGCAACACAGCGCGGATATGATCCTCGCTTTCTCGCGACATTCTCGTCACTCGCGTCCCTTTCTCGTATCGTTGGAGCTGCTCCAGAGGTTGCCAAGTGGCTGGTCATGACACTGCTCCTGATCAACGCTGGAGGATTGCCTCTGGTGTGGCATCGTGTGTCTCTTCTTACCCACCTTGCGTCATCTCATCTTCTCTTCGCAGTGCGCCTGTTCAGTGCTCTCATGAAGCTCCGCCTCGCTCAGTTCCGCCAGAGAGTCGCTGAGACGTCTGGCTTATGGAAGGGGAACCGGGGACCGGCGCATACCTCCCACTCGGCGACTTTGGGCCTGCACCCGTTCCACGCTACGTGGTCCTTCAACGGCATGGTCTGGCCGTACCAGTCGGACTTCAATCTACACATGAGCAACTCGTCCTACCCTGCAGCGCTAGACACGATCCACTCCCAACTCGCGCTCAGGCTGTTTCCGACATTGTTCGAGGCGGGCGGGTGGGCTGCCCTGGGTGGCACGCACTTCTCGTTCGTGCGGGAGCTGCCGATCATGGCCTCGTACGAGGTTCGCGTCGAAATCGGTGCGTGGGATGAGAAGTGGGTGCGTACTGGAGTTGGTGATGGGGAGCGGACTTGCTCACTCGTCTTGCAGATATGGATCGTGGGTCGTTTCGTCAAGCCCGCGTCGCGCGCCACGAACCCGACGCCAAAGGCAGCTCGCCTCCTGACCAGGCATGTCTACAGTGGGGACGCAGTCGATGACATGGTCCTCAAAGAAGCCAAGGAGAAAGACGACGTCGTTTACTGTGGGCTGCTTGGTCTGCTACCCGTGACTGCTGCCCGCTCACATGTTCGCCAGCTATCACAGTGTCTCAGATCGTCTTCAAGCACGGTCGCTTGACCATCCCCCCGGCCGTTGTTCTTGCCACCAGCGGATTCTTCGCCTCGCCCGACACTCTTGTCTCTCGTTCCGCGCGCTCGATTCCGCCGTATTGGAGCCGCATTCAAGAACTCGAGCGGGACAGCGAGCTGATCAGGGCATTCTATCAGGGTGGATGGCGCAGTGTGAGGCTGTCTCTGTCGCTCGCTCGCTGACAACTACTGATCTTTCCTGGCAGTGTGCGCCGGAGGAGCGGTTTTGGGAGCAGGCATTCCAAGCATGTGACGCCGAACGCAGGGAAAGACTGCTCTCCTATGCCAGTATGGATGCTCGCGGCGGGATATCTGGTGTGCACAAGATGGTGTAGATATATAGACAGAGGCATCAGTATACAAGTGCTATCGAGGGGTGCAGGCCGGTGGTCTCGAGACTCTGGACCTCCCAACGCGCACTGGGCTGAATCTTCCGAATGGGACGTGCCACCGCGTTGACCTCCCGACATGCATCCAAAGCTGGAGATTCAGCAAGATCTAGCTGACGAAAGATTCTGGGTTTCACGGGGATCGTTTAGCCTCGGGAGCGGGGATGGTGTCCGACGCTAGATAGCAGCACGACACACTGTCCGTTAGCACTTCGTCTTGGACGGCGGCCGTTTGTGCGCAGGAGTGGCGAGTGCATTGCTGCTTTCTATCAAGGTCGATGACGGATCACGGACGCGATTAGTGGTAGAAGGTTGATTCGCGTGGGCTATTGAACGGGACGGTCATCATCAGACGTCGATCACTTTGCCTTTCCGTCTACGCTTCTCCCAAACCATCACATGCTCGCTCTGAAAGATTTTGGCTGTCTGATGCCGGATCAGGCTAGAGCTCTAACGCGAGCTTTTCAAACGGCTTGTTCTGTAGCCCACATGCTCGATGGCATTCAGGAGCATCGAATCCAGCGGAGAGCTGTCGAACTCGCAGCGAGAGGACGAATTAGACGCGACAAAATCGGTGTCTGCCTCCCCTTTGCAAATCGCTCAGAGCTCGTGCTCGGGTCTCGAGTCCCTGCTGCTTGCAAATAAAAGTCGGTCGTACGGAGTGGACGCTTGCGCCAAGCAAACGGAGACTTCCTGGTATTTGTCCCAACTTTTTGACCGCTTTCAAACATGAGCAAGGGCCGCCGGACTTTCATTATCGGTGTGGGCTGCACGGCATTTCGCAGACCGGACGGCACTAGGACCACAGAGGATATGGGTCTCGAGGCCGCCACCAAGGCACTGCTCGATGCCGGTTTGTACTTCCCATCTCATGTTCCAATCGTTTTCTAATCAGTGCCCCAGGTATCACATACGATGCTGTGGATACAGCTTTTGCCGGATACTGCTACGGCGACTCAACCTCTGGCCAGGTTTGTCCTTGAAAGAAAAGAGTACTAAGCTTACACTTGTGGGCTGATCGTCTCCCAGCGCGCATTGTATAATCTTGGTTTGACCAGTATCCCCGTCACGAACGTCAATAACAACTGCTCTACTGGCTCTACGGCTCTGTATCAAGCGAATCTCGCCGTAAAGCATGGGCAGGTTGAGTGTAAGGGCTCAATCAGATTTCAAGACAGGAGGACTGATATTTGGTAGGTGCTCTGGCTGTCGGCTTTGAGAGGATGAGTCCCGGTCAGTGCGGTCCCCAAAACCGCACTCAAATTCTCATTCATTCAAACCAGGCTCTTTGTTCACCAACTTCCCCGACCGCACGCCCCCGACTGCCCTTCTGGAGAGTCGTAGTTGGGCGCTCGAGACGGAGGAGAATTTCGGTCCCAACGCGCCACGCGTTTCGTGCAACGCTGCACAAGAGTTCTTCGATAAACACGGGGGATCCGTCGAGCATCTGGCGCAGATCGCGGCCAAGAATCACAGGCACGCGGTCAACAACCCGTACTGTCGCTTCCGCGCCGGGTGGACTGTTGAGGAGGTGATGGAGTCTCCCCAGATCACGAAGCAGCTCACGAAGTACATGTGCACATCGCCCGCGGTAAGTTTCCACCTCCCCCGGACCTCAATTTCTAGAATTCAATTGAATCGCTTGAAGGACGGAGCAGGCTGTGGCATCGTAGCCTCTGAGGACTTTGTGCATGCTCATGGACTCGAGAACCAGGCGATCGAGATCGTTGCACAGTGTTTGACCACAGACGGACCGGAGGCATTCGACGGGGATAGTAACATGGACGTGGCTGGCCAGAGCATGAACAAGATATGCGCGGACAAAGTTTTCGCCCAAGCAGGTTTCGGGCCAGGTGAGGGAAGAGATCAGCTCGGTGTCATCGAGCTTCATGATTGCTTTGCCGCCGCCGAGGTCAGAATTGGGATACCGATCGTCAAACCTATCCACTGCTAATTGAAACACACAGCTCCTTGTTTATCCCGTACTCGGCCTGTGTGATATCGATGACACTCACAAGTTTGTTGAGCGGGGCGACAACACGGTTCGTACGGTCTTGTGTTTCGAGTCCGATATCGTCGTCCGTGTCCTCATCCTTCTCCCTTGTGTAGTATGGCGGAAAGTTTGTGATCAACCCATCGGGTGGCCTCGAGGGCCGGGGACATCCGCTCGGTGCCACAGGCCTCTGCATGCACTTTTCGATCGTCATGCAATTGCGTGAGTGGGCGGGCCCGATGCAGGTTTCCGGGCTCTTCGACACGGCGGATCCTCGCGGCAAATTCGGCTTGATCCATAACGTCGGATTTGGCGGTGCGGTCGTGATATCGCTGCTCCGCCGCCCTGAATTCTTCAAGGCCGGGGGAGAGGACGGCAGAGATAGGTGACTTGCCGCAGACTACAATGAGGTGAACCTGCTGATAGTTCGACAGACTCGGATACAACCATGCTCATGAATGTCGCCCGATCACTCTCGAGGATGTCGATAAGATTAAAGCCAAGAAGAGCTCTGCGTTCGTTCTCAGACATGCCAAGCTTTAGATAGAAATCGTCGAGTCGGGTTAGATGAAATGTATCCGTTTGAGATCACAGCAGATTTGCTCTCCGAATTACATATTCGATGGACAGAACGGGGGTTCCAGTCCCGACGGATGAGGAATTAAAATGCTCACGAGATTGCAGGAGATATAATCCTACGCAGGCACAAGAGCATTCACTCGACCGAACAGGCACCGTTGATGACCATGGTGTCCCGTCAACCTAACTGACCGGCTTACCATTCAGAGCACAACCCGCTTGCCGAAACGAGCGTCCGACAATTTAGCATTCTACGCAATACGTCCTGTCAAGTGTGAGCGAGAGATTAGGTATCTTCAACCCGGCTCGGTTCCGAGGATTGGGTTCGAGTAAGGGTTCCAAACGCGTGGAATGGGCCCTTTAAACAGTCCGGGTCTCTAACAGCTCTCTCGATACGTCCCATCATGACTGAGACCGCGAATCCAAGTGTTTCCGAGGACGGAGACATCAACGGCTCAGCCCCGAGAAGAAAATCGCGCGGTTTCTATCTCAGCTTTCTAGCGCTGATGGCCACCACGTTTCTTAGCGCGTTGGATCTGACTGCCGTGGGGACAGCGCTTCCGACCATCGCAGCAGCTTTGGACGATAGCAGAGGCCTGGCAACTTGGGTTCGAATTTGGTTCGGAATGTATCGGGTGCGACTGAAACAGATCTTCAACCTAGATTGGCTCGGGGTACGCCTTGAGTAGTACTGCATTCATTCCTCTCAGTGGTAGTATGTCCGATGCTTTTGGGAGGTTAGCAATATCATATTCAGTCACCAGATAATTATCTAATCTACCCAATCTCGGGACAGACGGCCTGTATTGTTGGCTGCCTTTGTGTTCTTCGCGGCAGGAAGTGCAGTCGCTGGCGCCTCTCAAAGCATGGTATGCCAATCCAAAGTCCTTGAGATTTCTCGAGTGCCAATGAACAACACATCTAGTCGATGATTATAACGGGCCGGAGTGTGTGATACTTCAAAGATTAACTTTGTCTCTTGTGTGCTGACTATGCCAGCCATACAAGGTAACCTTCTGGGCATCTTTTCTGGCAAGTCTTCACGGATTGGACAACTCATCTCATATAGGCATTGGGGGTGGAGCAATAATCAATCTCACAGAGGTTTTAATAACAGATCTTGTGCCATTGGCAGAAAGAGGGCTTTACCAGGGCATGCTAGGCCTGGTTTGGTGTCTTGCATCTGTCTGTGTTGGTTTTCCTTCTCATCAGATTATGTCTCATATCTCTATGTCTTCTCATAGTCTATTGGCCCACCAGTAGTAGGCACATCTGGTTTTTGCAAGTTCTTTTGTCTGATGATCGTTTAAGGGTGGTCTGCTTGCCAATAGTGGACACAACTCCTGGCGTTGGCTCTTCTGTGGGTTCCTTTTGAACCATATTTGGTGATCATAACATATTCTAGACCTGAACCTGCCCTTGACCAGCATTGCTTTTCTGCTGGTTATGTTCTTTCTTAGGGTAAAGACCCCATTGGGAACAGTCAGGACAAAGCTTGTCAGGGTGGACTGGATGTGGGTCTTTTCTCAACTTCAAGTCTGCATTCAATACAGTTCTCTAGTGGAAATGCAATGGCTGTTTTAGGATCAGGTCTTGTGATCATTGCTCTTACCTGGGGTGGAGTCTCATACTCCTGGGCCTCTACACCTGTGCTTATCACTTTGATTTCTGGCCTCCTACTTCTGCTTGCATTTGGATTCTATGAAGCCTCAATCCCATCACAATCCACCATTCCACTAGATGTGATTGCCAATCAAACCTCACTCAGCAGGTGAGTGTACAGCAATGAATAACCTCATTTTAGAGAAACTGATTTTCTGATCAGTCTTTTTGCCATTGCAGCTCATGCAATTGCCAGCATATGTAAGTGTCCAGGGTTCTAGTCTGGCAACAAGCTGTTAAGTTATTCACAGCCATGATCTACTATTTGCCTGTGTACTTTCAAGCATGTTTTGGTGCTTCACCACTACAATCAGCCTTGGACTTTCTCCCTGGTGCTACCATCACTGCCCCATTTGGACTGCTTGCTGGAATGCTCATCACAGCAACCAAGCAGTACCGGAAAGTCAACTGGATTGGATGGCTGATCATGATTGTTGCATTTGGTTTGAGCAGCAGTCTGAAAGCCACAGCATCAGTTGGACAATGGGTGGGGTTCCAACTTCTTGCTGGAATTGGTATTGGAATTGTTGTAAGCTTTTCATCATTTACCCTATAGTTCTTACTGTCATCTTTCTGACTCCACTCTCAGTCTTGTGCTCCAGTCTTCCCACTCCTTGCACCACTTCATCCAAGTAGAGCTGCCTCTGCACTAGCACTGTTCTGCTTCACACGGTCATTTTTCCAGACATGGGGCATTGCCATCTCAGGGACTATACTTCAGGTTGAGAAACAGTTTCTCTCCACTGGATAGGAGGCATTGCTGATTCCAAATCCACAGAATCAGCTGAAAAATAATCTCCCAGCCACTTTTGTGGCAAGATTCCCTCCCCACTTCCATGTGGCCTTTGCTGTGATCCCAGCAATCAACCAACTTGACCAGCCATTGAAGTCTCAAGTACAAGCAGACTTTGCATCAAGCATGGCAGTTATCTGGCAGGTTATGACTGGAGTCTGTGTTCTTGGGTTCTTGGGCAGTTTGATGATGCATGAAATTCCTATGAGCACAGTTGTAGATGAGAATTTTGCATTGGATGAGCTGTCATCTTGAGTAGTTCTTATACACTATGACTTTATTATATATTATAGACCATTTTTTTTTATCCAATCTACTGATCTCTTGATTGTGCACCATCATGAGCTATTACGCATAACTTCGTTCCCTTTCTTGTTCTGTTCCGTATCGCTTTGCGAGTCATCCGATCAATCTGATTGACACTTGGCCCCATGCTCAACTGCGCTTCCCTACCGTTAGCGACCATGACCGCGCCTGCACGAAGTTTTCTCCGCTCTGCAGCCCTCGCTGACTCATAACCAGACCCTCGTGCACCTCGTATACATCCATGGCTTTCAAGGTAGCCAGCCAGCAAGCGCGATCGATGACTCTGACGTGTTCCAGGCAACGACACGAGCTTCCAGGTGCCTCTCCGTTCTTATCCTCCAAGCTGCAGCATTACAGCTGAATCGCTTGTTAGACTTTCCCGAAAGATCTCCAGCAGCACCTCGCAGCACGGATTCCCGCTCACCTCAATATCAGGATCCAATCCAGTCTATACCCTACGTACAAGAGCCGCAAGCCCATAGCCTTCGCGACGCAGAACTTTCTGTCATGGTGCGTCCGGTGTCTATTGTCAGAAGTCACGGTCCTGACGTCGTGATGGCAGGCTGGAGACCCAGCCCCCCGGGCCAGTCATCCTGCTAGCACACTCGATGGGCGGACTGCTAGCGGCCGACGCTGCGACAACCCTCTCGAACACGCCCGACGTGCGGACGCGGCGGATCCTCGGCGTAGTGAACTTCGATGTCCCGTTCTTGGGGATGCACCCGCACGTCGTCGTCAGCGGTATCGCGTCGCTCTTCCCAGACAAGGAGGAAGGACCTAGCGAGGCGGAGATGAACAAGCACAAGGACGTGAAGATCGTGGATCGCAAAGTGACGGAGGATTGGGAGCAGTCTGTGGCGACGATTGATGGTGCGAAGCTCGTTTCGTCTTGCGTTCTAGCGGACATGACTCTTGATGGTGCGCAGCTAAGCACAAGGCGTCTTCGTCCTCGTCATCCCCTCCGCACGCTGTCCCCAACGGCCCATCCAAGTTCGTCTCCAAGACGGTGAACCTGCTAGCCGGCGCAAACAACTCCACTCTCGGCCGCTGGGTACGCAAGCACGCTGATGCCCCATTCAGCGCCGGCATGCGCTTCGTGACAGAATACTTCCAGTTCGGCATCTGCATGTTCGACCCCGTTGGACTGAAAACACGCTATGCGCGGCTTGTGGGCTGGCCGGGCGGGATGTGGGTCAACTACTGGACGGAGGTGCCGAAAAACCACGCGAAGAAGGATGCGCTGGAGGAGGATTCGGATGCGAGGGCGGAGCTTGAGCTCGTGCAGAATGCGATGAACGGCCACGCGTCGACGGACACGCTCGCCCCGATGTCTCCCTCGTTATCGCCGTCTGCCTCGGGCAGGACGTCGAGGAGCCCTACACCGACAGCGTCCTCCACTTCGCTGACCTCTGCCACCCCTCCTCTGACGCCTGAGAAGCCACGGAAGCCCAAGCACCACCATTTCATCGTGCTCCCCGCCGGCGTAGTCGGGCTGCTCGGCGGTAGTGAGAAATGGGAGAAGGTGCCGATCGGAGGGGTCTCGGATGAGGTCGCGGGCCACTGCGGACTCTTCATCCGGGGACAGAATCTTGACTACGATGGACTCGTGCAGCGTGTCGGGGCACGTATATTAGACTGGTGCGAGGTGCTTAGATGACGACTAGCGCGTCGGCCCTCGCGATGATTCAATACCACTTTCTTGCTTGCACTCAATGCTTCCAAGTCATGCATGAGCCGGGCAGCTGCATAGATCGCTTGCAATGTGTTATGCTCGTGTTACTGATGACCATCGGATGCTAAACACCGAGCGTATCCGCAATCCATCACAGCGCAGAGCATGCATCCAGGCGCACCGCATCTGATCAGGCCGGAGTACAACTGCGTTGTTATACCAGGCCGAGTATGCCCGTAGTCAGACCAGGGGTATTTAATGTCGCAGATACGAAAGAGAGTGCATTGCAAGTTCTCTCACCTCGAATCACTTACCCAAGTTACTCAATACCCGGCTATCCAAGCTCCTATTCTCTTTTATGGACTCTTTCCACAGCCTCGAACTGATTCCGACGACCGCCGATGTTACCCTGGAGGGACCTGCGGCCGTGCCAGCCGACGCTGACCAGAGCTCAAACGGCAGCGAATACTGCGTCATCGCGTGAAAAGCGGTTCGTTTGACTTGTTCTCTTTTTAATAACGGGCCGCTGATTGGCCGCAGAACTGCATGTTGACTGAGTAACTCTATGACTGTATTGTCTACACCTGTCGTTTCATATCGCCCAGACTATCACCTTGTATAGAAAGAGAGTCTGTCCGTTACGGGCATTCTTTTCGATAGAAATGCCCACGTGAGTCAACACAAAGGTCATGCTGTGTGTCGGATGGTTACCAGTAAAGAATGCTGGGAATATCGACCCTTCATGCCTGCAATTTGTTTTTGATGCCCACATGCCGAGATGATACTGGAAACTTCCCTTTCGGGGTTGATTTACAGGAAATTCAGGAAAACCGCGTGGGTATCATCCACCCGAGTGGTGGAAAAAATGTTACCGGGGTCCATAAAAATAATGAAAACCCAGTTGAATTTCATCCGCAAAGAAGTCAAAGTCCGACCTTAGGACTGGCTGGAGGCCACGAGAGAGCAACATCGGTCAGGGATACGCCCGAGGCGACTTTCCAGCCAGGCAACATTTGGTCCACCCGTGTGATCCAGCTCCATTCAAATTGCTGCATAGTTTTAGTCCAACCCGCAGCTATTTGGGCTAGGTATTCTGCCCAATCTCGAGTGGGATCGCCGACCTGGCAGCGAACATTTTACCTCATTATCGGATGTCCCAATGTTCCGAGCTCTGCCAGCATGGTGCTCGGCCCCGGCAGGCCCCGGCCCCGACCTTCTCGTGGTTTCATCCACCGCCAAGGAACTTGTTTTCGACGGTTGGTGCGCTTGGCCAGGCAGCCAAGCGCGAGCCGTCCTTGGCTGTCTCCCAGTCATTTTTTGGCTTCCATAGAGGCACTCAGGAATCTTGACGACCAGTGTTACTTCAGGGAATCTTCCCTCTGTCTTTCCCTTGCCCCTACAACTACATTGCTTCTTTCGACGCACCTGTTTCATAAACAATCTAGAGACGTTGATCGGAGTTGCACTGACGTTGACAGACGCTTGGCACGCTCACGTGATAGATTGCCCCCAAATCCTGCATTGATCAAATCCGTCCCTTTTCTTTCTTCCCCTCCTCCCTCTCCAACGACCACATTTCGCTATGGTCGCCCTCTCCGCCTTCCTCCTGGCGGTCTCGCTCGCCGCGACCCACACCGCGCAGGCCGCGATCACGGTCTACCACGCCAACGACCAGCACGCCTTCACCACGTCCACGACGTCATCGCCCGGTGCGTCTGCGGGTGCGCAGGCCACGTACGTCGGCCCCGCGGCGTACAACCCCTCCACACTCGTTCCGCCGCCCGTGCCTACGCCGACGGTGTTGACGACGCTGCCTATTCAGCTGCAAAGCCAGGGTACGCCGAATTTGGGTATCCCGCAGAAAGGGTCGTTTTTCGGTTTTTCGATCGAGATGTCTGTGACGAACCAAGTCTGTGCGTGCAGAATCACAGTTGCTGACTTCAGTGGGCGTGTTTTGACCGTGCAAGGACAGTGGGCAAGAACTCGTCGCTCCTGCAAGTCCCATTCCTGAACCTCATGGCGAACATCCAGCAGCGCGCGGGCTCGATCATGATCCGAGTGGGCGGAAACACGCAGGAGTCGGCCACGCTCGTTCCCGTGGGGCAGATACCCAACGGCCGTATCCTGCAGAAGAACCTGACCGGCGTGACCGGTACGACGCAGACGCCCCCGCTCGACTTCACGCCGGACCTGCTGTACCTGATGCGCAACATCTCGACGCTTGTGAACGCGCACTGGTTCCTCGGTGTCCCGTGGTTCATCACCCAGCCGTTCGACCTGGCGATTGTCAAGGCGGCTGATGAGATCCTCGGGGATTATCTGCTGGGATTGCAGGCTGGAAACGAACCAGACATGTATGTTCAATTTTGGGCATCTGCTCTCGAGGGTCCCGAGCCTGATTGATGATCACTAGGTACACGCTCCACGGACACAGACCGACGACCTACAGCCAATTCGATTACATGGGCGAGTTCTCTGACTTTCTTACCCAACTGTCCGCTAGTGGGAACGACCCCACCGGCCGTGCTGCTGCGAATCTCATCGGCCCGAACATTGCAACGTTTGCTTGGACGCTCGAGTCCGTCTGGGACGCAGGGTTTGTTGACAAGTTCGGTCAGAACCTGGCGTATCTGGCAGCCGAAAAGTGCGCGACTCGCTATTCGTGTTTCCTTCACTTACCGGGTTTCGCGATAGATATCCTGCGGACAATTGCGGTGCGACGTTTGGCAGCGGCAATGCGATCAACCCACAGTCTGTGCTACCGGACTACCTGAACCATGCCGGGCATGTCAATCTGCTGAACCAGTACCTGAACAGCACGATGTATGCTCAGTCAAAGAACAAGCCGTTCCTCATGTTCGAGACCAATACGGTTAGTTTCTTGTTCTCCTGCTGTGTCCTTTGAATCTGAATTTCAGCCCAGGCTTCGTGTGGTGGATTCTTGGGCATCTCTGATTCGTTTGCCGCTGCTCTGTGGGGTGTCGACTACGCGCTCTTGATGGCGCACTCGAACTTCTCGGGAGCGATGTTCCATATCGGTGGTGAGAACGTCTTCTACAATGTGAGTATTTCGTCCTCCCTTGCCCGTCACCTCTCTGATGCTGACACTGTCCAGCCATTCACCGCGCCACCAACGAATCAATCGTCCTTCCGTCAATGGACGATTGGCCCGATCTACTACTCCGCGCTCGTCGTCGCCGAGGCTTTGGGCGCTTCCAACCAAACGCAGGTCCTGAACCTCGGTGTCCCCGGACTGAGCGACTTCACTCCTCTGTATGGCCTATATGAAAACGGGGTCCCCAAACGCGTGGCTATCATCAACTATATCGACGACCCATCCGGCGCGAACGACGTACATGCTGTCATCTCCATCGCCGGCTGGACTGCGCCGAATTCGGTCAAGGTCAAATATCTTGCAGCGGCGAGTGTCGTGCAGAAAGGAAACATCACGTGGGCTGGACAGGTCCGTCGTCGCTGGTATTCTACATATATCTTCTGCGTGTTGCTGATGGTGTGCCAGACGTTCGGGGGTGTGTTCGAATCGGACGGCCGGCCGATGGGGACGGAGGTGATCCAGACTGTGAACTGCGACACCACTGCGCAGACATGCACCGTTGTCGTGCCCGCGCCCGGCATGGCGCTCGTGTTCCTGTCCGACGACGCGCAGACGGAGAGCGGTGGGATGCCGAGCATGACGTTCTCGACCTCGGCGCATACGAAGTTCAAGAACACCGGTGCGTGGCTCCGCTCTATGTGGATTCTGTCCCACCCGTTTCTGACTTGCACGGCAGCGACGGTTGATCCGGCTGTCCTAGCGACGTCGAACGGGATGAGGATGTCGGAGTATGGCCTGGCGGGGACCAGCAAGCCCCCGAGTGCGGGACAGAATGTGCGGGTGTCGGTCGTCACGCTCGCCCTCGGGGTTCTTGCCGCGACGGTGTTGGTGATGGGGCGGTTGTAGTGTGGGTTGAGTGTCCAAGCCACTCTCACACTCTTTCTCGTACTTATTTCATGGTGATAGCGTACAAGTACAGCGCACGGACAGGTACTGGATATTCGCGCTGGATTTTTTTTGTTACTCTCGTTACAGATGTATATGTGGACATAATTATGATACCCTCATGTAGATTATTGCATTTTGGACTGGTGGAGCAAGCACGAACAGGGGACACGTGACGATGAACCGTGGGAATCGTCATATTAACCATTTTTTTCCCTTTCTTGTGATACTTGGAATAAATGCCGGTCATGAGTGGCACAGCGAGAATCTCCTTTTTCGAGTCACGTTTGGTTTTGATTAAAGACCATGCATGTGGGGCAGGGCTTTTGTTGGTTGTGGGGATTATTAATAATAGAGATCATTGATCCCAGCTCGGATATTGGATAACAAGCGTGGCAGTGAGAGGAGAATGCACTGTAGACATCTCAAATCGAATCATGATCTCTCGGGACGTGTCTAATCTATACAGCATCGTCTAGAAATGCAATAACGATGCATGCAAGGGAGAATGTTTGTATAAATAATCAAGTTGCAGCGTCCACAATAATAAATTAAAGTCAAAATTTGAACAAATAGTCGCTCAGACCGAATGGTATTTTTTCTTGTTTCCGGTTCGCGCCCGATACGACAGGAAAATTTTGATCACGGGTGGTGATGGTGCGCGCGACGGATGTCGGTCTGCGGGCCGAGGGCTGATCGGGGATGATTATGATCTGTCTGTTGCCAGCGCGGGACGCGATCTCTTGCGCAACGCTGCCACCGCCGTCACCGCCTGCACCCAAAGCAAAAAAGCTTGGTCTTGTCCTGCTGCCACACTCGCCGTCTATAACGTCGTCCATGCGCGTCCCGTCGCGGTACCTCCGACTCCTTGGGCTCCTCGCCTGCGTCGCCGTGATTGCCGGTGCAGGCCGGTACTTGACGCTCGCGTTTGATCGAGTTCTTCCGCGTGCGTATGTGCCCCCGCCGGAGACGCTCGAGCTGGGCCATCCGACGTTCGCGGATGTGAGGGAGTATGAGCGGGGGCTGGAGCAGCATCGGAGGTTTAGCAGTGCATTTGGTCGCAGGTGCGCCGGTGGGAATCAGCATCGGGTCAGCTGAATTAACTCAGTGCAGATATGTTTATTTTCCTCGCGAGGCGTGGGGGACCGGGTGCGTGGGGCGCGATTCCGATCCTAACCCAACTGTCGACTGATGCACTCCCGCAGATGGAACAACGTCTTCCAAGAACAGTATGCAGCGCACCCCACCCATTCTCAAATCTCTCACGTAATCCAGACTCCTCAACACGCACCTGGCGTTCCTGGCAGACAGGGGCTATGTGTTCGCAGATTACATTGCGCGCGATCACCCGCCGTTTCCGGACCTCCTGCCCAATGGCACGCGCGCGCACCTGCACGTCCCGATGAATGCCTTTACGGCGGGGCCGACGGGCGGCGGTGCGTGGGGTGCCGGACACTCTGCTAAGCGGGCGCGGGGGGTCTCGAAGGAGTGGTGGGACGTGGTGTGTCCGCCGGAGCGGGTGCACACAGTGGATCTCGGGGAGACGAATACTGAGTTGGGGATAGGTGGCGAGACGTCGGGGCTTGATATCATGACCAGATGGGCCACGAAGTTGAGGAGAATTGACGCAGAGTGCGTGGAAGTTTCAGGGGGGACCCCGTTCAACTACGAGTGCGTGCATCGGGAACTCAGCTCCACTGACGAGAACACATCCTCCCCGCAGATTCATCATCACGGACAGAATGCTGTCCCTCTGGCCCTCGTACGGCTCATCTCCGACACTGACGCAATTCACGTGGTCGGCGCTCGTCACGCGGGCCATCGCACGCAACTTCGCGGTCTTCTCACACAGCGCAGACACCCCGCCGCGCCCCCTCCAGCCGCACCTCTCGCGCTGGCTCCGCTTCCCGGGGACCGGAGACGCGTCTTCGCCGTTCCCCCTCTCCGCGTTCCGCCCGCTCCCCGTCTCAGCCCCCGCGATCCCGGGGCTCCTCGCGCTCCACATCCGGCGCGGCGACTTCGGGGAACACTGCCCACGTCTGGCAGCCGAGTCGCTCGACTACAACACGTGGAACCTGCTTGGACGCCCGACGCCCGGCGGTGGGCCGGCCCCGCTGCTGCCGGATTACAGGAACGGGAGCGACGACGGGAGGGAGGTGGTGATGCGCCACTGCTGGCCGGCGCTCGAGAGCGTGCTCGCCAGGATCGCGCACATCCGCGCACTGCATCCGGGCCTGCAGGACGTGTTCGTCGCGACGAATGCGGAGAGGGAGTGGCTTGACGCTCTGAAGGTTGATCTGAGTAAGGCGGGGTGGAGGGGTGTCGCTACCTCGCTGGACCTGCGGCTGGCACCGGATGAAGCAGCCGTGTCGCATGCGGTGGATATGGGTATATTGGGCGCTGCGGAGGTGTTTATCGGGCAGGGGGTGAGCGCTCGTGGTTTTTCTTTCTCTCTCTGATCCCTGGGCTGATGTACCCTGGATCAGTATTCTAGTCTGACTTCGAATGTGGTGCAGTTGCGGCTGGCGGGAGGCAGGGCACCAGCAACCAACAGATTCTGGTGATTAGAGAAAAGTAGTGTATTATTGATAGTCTACCCTGGGGCCTAAATTATAATGGAAATTTAATTATCAGCTACTCAAAAGTCTGGCAGTTAAAATTACATAGTGTAATGACCCTTACGTCACAGACGCATCACGTGGAGCATCTGGTCCCGTGCGAGAATTTTCTCATTTCTCCCCCACCTTCGTAACCGACAGCAACGGAATGGTGGCTCAAGTGCAGCGCCCCGCGCCCCCGTTCAGCGCGACGGCCGTCGTCGATGGCGTCTTTGAGGAGGTGTCGCTGGAGGGGCTCCTAGCCAAGGGCAAGTGGTGAGCAGCCGCCCTGGAGACGGTGCTACAACGAAGAGCCTGACGCGTCGTTGCTTCTCACCAGGGTCGTGCTGCTGTTCTACCCACTGTAAGTCCCTCGCGCTTCCCGCGGGCGTCGTTCCGCTGCTGACGTGCTGCCGCGCAGGGACTTCACATTCGTCTGCCCCACCGTGAGCACCGCCGGACGGGCGACGGAGTGCGCTTCGCAGCCGCTTACGCATCCGCACAGGAAATCCTCGCGTTCAACGACGCGCTGCCCGCGTTCGACGCGATCGGCGCCGCGGTCCTGGGCGTCTCGACCGACTCGCACTATGCGCACCACGCGTGGGCGAGCCAGCCCCGCAGCCAGGGCGGGCTGGGCCCGGGCCTGAGGCTGCCGCTGCTGTCCGACCGGAGCACGAAGATCTCGCGGGCGTATGGGGTGCTCGTTGAGGAGGAGGGCGTGGCGCTGCGCGGGGTGTTTGTGGTCGACCCGCGGGGTGTGGTGCGGTGCGTTGCCTGGCTCTATTTTTTTTTTCTCGCACACACATATACACTCTTTTGGCTCTATTTCGCTGGCATTCCTCACGACTTTTCTGCTGCTCACGCTGACTGCTCACGCTGACTGCTGCGAAAGGCAAATCACGATCAACGACCTTCCGGTCGGCCGCTCGGTCGAGGAGACGCTGCGCCTCGTCAAGGCGTTCCAGTTCACGGACAAGTACGGCGAGGTGTGCCCGGCCAACTGGCACGAGGGCGGGCCGACGATCAAGCCCGATGCAAAGCGGTCACTGGAGTACTTCGCGGCGGTGGAGGGCAACGTGCCGGAGGGGGAGGTGGAGGGGCAGCCGCGGCCGGTGAAGCGGCAGAGAGTCGGTTGAATTGTGCTGGGAATCTATTTCGCACGGTGCAAGTGCAGGCCGGGTTGCTGGCTCGATCACGTCCTCCCCCCCCCCCAATTGTATTGAATCGATCTTCCTCCGCTCCTGCGTGATTACCACGCTCCCGTTCCAGGGCTTCCCGACGTCCCATTCCCGCCCTCAAAATGCACATCAGCAGCCGTGTTCCATCGCGCATCTGCATATCTGCCTTGTGGTTGATGTTCTTCTCGGGTGGTGTGATAGATAATTAAGGCATGTGCGCAGGCCGAATGCAGACCCGTGGTCCAGACGTCGGCCGGGGGAAGCGGTGATTAAACGCCCGCTCGCATGTTGTGAATCGTGTAAGCGAGAGAAGGTCGGCGGTGGAAGTTGTCGCTTGCCGCGAAGGAGGGAGGGGCTGGTCGGCGCGTGTAAACAACGTGCAGTGTCGGGAGGCTAAGAATTGACGGCGAAGCAGCCCGTTCCGCGTGTTTTCCCAGGACCTCGATTTGGGATGCTTGCACCCGAGTCGGTAAGGAAAGTCAACATGTTCTGCATATGATTGTTCGGCATGGCATAAGTACAAAAAACAACAGTGCTACCTAGTCCGTCCCATGAGTGCTACGATACAATACCTAGTGATACATTTGGACTGTATGCCCCGCATACCAGTGCGCGATACACCCGGGAACCAATCCATCCCACCCCCCATACAAACCCAAACGTAGCCCCCAAAAAAAATCAAGCAACATGTGGCAGAGGACTCGTCTTCCTCTTCTCGCTCAGACATCTCCGCCAGCCCCAAACAGGGAATTTTTCCGGCTCGTCAATCCACTCGAGCATGACGCGCAGCTCATCGCGCCGCTCGTCCGTATCAATGGGCCGCAAATCACGCGCGCGGCGGCTCCACGCGCGGAACTCCTCCGCCTCGCCGAGCGCGCCGTAGCCCATGGCGATCGCGTCGAGGTGGCGGCAGTACCCGAGCGTCTCGAGGCCCTCGGCCTCGATGAGCTGCACCGCGCGTTTGTGCGCGTCGATGAGGAGGTGGTCCGGCAGCCGCGCGTCGACGCACCACGCCTCGAAGCGCGCGGGGACGGCGCCCCAGAACGCGTGCAGCTCGGCGCGCGCGGCGTCGTTGGGGCGCAGGCAGTGCGGGCAGCGGCACGTGAAGTTGTAGAGCGCCTTGAGCGCCTTTTGGCGCGCGGCGTGCGGGTGCGTCGGGGTGACGTATGCGACGGTGATCTCCTCCGTGGCGGGGATCGGCCGCAGCGCGCGGAGAGTGAGCGAGAACGTCGTGGGGTCCCAGCGCCACTGCGCATTTGGCCCGCAGCTGATGAGAAATTGAAAATGTCATTAGAATGGTTAGATACGGGCCAGCCCAGCACGCACCTGTGGTTGCACCGACTCGTGTTGAGGAACACGGCCCGGTGGGTGGGCACCTCCGCGTGCGGCACCTCGGGGACGTCGAGCGTGATCGCAATCGCGTTCGTCAGGATAACACCCTCCAGTCCGGGCCGCTGCGTGCAGTTCGCCAGCCCCATCAGGCGCGCCGCGCACTCGGGGCTCAGCCTGCGCAGGAGCGACGCGTAGACGTCCGCCTCGGTCTTCCGGTCGAAGCACGTCATCAGATACGGCACGACGACCGCCGGCCGCTCAACGAGCACCGTGCCCCCCGCCGGGATGTTCCGCGAAGCGAACATCCCCTGTCCGGCTGCCCCGCCGGGCGTCGCTTGGATGCTGAACGTGCTTCCTTTCGGCGCCGCGGTGCGGGCCCGCGGCACGGGCGTCGGCAGCAGCCGCCGCACGCCGACGTCCAGGAACGCGGCGGTCTCGGTGTCGGCGTCGTGCGCGTAGGGCACGCGGAAGGCCTCGTACACGCGGCTCCCGACATGCCCCGCGAGGTCGAAGTACGGCGAGTCGAGCAGCGGGTTCGTGCGGATGTGGGCGTTCATGCGGTTGCACACGTTCAGCGGCGGTAAAGAAGAGACGTCGTGCAGCGCGAGGTGGGAGGCGGGGCTCACGCGACGTCGTCGGGCTTGGAGGGATTGAGGGGTGGCGTAAAGCGGCGGTGGCGGTGGTGGTGGCATAGGGAGGACAGCGGATTTGTACAGAGGAGGTGGGGAAGGGAAGGAGTCGCGGTAGATTTTGGGCGGCGCAAGGCAAGGCATCTCGTAAAGCAAGAGAGCAAAAACCGAATTGAGGGGTCGTCGCGGTGAAATGAAGCATACAACGCGAGGGTATATAAACACTCGCTAGCGCAGCTAGAACGAGGGGGTCCCGGTCTGCTGCAGATCGACCCGGCACGCGACGGCGAGTTTATTAGCGACGCGATGCTGAAAGGGCAACCCCGTTCGCAAAGCGAGATTGATGTGAGAACCACTTTGTGTCGTGCCGGTGCCACCCCGTTTTGGTGAAGCACCTTTTATGTCTCGGGCCCGCTACAAAGGGCGCATCGTGGCCTGCACGCGCTGATTGAATCAATGAAGAAACCGCCTTGGGTTGTTGATCATGAAAGGCGTTGATTTGGCGCACCGTAGAAGTGAAACGATCTTCATGAAAAAACACCAAAGTCGCGGTATCATCTCTCTGTGTTTCGTCTCGCCACCATCTCATGTTCGTCTCGCCACATTCCGCAGCGCATAACCACCCGGGCCAAAGTGAGTCCCCGTCGAGAAAGTGCTGGCCACGAGTCTATGAGGTCATACGATCACCGTCTTCCTGTGATATCTGCGATCAGAGCGTGCTTCCTGCAGCAGGAAGAGAACAAACAGCCAGAGCGCCGCCCAGTGGGTCGTCTCTGTCCTTGCAGGCAGCGACAGCGAGTTTCTGCGATCTGTCAAGTTTTTGTCACATGTGACGACCTGGAGGTAGCCCGCTTAGATTCTGGGTCACGAGACTGTGCATGAATGATTATGGTTGCCCATCAGCCACGTCGCAATTGAGCTTCGGCTACGTCCGCGGCCGCCCCCTCTCGGTGCAAAGTTGCACGGAGCTGCCTTCTGGGGATTCGCCCAAGTAGCTCGTCAGAGAACATACAGGGCGAGCATCACTGGCGAGCAAAAAAGCCGGTGAGCGCACCGCGATCAGCACGAGAGGACATCAGAGACAGAATTAGACCCCGGATAGATTTGATACAGCTCGGGAAAGTGATTCATTAACATCGGCAACTGGAAGCCCGGGCAGCCGGGATATTTCTGGAGCTCAGGCTCGAACTTCGTTGACCCTCAGACCATTTCGGTGGTGACACGGGCGTTATTTTCTTGTTGTTCCCCGGGTGGAGAATCGGAATGAACGGTCTGTTCGAAACAAGAGCGGACATGACATTGAGCCAGGGTGTTGGCACGGTTCCGGCACTTGGGCGTATGCACCTACGATAGGCAGGCCTGGCCAGTCTGCTGGAGAACAGACACGCCTCACGCGCCGCTGTTTTGGCCAACCGTATCAAAGAGAGGCTCTCAGGAGATGAAGGCTTTCAGGAGATCATTTGCTCTCGGCACGACGGTGAGTGCATGTAGCGAGCACAGAAATTCTGGGTATCACCCTGATATATCTGTTCTGTCTGCTTTGCCCGTCACACGTCGCTTGTTCCTCGCTGATATCCATAATCGACCAACCAATCACCGAGTTCGCGAACGAGGTCTGCGGCATCTCGTCTTCGACTGACGTCTTTCTGCACACGGAACTGCACACGGGACAAAATCACTCCACGGCGGGTGAGACGCAGGTCATCTGCGCGATCATCCACAGCCCAGCAGAAGGGAAGGAACAGACGAGCGAGGGGCGACCCTGGGGCCTCCCTCTGCTTCTGTGATCTGCCGTGGGGCGGACTGATCCGGGATCAGATCATGAGCACACGCGCTATTGACCTGACCACCGGCATCGGCCGAGACGCGCTGTTCTCGACCCACGCCCAGGGGCTTGTGATCTGTGATGTCTATGCAAGAGTGCGCGCGTAGGCACGATCCATCAGGATTCTGCGAAGGCCACGTTGGTCCGGCTCGTATCATCCTCGCTCGGAATCACAAAAGCGGGATGCGAGGAGTGCATTTGGAGCGTGATTATACGAATGTACCCGCAGCTGATTCGATCCGCCTGTTCTCTGCGCGAGCGGATGATCCCTAGCGAGAGGAAGACGCGGAAAATCCCGGCTCTCCGAGGGGGTACGCTCGTAACTTTTTGTTGGTTGTGAGAGCTATCAAGTGTTGTGACGCAGCCTCGCTGAGATGACTGGTAATAACATGACACAAAAAGCGATCCGGATGCGCAGCCCTCGCGATCGTTCTTCTTCTTGTTACGTGCTTCCTTCGCAATGATAGTTCAGCACTACTCGAACTAGGATTGATTCTTGATTCATCGCAGGTCGATCGACTGAATATCCTCGATTTGAGAATTCTGAACAGCCGCATCGTTTAATAAATCTCTGCCTCGCTGAGAGAGATAATGCATTCGAGAGCCAGATCCAGATTTGGATCTCACCGTACATTGCAGTCTGACCCCAGATCTAAGCGATGCAGCCTCTGCGACATGAACGTCGACTCGGAACTCGGTTTGAGGCGCTACGAGACGAGGACTGAAGCGTTTGTGCGCACAGAAGTTGAAACGACGAATTTGTATGGACCCAGAGACGAGCAAGAGATTGCGCGAAAAATCAGTCGGTGCTGCGCACGCGGCCTCAGAGAGCGCATCATCTGAGCCCGTTCTAAGGGTTTTCACCAATGCAGATCAGTATGACACAAAAGAGGAGTCGTAGGGAAGCGTTATCGAGAGAGCCAGCACAGAGAGCCAGCATGACCAACAGGCAGCTTGGTCGTCGACGAACAAAAATGGAAGCTTTGGCGCGGTACCCGACGGATTTCGGCCCAAAAATTTTGGAAACGTTTGGGAAGTACTAGATTCACGAGGCCTGTTCGAGAAATCGTAAGGCCCTGACATCTCATGCTGACGGGACGCTGAAGGAATCATCCCTTCTTAGGTGTAGTCTCGCTACTATCCAAGCCCATCACGATGATGTGGGCAGCGGCTTGGGCGGAGTGCAATAGCTGGACACCAATGTTCGCTCTCATCTCACGCTCTTATCTCCTATAGCACGCCGTATGGATTCCGACAGTCTCTCTTCTCTCGGTGTGTTTATTCACGAGCCTGGGGCGGATGACGCACCTCGGAAATACCAGGCACGCGGACATGCAGGCCCTGCCGTCCCCGGCCGCGCAAGCGCTACAACGTGCACCGTGATACCCTCTGGGCCGCCGCGGAGAGTCTAGACCGTCGCGCACGCGCGGGCGCAGCAGCCAGGCTTCTCCATTTCCATATCACACCCCCACCCGCCTTCAGGGCTCAAACTTTAGTGGGCAGAACAACTACTTAGCCGATCGTGACGTGACATGCAACAGATCTCGAGCCAGCATGCCCGGCCGGCTTCGGACATCTCCGGCGTCTCCGCCGGCCGGCATCGCGACGGGGCTACACCGAGGGTGCCGGACCACAGGCTTTTCCGGCGACTCCCGATTCCGATGTGATCCGGCACCAGATGGGAGCATTTCGCGCCCGGTGCGAGAACATGTTCCCTCCACGACTCTTCGCCGTCCGAGCCGGGCGAGTGGCACGTGTTCCTTGCCACGCCAGAATCTCACCCGGCCGACTACGGTGGTCCGCGTAAGCGCTATTGAATAGCGAGGAACCTCCACGACGGACTGTTGTGGGAACGCGAGTCTGCGAGCGCGGCACTTTTCGGGGAGGATTTGATGTGAAATTTGCCCCGATTATGGGCCATACTGATTCTCCCAGCAGGCTCGTTAGCTACAGCTTGCCCATGAATCGGCGACGATGCGTACGTGAAAGCGCAATGCTTAGTCGCATGCGGTGCCCATCGACGCGAATCGTTATCATCCGGGTTTCTCATTCGTCCATCAGTGTGAGCACTGAGGACTCTTGAAGTCCAGCTCTCTCATGGATCGCCACCATGGTTGACCCACCCCGTAGCTCTTGTTGTGTTCGATTTCGACCTGCGACATAACTTCAGTTCATGCTCCATCTTCGCTAGTGTCCATACACGAGGTTCTGGACATCTGCAGCGTCTCGCCTCTCCGCTCAGACGATCCAGGTTCAAGTCAGGGCAAGCATAACTCACCTCTCCGTTGAGGTGTGGTTCTCATCGAACCCGACTGATCCTCAAGTTTATTGTTTTTTCGGTACATCCTCGCAACGTGATTTAACTCCGTGATTCGAGGCGTCGCCGATCGGGAAGAGGATAATATTGCGTATCACAAAGATCAACGTTCCGTCTTACATTGTGTACTGCCTCATTCGTTCAAACAGAATTCCGAGTCCGCTACGCTGCCACATTGACCAGATTGCGATATCATACAGCAAATAAGCGTCTGGGATCGCTTAGGCGCCCTGGATGGTGAAGTACGGGCTCTGGTTGCCGGAGCCGCCAAACACTACCAACCGAGGGCACATCAGCGCCAGCTCCTCGCAAGCCAGAACGCAGCAGAGACACTCACAAACGAGCTGGTAGTCGTCTCCGTCGACGACCCACGGGACGGTCACCTCGATCTGCGCGAGCAAAATATCGAACCCCTCCGCGAGGATGACTGGATCGGATCACACAACAACAAGTCAGGCCGAGTCCTTGGGACGGGGGAAAAGAACGCACCGGGCGTGGTGTAGTCGGCCTTGCGCAGCATGATGTGTCCTTTGCTGTCCGTGATCTGCTTCGGGGCGTTCGACGTGTCCCTGCGCAGTGCGCAGCCTTCAGCCGCGGTGCAAAAGTACAACAACAAAAAAAAACTGAGCGCACCACGTGACGTTTTGTTTCTCCCCAACGGTCCAGACAGCCCCGGCGGTCGGGTACGTCATATGCGGGCTGTACACGTCGAGAGCGTTCGGTGGCAGCGCGGCGGTGCTGCCGATCGAGAGCATCACAGACGCGAGTCCGGCCACGGCGGTTGTGAATTTCATCGTGCTTGTGCGGCCGCGATGAACTGGAGAGGGAGGGTGAGGAGGCCGGAGGCGGGATGTGGGAGTGTCGATAGCACGGCGGGTCGTATCGTTTTTATATTCGAGCCGGACTCACGGCATTCGGCCGAATCGGGAACAGAGCGCGCGCTCATAGTCGGCTTCTGAAAGGGAATGCTGAAAGATCGACGCTGGGGAACCGTGATCTAAATGGCACGCCGACGTGGTCTCTGCGGGGAAGGCATCTGGAACTATTGGAGCCCCCGCTATCTCGTGTGCCCGCGTAGGGCACAAGTCTCCGCGTTATCAGACAGCTGACAAGGCCGTCGGCCGAGCTGATCCTACCTGAGGAAAGAAGCAGCGCCTGCCAAGCTCCTGCGTCGTAACCAGCCCAGCCCAGCCTGTCCGCAGAAAAACTTCGAGGCGGGCGGGCACAGTATCTGAGTGTCGCGAGCTTGCGAAGCTGTTTCAACTCCGGTTTCTGCGATACATAGCTCAACTTTTATCTTGACGAGGGCGTAGAGTAGACGTCCCAAATCGTACTTGTTCTACTTTGATGCAACGGCCTATCCGAGCAGGTCGGAGTTCAAAATCGGCATCTCGCGTGTAGGGATGACTGATGGCCGCTTGAGCTGTGGCAGGCGGCATTGGTAACGTCTTGGGCGCGTAGACAGCTTGCAGGAAGGCCCAGCGAGGCATATTTGCAATGGGACAGCTCGCTTGGAGTCCCTCCATGGCTCGAAGATTCGGTCCGAGGAGGCCAGGGCTGCACACAAGTCGATTGATGGACCTCTCTCACGCAGGCTGGTGCGGCATTTCGGTGCGGTGTACGGTTCCACGCTACTTTCTTCTTGCCAACATAATGCTGAGCTCGTTCTTTGCTGATCCCTGTGCTGGAGCACAAAAAGTTCGTGTTCGAAGGTACCGGTAATGTACATGGTCGCAGATGATACAATACAACCACGTTCCGCAAGGAAGATGGTGGAGTACGGCCAGTCAGTATGTGTACATACAATACGTGTTGCGATACAATGTCCAATGTGTGATTGAAGGCGTTCGTGAAAGACCTCGGCAATGCCTGAAGGATCAGATTCCACCGCCCTGGATCGTGAAGAACGGGCTGAAGTTGCCCGAGTCGCCGAACACTATAATCCGAAAACGAATCCGTTCAGAACATGGTAAAGCACGAGCACGGAAGAGCACGAGGACGCACAAACAAGCTGGTAGTCGTCCCCCTCGATCACCCACGGGACGGTGACCTGAACCCGGCCAAGCAAGATGTCGAAGCCCTCGCCCAAGATAACTAGGAGCACAGTTCAGTCTACGCCCTGCGGGCAAGCAGGTGGGACACGCACGAGGTGTCGTGATGTTGGCTTTGCGGAGCATGACTACGCCCTTCCCGTTCGTGATTTGTTTCGGCGCGTTGGACGTGTCCCTGCGCGCGCGCATGAGGCGCGCTGTACAGAACAGAGAAAGGGGTTGGTTTGGAGCACGTACCACACGACGTGGTGCTGTTGCCCGACGCCCCAGACTGTCCCGGCGTGCGGGTACAGCACGGGCGGGACGAAGACGTCGCGGGCGTCCAGCGGGAGGGCGCCGACGCTGCGGATCGAGAACATCGCGGACATGAGCACGGCGGCGGCGGCGAAGGCGGTCGTGGATTTCATCGTGGGTCGTGGGTCGTGAACGAAGAGGCGGAGGGAGGGGAGAGAGAAGAAAAGAGGCGCAGGAGGAAAACGAAGGGAGATGGGGCGGAGAGTAGGGGAGGGGGCGGTGTATATATAGGCAGATGTACGCCGCGCACTCACTGCATTCTGCCTGTGCCGCGTAGGGCAGAAGTCTCCGCGGTTGCGTCATCGGACCGGACAGGTGATGTCGCCGGCGGGCCAGCTGGGTGGAGGATCATCCTGCGTGCAGAGAAGCGCTGCTGGCTCCTCTGAGCTCGCCAGATGGGGTGCTGGCCCCGTGGACCGAAGGCACAGGTTCCAAGCTGAACCGTGTGGAAGGGGAAAGAAATAAAATGCGAGATTGCGCCACTGTCAGGTCAGACACAGACACATCTCGCGGCCGTTAATGCCCGCAGCGGCATGTCAGGGGGAGCCTGGGGGCCCACAGCATGTGCGGAAGAAACGGGGCCACAGTGGGAAGCATAAAGCAGAATTCGTATGATCGATGACTCAGTCAGTCATTCGACTACTCCGTTTGATCCCGAGTCTGTATCCGATTTCAGCCGATTTCCGATCAAGTCCGAGGTCAAGCACTTTTCGCGAAATTTATTCTAGTTCAACATTTACAATACAGAGGGAGATGAGTGTGAAAGTATAGGGAGAGAACAGTGCAGTCTGGGGGCTGGTCTTCAGCCGCATGTGGCGGGGTTGAAAGGGCAGTTGTTGCTGAGAGGGTTGGTTAGTCGACAGGAACGTGGAGGGCGGAGAGGACTCACGCATGACCTCCGCCGCGCCATCCACAGTGTGCACACTGCGGTCCGCTATGCAGCTTCGGCTGCGTCTCCGCTGTGATAGCCCGGTTTTCGACCGGAGCTGGGGTGACCGCTGCGGCTGTGCGAGTAGTCTGCAGCATCGCGTGCATCTGGGATGTGTGTGCGGGTTGGGGGGATGGAAGGGTCTGGTTTGAGCGGGCGCTGCTGGGCTGTTGTAGCTGAGTATCCCGCGGGCCAGACTCTTTAAGTGCCGTCGCGGACCCACCCAACAATGGTGTCTGGACCTCGAGGCTGGCTTGCGCATCAAGACATCGAAGCTTCAGTCCGCGGAAGCATCTGTCCCTTTGTGGATGACAATATGAAATTTCACGACGTGGGCCGCAGGGTAGATGAACAAAGGGGGGTCTGCGGCCTCAAAGGGAGGCAGATCTTCAGTGCGGTCTGTTGGCTGTCAATGTACTGCACTCGGTACTGTACGCAGGCTGCCCTGTCTGTCGAGATTTGACATCTTTTTGGGTAACGATATTTTGATGGGCTGTGCGTTGAGGTAAATGGACTGGACCTGCGAGAGAGCTGGCTGATAGAGTGGATATTTCGCACGTGATCGTGGTAGCGTGTCTGATTTGCCTTCACCGGCACAGCCACTCTGCTTTTCCCCTCCTTCACTCGCGGTGCCCAGTTGAGCCAAGCGTGGACGCACAGCAGCCCGAGTCGAGGGCACACGTGAGCTCGCTTGATATCCGCTGCTGGATCCCATACTTACGATCGGGTGGAAAAGAGAAGAGAGCGAGGCTACAGATCTCGCAGGTGCAGAGATGTCGGAATCGAAGAGACGCGTTTCGTATTACTACGATCGTGAGTGCCTGTGCTTTTTTGGAGCTCTGAAATCGCACTGATTACACCCTCCCCATATGCGCACATCCACAGCCGACGTAGGCGGCTACACGTATGGGCAGACGCACCCGATGAAGCCGCATCGCGTACGGGTTACACATGAGCTGGTGGGGGCTTATGGCATGCTCGAAGCACCGGGCATGACTGTCCTGGTATGTGGTGGTCCCACCCCCCACTCTGCCTCATCCACGCCCGCCCGCTGACCTGCCAATCAGCGCGCACCCCGCGCGACGCCTGAGGAGCTGACGGCCTTCCACACCGACGACTACATCGACTTTCTGGCGCGCGTGACACCCGAGACGTCGGACCAGCTGACGCATCAGGGGCAGGTGTGTGAGTCGTCGCTGCACGCCGCCCACGCACACACTCACGCACACGCGCAGTTCTCGTCGGCGACGTGCCGGACAACCCGGCGTTCGAGGGCGTGTTCGAGTACTGCACGATCTCCGCGGGGGGCTCGCTGGCCGCGGCGCGGCGCCTGACGTCGGGCGCGGCGGACATCGCGATCAACTGGGCGGGCGGGCTGCACCACGCGAAGCGCGGGCAGGCGGCGGGCTTCTGCTACATCAACGACATCGTGCTGTGCATCCTCGAGCTGCTGCGCGCGCACCCGCGCGTGCTGTACATCGACATCGACATCCACCACGGCGACGGCGTCGAGGAGGCGTTCTACACGACCGACCGCGTCATGACGTGCAGCTTCCACAAGTTCGGCGACTTCTTCCCTGGCACGGGCACGCAGGCGGACCGCGGGCGCGGGCGGGGGCGCGGGTTCGCGGTGAACGTGCCGCTCGACGACGGCATCACGGACGAGGCGTACGCGTCGGTCTTCGAGCCCGTCATCGGGCGCATCATGGAGGTGTTCCGCCCCGGCGCGGTCGTCCTGCAGTGCGGCGCGGACTCGCTCGCGGGCGACAAGCTCGGCGGGTTCAACCTCAGCCTCTCGGGTCACGCCGCGTGCGTGCAGTTCCTGCGCAAGCAGCACGTGCCGCTCATCCTGCTCGGCGGCGGCGGGTACACCGTGAAGAACGTCGCGCGCGCGTGGACGTACGAGACGGCCTGTGCGCTCGGCGTGGAGGACACCGTCCCCGTCGACCTGCCTTACACGGAGCACTTTGAGTGGTTCGGCCCGCGCTACCGGCTCGAGGTGATGCCGTCGAATATGGTGGATGCGAATCTGCGCGAGGGCAAGCTCGCCAGGGTCCGGGAGCGCGCGCTGGCGCAGCTGGCGGAGTTGGCCACGCGCTGTGCGCCGAGTGTGCCCATGGCTGACATCCCGCACGAGAGCCTGGGTGTGCACCTGGGCTTGTTTGCCGATGAGGAACATGGGATGGATGCGTTAGATGAGCGGGTTGCGCGTGCGTCTTTCTCGGTCTGTTTCGTGTACAGTGGCTCTGACCACGACGACGCTACGACAGAACACGCGCGATATGTGTATGACCTGCAGGAACCGTCGTCGGACGAGGATGAGGACGAGGATGAGGACGAGTACCCAGAACCGCGCAGACAGATGAGTATACTCACCAACCGCCCGATACCGGAGAAGAGGACATTCTTCCCGCCGCCCAGACCAGTGGAGATGGCGCCTTGGGATCCGCGTCGTATCCTCCAGATGAAGTCTATAGTATAAACGTCTCTTGATCTTTCTTGTATGGCTATGAAGGGCCCACTAAACCAGTTTCAAACTGTCCTAACATCCAAAAGAAACGCGGAGTGATTTGTTCGCTCCTTACCTTGACGACGAGTTTCTCACGAGATCGGCGAAGGGGATAGAGATATCCGGGTCTGAAAGACAGGAACCATATCTGCGTCCATCCCTGCTGGGATCGCACAGCTGCGGATGGCTTTTCCGCGAGACGAGTACCGCACCCGCGTCGGGCCGGCTCGTTGCCCAGTCCCTGATGAGCACGGGTGCACATGCTAAAGCAGCCGCCGCGCCAGCTGCTAGAGCGACGTCATCGCGCCTGGCACGGTCGACTGGCAACGCCCGGAGACGCGGAGGTACCGCCGAACGGACCCACGGCGTGCCGTGCGAAGGGGGACTCGCGGCGCGAGCACGGGCAGGACTTATAGCCCGGCGTCGCGTCCTCCCAGAGCCGTCTCTCATCTGCTGTCCCTACCCGCCCTACTCATTTGCCTCGCCACCCTGCGAGTCCTTGACGGGCGCACAATATGCAAAGTGAACCCCTCCTCAAGCAGGTCTCGAGTCCGGCGGGTACGCTGTGGGTGACGTGCGTCGCTAGCATTCGGGATCGGTCGAGCCTGTTCTGAGCCGCTGCAGATACATGCTCTCCCTGGCCACGCACTTCGTTGGCGTCTACCGTACGTGGTCACAGAGGTCTGTATTGATTGATTGATTGATGAGCGGTGGGGCGCAGAGGTGGCAGTCCGCGTGCGCATGATGCGCCAGGGTCGGGGGGATATGCCGGCTGAGATATTCGTGAGTGCTTATAATTATCGGCGAGACGGGTAACGCAACACGACATTTGCTAACGGATGCGCAGATTTTCGCTGTCTTGTGCGTTTTCTTCGCTCCTCGGGATCGCTCTTGACAGGGATCGCTTCCAGCGGGATCGACAGCACTGCGCTGTTTTGTCGTGAGTCCACGTCTCCACAGATATGACTCTGCCCATCTGACATCGCACGACGCAGTCTTCAATGCGTGCGTCATGCCCAGTGTGAATCCCGGTACTTGAGGGTATGATCTTTGTGCCCAGGGTCTATGCACGGCCTACATTCTACCTTGGGCTGGTCGGCCGATCGGATCCGATCGATGGGAATGTTATCGTGCGTCCTTGAGGGAATTGGAAAGCCAATCTTATAATCCGACCTTAGGCTTTTCTGCAATTCTCGGTTCGATTTTTTTGTGGTCTAGCAGCTCACTCGGTGTGCTGACGGCTTTCGCCTTGTCTGTGCCTCATGCAGGGGCTGGTGCTATTTCTGGTTCACATGTTCGTGCTCCTCTTGACTCACACCAGGTGGTTCAGGACGAGAAAATGACTTCCTTCCGCCTCAGGTTTTATTCATACTATATTGCGACGAGATACCTTGTGAACGGGTTCCTGGTGAGCATTTTCGCCGGATTGGCATACGGTACGTCTGCGCACTATCTGTCCTCCCCCTGCGGAATGAACCCACCATACAGGCTCGTTCATCGGCAAGTCCCACCCGCCTCTCTCGCACCCACTGCTCTCTCAACAAGCCCCCTCCCGCATTCCCAGGCCGAGCATCGCTCGAATTCGCCCCGATCGGCTCGAGCACCCCCGGCATCTGGCAGTCCCCGCTCTTCACGCTCGTCGCCGCCGCGGCCATCTGGTCGTCCTTCGTCACGCTTCGCTGCGTGCGCGTGCCCATGGACGACGGCGGCGCGGTCGGGTGCGTGTTCCACAGCGTGCGGCCGAATGCGTGGGCGCGGGACGCTTACCTGGGTGGCGGTGGCGGTGGCGGTGGCGGTGGAGGTGGTGCGGGGAATACACCGCGCGGCGTCGTGTTCCTGAACGCCGGCCCGCGCGGGCTGCTCGCGCTGGGCCTGTTCTGCGTGTGCTTTCTAGTGGTGCGCGGGCGTGTTGTTGCTTGTGCATGTGATTGACTTGTCGTCCGGTAGTTCGTGGCGTGCGGGGACCAGCTCTACTGGGTCGTTTTCTACGCCCTGGGTGTCAAAGGTGTGTGATCTCCGTGCATCTTCCCAGTCTGTACCAGATTCAATGGATGAATCAGCTTCGATGAACGGCGCTTTTTATCTGTGAGTCTCGTCGAGCCTGGCAAAAGGATGCCTGATAGCCGTCGGGCAGAATCAACACTTGCGAGACGATTCCGCGATCGGCGAACGAGGATGATTTTCTAGAGGCTGAGGTCTGAGTCTCGTTTGGGAATTGGGGCTCGATTGGGACGCTACACGTGATCCGGACCGGCTGTAGAAGAGATCTACGAAGATCAACTTTCTGTCGACCAGCACTCCTTGCATGGGGCTAGAGTCCATCGGCGTCTACCAGATATACCCAATTTTACGATAATACATGTTTAATTGTTCGTATCTAAGCAACTCATCAGTCACTCAACACCCGGCTGACAACGAGCACGATTGACGGTCCACCGTTTCAAAAGAAACCACTTGAATGGTTCTGAATTGCGATTATTGGAGGCAGATTTTTCTATGTGAAATTTATGAAAACCCAACATGAACTGCTGTCGAGCCAGTCAAACCGGTCAAAAAAATGGTTCAGTCTTTCCTGGATCAGAGCATCTGAACATAGACCACGTGCCAAAATGTCAACTTTACACGTGATATACACAGCCCCCGCCATTCCTTCCCTCCGCTCGTCTTGGCACGATTCTCGAGACAGGCGCGAAACGAGCACAGTGCTCGAAATTCATTTAGATATGAAAAGATGTAATCTTTCTTGGATTCAACGGGCCCGCTGGAATAGGAAATCGAGTACCGAAACCTGGCCTCCGTGGTGACCGAGGGAATGCTCCAGTACGGAGCGGGGGGGCGGTGTAAGACGTGGATATGGGCTGAAAGCGCGCTAGGCACGACTGGTACGTGATGTGCGCGCGAGATTAACGTGATGGGGTCGGTGGTTTCACGCTATGGGCCTCAGCGGACGGGGATTCCCAGCCAGGCCAGGTTCTCTCTACCCACGAATCACGATCGATTGCGGAATCGAGGCGAGCTCGCAGCTGCCGTGCCGACTCGCGACCGGCGAGGGCAATTGCGAGGTGTTTAAAAGCGTACATGCCTAGTGGGGATCTCACAGGAGCAGCAGAAAGATCTGACCCCTGCGCGCCATACAATGCACACCACCACCACCACACTCATCATCATGCTCGCCACGCTCTCGCGCACGGCCCTCGCGACCCCAGCGGGTCTCGGGGTCTTACCGGGGACGGTAAGGCTGACGAGCTACTCGGCGGCACTGCAATCCAAGATGCACGACGTGAGCCTGGGGAACTACACGACGTACGGGAAGCTCGGGTGCCTACGGCCACCGACGGCGCTGACGACCACCGTCGGGCTCTCGAATGCGACTGACCACGTTGCTGCGGATGAGGCTAATGGGTATGATGTAGGTTGGGGTTCGCGTTGTGGGCCGCGTGCGGCCTGGGCTGATCTTGTTGTTCGCCTCTAGCTGGATCTCAGCAACGGAGTAGACGGAGATATGCTGCAGTGCAACCCGGGCTTCATTCCCGAGAAGCTGGCTATTGCGAACTTCTCCAGCAAGGTGCGCGGGAACAATATCTCATGGGGTCTTCGCGCGATTCTAAGCAATGAAGGGCGCGACTTTGAGGAGCTACAGCGGTTTCGATAGTATTCCCGACACGACTTGCCGGGCATTCAACTTCACGCTCGTCGTGCACGCCCAGGAGCCGCATTTCTTGACCCGCGTCCCGCTGTACACGGTATGTAGCGGTTCTATCTCGAAGTATGAACCGAGGAGCTGAGCGTGGCGATGATGCAGATCTGCTGCGCGGCGCTCCCCCACAAATGCCTCAGATTCAATAAGGCGGACCCCGCGAAGGTCCTCGTGGATACCCTGCCGGCGGTGAAGAACCTCGCCTCCGCGACGCAGTTACTCGACTTCCTGTTCGCGCTCGAGCATGAGATTTCAGTGTTCCCGACGGGGAGCAGCATCCAGCACGATGAGGAGGAGGAAGAGGACGCGTCGGCTGATTCGGAAGACGCCGATGACGACTCAGATTCCGCCGATCCGGACCCGGCTGATGATGATGAAGACGGGGACGACCAGTCTGGTGCTTCGAAAGGAAAGGATGGCAGCGATGGGTCTGGGAGTGAAAATGACGGTGCCGATGACGATACTGCGAATAACTAGCAGCCTGTCGCTTGGGCGAGTGAGTGCCCGTGTTTCTGAGGTCATCCTACCGATGTCTATCTATTCTGTCTATGTTTTCTGGCTATCGAATTTGGTGTTTTGATGCTTCTAATACGGAGTGTAGATGACGGATATTTGCAACTCTACAGTCCCGAAGATGTTAATGGTAAGATTGCAGTTGTGAAATATGACACAACTAGATATTCGTTGTCGTGACTGATCGAACATGCCCCGGTGTATCGCTTCTATTACCCTTGCTGTTTCTGCCACTCCCACATTCCGATTTTGGAGCCAGCAGCGTCTCAATCGCCAATGCCTCTTCTCTCTGCTTTTGCAAAATGAATTTTCGGACTATGCTGACAATGCTGTATTGAAAGGTGAAGGCAGGCAGTTTAGTGGAATGTTGAAAACGTGCCTGAAAACGCACCTCGAGCCTTTGTGGAGTTGTACCCCTGAACTCAATCCATCCATTTCACCTTCGTAACCTCACCTCCATGCGCACACAGCGCGGAATTGCACACGCCAAATCGTCGAAAACCCTCGCAGACAGTTAAGGAAACGATGAAGTCCGAGGACCAAGTCGCCGGGAACTAGTACTGAAAGTGGGAGCTATGGGAATGCTTGAAATGACTGTAGCAAAACACTGAAGCTCGGCTCTGGTTCAATGATCATCGAGCCGCATGTGTGTCCGCTCTACTATCGTGTAGCGTATTCATCATTTTCTCGGTTATGAGCAAGACTCCTGCTCAATACCTGCAATTACATATAATCCAGCATAATAAATCATTGTCCGAATTTCTTCCCAGTGGGAACATGGTTCTCAAGTTCTCCAGTCTGATATCAAATCAAAATTCAGCATGTCATTAGAATGGCCACAAAAACACCAATGAGCAACATGGGATGCACAGAAACCTGAAGGAGACCAACGGCCGCACCGGAGGCCTGTTGACCGCTATTGGGACTCTGCGACGGAACGAACAAGAAACTTGTCTGTGCGGGAGCCAGCCCTGCGGGGGTCGAAGCCGCCGTAGTCGTCGTCGGCGAACTCGAAACAGAGGACGGCGATCCAGCGGCGACGGGAACGTTGGCTGGTACCGCCGCGGCATTGAGTATATCGGAGGTCCCAGTCAGCTGACCCCAGGGTGCCGTGCCGTACGGCCCGAGCACGGACGCCGGGCTCAGAGATTTCGCATCCGAGGCGACGAATGCGCTGGGATCGTTGCTGTTCAGCACTCCCGAAGCCAGCCACGTGTTGTCGGTACCGATCACCTGACTCGATCCGTCGGTGTATTGAACGAGGATGGCGGCCAGGACGCCTGCGCTGGCATTCTGCTGGGCAGAGAAGTTTTGGGCAATGATATCGAAGGTCGTGTTCTGCGCGGTGAGGGGCAGCACGAACCGCTGGGCGAAAAGCCCGGTGTAGGTGCTCACGGATCCGTTGTCGCCGGATGGAGAGGCGCCGACGTAGGCACTATCAACGAACAGCTGCAACGCATTGTCCGCTGTCACCAACACCGTTGCATTCGCAGGGGTTTTCCCATCCGGGGCCACGAGTGTCTTGCGGAACCCTACGGAACCTGCGGCGGCAGCGGTGCCCGAGTTCCATATCCACGACGCTTGTCCGGACAGATTCTGCACTCCGAACGCCGAGGGCGGGAGGAGCGAGGCGTTGCCCCAGGGCCCGACGGTGTCCCACAGTCCCGCGACGCTCACGTTGGACCATCCAATCCCGTTATTCAACACACGCGCCTGATCCGTAGATGGTAGAGGGAAGCCGACAGGGTACGTCGAGTTCGACTGCGTGTTGTTCGGGCCCGCTCCGAGCCATGTGCTGTCCGTGCCGAACACCTCTGTAGACCCGTCGGTGTAGCGCACTTGCACTGCCGCGGCAAGGCCCGCGGGGTTACTCCTTGTGTTAGTGGGCTGGAAGGTGTTCACGCCCATCACGCCGATGATGTTGTCCGACGCGTTGAGCGCGGCGCTGAACTGGAACGCCGTCTTCCATGTGTCCTGGCCCGCAGGCGACGCGCCGACGGGCTGGCCGTTGACCCAGAGTGTGAATGAGTCGTCGGCGGTGATGGTGATGAGCGCCGAGGACGCGGATTTGTTTGGCGGATTCGGAAGGAGTTTCAGGAAGGAGGCGGTCCCGGCAGGGGCGTTTTGTGTGAAGTGGGACGAGGAGGGCGTGGAGAGCCAGATCCAGGACGCAGAGGTGAATCCGCTCGAGCCCAGATCGCGTCTTGTAAGGTCGAACGAGTGTGCAGGCAGAAGAACGGCTTTGAGGCCGTTAGGACGACGTATCCAGTAACAACATTTCAGCCTTGCACGTACCGCTGTAGGGCAGAGAAGCCAGCACTGCCGTGAAAAGGACCGAGACTGGGGAATAGACTGGTTAACAGTGACGTTCATTTCAATCTCATGCGCCCAAACACTCACCGAAATAAATCATCCTCCCGTATCGAGGATGTGCAGGTAAGGGGGGAATCAGATAGCGGGGGAAACGCTACTTTCTTGGATTTATGCTGGCTGATGACCTGCCGAACGGATGGGCTAGATGAAGGGTGTGAGAATTGGGGAGCGCTCATGCCTAATGTCTCCCTAACGATCATCGATACCGCTGAAACTTATGATGATCGGGTTGGAATCATCGCTGAGATGAACAAAATCTGATTTGATCCCTAGTCTTCATCATTTGGTTCTCGACCTGTCATTGCACCGCCTCCGATCTAGCTTTTTCTGCGAGCGCTTGCGTCGAGGAGATAAGAGCCTCGCTTGCAGTGAGAAATCAGCAGCCTGTTTTATATGATTCAGGAGGAGGTAGTGAGAATGCGAAGAGCAGGAGCAGGCTTGTGCTTCTGTGCCATCAGTGGAGCGGGTAGAAAACAGGATATGTCAGGCGTAAACCAAGATGGAAAGCCGTCCTCGATCAAAATCGTTGCATCAAAATACAATCTGCCTCTCCTATAAACTGCATCATTTTTGAAATTTCCGAGCGTGGCGCATAGGGCTGGGTAAAGTTGCGTGCTGTAATTTACACACCCATAAATTATAGTAAATTACAGTGTAAATTACATATTTTACGAGGAAGGTCCTAGGTTGGGTGTAAATTATTGTAAGATTTGCTCAAGGCCCATCTAGGCCCAAGGAAACGTCATTTCTGATTTAAAATCATGATATGCTATCTCAGGGAATGTGGCGGTATCCATCGAAATTTTCATCTTAATCCTGTACTGTTTCAGCACGGTTCTTGCTTCTATGGATCGGGCTACTCATCAAAAGCTCCGTTCCATAAATCTCACTCAACTGTCTATTGAGACCTACATCAACCTCGAATGTGGTGCATTGCTGGGTCGGTTCATCTGGTGCTCAGCAAGGAAGTAGCAGCAGTAAAGCCATAACAGCTGCTGTTCCATAGGCGCCGTGGAAGCCAGAAGATGTGTCATGGGCATGCAAGGGCCTTGCATGGTAAATGTACCAAAATTACATACTTTACAGGCGTAAATTACAGTAAATTACAGTAAAATTCCGGGCCGGCGGCACCGGTAAATTACATAAAATACAGGCCCTCTGTATTTTACCACAGACCCCTGCAAAAAAGACGTAAACTACAAGCCAGAATCCTAATTTTACCCAGCCCTAGTGGTGCAGCGCTCAGCTGAATGAGCCCTGACAGATCTTAGCGATGGGCGGCGATCATCGACACACCAAAGCTAATCCTATCAGCAATATAAGGTGTGCCGCATTAGGAACCAGCACCTCATGACTAAGCGTCACACCGTGACACACAGCGACAGAAGATGACGGTGGCCACGGAGGAAATATAGCTAAAGCACTCACATGGGGTGTTTCTAGAGGCCTCTAGGGCACCTGCTATCTGAGCAGAATTTTTTATTATGCCTCCTGGAGAGCGTGATGTGAGGCTCAAGAATTTTGCATCAAAAGTTTTCTTTTACTGTAGAAAGTGATTTACCACTGAACTGAGTATTTTTAAATTTTGGGGCAGAAGATTTGAGCATTCACGTGACTTCCCAATTAGGAAGTGGTGGTGCTGCTGATGTTGTGAAGCCCTTCTATAGTCATAGTAGCCATACCAAAGCTCAATGATCCTTCAGACACAAATTGTGGATCACATTCAGTGTTGTTGATAAGTAGTTAAGGTCTTAACTTGACCAGGCTTATTATGTACTTAACTTAAGATAAGTTGAACCCTTAACATCGGTGTAAAACATAATAAGGCTCTTAATAAGTCTTAATATAGAATTACCTACACTGGCAGCAATTCCCATGAACAGACAACGTCCACGTACCAGCTCGTGGCTTCCAACCACCCTCTCATCTCTCTTTGGGGGGAAAGTCTCAAACCCCATTGTGATGGCCTGTTGCGAACGCGTGGTGTTGGAGGAAGCACTGTACATGGAGCTGTTAGCTGCCAAACATGACAATGAAGCACCGGATGCAGGTGCTCTTGAGGGCTCCGGAGATGAATACGCGCCGTAGAAGTTTTCTTGTAATGTTTTGAACCAGTATTGACGCAAATAAACTCATTTGGGACTTGAATACAAATCAGGTAATAAGCCTTATAAAAGACCCTTAAAATAGGCACCCTTAATAACTCTTACCTTGTCCTAAGACCTTAATTTCAGCAGACACCCTTAATAACACCCTTATCTACAACACTGATCACATTGGATGTATAGAAGTCCATAATTATACCAAAAAGAAGGGCGACATTTTTTGGACCGTGGATTTGAGCATCACGTTGATAGGCTGGCTACCAGACACGCTCTGCACCAGCTCTGTAAGGGCGTATTTTTGCGCTTTTTACAGAGTTTACTCTCGAACCATTCGGTGTATCGTGTCGTGGTTGACAGTGTTGCACTCAGTAGGGCTTAAGGGTCTACTGCCCAGTCGACGACTGTGGATAGTGTCGACGATGGCAAGGCAGTCAGACCACTACTGTGGAATTGGTCTTATGGGTCTATACCAGGCTCAGGGCTATTAGTGACGAACGCTTGGACTGCGACAATTCCCCAAAAAGGGATCTTTCGTTGCGGCGACTTCTCAAAAGGGTCATTCTCTGCAGATGGGAACTTGGGCTGAAGGGCTGAGCAATGTGCAACGTTCTCAATAATACAACTACTACTGGACAAGACTTGGCGTTAGGAGATTGAACCAATCTTGTCGCGGCAACTCCCGGTTTTGAGTTGGACGTTTCCTCAGATCGTGCCAAGACGACAACTTGTCACATGTCAGGATCCATTCGATCACGGGACATTGTGGACGCGTCGCGGTGACACTTCCAAGTGTCACGGCGAGCCGCGTCCATACCCAAACAAACTAAAATCGACACGGCTAGATCCGTGAACCAAGCCATGTGGGGAACGACTGGCATGCCTAGGGCCATACGGCTTCTTGGGGCGCCCACGTTGGTCTCACTTGCCAAGACATACCCGTTGTCCAATCCAGCACGTCATATTCCAAAAGTATGACGCGGTGGGTTGACCCACATCAAAAGTATCATATGGACTATGGGGCGGGGTCCTGATCACTCAGGACCTGTCCGATCGTTCAACTTTTCATTACCCTAAAAGGCAACCGATCTTAGATAGCGTAGCTACTATGCAGTTGTACAGGACTTTACTAAGCATTGTCGTAGACAGTATAAGTAGCACGTCGTTTCTTTGTATTAGGAAGCTTTCCCCCGGACTGTGAATCACTCTCATTTCAGATTGTTTTGTACAATTTGCGTGCCGCGTGATTCCACCCTAAGAAGTTCTGCTACCCCTGCCCGGTCGCGACGAGTTGCTCCCTGAGCACTTGTAGCTACTGTGATTTGAGTTTGAGTTGAGATATCAGAAAGTCGGATTCGCCGCATCTGGTTTAGTCGCGGCATTTAGTGTCGTCGCCTTTGGGCTTTGTTGACATTGTTCCACACCTCTAGCTTGGCAGTGCGTCGACTAGTTGTGCTTGGGTTGTTTTGGTCAGTTGGCAGTGCGTCGACTTGAGAACTTTGGTTCCACACCTCTTGCTTGGCAGTGCGTCGACAAGTTGTGCTCGGGTTTTGGACATCGGATATTGGCTGTTAGTTGGCAGTGCGTCGACGCGGCATTTTGGGTTTACTAGTTGGCAGTGCGTCGACTCAGTACTTTTGGTTGTGTCAGTTGGCAGTGCGTCGACTTGACATTCTGGTTCTACTAGTTGGCAGTGCGTCGACTCAGTATATTGGTTGTATCGGTTGGCAGTGCGTCGACTTGATATTTAGGGCTTTGCGTCGCCATCTGGACGCTGTTGCTACAAGGGATCTTAATACTTCGTATTAAGTTCTGACTTGTTATATTGTTGGTTGTGGTTGGATTAGTGTTGGTTTCGTTCGTATAGGAGATATTGGTTGAGACACCATTGTTTACTATATATAAATTCTTGTCGTCGACTTCGTCTTCCGCGACTATTGATCTGCGTCTATTGAGAGTTGTGATACTGGTGTTCTGTCCACCCCGAAGCCCTCACATCTTTCACACACTGAGAAGCTGATTACAAGGAGTGTGAACGTGTTTATATTTGGATTTACTTTCATAGTAGATTCACTTGTGAGCGCGCCCTCAGCATTTCAACATGACCGTCATGCTGACGTGCCTACGGCGCTCCTAGGCTCAGAACAAGGTGGGAGGGACGGCGTAGATACCGTCAATGAGCTTCTGATCACCTGGGACTGTGGCCGTAGAGATAGCGGTGAATTCGAGGGGTTTTGGTTGGGCTGAGTCAGACTCGATGTGTAAAATTGCAGAGGAATAGCGGTGGCTTGGGATGAAAATAAGCGACGGCGGGAGTGAAACAACGATGTAGGGGTGAATAAAAGACGAATCTTGGAGGTGAAGGCTCCTGAAGACTCTGTGAGAAGTGGGGTAAAATCAACCTGCATTTTATGGACTGTTACATGTGTATTTATACTGTAGGTAGATGAATAGAGTCCGATTTTGGTTAGATAGAAGAAATAAAAGGAACATAAGACCTATAATACAACGGAATGTGAAACTGGAGAAACTGTATTCTGAGAGAAATCCTGGACCAATCTTGTCCCTCTGGAGCTGCCTGGGCCCTTCCAGGAATTCAGTCCTAGTCTGGGGACCATTTCTGTGGCGGTCTTGCATTGTAGCGCCACATTTGACGAGTGCTTGAAACCGGGATTGTGGATCGTTATGAGAGACCAAATATTGAGTGTTGATGGGTGATGGGAACATCGCCACTGATGCTGAACGGCACGTGGAATGACGTGGTAAGCTGCATGAAGCACAGCTTATGATGGGTGATGGGAGTATTGCCACTGATGCTGAACGTCACGTGGAATGATGTGGTAAGCTGCATGAAGCACAGCTTGTGATGTGACCGCTGTTATATCAATCAGCGCCGGTCTGGTTACACAGTCAAAGCAACCCCGAGCTCGTCAATGCGCTGCTTACTAAGGGGTGCCGGTTCCTAATGTGGCACACCTTACGTGGGTCTGGAAGCCGGCTTCTCGGCACTGGATGGCACTGGTTGATGCCAAGCCTCATTGCCTACCAGTGGCCAATGACACACAAACCAGCATATTCCACTGGGGTCCAAGCACATCTGCTGGCTTCAGCTGGTAAGAATGTCTCTCTAACCACTGAGGTCTGTTTGTTGCCCTTGGTAGCCGCTGGTTCTCCATGGCATCATGATCTGCCAACACCTCACTTCAAACTTGAAGCGTCCAAACCAGCGGGATGCAGCAGAGTTTCACTGGGCAGTATTCCTTGCCTCACTCCCATACAACAAATACCCCACCCCCAAATCCCAGGTCACTTCTCTCATGCTCATGCGTGTTTGTTGCCATTGGAGATGTGTGGCTGCCTGTGACAATCAACAAGAAATAATGTCGAAAAGAGAAGTCAATTCAAAGACTGGAGAATGCAACCAAGTAGCTACAGTATTTATACCTAAATCCAGTTTGAGTCATATCTACAACTTACTGAGTCATAAGGCTATGTACCGCATGGAGCGCTGGTCATGGGTTGTAGTAGAACCTTCCAGAGCATATGTCACACAGCCTCAAATCAATAAAGATGACCCCCTATACCCCTAACCCGGACCGTGTGATGCCATGATCTGTGATAAAATAAGATTGTCGATGATAAGATGAAAAATGGTCAAACTATGACACCGCCTCAAGCTGTTGTCTCGGAACTTCACTTCACATTGCTGCGCCCTCTATCTCCAATGTGTCGAGTCAAGAGGGACAGTCCAGACTTCTCCTCCTAGTTGATAGGTGGCTTGGACACGCCCGTGCACAAGAAGTTTGTGTTTGAGCCCAGCGGCCCCAGTTTTGGCAGTGCGTTTCCATTCATCCCTCTTCTTGTCAATGCAGGTATCCATCTCTGTTGTCTTGCATTGAGCGTGCTCCCTGGGAGAGTTTTCTGGTACCTTGACTATCTGCCTGCACTGTCTGAGACAACTGCCAAGTCTGCATGAGTTGGTACTAGATGAGGACTGGATTGTGACAATCAACAAGAAACACAGTACCATTGCTCATGAGGAATATGGTTGTACAGAATATCTGCAGTTTGGAATATGAAATTGGCCTTCCCAACTTGGGAAAGCCGGCATATTCCTCAATCTGTATTCCAGAATATGGAATACAGTTTTGGGGCTTGTATTCCTTATGGGGGATGTCAATTTAAGGTGAGCGACGAGATTGGGGCTCAGGTTTAGAATACATGGCTGCTGAGACAACTTCAAACAAGCTTTGATTACATCCAAATTGTATTCTGTGCATTTTCTGCACTGCCCACCATGCTGTCTGACTGTCCAGAGAAGAAATGAGCCATCCACCCGAGATTGTGCCCTAACAAAAACTGCCAGCAAGCCTGGTGCTAAACCTGGGCCAAAACCAAAGGCTGTCAGGGGAACCCCTGCTTTTGTTCGATCATCATTGGGATCTCACATGTGACCACGCATGTGCCATCTGTCAAGTGTCACATGCTTTGGCCCGGAATTCCCTGCCAAGCACGTCGACATGATCCTCTGACCTGGACCCCCATTGTTCCGACAGCCCAGCTCCCATTGTTCTCCTGGTCCGGCCCCTTATTGTTCCCTGGCCCCATTGTCTGGTGCTTCCATTGTGCTTGGTCATCCATTGTTCCTTAGGCTATATATAGTGGGCCCTAACAAGGAGAGTCCCCTACTTGGTTTCTCTTTGGACTCTCCCTTGTCAGGTTTGCCCGTCTCCTGTACTAGTCAATCCCCTGATCTGACACTTTGGACTCTCCCTTGTTAGGACTCTGAGATTGGGCCTTGAGGTTGCCCTTACAAAGGCCGCTCATTGCACATCTGCTGTTCTGACTTGCAAAAAAACGCCAGCACAGATAGTGGGGAAAACCCTAGTTCCTTGGATATATGCTGGCTGATGACCTACCAAACAGATGGGCTGAACGGACAATGTGAGAATGGAAGAGCAATCATAGCTGAGCTCTCCTCAATGATCATTGATGCCGCTGAAACCTATGATGAGCAGGTTGGAATCATTGCTGATATGAACAAGATCTGATTTGATCCCTTGTCTTTGTAATTTGGTTCTTGACCTGACATTGCACTGCCTCTGATCTTGTTTCTTTGCAAGCGCTTGCCTCGAATAAGAACAAACCTTGCTTGAAGTCCGAGATCCGTAACTTGTTTCCTCTGCTTCAGGACGGAGGAATGAGAATATTAAGAGCAGGGGTAGACTTTTGCTTCTGTCTTGTTAGTAGACATGATGCATTTGGGTGTCAAGTCATAAAGATATGGGAAGCCACCTTCAATCAAAATGATCCCATCAGATATATTAGCGTTGAGCCACAATCATCAATGCACAGAAGCTGATCTCAAGGCAGATGAGTCTGATAGCCAGTGTTGCACTCTGTGTGTTATCATTCTCTGTGGATCAAAAAAATCTTTTGTTTCTAGATCTCTCTGCTCATGGCCCATATCTGTGGAGGAAATCAAAAGAATCAAATAAAATAAGAAGGAAAAAATTGAAGAAAAGAGAGATAATCACCCTGTATCTACTTTTAAATGGCTATGAATGTATGAATTCAGATAACTATTGGACAACAGACCATCTGTATTGTGATGCTTACCATTAGTCTTGCAGGATGGATGATGTCTGATCCCAGAACAAGCACCATGCCTGAGTCCTTTTGGAGTAATGTCCTCATTTGGGCTAAGCCCCAGCCAATGAAAATCAAACACTTCTTGCGACAGTCAGTTCTGAGAAATCCAACTCCGGAGTGCTCCGGGGTGACGCAATTACCTCACGTTGAGAGTGACCATCACAGCATGATTATTGCATCCCTTGTTGATGTTCTTGCCATGGTCTCACTGTCCTCTCACCGCTGGCAGGGCCAACCACTCTGAAGCTGAGGTTGCTGTTCAAGCATGAGGTTTGGCCAGTGTGACAGTGGTTTTAGGGTTGGGCTTTCAGCCCGCATCCTCACAAAAGCCTCTGCAGCCTGTTTAGGCAGAATGGGAGGTAGTAGGCCCTCAGAGACAAGTTAGCTCCATCAGCCAAGCCACTTTTACGATGTAATTCTTTCAATTTGGGAGACTTTTAGTCTATGTTTGGAGCGTCAATTGAATGTTTTCACCCTACGCTACTGGTAGCTGTTTGAGGTGTGTGCACGATAATGATCTGATCATTGATTGACAGAACATAGATTGCACAGCTCCAACACTGCCACTTGGCCTGTGTCCAAACCAGGTACTAGAGCTCCACAGGCATGACACACAAGCTGATCTCTCTCCAACATCAGCCAATCTAATCACTATGGTTATTTATCGACTCTCACTTGCCCAATGAGCACATCCTGAGAGTCTCAAGTTTGGAGTGTGTTTGTTTCCTGACCTTACCTTTTGAAGTAAGTGAACAACTCAGATGTCCTGGGTGGCTAGACATTTATTCTCCAATGCAGGCATGAGCCCCCCTCCCCCACCTTAGTTGCCACTGCCATCACACAGTTCCAACCCAGCAGAGGCCATTTTGTCTGTTCAGGGGTGGGGACATATGCAGGGGGTCAGGAGGGGAGGACAATACACAGCATGGAATTTACTTTCAGGAATGGGCAGATGGGCAGGAAAAAATAGAGTCACATGATGCACCAAATGGGCAGAATGGTGGGATACACGTGCAGACTCTCTGAATTGGGACATACATGTATGCTGATCCATGAATTGAATAGCAAAAACCATAATCTACCTAACCATCAAGCCAAAATGTTGGCTTGCTCAAACTGACTTTTGTTGCCGACCCCGATGAGATCAATCATATTCGACATCTGATCAGCACACAAAAATGGCCTCGCGGGAAATGCGGAGATACTACCGTCTATTGCATGGTGTTTGTCCCAAGCTATGCGGTCAAATATTGGGCTGGATGCACATGAATGGTGGCAAAGTAAAAGACCGGTTGAGCCAATTCTTAAATGGGATGATTGTCGCTGGTTCCTTGTCTGGGTGGGGACTGGTCAATCTATTCTTCTTGGTGGTCCCGAAGCGAATTTGACCAGTGTGCTCCTGGAAAAGGTGTCAGAGCTGATAGAGAAAAGAAAGCTGGTTTAGCTGCAATGATTCGTCAAAGGAAGTCCCTCATCAGGGAGAAGAGTGAAGCTTCGCCTTGTCCCAACATGAGGGGTGTTTGGCCAATCCATCTGTTACAATCTACTTGTGGAACAACAAAGCCAGCATCGATGAGACAGCATTGGTCGATGTCACTGGGATGAATCTAACTTTGGGTATGTGTCTGCTCTTGGCGGTTGTGATTGCCAAACTGAGCTCGTTTGTGAAAATGGGACTTTATCAATTGTTCCATCTATTTCGCGTGAGTTGTGAGTGGGGTTGACAAAAATTGCGACATTCGCAACATCGGACCGGACAGGGATGGGGTGTAAGTTGGATGCTGGCTCTCAGATGCGAGCTGTCGGACCCAGGGTCCGGAGGAAGGAAATGGAGAGTCCTTCCATACTATCATCTCCCCGCTTGTCGTATCTCCACGCGTTTTTGCCGGCCGAAACCTCTTATCCCCGGCTTCACTTGGCAGAACCTTGCATTTTGGCTTCCACCGTACGGAATCATTGGTTTCTCCAGCTTCCGCTGCTCCTCACTCCCCTCCTCGCTACTCTTGGCTGATCCCCCGGGGCCCGCACCATCGGATCGGTGCTCCTTATATGCCACATTTAAAGAACGTAAGAGGTTGTAGTTCGGAAGCGCACCCGAGCGTTCCCTGTCCCGCTTCTTGACATTTCCTCTGTTCTCTCGTGCATCTCCATCTCTTTTCACGATCATGACTCCGACGTCTGAGACTGAAAAACCAGCGCCGACGAAGATGAGACGGTTTAAGGTGCACTCGCTGAAGGTCGGGGACCGACTTACGAATGCGTCGAACTTGACGCTCAGGGAGACGCTTTGGCCGCTCTTCCTGGTAACGATTCTGTACTTCCTCTGGGTGCGTCCCATTTGCTCTCAAGCCATGTCTCTTGTATCATTCTCTGAACCGTCCACTACGACAGGGCTTTGCATACGGCTTGCTCGACACCCTCAACAAACACTTCCAAAACACACTCAATATCACCCGCACGCGCTCGTCAGGCCTCCAAGCGGCGTATTTCGGGGCCTATCCTCTCGCGTCCCTGGGCTATGGCAACTGGGTCCTGCGCAACTACGGCTACCGCGCCGTCTTCATCCTCGGGCTGGTGCTCGAGGGCATCGGTGCGCTCTTGATGTGGCCCGCGGCGCTCAAGCGCAGTTTCGGCGGGTTTTGTGGAGCAACGTTCATCATTGGGAGTGGGCTCGGGTGTTTGGAGACCGCCGCGAATCCTTACATGGCTGGTGCGCAGCTTGCTCTTCCCTCTCTCGATGCGGGAAATCTAAAATCACACGAACAATCAGTTACGGGCCCGCCTCAGTACGCCGAGGTTCGGATTAACATTGCCCAAGCCGTGCAAGCCATCGGGTCGGTCATCGGGCCCGTCCTGGGATCCTACGTGTTCTTCAAGCAGACGGGTGATTCGGTCAACTCGCTTAAGACGGTGCAGTGGGTGTACCTTGCCATTGCGATCTTCGTGTTCTGCCTCGCGGTCGTGTTCTTTTTCTCGGTTATCCCTGAAGTCACAGGTGGGTTCGCCTTGGCACGGTTCTCCGACACGAACTGAGACTTCTTTCTTCTTTTCACTCTCGGTAGACACGGACATGGCCGAACAAGCTGGGAGAACTCACGCGGGCGGAGACGCGGGCGATAAACCATTCCGGAAGCAGTACAAGTTGTTCTTCGCTGGATTTGCGTCGTTCTGCTACACTGGCGCACAAGGTGTGTCTGGTATGAACCGCAATGTCTCTTCATAAGTCTCACACGCCGCGCGCAGTGGCCCTCGCAACTTACTTCATCAACTACATGACCGAGACGCGCGCCAACACGACCAACCAGCTCGCCGCGTCCTTCCTCGCCGGTGCTCAGGGTTGTTTCGCAGCTGGCCGGTTCTCTGGCTCGGCGCTCATGACGCGCATCCGGCCACGGAAAGTGTTCTTCACGTACATCTCGCTCGTGATCGCGTTTGCTGCGGCGTCCGTGACGCAGACAGGGAACAAGGGCCTCGCAATGCTCATGCTGTGTCTGTTCTTCGAGAGCGTGTGCTTCCCGACAATCGTCGCGCTGGGAATTCGGGGACTTGGCCGGCACACGAAGCGCGGGAGTGGATGGATCATCGCTGGAGTTGTCGGTGGCGCTTGTGGTGCGTGACTGACTATGAATCTTCGTACAGTTGAATGTTGATGCCATGTCTTTTAGTGCCCCCACTCACAGCGAAGGTCGCAGACATGCACAATTCCACTGCGATTGGATTCGTGGTTCCCGTCGCTTTCCACGTCGTGCCTTGGGCCTACGCAGTCTGCTGCAACTTTGTCCCGATGTTCCGCGACGTCATGGATAAGGTTGGTGACGAGCAAAGCGTCGGGGTCGTCACAGCCACCGAGGGAAAGGCAGATATGAGGGAAGATTCGATTGAGGAGAAGGTTTGAGTGAGCCTTTGTAATACCACCGAGATGTACTTCTATTTGCACGAAGGTAAATGACCTCACGACATTTCACGTGGTGTGCTACACAGCTTCAACGAGGCAGTGCCTGCTCAATCATCGTGTCGACCGAATAGATTCGAGCGCCAATGTCCGCTGTCAAGGCTCCCAAGATTCCGCTTCGATGTGTTCTTATCAACAAATCCCTTTGAGCAGCATTGTGACATTGAAGACAAAGGCACAAAGCGGCCTTTTTCTCCAAAGCCTACACTACAACACCCCTCGGAGTCCCAGTCTGTCCTCATGGATGACCACGACCACGAACATCGTCCCTCAAGCCGCGAACGCCTGCTTTCTAGCTTCGTAAAGAAGCTGCAGCAGACAGGCGACACGGCGAGTACGATCTCGAGCCTGTTTGACTTTGCGACGCAGGATGCGGCATTCGTCAGCTGGGTGGCGGACTTCATCATGCAATTGGGCTATTTTGCGCCGAGAGGTGAGGAGGATTGGTACTCTAACGTGCGGTGCCGACTCCTTGAAGGCTTTGAGCATTATTGGAAGGTGCATCCCCAGCGACTCTAGAGTGTGGCTCAGCTGACATGTGATTTGGACAGCCCAGGGGACGGTGGATGAAAGATTGCAAAGGCGCTATCACAGACTCGATGCTGGAGAGTGTGTTTCAGCGGAACAGGGGGATCAATCTCGCCCGACTCCTTGGGCTACTATTCTATCTCAGCGACGTCACAGGGATAATCGTGATTACCCCAGCGGACCTCGGCGAGTCCCTGGAAGTGCTTGTGCACGCGAACCCGCACCTGCTTCGCCTCGTTGCGATGCACGAGATGATCTTCAACGCGGGGACGCGCATCCGAGAGTGGGTGGAGCCACGGCGCGCGATCATGAGTGTCGGGGGGCTAGATTCTTTTGTCCCGTCGGAGGTCAGGAAGAGGAAGCGGTTGTTGTGGGGGTGGGATTCAGTGTCCCAAGATTTTGTACTTGTATGTTGTTGCGTCTCAGACCTGTGTGTCGTCGGCTGATTCTCGTGCAATGACCATAGGGAATGTTCCGGATGTTGGAGGAGGGTGAATGAGGCGTTCGTTTTTCTTATTTGTTCCTTCTTTTCATCGTTCATCGCATGTCATCTACACACATCACACATTCTGGTTCTCTCTATCATCCATTCATAGCTCAAACCAGCGCGATTGCTGCACCAACGACGATGCCGGCCACCCCTGTGATAAACCCACTCCCAATCTGAACCGCGCTGTTCTTGGTATGGAGCGGCAATGTGGCCAGGGGCGCTACAGCGCCCACGAGCGTCACCGTCGCCTGACTGTTCTTCAGCACGCACTCGCCCGTGCCAGTGTGGTCCGGACTCCAGGTACACGACTCGTCTATTTCTCCGCCCAGAGCCTGCCCCACTTTCACCGTCGCCGCTAATCCAGACGGACCTTCGACAAACGTTTCTTCGCCATCGTCAGCACACGCGGGAGCTACGGTAAGATTTGGGAAGGAACGCACGCGTCGTCGTCGTAGCGGGAAGCGTCCCAACGATGCCCTGCACCGTCACCACCTGCTTGTCGGCCCCCTCCACCTCAATGTAGGTCGTCCCGCCCTGCGCGTCCGTGCCGCCCACAGAGATGTCGATTAATTTTGTGCTGATCGTGAAGTAGTCGATGCCCTGCGTCTGGGTCGGCGCGGCGGAGATCCCGTACAGCGTTTGAGCGCTCGCGCTGGTGAGGAGCAAAAGGGAGGCGAGTGAGACTTGGTGGAAGAACAACATGGTTTAGCAATGTGGGGAGGCAGGTACGGATTTCATTAGCCTTTTAACCCTCTTGCAGTGGGCAGGCTAGCGCGTGGCGCATTGATGCATTCCCGCAAAATTTGCTCTTGGCTTTGTTCAAACGTCGGCAATCGCTAAGATCAATTGATTCATCCGTCAAGATCCCGGCAACATTTATCGATAGGACTCATCGCTGTGTAGATGGTTGCAGCGCGGTGATCTTGTAACGTCAATTTGTACGATCCGTGTACAAGCTTCCTCGTGGTACGGTGCGGACTGCAGTCTCTGTGGCTCGATTTCCAATTTTCCTAGCCAGCGTTGGGATCCGATGATGAGATCAGTGCCTGCAATTATGCTTTGAATTGTCGAGTTCTCTACCGATAGATGTTTATCAACATGGATTGTTATCATTGCCGCCGAATTCAAGTGACCATGACAGCCCCGCTTGCTCTCTCTTCGTCTCCACTCGGAGCTCCGGCGAATTGTCTCATGCCTGTAAATCGATCTGTGCCAATGACGGAGCTTGACGGGCGATTCAGTCTCTAGAACAAAGTCATTGATGCTGAGGTTGTCCTGCAGCATGTTGCTACCGCAGCACGCATTCCTCTGTGCCTCTGATTCTGGCCTCCAGACTCCAGATAGATTTCTTCTCGCCTGCGGGTATTCATCATCATCAGAGACTGCGAGTCTAGACGGTCGTCCATAACCTGTCTCGAGGACACGTCAGATCAGGCGCTCGCAAATCTTCAGAGGAAGATAAAGATGGGTCGAAGTGGGATATTGACTTGCTTGAACTCTGAGGCTGCGTTGATGCGGTGCGTCTCTTGTTGATTTATTCTCGAAGGTGAAGTTTTACCGCCTCAAGGCGGTCCACCTCATTCCTCGGCGTCATTCCCTGAGGAGGCATGATCACGACCGACGCAGAAACGCAAAAAGATCGGATAACTTACACAAAAGTGGGCAAGGGCACTAAATCCGCAAAAATATGCCGTGCTTACCGAAGAAACGCAAGAATCGATTGTTTTAAATACTATGACAGGTGGCAGTGAACGCTCATTCGGGTACATGGGTAGATTGATCAAACCCTGGTAGGGATCGTATGAAATGTGCCAACAGTTTTCTTCTAGAGCGGACCAGAAATTTCGCTCTTATTTCAAGAACGCGGGGGAAGGAGACAACACGACAAGTTGAACGACGTTGGAGGAGAACGGCTCACCAAATAAATTCGGTAAGAATGGAAAGATGAACAATTGGGAAGGACAAGGGAACTCACGCGACCCCGTCTACATAGCTTAGTGATTTACTTTTCATACTTAAATTTTGAGTCTGGGCGTTAATCCTGCACAAATTTAGTCCAAGACGCGACGGCTCCACCCATTTTACCTGGAAAACCCCTTCGGTACAACGGACAAATCTCTCTTTTTTGTCCCCTTAAAAGTCACGCAGACGACGCAAATGTCGTCTTGAACCTCCCGTAAATGATCACCATCCAAGCGTCAGCTGATGGCTCGATGATTTCCCGAGGCTGACGCGACGCTCGTTAAGAAATCTTACATAGGAGCAACACAAAGGCGAGTTTCAAAGGAGATCTACACGATCAATTCGCTATTTCTGGTCGCCCCGTAGTCGTCTCAGGAGATATATTTGTTGTAAAGCTGAATATCCCATAGCTTATGGTCGTATCACTTGGGCGCTCGAGCACCTAATGTCCATTCCAGTGAACTATGGCTGATGTAACTCGAATTGCCACTATTTCTGAATGCGATTCGACCCCTTGGCCTCCTTCTACTCGATGCAACATTCTTTCGAATCGTGTGCAAGAGCGCCGAGGGGTTGCTATTTTTAGCCTGTCCCATCAGCGGGCACCCCGGCGTAAGCATTGATATCTGTCATTCTCGGTGACTAAGCGGCGAGCGCATTGACGACACCCCTGCAACTCATCTTTCCGTCTCGCACAAGTCTCAATAATGGCAGCGGACGCATCTCTCTCGCCAGCAGCGAAATCCCTGGTGTCCGCCACCGCGGGCTTCGATGCGCTGTTCAAGAACGACAACGTTGGCGCGCGTGCGGCATTCAGTGCCCCCTCTGACCCTTCGCCGTTCCACCTCCTCGGGCTCGGCGCCGTAGCGTTTCTCGAGGCTGCGCTGGGGATGGAGCCGGGTCTCATGGCTGAGGCGACCAAGATTCTACAGAGTGCAGAGCAGGGTGCCAAGCGGGCTGAGGCGGAGGCTAGGAAGGCGGGGTCCGCTGCGGGGTCTGCACGGGCGAAGGGTGGAGTCGACGGCCACGGCGACGGTGGGGGCCGCTTCGTGCCTGGTGTAGAATGGGAGATTCTGCACGCCGATACGGTGGTGCTGTTAGGTCTGACGCAGGCTTTGTCGTGCGTGCTCTGTCCTGGTCTCTCTTCTCCACTCACTCGCACACCGGCTGCGCAGTGAATCCTATATGGGCTATCTCCAGTGCTTATACTCGCTCAATGCTGCGCACGGCAAGTTCACGAAGCTTTACAAGGCGGTCTTCCCATCAGGACTCGACGGATACCGCACCCCCGCACCCTCACACGCCCCTTCCCGCTCCTCGTCCATCCCCCCCACACCCAGTCAGAGCAAATTCCTTTCAAGTACCGATCCAGACTCCGATCCCCAGCGCACGATCTCGAAAGCCACCTCGCTCTTATCGCTCGCGTCAGGCAGCAGTGGATCCTACCCGTCACCGAACGGCAGCACCGCGACGCTTTCCGTTCCGCCATCGGGGGCAACCTCGCCGCTGTCCTCGTCTTCGACGACGTCGCTCTCGGCAGCCCCCGCACCGAAGAAGGGCGGGGGCGGTCTGTTTGGGAGGTGGGGCAGCGCCAGTCTGCTGAGTGTCGCGTCGTCGGCGCCGCGTTCGCCGGAGGCTGAGCGTGAGAAGAAGGCACGGGAAGAGGAGGAGCGGTGGCAGAGAGAACGGCCGGCGGAGGGTCCCGTCGAGGAGATGGTCGTTGCTGGTTCCGCGTTCGGGTACGGGTTGTTCAATCTGGTGTTCTCGTTACTCCCGAAGCGTGTCCAGTGAGTGCCTTTTCCACTGCGGGAGCCACATCGAACGATCCACCCGTAAACAGGTCGGTCGTGGGCATCTTCGGCTTCAAATACGACCGCGCACTGGCATTGCAAGCGCTAGCTATCAGCGCCGGCGTCCATACGCTAATAGAAGGTGATGGTGGTACGGCCTCAGCAGGGACAGACGTACACGGCGTCTTTGCTGGGTGCGTCTTGTCTTGTTCAAATGCGCCCGTCTGACGATCTCGATCTAGTCTGACTCTGATGACATTCCACGGTGTGGTGCTCCTGCTTTCAGGGTATCAAGCCGACGAAGCCAAGACTGTTCGTACATACAAAACGATCGTCGATTCTATTCAAGCAAGGTACCCCACTGGTGCGCTATGGGTTCTAAATAGGGTGCGCGTCTGTCTAGCTTCGTACCTTGGTTCTCAGGTTGATATTCGACTGCAGGCCAAGATACTCCGCATGACAGGCGAACCGGACGAAGCCATAAGCGTTTTACAAGCTGCCTTGAGTGCAGAAGACAACGGAGACGTGAAACGATTCGTGCAGGCGGATACGTTGGTAAGCCCTTTTGCGCCCATCCCCAGCTCATGCGCTCATTTTGTTTCCTTGCAGCTCGTATTTGAGCTGGCATGGACGCTTCTTTCTCAGCGACAGTTTGAAGAAGCGGCCGAAGCATTCATCCGAATGACAGCTTTGAACTCGTGGTTTGTTCCCTTCCATTCTCCGGATGTAGATATGTCAATGTTCACAGGTCGCATGCAACATACTTCTTCATTGCGGCAGGCTGCTTCTTGGCTGTCGGTGAGAAAGCCAAGGCTCAGGAGCTCATCGACAAGATTCCAGATCTGGTAACAAAGAAGAAAGTCGGCGGGAAGGATCTACCGACGGAAGTCTTCATTAAGAAAAAGAGTTCGATTTTGCCTCGTCCTTCCACGATGGGCGTTTGGCTAATCGATCTTTCGCAGTGGAGTTCTGGAAAGAGAAAGCCAAGCGACATAACATCGATGCGACGAAATTGGTCGATGTCATTGGGATCAATCCAGCTTGGGGTGCGTCCAGGCCGTCCTTGGCATTTGTATCTCTCACGCTGAATCCGTGTTCAGAAATGGGACTGTGTAAGTGACTTTGGCGGAGATCTCAAGCACTTGTGAACGCTGCCCCCAGTCTGGAACTTGCACCAAAGGACCACGAATGAAGTAGCCACAGCTTGCATCAAGGACCTAGCATCAATAGCGCCTTCAATATCGGTGGTTTCACCGGTCCTCGATGGAACTCCGCCGCAGGTCAGCATTCATTAGTACGAAATAAAAGTCCTAATCGCGGCTGATCCCGAACAGAAAACATTGGCTGAGCTCGACACACCCGACGAGCAAGCACTGCGTTCTCTCCTCCTCGGGGTCATGCACCGGACACTCGGGCTTTTCGGCCCGGCTCGTGAACTGTTGGAAAGTGCACGTGCCACTGGTTCTCACGCGAAAGTGAACACGTGGGTCCCAGGGGTGGCACTGTTCGAGGAGGCAGTGTTGGTGTTGAAAGTTGAGGACAGTGTCCGTGCGCTGGACGAAGCGGACAAGTTGCTTGATCAGGCCCAGAGCCATGCTGCCAAGAGCGAGATCGATCTGAGCTCCCGGTTGGACAGTCGCATTGCTTTGCTGAGAGATGAGATTGGGAAAAAGAGGGCCGCTAGCTGAGACGATGCAGTATCAGATACTTCCGCGCACTGCGTCATAGAGGATTGATTGTTAGACATCTGGCTTGATGGGTACCACGGACTAGAAAATCGGCCCTCATCGAAGTCATGTCCGAGGTAAAATTGAAATCTTCTCTGCCAGTAACAGTGCATACATGTGTGTTCTGATTCAATTCTCGTCGCGGATTCTGCAACTCATTTCGAAATATTATGGAAACCGGAAAATTCCGGATGCGGTAATCAGCTAATGCTGAAACGACCTCGGAGAGTACTCATACCTGGTTCCTGGTGGCAGGCGTGTACCGCAGGGTCATTTGCGGTATATTTCACTGCCCTACTGATTGTGAAACAATTGGTCACGCTCGCGATTGCCTTTGACGTTGCACCGCCACAACATGTCGCACTCATTTTTCTGTCCCTCGACTGCCCGTCATCTTCTTACTCGATGGGGATCATGAAAGACTTGCATTCTCCCCGCCGGTAAATGTCTGTTGTCTGACATCCGAGCTCCGACGAAGCACCTCCAACGACATTCACTCCCTTGACACCGTGTGAGAGGGCTGGAGGCTTACTTCGCCCGCGCACAATTTCCGCATTCCTCTGATTCCGGCTTGGCTGGACCGGAAAAGGCATAGCAGGAATCGAAATCGGATGTCCTGGGAGCGATTAGGATTGCACACGCCCTGTCTTCCTCTTCCTTTTCCTCTCCGTCTTCCTCTCGCTCACCATGGACGTCGTCCTGGCACTCGCCTGCACAGCCGCCCTGACGGCGCTCATCTGGTGCCAGCGCCGACTGCGCGCCCGACGACTCGGCGCTCCGCACCCGCTGCACGCCGTGCCGGGGCCTGCGGCCGACACGTTTCTCGCGGGCAACCTCGCGCGTCTGCACGGGCCTGATGGGTGGGACTTCCACGCGCAGCTGGAGAGGGACTTCCGCCCCGGGGTGGTGAAGATACATGGGCTCGCCGGGGTACGTGGGCTTCCTCTCAGCGGTTTTTTCGTGTGTGTGACGCGGGGTGCGAATTCCCACAGAGCCTGCAGCTGTACGTGTACGACCCGGTCGCCCTGCACTCGATCCTCGTCAAGGACGCCGAGTCGTACGAGGAGGGCCTGGTGTTCCTCAGGTGAGCTCCGCGCCCGCTGGAGGCTTCGTTTCGCTGAATCGGACCGGTGCGATGCGACCGAAGCCTTACTCGTGTCCTGTTCGGGACGGGCATCTTGTCGACTACGGGCGCAACCCATCGGCGTCACAGGAAGATTATGATGCCGGCGTTCTCGCCGAAGCATCTGCGTGGGATGGTGCCGGCGTTGTACGAGGTGGCGTGCAGGGTGTGTTTCGTCACTTCTTGTTTTCGTTATGTTCTTTTCTTCCGTTGAGTTCCTGCGCGTAGCTTCGCGATGGACTGGTGATCCCTCAGATCAAGGACGGCGTGTCGTCCGAGGTTTGTCCATCCACCTCACCCTTTCACGTACCCTTTGATTGTGACATCCAGATCGACCTCTACCCCTGCCTCAGCCGCGTATCGCTCGAATTTATCGGCCGCGCGGGTGCAGACCACTCATTCGACCCCCTGTCGTCCATCGAGGATCCAACCGACAACTACACCCGCTCGCTCAAGGCCATCACGTCAGTCTGCTTCCCATGTCTCCCTCTGCCCTGCATCCGATACCCCGAACCGCAGCCCATGCGTCCACAAACTCGCTGTCCTGCTGCCCTTCGTCCCGCTGCTCGCAAATCGGGTGTCGCCTTGGCTCCGGCGGGCGCTGATCCGTGTCGTGCCGAGACAGACGAGTCTGGGAACGCTGTGTGATGCGGTCAAGGTGACCGATCGGCGAGCCACGGAACTTGTTCACCGAGCGCGGGAAGGCGCGAGCCAGGAGCACAGGCATGACGTTCTCAGTCTCCTCAGTGCGTTGACCTCCATCTTGCCGTGGTGAAAAGTTAAGTCTCACATGTTGCTTTTGTCCAGTGCAAGACACGGAAGATGACGAATCGCCGCTGATGACAGAGGAGCTGGTTGCCCAGATATCGTGCGTCTTCGTCTCTAGTTATTGTGCTTGGAGGTAGCTATAACCACCGGCGCAGGATGATCGTGCAAGCGGGGACAGACACAACATCTTCGGCGTTGAACCGCGTCATCCTCGTTCTTGCGCTGAACCCCGAGATTCAAGAGCGACTTCGAGTCGAGCTGCTGCGCCACGACGAGCGCATGGACCACGACGTCCTCGTGCAACTGCCGTATCTCGACGCGGTCGTGCGCGAGACGCTGAGGCTGTGAGTTGCCTCGATTCCGCAGCTTGAAGAAGCAAGACATGTGCAACCGCAACTGAAACATGGCGCTCAGATACCCACCGATCACTGCCATGTCGCGCACGTGAGTCAATTCCCCAGACTGATCGATGCCGGTGCGAGTACTAACGGGCGATCACGGGACCCTAGCACCACGCGTGAATGCATTCTCCCGCTATCCGAACCCCTTACCGACACGCGCGGACAGAAGATGAACGAGATTCGGGTCCCGCAGGGCACGGATGTCTACATCGCCATCGCCGGCGCCAACCATAACCCGGCTGTCTGGGGCCCCGACGCTCTGGAGTTCAATCCCGAGCGCTGGCTCGTGCCCGGATCTGAACCATCATCCAAGTGGCCATCATCCGGGGTCTTCGGGGACATGATGACGTTCCTGGGAGGGAACAGGAGTTGTATGTGCGTGCGCCTTCTGTCTTTGAACCCCCTCTGTTTCGCAAAATGCTAAACGCGAGCAGCGGATTCCGATTCGCCCAATTGGAGATCAGTGCGCATTTCACGTTGTCTTTTTCTGGGTATACGTCGTGTTAATGAACTGGGCAGAGATTGTCCTGGCTGTGCTCCTTCGCTCGTTCAAGCTGTCTGTGTCACATCCACAGCGGATCTCCTGGAAGATGGGCTCTCCAGCCGAGCCTATGGTGGATGGGAAAGCGGCGCTGCCGATTGTCGTGGAGAGGTTATATTAGATGCGCGTAGAAATCGGACTTATACCTAGGCACATCCGCTTTATCTATTTTACTCAAGCCGCGAGTGTTCATGAAACTCCCGGGTGTCCGTATCGATCAGTTGTGGATCCTCATTTGACATCGCACCATCAGCCATTTGTTCCCAATTCAGATGTCCGTTCGGGAGCCCATACTCTCAAACAAGCAATGTTTGTCCCGCAAATGCCGCCGCAAAGCGGGTATCGACAGTCGTTAGCGAGCGGTAGGGATATAAAAGACATGTCACTCATACCCTGTCTCCACCCATCCTCCAGCCCTCGATACACTCCACACAATGCAGCTGTCCCACCACCACACCCTGCTCATGATCGCGGTTCTCTGCTCGCTCAGTGCGTTGGACATCGCTGCTTTAGTTGAAGAGCTGTTGGCTGACAGCTTTTTGAAGCATCCCGAGTGTTCGGTGCACCGATTGAGACGGCTATGTCGACCGCCCATGTCGATCCTGTCTCGACGGCGAGTGCGGGAGAAGTTCGGAGTGTGGGTTCCTTCCTGAAAACTTGCGGTCCATCGGAACTCATCTAACACTCAATGCGCTGCAGGTTACCCCGGACGGATGTCGTTTGTACTACTGCATCTAATGAGCTCTCTGAAGCGAGGGGTTGTTTACTTTGTCTGCCCTCTGAATGAAACGCTTTTCGTGTGTCCCTCATCTTTGATCAACACCCCGACGACACTCCCGCCATCACTTCCTCCTCCTTTCTTCTGTTCCGGACTCTACAGTATGCGCGAGCTAATCTTGTCAGGAGCATGTAAGCCGGCGAACAGGTTTTCTCATTTCTCGTCTCTGTTTACCCGGGAGCATGAGGGTAAGAGCGTCTCATCCACTTGGAAACAAGAAAAGCGCTCTATTCATTAGAGCTTCTAGTGTTTGATTTTGCGGTGAGGCAAAGGGAATGATCCAACGGTTTCTGCTCAGATTGACACTTTTTAGCGGCAGATGAGGCTGCGCTTTGGTGATCAGGCAGAGAAAACAGACCATCTGCATTCCCCATGTATTCCATTCTAAATCGCTTTGAACACGCTTGATCTGCAGTTGCTACTTGATCAGAGGCCATCAATGTTGGACAGTTCAGAACTGTTCGATGTTGAGCTCGGGGCTATGGCAATGTCAGGTTTTTTGAACATCCATGAAACTTGAAGCCAGCGAAGTTGTATCAGACAGCACAGCGAAGGGATTTGTGCTAAAAATAGCGCTGCAAAAAGTCACGATCAACCAATCATTTGAACCGTTTGAACAATTCCGTGAACACCATCAATGATGTCCATTGATTTTTTTCAGAAAGACTGATGGAAAAGAAAAGTATGGAGGCTCAAAACTACATGCTGATAACTGAGACGCATATCAGTGATGCAATATATTGTTGAACTACGGATCATATGTTATTATGTCAGGACCCCAAAGACCATGAGTGATGATCAGAATGATCACGTGCAACAACCTTGACGAGCTCGCTGACAAATCCATTGAGATCTTTCAGTGCACGTGATAGATTGATTTCAGGGCTAGGGCGCATCACTGCTCATCAATGAACAGGTAGAGATACAGACAGCTTTGATATGTAATTGGTACATGTTTCCTGGGGTCCCTGTAGTATGTACTGACACGCCTACGGAGCGTATGAGTGCGCAGCTGCATGGGGAGGGACAAGGGACTAGTCGGAGGTCAAGGGGAGTGAGCTACGGCTCTGGCTCGCGCAGTATTTGTGTGTGGGATTCTGATCCTAAACAAGGTCAGGCTTGATGAAATGAGAATGAGCAGGGGGCAGTGGTGAGCAAAAGGGGGAGCAAAGGGACAATAGAACGGGCGATGTGACAATAATGACGACGGAGGACTGGACGAGAGGACGATAGAATGACAGGGAGATCAATATGTATGTCTGTAGCACAAAATGGGGGTTTGGGGGCAGTGTTGGGAAAATAATGCAGAAGCAGGCGCCGAGAAAGCGAGATAGAAAGTACTGGGAGGTCACTTTAGACTCTAGAGAGTGGGTGAAGAAGATTTCTTGTTCTTTGTACTGTACTACAGGATTTTTATACTAAGTGTGAATTAAATCCGAGGAGATAAATAAATTGAATCTCCTGTTGATATGGTGACCATTGAGCTCTGTGTTAATTTACTACTTAGTCAGCGCTGAATTTCGCTGAAATGAAGGTATTAGAGCCACAAAGAGGGAATGAACTCCGAAATTTGATTCCGGCCTGACACTTGTCATCACGTGCCAGATCAATTGTGGCTGCTTTGTCAGCTCAAGCAGCTTGCTACGTCATACTGATGTGGCCTCTGATCAATTGATCGCGGGGCCAGGGTGCATCACTGCTCGTCAGTACCAATATTTCGAATGTCTGGAGCATCGTAGTACAGCACTAGTGTTTTGATTCAAGCTGCAATGAAATTGAGGACTTGAACTCTATTGCAACCGCATCAACAACACTGCTAAACGCCATGATCGTAACAAGATTCTTCCTCATGGTGTTCCAAACCATATGTTCGAATACCCAGAGGACTATGCAATTCTTGATTTCAAGGTCTGTAATTTCACATCGATTTCTTGCATGTTCAATTGATTTGAGAATTTACAGATCAAGATTGATCCTGAGGGTGTTCACAAGGTTCAAGCTATGTACACTCCTCCTGATCACAAGATATTTCACCTTGTTCCTCCCGAATTCCATGACATGATCTCTGGGATTTATCAAAGTGTTGGTGAGCCAAGTGTCAACAGAGAGTCATGCTGGGATGTCTACCTCCAGTTGCTTTCTGAATTCCGGACGCTTGATGAGATTCACGGTGTGGATGTCAGCGCTAATGAGAATTGGGGTTATGCGCTCACACAAGCATTGGACGACTACAATGACAAAATTCAGCCCATCCCTGGTCTCAAGGAACTACGCGGAGGTGAAGGTGTCATTGGTCCAGATGGCGGATATTATATGGGTGGTGTAAATCAAGGTGATGGTTTAGGTGCGTGCTTATTGGATTTTGTGTTCTCTGAGACTTACAACTTTCTAGACCAAGGCTTACGGTCTAAATTGAACCAGGTGATTGACAACGTAGAGCCCAATGTCAATGGTGATTTGCAAAATGAACCTTCCACATCGGATGATTTATTTGCATGGTTTTCTGATGAAGAGGAGTCTTTAGCGGCAGCAGAGGGTGATTGGTAGCAATAATTGTACTGTATCTCTACCTATTCATTGACGAGCAGTGATGCGCCCTAGCCCTGAAATCAATCTATCACGTGCACTGAAAGATCTCAATGGATTTGTCAGCGAGCTCGTCAAGGTTGTTGCACGTGATCATTCTGATCATCACTCATGGTCTTTGGGGTCCTGACATAATAACATATGATCCGTAGTTCAACAACATATTGCATCACTGATATGCGTCTCGGTTATCAGCATGTAGTTTTGAGCCTCCATAGAAAAGGCTGAAGCTTTTGAGAGCAGTAAAGGGAGCTCACTACGCAGCATGAATGATTCACAGCCTACTGCGTAGCTGGATAGAAGCAAGCTGTCTCAGAGCCCCACTTACATAGTGTCTCGCTAGTCAACCAAATTCAAGAAAAAATGTCCAGTTTGTCATTTCCGCGCCTCGGGGTATCTAAAATTGGTCCCGGCGCTGATCACGAAAGTATGATCGCCGAGTAATGTCACGTCACTGCGACGTCACGCGTCGAAGGCTCAGCGGACAACAGTCATGATCACATCCATGCCCTACCTGCCGCACATGAGACGCATCCTGGTCCTTGGTCGGCGCGCCTTCTCCTGCTCCAGTCCACTCCTCGAGTCGCGTCCCCCGCCTTTGCTTCTTTCTACTGTCGCAGACCTGGAGGGAATCCCACGCCGGCGGTTGCACATCAGCAACATGCCGGCGAATTACAACTTGAATGGTCTCGTGAACTTACTCGAGGAGAATTTTGGGCGTCTGAGGCCGGTCAACAATGGTGTGCTGGTGACCTATTCTCCGTTTCCTCTGCGTACTGACTGACATCCACCGGAGCACGCATGCGCCTAAGCACCCCAAGCTGCGCCCTAGTCGTGCTCATGCAAAACATCGCAGAAGCCAAAAAAGCCGTCGCCGCTGACTTGACGCTGGGGTACGAAGGGCGTCCGCTCAAAATCGAGTTCGCGAAATTCGCTCCGCTTCACCTACCCCAAAAACTCGGCAGGCGGCTTGTCATCGAAGGCCTCGCACGGGAAAAGACGCTCCTCGATATGTGGCCGCTGCTGACGAAGAGCGCGGCGTTTGACGGGCTGGATATCCGAGACATCACGATCGCGAAGGACAACACGGGCAACGTGCAGGTGTATATGATCACTAAGAACGATGCCATCCGCGCATATGTGCGCATGACAGACGAGCCTTTCAAGGACGGGGACGATACGTTTTACACGGCGAAATTCCTGCAACACGAGACGCAGAAAGATTCGGATCTGAGCCTCGAGCCCTCGCGCCGGGTGTACTTCTACCACTACGAGGGCACACCCGCCGCACTCAAAAGCCACATCTCTGCGTGGTGTGAATATACCGGGGAGAGGAGGAAGCCCAAGTTCCTGGTTAACTTTGGTACGTGTCCCTCTGTTCGAAATCGACCCGCGCAACTCAGTTGTGGAACTCAGTGGGAGGAACGAGCTCTGGAATCATCGAATTCGAGAGCGTCCAGTGGGCTGAGAGGGCTTTGCGAGAGCTGCGCGGGTCGATCATTGAGAGCCGCTGGATCTTCAAGGCCCATTTTGCTCTTGCCAGGTCATCTATATCAAATGATGCATACGAGCGATCTTCCTCGGAAAGGCGCCAGCTGGACCCGAGAGGTGAGGCTCCACGCAGATTTTAGTCACACTCTTTGTGGCTTGTCCAGACCGTTTCATATTTAATCACGAGAGAACAGATACTGTCGTCCTGCGGGTGCTCTCCCTGTCTCAAGATTCGGAGGACCCTCTACCATAGCATTCACGCTGCACATCAAATTCTTTGTAATGATGTTCTTATGGAGCAGGAATCAAACGAGGACCACAACGTCGGCCGCAAATCTGTGACTTTGGCTCCCCGTGAGAACATGCATCTGATTGATGCGCTCGAGTTCGCTCTGTACTGCTGCGTCCCCAAAAATCTAGGCGTGAGCATAATCAGTTCCGCAGCGCCTTTCGATTTCTGCTCGGATCGAATATGATGTACCTTGTGGACACTGTCGTCGTCCTAGTAATGCATTACGAAATTTAAGGGGTTGGACTGCGATGGTCACTCGTACCTTCAGCTCGTTGATGGCGAGCATCAGAGGCTCGTCCAGCTTTGCCGACCGGCCCAGCGGCGCGAGCGCAAGCTCGACTGCTTCGTCGTTCATGCTCCAGCACTATGTTCCAAATCAAGTCCGGCAAGGTCGCCTTTCTCATAGACTGAGCTTCTCACCAGCGTATGTCGCACTACATGGTCCCTCCAAGCTGGCAGCCCAAGCAGCACAGCCGCCTCTCCCTTCATAGCCGCCGTGTTGCGCAACGGCCCGAAGAACCCGATGAAAGCCTTTTTGGACCCGGTCGGGGTCGCCGAAGAAGATTCGTGGTCAACATGATGACGGGACGCGAAGAGGAGATTCTTTGAAGAGTTGTATTCCAGCTCTTCGGCCTTCGGCCCGAGTTGAAGCTCGAGGAGATCGGCGTCGTTCATAGCCTGATGGTATATCTTGATGATGCACGCGAGATCAGGAAGTAAGGCGGACGCACCTGGGCGAAGCTTTCTGCGCTCTAGGATCCGAGATCAGCTGCGCAGCCTAGTGAAAGGCCAATGAAGTCTAATCACCTCGAATTCGTGTTTGACGAGACAGACACTCCGCTCATCGGGGGTTGGGAGCCCGCCGCTGGCAAAGACGTGGTTCAGGTCGTTATTGTGCACGAACTGCGGGCAATTTAGCCAGCACGACTACCACAGATTCATGGACACTTCCAATCTCCGACTTGACGAAGTATTGCTTCACCGAGGGCAGAGTAACATAGGACCGGACAAAGGCTACGAGTTTGTTGTTGAAGTCCGACGGACTCATGTGGGGAGGACAGGGGTGGATCGCGAGGATCGAGAGGCTTGATTCGCGCCCAAAAGCAGACATCGCCTTAGTATCAAAGGAGGGGGAGTTGTGCTGGCGACTTGAGCGAAGGGGTGAGATTTTAAAGGTTTCAGAACAGAAAAGCTTAGATAGCGAGGTCTCAAGGATAACTCTGAATGAACAGAGCTGAGAAAATGGCAAAGGCAAAGCGACATGAGCTTCGGCATCGCTCACCTGCTGACCGGCCTGCAGTACTTGGCTCACACAGCGTTGCCATCGTCAGCAAAAATCCAGCAGTATTGCAAACCCGTAAGACAGATGAATTAGACGACTTCTGCGCTGAGATACCAACAGGGGTGAAAGTTTCGGTTTTCCAACTTGGAAGCATCACGTTTCTATCGGGAATTGCCGATTCGCACGTCGAAATTATTCTTTTCATCAATGTCCACAGATAGATGTGCCTCGGAATTTGCATTACCGAAAATCTCGAGACATCTTGTGACTTTCTTGTCGATTGAAGGCTTGCAACACCACCCGCCAGTATCGTAGACATCGAGTTGGCCAGGGTAAATATGCTCAGGCGGCCCAGGCGGGAGCACATGCTTCCTTGCCTCCGGTCCGGTTCATGTGAAAAGGCCTTGACCGGAGCTAGCATTCCACCGCAGCCCAACTGATACCAAATATACACCATGTACTTCCGGACACAAGGCAAGTAGCGGTGTAAGATGTACCCGAACCTTGATTCGTTGAAGCTCAGACACTCAATCTTCGGCCGCTCGTGTTCTATCATACCATTCTATTCTTGTTACTACGGGAGCGAGGTCCATCTGTGGCGCCACAAGTTTGATCTGCCGGGAACAGTTTTCGATCTTTGCCTTGTGTATTCTAATTTCAGATCTTCTCGAGGCGGGGATGCGGCGACTTATTCTGGTGATTAGTAGAGGTATCCCATTCAAGTGATGGTTCTAAATACACTCATATAGTGAGACACATCATTTTTGAGTTCGCAGAGCCACCCGTAGTGCTAGGATTTAGCCTAACGCCATGGCTGTAGCCATAAAAACCATACACTATTTTATGGATGGTAGCCATGCATGGCTACAGCCATGCATTTTAGTCTTCTCGCATGATCACGCGATGTATCACGCGACGTCCATCAGCCGCCCCATGTGTGATACCTTCTCGGCATCCATCGCGGCAGATCACATTGACACCGCAGTGATCTACCATCACAGCTACTCGTTCCGCACGGCTGTGGACGCTCGTCGGCCACTGACCTCACTATATCTCGTACATATTGTCGGTTTCCCGCGCTTGTCCCGCCCGCCTGTCATCGCCTACGGCATCATATCTGGTCTGATCGTATTCTACACTAGATCATTACGCCTGCGCTGTACATATTTGGCTCGTTTGCTTCCCCGATGCTGCCTTGCCACTTGTTCTGCAAAAAGGTGCGCAACTCCAGATGCCACGCCGACTGCTTCAGCGCGAACGCCCGTGCCCCTGCCTCCACTTCACGTGATGAGCTCACCTGCCCCGACGACTTCGTCTTCCACCAATCGGCCTGCCATTCCAGATAAGCACACACTCGACGCATCTCCTCCTTCAGCAGCAGGACCTCCTCGGTCCACCTATCGCGACGTGCCAGCGCCCGACTCCATTCCACCCGTATTGCTGTGATGATGTCAGTCCCATCCAGTACCTATTGCACCGGGAACTCACAGTCATGCAGATCCTTCTCCTCGTTGTCCAAAGCTCCGGGCGCGGTCCAAATCCATGATATCACCTGCATCGACGATCCTTGGTCCTGCCTCGGTGCTTTCCCTCCTCCTAGCGCCCCAATCTTCATTGCTGTCGAAGCATCCGTCCTCTCTGCGTCCGTCTCCATAGCTGCACCACTCATCTGCAGATGCTCATCCTTGAGCTCTCGTAGATGCTGGAACTTTTCCAAGCAACCGGCCGCCACCAGAGCCTCCCTTCCCCTTCGATACCGGTTCGCGCTCGCTGTAACCTTCTCCCCGACCTCGCTGATGAGTGTCCGTGCCTTTGTGGACTGGTTCTGGCCCGTCACGTTTGCATTGCGGAAGCTGATCAGGTGCCTCTTCGCGTGCAGACGCGCCCGAACCAGTGTGAGTGAGTTCTCGCACTGCGCTACCCGTAGCTTCATCTCCATGTCCAGCAACCCGCCCACACAGCCCCGCGCTGGACCCAACAACGAGGGCATCTCACTTGGCATCCACAGCTTGATGTGCTCTGGCCGAGGACTTGCAGCTGAGCGGTCGCGTCGGGCTTCGGCCTCCTCGATGATAGCAGGGGCCGCAGGCATATAGAGCCCCTGCAGTTCTCGGAAGCGTGCCAGCTTCGTGAGAACTGTATGCCGCCACTCTTCGATTTGGTTGGCACGCTCGCCTGCAACCAGTGCCGTCCCCTTCAGTTCGCGGATGATTCTTGCCCTGTGCAACCAGGTAAGTGTCTCACGTCTGGCATCACAGCTACGACACACTTGATATCTTCGATTAGAATCCCGGCCACTAGAAACGCTGTTGCGCTCTGTCCTTGCAGTGGCATTCTTCCCTCCTGAGTGAGTCTCTCCTCCTCCTTGCGAACCTCCAAGCGGACTTGCGCCTCCGACACACAAGCTGGAGCTCATCCTCAGCACCTGTACATGATCTAGAACCCCACGTGCACGTACCTGACATCTCGAGCATGTACGGGCTCGGCGATGTCTCGGGTCTCTGGAGGAAGATGTTGATCATCTTGAGCCACTCCCCCATGACCTCGTCCTCCACTCCCTCGCTTGCTGCCCTGAAGGCCTCGACCTGGATATCCCGTTCGGCTTCGGCGAGCTTGAGCCGCGCAGAGAGAACGCTACCTATGCAACATGTCAGTCGTCGTTTTCCTCTCCAACCGCATCACGCACCAAGCGACAGATTCTTGCGGAAGTTGTGATGATCGACATGCTCCTCGATGAGGTCAGCCCAAACGCCGACACCTGCAGTCTTCGTAGCGTAGCCAATCGGGTTAAGCACTGACCACATCCGTTCAATCCCCTCGCCATCCGTCTTCCCGACACCCGGCTTGAAGCTCAAGCTGTGGGTGTTCTGGCACTCCTGGTTGTGGGAACCCGCGTGCCACACCGGCAGACCACATTGGACCTTCACCTGCTCCAGGTCGAGGTGCAGATGGGAGGGCAATTTGGCCATGCGATCGCGTAGCTTGACATTCCACTGGCACCCGATGTCGTAGGAGAGCGTCAGCCACCATAGTGTAAACCCAATCAGGGCGGAAAAGACAATGTAGTCCATGTTTGCGTATCTGCAACTGTCCTCAGCATCATGAAAAGGCGGAAGCCGGTGTTGTACGCACCGCTCGCCCTTTTGCAGGTCTCCCAATCCATTGGGCCGCAAGATTTCATGTCTCGCGCAAACGCAGCCCCCAACTCCCAAGACCCTCAAGCCGGTCGTCAAACGCGTATCCTTCTGTAGAAGAGCAGCAAATGCAATACATGTGCTTGTCTGGAGCAAACAATGAGAGCAAGCAAGAGAGAGCATGGACAACTACAAACATCTTGCTCACTAACGTAGTTCTTGACGTGGTCCCTGTATGGCTCTGGCTCCACCCAGTACCCGAGCCCAGGGCCTAACGGCGGGTCGTCGATCTCGTTCGCTCTTAAGCGGTTCTTTAGACGGAAATTTGCATCCAGCGCAAGGAGCAGCATATATATAAAGCTGTCGTAGTTGTCAGCACACACCCGCGTGACACAAAGCCTGGCTCACCGGTATGCTGGATTGATGTCTCTCCAATTTGAAGGCAAGTTCCGATTCTCGTAGGGGCAAGCCCAGCAAATCACTGCCAGTTCGCCTCTCTTGGCTGGCAGGGCGCCATCCGGATCGTGTCCCCTCCCAGCACGGACCAAACGCAGCAGGAATGCCCACTGGCGCGACATGCGCTGCAGTTGCTTGTATCGTTCCTGTTTATAATCAGCATATCACTCTAATTCTGCACCGCAGATGTACCGGCAGCTTTCGCATCCCTGTCCGAGCCGTCACATCGCTCATCTCCTCCAATGATGTCACAAAGTCGCGCGCATTCAGATTCCCCGCCACGGAATACAGGCGAAACGACTCTAGGGTCTGGAATGTCGCGCATGTCTCCGGGTCAATGCCGGTCGCTGGATACCACCCGTTTCGCAGTAGCTGCTGGATATTGCTCGCATAGTCCGATCGGTTGCACTTGCAATATCTGAAACGCACTCGGTGAATGTATGGTGCATGGAGCACTGTCATCTCTCTCACCGTGCTTGTAGGATATGAACATTCCCACCCGCCGTGTCCCATCTGGTACACAAGACCGATATCCGCCAGTGAACTCTTCTTCCACCATGATCCCGTCCATTGCTGTCGAACAGCCTATTAGTCAAAAGTCCTCGCGTGCGCACAGGGTGCGCACCTTAATGACATGCAGCGGCGTTGTCTGATGCGCCTCCAACAGACACCCTGAGCACTGCAAGAACGGGCCACAGTCCTCACATTTGAAGTACTCTGTACTCAATTTGAGGTCCACGCCACATCGCGCGCAGCACGGATCGTCAATATCGTCCGCCAAGCCTCGAAAGCGCAGCAGCTCATTGACATATAGCTGTATCCGTGACCGCCATAGCGACATGGGATCTTTCTGTCCTGGGGTGAGCTCGTCTCCGCTGTCTCCTACAGACTGAAAATGCTCACACTGCTGCGATACACCTTTCGGTGGACCCCTTCGCTTTCATCGTCCTCGAACTCTTCCTCTGACTCTTCTCCAGATTCTCGACGCACCGACGCGTCTGGGAGCCAAGCCATTTCATCGTCACAACCATCCTCCCCATACCACGGTGCTCTCGATGCCCCTGGGTGCCATGTACCGCCCGGTGTCTCCTGCACGTCGGAGGATTCGTCGTCATTGAGTTTGCGACGCTTCGAGCTGATGCTCGTCAACTCCTCCTGGAGTTTGCTGGTACCGGAGGCATAGAAACCACGGTCTGCACTGTATAAGGCTGTTCGTGAAGTTGCCGCTGTAGCCCATGCAGGTGCGGCGGACGGCCGTCCGCCTTTTTTTTGCCTTGGGAGGCTCATTGCAGGCTCAGATTGACAGCTGTGTCACAGGGTGTCACCGTCCACAATTCGTCAAATCAGTACCAGACGCCGTCACGTGCGCTACAGGCAATGTAGAAAACGATGCTGCCCACAATATCCAAACGTGTTTGGTCGCTCTCAACACGCGTCAATGTAATCACAATGTTTCAGGGATGCCATGCGACATACTGGTATTAATAAATTTGCGCAGAATCTTTGAAAGTCATGCTGACTGAGTATGGTGAGTTCATATATGTTGCTTCTGCACGGTAGGGTGGGTTCTATGTTTCATAGAAGGATAGGGACATGTATTCAGATCACTATACTGGTCTGAATACCTAATACGTACCAGATTGAGCTTCGATCTAATTGTTAAGGAACAATTCAGCACCTGGCTGTAAATGGTGTGTTCACACATGTTGCAACACTCGGGTGCGATCATAGAGCCGAAAAAGTAGAGAAATAAGATATCTAATACCGAAGCTAATACGGGACAAGTTTCCAGAACAGGGAAGGGAAATGTACGAGATAGTGCAAAGTGGGCTGTAAAGCAGTACAAGTATTCCTAGTTCTCGTAGTTCAGCAAAAGGTTGCATTATGAAATCACTTAATCCTTCACAGAAGCAAATAATTTTCAGACCCCACCACATATGAAAACCTTCTGCAGGGTTTTGAACCTCAAGTTGGTCCTTAGACGCACACAGGACGTTGTCGATGAATTTCGGGCTTCTCGGGCGAGACCGATAAGATATGATGTTGATGATAAGACAGGTCCAGGCAGTGCCGACTTACCATATCAGGCTGGGAACACAACATGGCAAAACAGGCTCAATTCCATACAAGACAATATACAACAACAAGGGCTCTCGTATTGGCACGCAGAGTTCCTGTGCAACAAGCGTAAGAGGAATGTACTCCCAGGCTGAGTTCAGTTGACTTACAGGAAACAGGTCATACACAATGGTTGCCACAAAGAACAAAGCCCAAGCAAGAAAGCGGATGTCAAAGGCGGAGCGCAAGAATCTCCGTTTGTGGGCAGAGGGAAAGCGCGAGGAAGTACTGCAGGAACACCTCGAAGCTATCACCATTGCGCGTCTCTCGGGTACTTGGGCCGAAGAGCGCGAGAGGCTGCAAGCAGCCTTCAACCATTACCATGCTGCAATACCCTGGCAGACCGAAGACCACGAGGAGCCAGAACTACGTCCGTACGACCCAAAGGCGCCCATAGTTGTTGAGAAACTGTCTCCAGAACTTGAACAGAAGAAGCGTGAGCGCATCGAGGTGCTCAATCTGGTAGGTCATCATCAAAGATGGATCAACGTCTGTTTACTAAGTGCTGGCTCAGCGCATCAATCGGTGGTATGTATATCGCATCCGACATGCACTGAAGCAACGCCGTGAGGCAACGCTGGACCCACGGAGGAGTGCCTACGCAATCCTACTCGGTCGGCTTGCTGGTCTGAAGAAACCCCCAAAGGCACGGCAGGGCTTCCAACAGTTGATGCACGAGTCTTATAGCAAACTCATTGCGCCGGCGGTGGAGCAGAAACGTGCGGCGATAGCTTCTGGCACAGCAGAGACAACGGCTACTGGGCTGCGGGTGGGGTTCCGTGCTGAGGTCGCACGTGAGGTTTACAATGCGCTGCCAAAGGATCAGCAAGACGTGTTGAAGGACAGGGCGCATGAGCAGGCACAAGTGGCAAAGGACAAATACATGGAGGAGCTGAAGAACGGACCACCGCGCGACGCGGAGAGTCGTCATCGGTACATTGATGCGATGCTGGTTATGGATCACGACTGATGACGTTCAGGGCTGTGATGCAACTGCCGGGCTTCATTATGCCATTGCTGAAGGGGATATACGACACCACGGGACTTCTAGCTACACTGGTTGTGGCTGGTCCAATGCCGGAGTTCAACGGCGAAGTGAGGGCCGAGCAGTGAGTACCACGCATTGGCGCAATGAGACACGTTCAGATGGATATGTAGCGTGTCGTACACAGGCGAGGGGAAGCCCCAATGGGCTCACTGGGACCGGGACCGTTTCCAGAAACAAGTGCTGGACTTCATGGCCCAGTTTGCTGAGACACAGTTCAGTACGTATCAACATATGCATTGTGCGACATGAAGCTTACCCCGGGTGTAGCCGCAGAGGATCGCAATGCTGCCATACTGGCGGACGATTCCAAAGAGCAACGCGAGGCCATGTTAACGAAGGCGCTGTACGTGATGCCGGTGAAGACGGTGGGCAACAGAGAAGACGTTGACAGTGATAGCGTGGGTGGTTCGGACGAAGAGGAGTGCTGGTCGTCGGATACAAACAGTTCAGAGGACGAGGAGGCGACACAGCTGGTGGAGGCAATGAAGAGAAAGAAGGTGAAAGCGAAAGAGAAGGAGAAGAGGTCAAAGAACACCGGAAAGTCATCAAAGACAGCCGGGAGCAGAGCAACCAAATCTGCAGCGAAGCCCAAGGAACCCCGGAATAAGGATGCCGCCAATGTCGAGCCGGCAACGTCCAGTGCGCTGGCACCGGATCGACCGACAACGATGACAGTGCACATGTCCGGGCTTGGCGACGTCACCTTCTCAGATCCATATGCGCATATCCCAACCGAGCAGCTGAGTCCAGAGAAGCAGCGGGAGCAGAACATACGTCGTAACCGGGCAATGGTGGCAATGATGGATTTGCGTGGAGCAGCGTCCACAGCAAATGCCCTGGAGGCAGGCAAGCGGCGTGCAGACGAGATGGACGGGACGGAGGGCACATCAGCAAAGCGCGCACGGATGGAGGCCAGCGGCGACACCGAGGATGGAGAGGTCGACGTGGAGATGCTGTCGGTGGGCCCGGAGTTGCAGGGAGTAGCTGCGGATCCCATGGTTAACATTGCACTTGCTACGGATCCCAAAGTTGACACTGCACCTGCTGCGGATCCCCAAGCCGACGCTGCATGCGATACAGATCTGGATCCCGATGCTGCACCTGCTGCAGATGCCGTGACCGCGGCCACACCCGCTGCGGATCCCATTGGTGAAGCGGCACCCATTCCCAATCCCGACACTGCACGTACTACAGATCCGGATCCCGACGATGCACCTGCTGCAGATACCGTGACCACAGCCCCACCCAAACCCGACACCGCACCTGCTGCGGATCCCAACGGTGATGCAACACCCATTCCCGATTCTGACACTGCGCGCGAGCCTGGCGGAGCTCTGGTAATGGTAACAATGCCAGAGGTCACACCCACAGCAGATCCCGCATCTGCGATCGCAGCTGTGACGCCATCAGGGGAATCTGCCCCGAAGAGCGCTCGCTCAACACCTGCATGTCCACCTAAAGCGGCCCAATGGTTTGCAGCAGGGCACGAGAATTTGACGGCGGTCGATTTGGGGCCACACTATGATGCGGTGATTGCAGCGTGGATTCGGATCGAGCGAGCATCGCGGTGGGAGTCATCGTCAACAAATCTCCCGAATGCTCGACGACCGAAGGAGATATCGACATGGATTGCCGGAAGACGTCGGAAGGTGCCCGTAATCACCGACGTGTCACGCTATGTGGAGTGCTGGAATGCCTGGTGGGACTCCCTCCAACCACAATGGCGGAAGCGGAGCGGGGACGCAAAGAGATGGGAAAGAACAACGGGATACGGTCCCACTGGACGTGGGTGGACACCGTCGGGCGAATATGGCGGAGATCAAGCTGTGTGGGGTAATCTTTTCCAGTGGGGCCCGAACGGTGTGATGACAGCCGTGGCATCCATCTATTTCTGGGGTATGCAGGTACAGAAGAGCGGAGCTGGCGAAGGGATGGAGGCTTGGGAGGAGGCTACTGTGGATGTAGGTTGGGTATTGGAAGGACTGGCGGGCTATTACGAGCTGTGGACAAAGAAGGGTAGACGCTCTTAGACTCGGACTCGTAATGGCAATGACACATACAAGTCATCTGATTCTGTAAAGTTGAGGTGATGGGCCCGGAAGCAGTGAGCGCCGTTGATGCGCCTGTGAAAAACGGCGGCGGGATCGGCGCAGGACGCACGGACCAGGGGCGGAGCAGGAGCCGCAACACACAGCCTGTAGTGACAAAATACCTCAGCGTGGATGTCGCCTGCGCGTGCGCGATGCCAGGAAGCGATCACGTGCAGAGCCGTGGGCGGAGGGCGGGACGGCGGGCAACCAGATTATATGCAGCAAAGGGCGGAGGCCAGGACAACAGGCAACCAGGTAATATGCAGCGAAGGGCGGAGGCCAGGACAGCGGGCAACCAGGTAATATGCAGCGGAGGCGGAGGGCGGGACGGCGGAGGGCGGGACGGCGGGCTACCAGATCATGTCGGGAGCAGGCGAGCGCGGATTCATATCACATCAGAATACGCGAGAGGCGGAGGGCGCTGTCATCAGCACTGTTGATGGCTGTCATCACTGGTGGCGATGGGTGATTTGTGATTGACTGACGTTGACGGGTGCCGAGGTGACGATGCCGGAGGTTGAGGCATCGCACAGCGGTCATTAAGGTGCCTAGCCATAGCCCATGGCTACCATCCATAAAATAGTCTACGGTTTTTATGGCTACAGCCATGCGCACTAGTCTAAATCCTAGTGCTATGGCTCGCAGAGCATGTTCGATCTATCATCTGGGATTCGCACTGCCCGTCATCTCTGAACGTGTCAAGTGTTTCTCCGCTCACAAGGGTCATTGGTGGAAAGAGGGTTTCGAAGTTGGACAAAATTGAGTATCCTCTAAATGCGGAGTGATGTGGCATATTGAATCCAGGTAGCGGGTTTCAGCTCATGTTCGCACGCAAGCATCAGTCGGGACGTGTGACCTACATTTCGACATCGGCCAACGCCGATTCGGCAAACTCCGTGCAAATTGAGAGTCACGAAACGTCACTTGACCGACCTGGAAAACATCCAGCGTTTTCGAACGGGCGCCATTTAGTGCGTCATTTATTTCGCTCTGTTGTGGCGCTGCCAAGAAATGTCCAAGCTTGGTAAGACCGGTTGTAGGACCCTCCGGTTACCGGAAGCCGCGTAGTCACCGATCAATCGATTGTAAATCTTCTTTTACGCGACGAGGATAAATTAGCAACGCCACAAGTCTTCTCCAAATAGCTTTCCTTTCTTTCCATTCCTCATTCCGATGGCACCAGTAACCAACGGCCGTGTCTTATTCAACTCCGTCCCCCAAGGTTCAGTGACGCGTTTCTCCTGCGCGCATATATCGCCGACTCATCGCGTTTGGTGTGCACAGGCGTACCAGTTCCGGGCGAGACGACGGTGTATGATACCACCGAGACGATCGACATCGAGAACGTGCCCTTGAACGGTGGATTCCTGCTGAAGGTGCTCATCCTCTCAGTCGACCCGTACTTCCGTGGCCGCATGAAGCCGGGCCCGTCGTACACCGTGCGTAGCAGCGATTCCACGTCCGTCTATGCCCGAGTGCTGATTGGCGTTCCACTTAGGGTGCGTTGGAGATCGGCAAACCGTCAGTCGTGCTCCATTCCACCACCCAGAACCCCGCGCTAATCCACCTCGCTCATTGACGTGAATAGGCTCTCCGGATTCGGGATCGGCAAAGTCTTGAGATCAGAGAATGCGGAGGTGCCGGTGGGCAAGTACATCTATGGGTACACCATCCGTGCGTATCATCCTTCTTCTTGGTCGTCCCTTGTCGGTTCATTGTTGGCGTGCAGGCCACGAGCAGTACTACGTCCTGCCCGGCTTGAACCCAAGCATCTCCATCCTCGAAAAACGCGCTGATCTCCCGCTCACGGCATACATCGGCGCGGCTGGCATGCCCGGTACGTCATCGCACCCCCTGATCGTCCTTCCGTGTCCCATTCACTGTTATCCTCCACTCAGGGCAAACCGCCTGGTGCGCCTGGACCGCTTACTCCGAAGTCAAAGCTGTGCGTCATCACATCATTTCTCGCTCTCACGCTCTCATGCGCGGGCTGATCTAGGGCGAGACCGTGTTCGTCACCGCCGCAGCGGGCGCCGTCGGCTCCGTCGTCGTGCAGCTCGCCAAGCGCGCGGGGTGCAAGGTCATCGCGTCGGCCGGCTCGGAGGACAAGTGCGCGTTCGTCAAGTCGCTCGGCGCGGACGTCGTGTTCAACTACAAGACGACGCCGACGCGGGAGGTGCTGACGAAGGAGGGTCCGGTTGACATGTGCGTTCGCGCCGTCTGGTATTCGCGTGATTGATGGCTGAATGTATGCGCTTCAGCTACTGGGACAACGTCGGCGGCGATACGACTGACGCTGCGATCGAGAGCGCCAACGTTGGCGCCCGGTTCTTGCTCTGCGGGTCCATCTCTGGATACAATGGCCAGCCCGAGCCTCTCAAGGTGCGTTGACTACCCAGCTGCGACCGTCCCGCACCCACTGACAGATTTCGTCCGTCAGAATTTCGTCACGCTCGTGGGCAAGCAGATCCACATGCACGGATTCCTCGCGATCCCGCTGATCGCCAAGTACCACGACCAGTTCTACTCGACCGTCCCGGACATGGTCGCCAAGGGCGAGATCGTCTACCGAGAGGATGTCACGCGCGGCCTCGAGACCGTCGGGGACCAGATCGTCGCTGTTCTGAAGGGGACGAACGTCGGCAAAGCCATTGTCACCGTTGCTGACGAATGAGCTGGCTGTGTATGCACAAGACATAATGTACTCTAATACTCATCGCATCTTGGCCTTGAGGGCGGACTCTAGGTATCAACTCCTCAACAGTTTCACGTCATCTCAGATGACGCCAAACCTCGACCACGCAGTTTCAAGCTGGATGAAAGATCGCTGATACTTCATACGGATGTCGGCGCAGCACACTTTCTGCACAGTGCGCGGGGCCTGCGCGTTTCAGGCGTGATAGATTTTTCGCCTTCCATCTCAGCGAACTCGCAATGTCTGCCTAAAGGCTTGGCAGACTTGGGAGCGATGGCGAGGTGCTGAGATGTCCGGCCTATTGAGATGTCCGGCCCACGCTCCTGATCCGATTGTCCGCCGCCGCCGTATCAGCATCAGTCCTGAGCCCTGATCTTCGTCGCACATGACAGAAGAAATGGATGGTATACCATAATGCAAACCCCCGTTTGCGCATCTGCCACGAATACCCGCGGTGACACTTGAGCCCTCCGACGATGAGAAACACGCTCACGATCACTCCCGCGCAGGCCAACTGCATGTGCACGATGCGGGGTCCACACATGCTGCTCAGCTTGACATTCAAAATTAAGATTTCCGTCGATCCCTACCCGGAGAGGCTTTCCGTGGCACATTCCATTGAACGATGGTTGGCGATGTTTTCTGTCGCTGTCATGGGTGAGTCGGAGTGAGTGACGGCGAGCGGTGAGTTTGGGACCGCCCTGGGAGATTCTAGCACGTAGATCCTATGACGATCGTCCCCCGACTGCGTCTGTCCCTGGTGCGCGAGGCTAGTATGCGATCATCAAATATCATGTCATCTCGCATGCGCCTGTTACACTGAATACTGATCATCCCAGTCTCGCACTGCACCTGCCACAAATCCGGAGAGCTCCATTGGAGTCGATGGAGCTTGAATCCTAACCGATATTATTCTTACAGCCTCAACATACCCAAGGCTGTGTTGGCGAAATGAATTCGGAATTGATACGTGTTGATTGCAGCTGTAAACTCACTAGCACGTGCCTGGCCCTTGCGGCTCCGAAACTGGACTGGAATCTCTGCACACTCAGGTCTTGATTTTAAGAAGACACGGAACTATCTAAAGCTCGCTGAACTTGATGAACAGAAGCAGAGAGTTTAATGCGTCACCGGCAAATAAGCGACAAAGCGACACATTGGCAAGTCAGTGGCAGCCACATTGACATCGCTGCCTATTGGACAGATACCCTACAGACCCCTTTCAGCGGCTGTGCTCCGTTTTGGGCTGGAGGATGAGATGGCGCGTCATGATGAGTCGAAATTACTCGTCGAGCTCCGTTCCGTTATCGTCAATTCCGTAGCGTGACTCAATCCTCTTCTCGCCGCTTGGGACCTTTCGTTCGCCGAGCGATGGACATAACAAGCCTGCACAGCGAGTTTACGGTGCATTCGATCTGGTCATCTGGGATCAGCGCTGACTGGCATTCGAACGGATTGAGTGGAAACTCTCCAACGCCATCAGCCATCACCGTATTTGACAGCCAGCCAGGTGACAGGTGCATTAGGCTGTCTCGCGTTCGCTATCCCTCACAGGATATCTCGTTGAGTGCCAGCCCGGGATAGATATTCCCAGTCATCTCCGCTTCCGTTACGTTCCGCTGCGTAGTATATGAGCGATGGAGCGCGAGGTGGATTGGCATCGCAGACCTCCTCGACTTGAGGCCTTCTCAACATAAGCATCCCATTCCTCGACGCTCCAACCAAGTATGAGCTGGGACAACGGCTATTCGCAGGTACCGATCTCCAACTGGAGCTCACTCACGGGCGCGGTTCCACCTTGTGATTTCCGATTTCTCCTTAACATGATCAGCGTTGTGCTCATCCCGACATGCAGATTCGTCTCTCCCATCGTCTGGATATAACCAGATGCCGCCGTCCGCTTATCCAAACGCGCAGGCCCACTGCGGCTACCCGCAGACCGCATACAACCCTGCAGTCCCGCACGGCTACGCAGACGCAGCACCCGGCTACGGATCCGGCCATCCCGGCGGCCCGCCACCCGCACCCTCCGGCGGCGGCGGCGCGACCCGCCAATGCCAGCACTGCGGTGCCACCAGCACCCCGCTCTGGCGGCGCGACCCGCAAACGCACGCGACGCTCTGCAACGCGTGCGGGCTGTACCTCCAGCAGCGCCACGCCCCGCGCCCCGCGGAGGTCATCGACGCGGGCGAGATGGAGCTCTCGGACGACGACGGCAACGAGTGCGCGCACTGCCACACGCGCAAGACGAGCGTCTGGCGCCGCAATAAGCGCGGAGACTTGGTGTGCAATGCGTGTGGCGTATATGAGCGGCACCACGGGGTCCCCCGCCCGGTTGAGCTTATGGGCGGCAAAATCAAGCGCCGCGTTAAGAACCCGCTTTCTTGAACAGTGGCTGCCCGGGAATTACTCTTCGTTTTCATCGTATATTCTTTTCGGATAACTTATTTAGTTCGTGTATTCTAGAGCATCAGACAAGAGACTTGTAACTTCGCAACTTGTCGAATCGGGTGCAGTGTGAGAAAGAGCAGACGGTGGCGATTCATACTGTTCAAATCGACCGGGTGCATGTGCTTTGGACAGATTTCACTCTGTGATCCCAACAGAGCGTGATCCTAATTTGCATCCCACTAAATCTTCTCGACGTTCGAGGGAGAACAAACAGGCCGATATCATGACAGGTCTGGTAATACCCGGAATCCAAGAAAAGCGCGTGAACCCATTATAGTGTAGGTAATAATTTTGTATACATACTTAGGTCACCAAAAGTGGCACGTGTTTGCCTCTCTTCCAGCACCCAGTCTTATCTGCACAACATTACTCGTCATCGAGGAGAACTGCACGAAAGCATGAGAACACGGGAAGGAAGAAGAGTAATCCACTCACCCCAACACCGATAAACTCCTGGGCAGCAGTCATCACTGCCATATCCACCGCATGCGAGATGGCGATCTCCTCCTTCGTCAAATCAATATCGTGAGAACTCGTCACGTGTGACCACCCATCCGCCTTGAGAAGCTCAGCCAGCTCAGCGACCCACGCCTTGTCCCCGTTCGTGGCAATGAATAGGCTTTTCATGTTTCCAGGCGTGCTGGTGCCAGCCCGGACTTGCCGGGTACGCTTGACAATCGCGTGCTGTGACGGCCAGCAATGTGCGTGAGCTGCGTCTCGTCGGGACATACCTTCCGGGGTGCTCAGGTAGTCAGGTAGCTTTGGGTCCTGGTAGTTGTAGGGTCCGGGTCCAATTAGCTCGGATCGCACAGGGGGCAGCTTGAGCCCGGGAGTGCCGAATCCGTCCCACGCGTTGTAGTCTGCGCCGACATCAGCGAGGAAGCTGCAGTGGTTCTCATAGTCCCCGCGTCGCACGTGTATGGCGAGGAGGCCGGGGATCGTGTGTTCGGCGGTGTACAATCGCTTGAACGACTGCATTCGGTACGGCTGGCGGCCGGAGGGCAGCACGAGCGTCGGTGCGGGCGAGCGCGAGAAGAGGTGGTAGTGGCGGTATAGTGCGTGCACGACCATGGGCGACCAAGCGAAGTTGCGCATGGTCGGCGACAGACTGTACGACGGCCAGATGCTCATCACCTTGTCGCCCCCAATGAACCTGCACGCGTCAGTGAGCATGGGTCTAGTGCGGAAGTAAGGACGACGACGCACATCCAATTGAAGACCGCTCCGTCGTCGATACTGACACAGGGCGCATCAAGCGCCTTCAACATCCGCGACCACTTCAGCATCCTGTCATCGCCCTGGGAGTCATCATCAATCCCTAGCTCCTTCTGCATGTCGTAAAGCTTGATGTGGTGCACCCGCTCCGGTGGGCACGCAATGTGCCAGTACTCCACCGAGACCGCACGACGCCCGATCGGATCGCTCTCGTCCCTGCGTAGTGGGCCGCCAGCGGTAGGCCCAGAAACAAGCGCGTTCATCGGGATGTGCACCTGGTGCTCGGAGCCGTCTGGCAGCTTGTTGGGGTACGGCGGGTGGTCGACTGGCATGAACGATGGGAAGACGTACGAGCGGTCGCTGATGTACGACAGGTAGTCGTTCAGCAGCTGCTCCTGGAAGATGTTGTTCCAGCTGCGCGCCCGCGAATCGTCGTCAATAGGTGGAGCCAGAGAGAAGCAGCTGTACGTACCCGGACCCCCATGATGCATCTCTGATCAAGAGATACCTGCCGACACGTCAGCACTGGCCCCCAGGGAGCGAGTAGTAGGCTCCACGCACCTCCGTCCGTCGTTTCCATCGACCCCGTTTTGCCCCCGCCACTTGGCAGACACAGGCGTCTTAGCGTGCTGCGGCAGTGCGCGCTCGTACATCCATGCATCCATGAACGAGGGGTGACCCAGCTGCACGCTCTTGTCGTCAATAACGGGGATCGGAAGCGCCGAAGGGTCGTCCCACTCCCAGCCACGCAAGACAAGCACATAGAAACAGAGCAGGAGGAACGCCCCGCCGAAAACGACTCGCAGTATCCGTGGGGGTAGACCGATGTGCAGGGGCTTGCCAGGGGCCATGTGGACCAGATGAAGGAGAAGCGCAGGAAGAATGCGCGTTTTGGGTCCTGCACGGTCGCTGTCGTGACGATGGGCGTGCACAGAGGAGAAAGGGAGGGATCACTGGAATCTGCCTACGGTGCCTACGGCATGGTCTGACCGGGGAGCTGCCAAGCCGTAGATGGCGATACAAATCAATGCACAGCGATCGCGAGCAACAGGTACAAACACACTCTTTTTATCGCGTCTGCTCTCATCTCCAATCATTTGCTGTGTGCGACATCCGTGACTTGCATCTTGTAGTTACCGTTTCTCGGACATATTACCCAAGGCCCAGCAAGATGAGGGATCAACTCTGAATATGCCAAGCGGGCGATCGATCATCCATGGGTAGCACTCTAGAGCAGTGCTATCCCCTCCGTGCTGCACTCTGCGTCTCTTCGACTCTGCTCCCGGAAGCTTTTGATTGAAGAGAGGACGCCAAGCGTGCTCGTTCCCGCGTCAATTGTATTTGATGACTGTGATACTTGTAGCGATGTGAGAGGAACAAATTGATGACACGAATGATTGGGCGCGAGACCCAGGATCAAGTCTAGTCCGAGCATCCGGGGCGCTCCATCGTTCGGCTGAATGGACTCACCTCTCTCACAACCCGAGTGGCATCTTCACTTCCGCTCTATGACGATAACATCGTAGGAGTGCGCGGGATTTGCTCTATCAATGCTTACAAGAACTTTGCACAGACACATTTTTGGATGACAGACTCGTAAACAGAACGGTAGGAGAACAAAAACTACCAGGACGACCTTGACACATTTCGGGAATCACTAAAGATGAATATCGATCATAGGATGCTCGCACTCGACCCCACCGCAATATTATCAATGTTGATATCCAGACCCGCGCCTCTGTCCAGGATCTGCGCATTCAACTTGACGGGGTACGGTCCGACACCAATGAGTGCGGTGCTCATCGAGCCGACGTTCACTCCAGTCTCGTACACCGTAACCCCGAGCGGACCGAAAACGAGCTTGATTTGGTATGCGGACCCTCCAGGAACGAATGCCGAGGTGCCGATCGTCTGGAAACGTTGGGTGGCGTCGAAGTAGACGTAGTTGCAAGAGATGCGGGCGCCTGCATACGGCGCGGTGCAGCGCAGGATGACGGCACTCGGCAGCTCGAGCTTGAATTCGGTAGCAGCCTGGAGAGAGTGAGTACTGCCTGATATCCAAAACTAGATGGGAAATAGGACGTACAGTTATCGAGTTGATCTTGAGATCGCACTGAAAGGTATCGATCTTGATTGGATCGAGCACTTGGGCTGAGGTGGGGTTGAGGTATGCCCAGGTGTTGTAGCCTTGGACGCCCTGAGCACGGGTGACCTGGATCCCGGTTGGGGTGACTGCAATCTGCGGGCCATTCGAGACGGTGGTCGCGAGCCAGGCGATGATCATGGGGACGAAGATGATAGCCATTGCGAGGTAAAAGAAGATATGGATAAGAGCTCTCGGACGTGTCGAGTGCGAATTATACAAGACGTCTGTGCCGCGCTTTTTATACCGGGGGTAGATTAAAACCCGAGTCAATTATGAATACTAGTCCCCTGCACTCATTCAAACCACTTACGAGTGCGAACGCGCGTCCAATTGCACACAATCGAAGTGCGGTTCTTCAGAGAAGGCGCGGACCTTCCGTGGGCGATGGATCAGACAGTATCGAAGACTAAGAACGCAATCAACAGCGGCGTTGGTATTTCATACTCGCTTCAACAGCAGACCTATACGTCGAATCCAGTCAGCTGGGTGCGCTGAATTCATTCCAGCTCACCTCATTGGGGTCCGCATTGAAGCAAAGAACCTTCTTTCGTTCGTTTTCCTCGAGGAAGTTTCACATTCAGCGGGTATTCGGCCGCTCCGACTTTCATACAACCCCACATCGAAGCGGAGCATATCCGTTCACACCTTGTCCTACGTGATGCCATGACCACATCTAGAATCCTCCAATCCTGTTCCGGCAATGCACAACGGGCTGCCGCACGTGTGTGGCGCGAGGCCCTATTCATTCCCCCTTCTTCATGTACGTAGAGTTGGTGCGGTTAATGGATTCGACTGGGCAAGCAAGAAAGAGCACATTTTGCGCGCGGTTGACCAGCATGAACCGACCTACGAAGGGGACCTCGGGTTTTTTGCCTTGGAAGCGAACGGGTACACCAAGGGAGGAAACATAATCGTCTTCCAGTCACTTGAGAATGGCCGGGGAGTTCTACAATCTGGCATCCATTCAGAAAACAACCACGGAACCAGCTACATGGAGAATATGAATCCTGTTCAGACAAATTGACAATCTCATTTGGCTACTTAATTCCTATCTGTTGAAGAGCATTTATGATGTTGCAACGAGTGCGTGTGTTCACTGCGCGTGTGTACTTGTTCTTCTCGAAGCGGCGCGTGCAATGAGTGTAAAGTTAAAAGCCGAGAAAGCTCTGTTTTGCATAATATCGAGCAGATTGAAACTCTTGAGGCTCGCGTTCAACGCGGTGTGGGAGTCTGCGTTGCACGGAAATACATGGGCTTAGGCAATGGTCATATCCAGCGTCTCATGAAGGGAACTAGGCGCGCACTTCGAGTAATCTCCGTCTTTCCTCTTCATGCTGGCCAGCTGCAAGCACGGATGGATCAGTTGGTGAGTTTTGTGGCCGTGAAATAAGACTCAGGTCGTAGCCATTGATGTCTTCCGCAACAACATGATCCGTCGCTATAGACACTCCCCCAGCAATAATCGCTGTTAACGCCGGTCCACGGGCGTTCCCGAGCTTCCCGTACTTTGTGTAGTTTTTCCCAACGCTGACGTACCCGATCTTGGAGTCCATCGACGCCATAGACGATGTTACCTGGACTGCGCTCGGAGAGATCCCATATCCCTTCAATGTTGCGATTATGATGTGGCAAATTGCCGCGAGAATGACAGCGAATGTGTACATGCTGGGCCAGGAGAGTGGGATAGCGCTGCTAGTTGTGCTGTGAGCGGCCTCGGCCACGGGCGGGCTCTAATACTCTTCGCACTCGCCGTCACGGCAATGGATACTGGAATGAATGGCTGCATGTGATAAACAGGAGGAGCGGCCGGGGATGTCGTATCTTGAGCGAAATAGCGTGAAACCATCCCGCAATATTAATCCCGTGCGCACATCCGGTTCCAGTCCAGCATAGCGCGCGGACCGCACTCACTTCTCGGTACATTTCCGATACGTGGTGCGTAACGCGTAAAGCAAGGCATCTCCCTTCACAAAGGGCCATTCACGGTGAGGTGAAGATCATTTTGCGCGTGAAAATTCATATCGACCATTCGAGAACATGCTCATCAGTACCGACCTGCCTCAGGAGCATCTTTGCACAATTTTGAAAATCTGTACTGTATGTGAGGGTCTAGTTGGCCACCCTACCTAGTTGGCCACTTCGATTATTTAACATGAACCCTTGATTTTCCAGGCATTTCGTGTATGTAGGATGAAAGAGGGATGTCTAATGCCGGTGTGACGCAAATCTGAGGTCACTGGGATGTGATGGTGATCCATCAGGATTGATTGGTCATCGTGATCGGGAGGCACCGAGCAGATTCCTTATTTGGGTGGGCCTGGGCGGGCCGATTTCTTAAACGATTGCGCTCCCACACAATCACCTCTGTACCATCCGCCCCTGTTGGGTGCACATTCGATAGGCAGGAGTAAAGGCCTTTTCAGAGGACAATTTAACCACATACTCAAACACATCCGCTCTCCACGCCGCGATCTTTCCCTGCCTGTGCTGCCTTTGTCATACCATATGACCCTGATTCTTGTCGGGCATTGGTGACGAACGGCTCGTCAAATGCATGATATTTTGTGGATAGATGGTGTACTGAGTGTTGGAATAGCAACAGTAGCAGCGGTACTCTGGTATACGATGAGAAAGATGGACAGCAATGTGTGAGATGGCAGATTCCCACGCCCGGCCAACTAGCCCGGTTGACCCGGTTTGGCAGTCGTCGCGGGAAAATATTCATTGATCAGGAACCACGACTAATAAGCACAAGCGGCGACTCGCACGTCGTTCTCAACAGGGTAGGTCATGTTTCTGACCCATTGGATATGGTCTTAGGGTATCATATTGTGTGTTACAGAGCTAAAGTCTCTTAGGTGGCCAACTAGACCCTCACATACAGTATCTTTAATCAAAACTGGGTGGAGAGCATATCTACGATGAGATTATTTCATTCAGGTACTACCGTTCGGCGCGAAACCTCTAAAGTGGGGATTTCGAGTCATAGAACGGATAGTCGGTGTATCCTTTCGGGTCCAGGGTTCCTGTGGTGTAGAACGTTGTGCGATCATAAGGGTTCAGAGGGTAATCATGGAGTAGTCGGGCCGGCAGGTCGGGCTGGTGAACGGTTAGCGACAGTCATCGAGCGGTTTCAACGAAAGAATTACGTTTGAAATGAACTGTCTGCCAAAAGCGACGAGTTCGTCCCTTTCACCGTCCTTGATGGCAGCCTCCTGGCTGTATCCGCCGGCAGAAATAAGGCGTCTAGCACTGTCGGGGGATGTCCAGATGTCACGGATGAAATCGTTTGACATTCCCTCAGGCAAACTCGAGTCGTCCAGCACTTCGAATCCTTTAGCTCGGGGCTCGACAGCATGTATGTACGCCAACTCTGGGTGACGGGCTTTGAGCTGTTTCACAAGATATGAGAAGGTGGGCTTCGGGTTCTTCATGCTCATGTCTAGATTCGAATGGGATTCAGAATTAGCCTCTTACGTCGAATGCTGACTTCACCATTGAAGACATTCCATGGGCTCAGACGGATCGCCGACTTCTTCTGACCCACTGCGGCGACGACAGCGTCCATAATCTCCAGGGCAAACCTGGCCCGGTTCTTGACACTCCCTCCGTACTCGTCTGAGCGGGCGTTGGAGACGTCCTGTAGAAACTGGTCGATCAAATATCCGTTCGCGCCGTGCAACTCCACTCCGTCGAATCCTGCCTTTTCCACCGCGTTGACAGCCGCACGTGCAAAGAGACGCACATATTCGGAGATCTCTGCCTTCGTTAGGGGGCGAGGCTTGATCTCATCCGCTGGCCGGTCGCTCAGCGGGATGTCGGAGGCAGAGACGTAAGGGTTCTCGCCCAGGGCAGCAGGATGAGCAGCGCGTCCAAGGGCCCACAGCTGAAGGTAGATGAACGACCCTTTGGCATGAACCGCCTCAGTAACCTAGAAATGGCGTCAGATTTTCCAAGATCGACGTCGGCGAACCCGCGCACCTCTTTCCACGCAGCAATCTGAGCCTCGGACCAGATACCGGGGACGTTTGGGACGCCCACAGCACGTGCATCGATGTAGCAGGCTCCAGTCACCAGGAGAGTTCCTTCAACGCTCCCGCGTTGCGAATAATATTCCTTCACATGGGAAAGTGGGACATGGTTGTCGTCTACACGGAATCGTGTCAACGGCGCCATCACAACGCGGTGCTTGAGCTGCATTTCGCCAACAACGATAGGTTGGAAGAGCTTTGGAGTAGAGGTCATGGTGTTAAATGGGGTGTGCGCTGAGTTGCCCAGTAGTCCGAACGCCGCTGCATTTTATCTGGTTGCACATTTTTTCCATTACGAACCTTTTGATGTTTAATTTAAGAGATGGCCAAGATTCATGTCTTTTAATAGGTTCTGCGGCTTTAACATCAGCCAAATTTGACAGATGGTAGAGCGTGGTGCTGTGAGAACTTAGACCTGATCTGATGAGCAATGAACCGGCGGCCCGTTGACGTATATAATTGATAGTCATAGCTTCCTGGCTGACGAAACCATCGGTTAGAATGTAAGCACGTTGTGCTATCGTGGTGAAATGAGCACCGCCAGAACGGAACGGCCGTCCTTGACACTACGCTAGTGTCGTAATTGTCAGAGCAATTCGAATATTCCGTCGGCCTCGTGATTGTAAGCGTGAAGAGGTTAGCGCTGGGTGAAAACCTTTTCCGTGAGATGTTCACATGTGAAAAACGCTTACGGCTGTAATGTCTAATTTTCACATACATGTGAAAGTGTACAAATTCTGGAAATATGAATAACGCATAGAGATAAGCTCGTTCAAATTAAACAAGTGAGAATCTTATGCAAAAAGCATGCAAAAATTGTAGAATATTCAGAAACAATTCCCATCCTCAAAGGCTGTTGCACAAACACACAAAACTACTAAACTAAGTAAGAGAAATCAAACATTTTCGAGTGGTCATGTTCCTCCTCAGTGATGGTTTGCACTGCCCACTGCCTCCTGACCATCAACACAACCACGAAACTAGATGTACAGTGATCTACTGTACAAAAACTGGATGGGTGAAATGCTCCACTAAGCATTACTTGAGACAGTGGTGGAGAAATAAAAAATGTACTGAGTGTTATGCATTACAATTTCAAACTGTGAAGCAGGCTATCTAATTTCATAGGTTTGGGCTGCATGCTGGCTTGATAACATTCATTGAACAGAAAAAGTATAGAAGGTTCCAGAAAATTTGCCTAGCAACCTCAATACGTGAAGAGCCACTAGTGATAAGCTGGCTATCAGACTTGCTTTGCACCTGTCATAATTCAATCACTTTCCCATCATTTTATTGAGCATCTTAACTTATCTCAACACATCTTATCTTATCATGCATCATGGCATCACATGGTCCGGTGATAGGCTGGCTACCAGGCGTGCTCTGCACCAACTCTATAAGGGTGTATTTTTGCCCTTTTACAGAGTTTACTCTTGAACCATTTGGTGTATCATGTTGCGGGTGCCAGTGTTGTGCTCAGTAGGACTCAAGGGTTTGCTGCCCAGTCGACAACTGTGGATGGTGTTGACAATGGCAAGGCAGTCAGACCACTACTGTGGAATTGGTCTTATGAGTCTATACCAGGCTCAGGGCCAGTAGTGATGGACACTTGTGTTGTGGCAATTCCTCAAAAGGGATACTCTTGTTGCGGTGACTCCTTGAAAGGGTCATTCTCTGCAGATGGGAACTTGTGCTGGAGGGCTTAGCAATGCACAACATGCTCAACATAATGACTACCACTAGACAGGGCTTGGCATTACAAGATTGAACCAATCTTGTTGCAGCAGCTCCTGGCTTTGGGTTAGACGTTTCCTCAGATTGTGCCACAGCGACAAGTTGTCACATGCCATGTTCTACTTGATCACAGGATATTGTGGACGCATTGCAGTGACACTTCTAAGTGTCACAGTCAGTCGTGCCCATACCCAAACACACTAAAAGCAACATGGGCTAGATCTGTGAACCAAACCATGTGGGGAACGTCTGGTGTGCCTAGGACCATATGGCTTCTTGGGGCACCCACATTGGACTCACTTGCCAAGACATACTAGTTGGCCAATCCAACATGTCATATTCCAAAAGTAAGACACGGTGGGTTGTCCCACATCAAAAGTACCATATGGACAATGGGGCAGGGTCCTGATTAGTCAGGACCTGTCCAATTGTTCAACTTTTTCATTACCATAAAAAGCAACCGATCTTAGATAGTGTAGCTACTATGCAGTTGTATAGGACTTTACTAAGCAGTGTTGTAGACAGTATAAGTAGCATGTTGTTTCTTTGTATTGGGAAGCTTTCCCCTGGACTGTGAATCATACCCATATCAGATTGTTTTGTACAATTTGCATGTTGCATGATTCCTCCTTAAGAAGTTCTATTATCCCTGCCCAGTCGTGACGAGCTGCTCCCTGAGCACTCGTAGCTACTGTGATTTGAGTTTGAGTTGAGATATCAGAAAGTCGGATTCGCCGCTTCTGATTTTGTTGCGGCATTTAGTGTCATCGCCTTTGGTCTTTGTTTTGTTGAGTGTAAGGGCAACCTCGAGGCCCGATCTCAGAGTCCTGACAAGGGAGAGTCCAAAGCGTCAGATAAGAGGATCGACTAGTACAGGAGACTGGCAAACCTGACAAGAGAGAGTCCAAAGAGAAACCGAGTTGGGGACTCTCCTTGTCAGGGCCCACTATATATAGCCTACAGAACAATGGATGACCAAGCACAATGGAAGCGCCAGACAATGGGGCCAGGGGACGATGAGGGGCCAGATCGGGGGGAACAATGGGAGCCGGACCGTCGGGACAATGGGGGTCCGGGCCGGAGTGTCATGTGGAAGTGCTTGGCAGGGAAGTCCGGACTGAAGCATGTGACGCTTGACAGATGGCACGTGCGCGGTCACATGCGAGATCCCATGGTGATCGGACGAAAGCAGGGGTTCCCCTGACATTGAGATCATTTCCACACCTCTAGTTTGGCAGTGCGTTGACTAGTTGTGCTTGGGTTGTTTTGGTCAGTTGGCAGTGTGTCAACTTGAGAACTTTGGTTCCACACTTCTTGCTTGGCAGTACATCAACAAGTTGTGCTAAGGTTTTGGATTTTGGATTTGGCTATTAGTTAGCAGTGTGTTGACTCAGTACTTTGGTTGTGTCAGTTGGCAGTGCATCAACTTGACAGTTTGGATTTTGCATTGCCATTTGGACACTGTCGCTACAAGGGATCTTAATACTTTGTATAAAGCTCTGACTTGCGATATTGTTGGTTGTGGTTGGATTAGTGTTGATTTTGACTGTATAGAAGATATTGGTTGAGACACCATTGTTTGCTATATATAAATTCTTGTCATTGACTTTGTCTTCCGCAACTATTGGATCCTGCGTCTATTGAGAGTTGTGATACTGGTGTTCTGTTCACCCTGAAGCCCTCGCATCTTTCACACACTGAGAAGCTGATTACAAGGAGTGTGAACATGTTTATATTTGGGTTTACTTTCACACTAGATTCACTTGTGAGCACGCCCTCAGCATTTCAATGGGTGTCCAAGGCCAATTTGATACCAGTTGTTATCCCCAGCTTCTTTCATTTGTCATTCAGATGCTGTGTAGCAACATTGGAGTGGGCAAAGTAGTTGCAGATTCCAGATATGAGAGATGGTTCCTGTACAACGTCAGTATGTGTTTGATAAGACACCATGTATAAGTACAAACTGCTTTGAAAAGCTTGCCAATATCTTTCAAGAATAGATTCAGGAGGTGGCATGGATCGTAAATTTTGAGGATCCATGGATACTTGTCCGCTATAGCCTTACGCACAGCACATACATCACTCCTGCCATTGCCAACAAGAGCACTTTAGGCTTCAGCCCCGTAGTGGCCAAATATCTGTTCCATGGCAACCGTGGTGAGTGCGAGAGCTGTGACAGAAACAGCCTCGAACAGATGTCCTAAAGTGAAGATAGAGCAGCAACTGGGAAGTGTTGTATGGAAAGTGTATATTTTGTCATTGCCACGACTACTCCATCCATCAAGGGATAAGGTCATGTAGCACTGGTGGCGGAGGAAGGCCTTGAGTGTGGCCAGAAAGGCAGCCATCTGTGTTGCAATCTGTTCAGTAAAGAATGCAGATTGATCCAGGGTAATGTAGTTTGGAATGGTGATAAGGAGAAGGTTGATGAGCCACAGATTTTGCACAAACGCAAACGGAAGTGCTGCACAGATAACAGGCTGGAATAAGGCCAGATACAGCCAGATACAATGTGGTTTGCCGCCCCTGCATCATCTTAACTGGCTCAAAGAACTCTTGAATGGTCCTCTTGTTTAACGGGGCACCCTCCATAACATCCGCACTGGCCACAGAGCCTGTATCTTCATTGTTGACATCCATTGGGCAGTGAGACTCTGACCCCTTGTCATAGTTCGGCCACTTTTTCATCTTATCATTGACCATTATATCTTATCTCGGCACGGATTATCTTATCATGGATCATGGCATCTGACGGTCCGGGCTAGGAGTCTAGGGATTATCTTTATTGATTCAAGGCTGTGCGACATATGCTCCGGAAGGTTCTACTACAACCCATGACCAGCGCTCCATGCAGTACATAGCCTTACGACTCATTACTTGTAGATATGACTCAGACTGGACTTGGGTATAAATACTGTAGCTACTTGGTTGTATTCTCCAGTCTTCGAATTATGTGACAATCATACGTACTAATATTCACGATTTTCTTGTTGCCAAGATGGAAAAAGAACGCAAGGAAAAAATAGCTCTAAATAGAAAATATTTACAAGATAAAAAGGATCAGAAGACAGCAGCTGCAGATAAATTATTGGACTCCTACGTATTTATGGCTCGTGGAGAAGAAACCATGTCAACAAAGACCGAAAAGGGGAGCATCACTCCGGAGGCTCGATCCTTGAAAAAGGAGGAAGCGCCTAAGAAATCTGCCAAAATCAAGGTTCCAGAAGCACCCAAACGCACCAGGGTGCCAGATGCCGTCCAGAGGGAATTGGCGGCTGAGAAGCAGAAGGGTCCTCAGCCCAGCAGATTGGCACAGGAATTGCGCAGCTACCAGGCTGTAAGGAATAGGCACTCAATGGACGTATATGTCCAGATCATGGGTCTGGACTCAGGAAAGACCTGCAGAGTCAAGGCGCTACTCAATAGTGGTTGTAGTACCTGTTGCATCGATACTGACTATGCACGGGCAGACAAACTGGATATCCAAGAAATTCTGCAACCCATTGTGGCTCGTAACGCCGACAACACCAAAAACATCAGTGGTTGGATCACGCACTACGTCAACTTAAGGATAAGAATCGGCCCTCATGTGGAGACACGCACGTTCCTTCTGATGTGTCTAGGGAAAGCCCGGATCTTCATCGGTCTTGACTGGCTGACGGAACACAACCCTGAGGTGGACTGGCAGGAGCAGACAATGAGATTCAGCCGATGCCCAGAGCGGTGTCACATGAGGGGTCACAAGTGGACTGCAAGGTGTACCCCTTATCGCGGAACGAGCAGGTCAAGCTCGACGAGTTCTTGCAAGAGAACCTGGCCAGTGGACGGATCAGGCCATCAAAATCACCCATGGCGTCAGCATTCTTCTTTGTCAAGAAAAAGGATGGCTCGCTACGTCCCGTCCAAGATTATCGGGAGCTGAATGAGATGACAATCCAAAATCGATACCCACTGCTGCTGATCTCTGAACTGGTCCATAATCTATGCAGCGCCAAGTTCTTCACCAAGCTTGACATCCGGTGGGGATACAACAACGTACGGATCAAAGAGGGCAATGAGTGGAAGGCTGTATTCTGCACAAACCGCAGACTGTACAAGCCCTTGGTCATGTTCTTTGGTCTCACAAATTCCCCGGCAACCTTTCAAAACATGATGAACAACATACTCCGAGAACTGATCAACAATGGTCATGTGGTAGTCTATCTTGACAATATACTGATCTTCACAGAGAACTTGGACAAACATCGGTGGATCACAAAACAAGTACTCAAATTGCTCCAAAACCACAAGTTGTACCTGAAACCCAAAAAGTGCAAGTTCGAACGCACAGAGATCGAACATCTGGGGGTAATTATTGGACACAATTTGATGCGGATGGACCCAGTCAAGATCAAGGGCGTGATGGAATGGCCTGAACCAAAAAGTGTCAAACAAGTCCAAGCATTCCTGGGGTTCACCAACTTCTATTGGCGCATTGTCCGGGGATATGCGGAGGTCGCCAAGCCATTGACACAACTGACAGGGAAGGCTGGATGGCCATGGGGTATGGATGAGCATGCGGCTTTTGATGGATTGAAGAATAGAATTGCAGAGGATGCGGTCTTAGCACTGCCAAATGACACCGGCCAATATTGTCTGGAAGCCGATGCTTTGGAAGGGGCAACAGGATCCGTTTTGAGCCAAAACCAAGATGGCATTTGGCGCCCAATCGCATTTATTTTGCATGCATTGACTGAAACCAAGCGAAATTACAAGATCTACAACAAAGAAATGCTCGCAATCATGCTATCATTGGATGAATGTAAGGGCAACTCCTGCCAGCCCGAAGGAAGAGAGCACACAGCACACAACAACCTCACATGAGTCTGAGCACAGAGGGGGATCCTTAGAGACTATCAAATACAAGGGAGGTATACTACTCACCTGAGCACAGAGGGGGATCCTTAGAGAACGGTTCAAGGATCCATGTGCCCAGGTGTCACACTATATAGTCAGCTGTGACAAGTGACTGATGATGATGGGATATCACTGCCATGGAACAATGGCAGATGACAAGTAGATAATGACAAACCCAGATAAGATAGTGAGTGGCTCAGAGGGGCCAGTGATGGCCAGCTCCTGAGACACCAACAGTGGAAGGCCACACTGGAGGAGCCCAGCGGCCAGGCCAGTGCCGGGCCGGCCAGTGGAGACATTGGAGGCGAGGACCAATGCCCAACTGGGAAGAGGGGTGGTGCGGATGAGCGCAAGGGCATCTGGTACGAGCCTGTACGGCAGTAGACCACATTCGCGGGGAGAAGGCCGAAGTGAAGGGGGAGGAGTGCATACGGCAGTAGCACTCCCTGGTGCAAGGAATCGGGCTTGGCTAGACCGCTTGCGGGGATTCGAGGGAGATGGCCGGGGGAAGAAGGGAGAGGGCGGATGTCGGCATGGATGGAGATGAGGATCGGAGGAGGAGGAGGAGGCTGGGTGATCGAGACAGGTGAGCAGGCACGGGTCGGCAGAGAGGGTGCAGTGGGTCACGTGCATGGTCACGTGCCCAAGGAGCGCGGCGTCCCCTGACAATGAATGGAGGCAGTTACTACTGGGAGCCATGGAAACATTTGAGATCTTCATGTGACAATCAACAAGGAATAATGTCGAAAAGAGAAGTGAATTCGAAGACTGGAGAATACAACCAAGTAGCTACAGTATTTATACTCAAATCCAGTCTGAGTCATATCTACAACTAATGAGTCATAAGGCTATGTACCGCATGGAGCACTGGTCATGGGTTGTAGTAGAACCTTCCGGAGCATATGTCGCACAGCCTTGAATCGATAAAGATAATCCCTGGAACCCCTAGTCCGGACCGTCTGATGCCGTGATCCATGATAAGATAATCTGTGCCGAGATAAGATAAGATAGTCGATGATAAGATGAAAAAGGGCTGAATTATGACACTTCACTGATCATCAGAATCTTGAGTACTTCTGGAAGCCACAGAAACTCAATTGACGGCAAGCACAATGGATCACAGAGTTGGCAGAGTTTGATTTCACCTTACAACACCGGCCTGGCGCACTCAACCGCAAGGCAGATCTCTTATCTCGACGAGCGGATCACGATCAGGGCAAGAACAACAACAAGCATGTCACTTTGCTGAAGCCTGAATTCTTCCGATCACAAGAAGTTACATTCGAGGGGCAAGATCAGCAGCTAATTGATGGGATGAAGGCCACTTGATCAATTGACGGAAGCATCAAAGCGGCCTTGGAGAAGTCACTTGCCAGATGGAAAAAGGAAGATGGGCTCATCTGTAAGGGGAGTGGAGCCCAGGGGCCAAGTCGATAACAAGACTGGGGATCAGAGATCCCCAGCAACTATCTATATACAAGTAGATGACGTAAGAAGCATGACACCGCTGACTGATAACCCTCGGATCACCGCCGGAACACCGCCGGATCAATACCAATGACCTCATCCTGCTGACACGTCTCCCCTGACATCATCACGTACCATGGGAAGCTCTACGTACCAAGGGATGAGGAGCTGCGGGACAAGATCATTGGGCTACACCACGACACACCTTTGGTGGGACACGCTGGGATCAACCAAATGCAGGAAATGGTGGAAAGGAACTACTGGTGGCCAAGGATGGGAAACCAAATTCGGAAATACATCCAGACGTGTGAAGCGTGCCAACGGACCAAGACCAGAAGGGCGAGAACGGGGACCCTACACCCGCATGCGGTTCCAAACGCACCATGGGAAATCATCTCCATGGATCAAATCGGACCCCTACCGGTCAGTAACGGGTATGATGCAATCCATGTGTGGTGTGACACCTTCACCAAAATGATCCATGTCGAACCCATTAGTACTGACATTAGCAGCAAAGGAGTAGCATGGTTAAACAGGGACCGAGTCTTCTGCTATCACAGGATCCCTCACAAGATCATCACTGACAGGGACTCACGATACATCAAGGGCTTCATGAAGGAGACAAATCGGATACTGGGCCTGGAAATGAATCCGGGGACCGCATATCACCCAATCATGGATGGGCAAACAGAGCGCATGAACCAGGAGATCGAGCACTATCTCCGCATCTATGTCAATTACCATCAAACAGACTGGTCGGAGTGGCTGGGAATGGCGGAGTTTGCATATAACGACAAAATGAACACGTCTACCAAAATATCACCATTCTAAGATAGGCGACAAACGCATCCATCTAATCACGTGGTCTGATTTGTGACAACGACAACGAGCAAGCGGGGAAATATATATTACAGAATCAAACCACGGGAATGTTACGTAGGAGCTCTACAAAGAACTCTGTGGTTCCACTTTCCCCTAAATTCTACCTCTAGTGAAATGTGCTCTAAGATTTTGCGCCTAACACGTGTAGCATCACGTGTAGGTCACATGCTTTGATCAATTCTGCTTTCGTGCCCTAACCACTCGAGCTACTCATCATTTATTCACTGTAACACATGCCTAAGCGCAAGGGAACCGATAAAGCTAAGAATCTGGGTCATCATGCTGAGGCAAGGCCCCAAAAATGAGCTCGCAGCGCTTCACCCGAGGTCATCACTGCTGAATCCAATTCCGAAGAAGAAACACTCGACGTTGATGCAGAAGATGATGTGCCCATTCCAGATAACGAGGCAGATCTTGCGCGTTGGCTTCGGATCAGCAAAGGGCGTCTGGAAAGCCTGTGCTCCTGGGCACCGAAAGCTGTCCGTGGTCAGTACGCGACAAACAAGCTTGACAAACCGCCGGCAAAGCGCACCATTCAGCATCACAAGAAGCTTGAACGCGACCAGGCTTCACGGGAAGCGAAGGAAGATGCTCGTCTGGGTCTGAAGTCAACCACTCTGCTCGGATTCTTTGCACGGAAGAAGCAACCCACCCCAACACATCCACAGACAGAGCCTCAGGAGATCATCGAAGTTCCTGGGGATGATTCTGGGAGCGATGCAATGGAGCTGGATCGAGACGACGCACCTCCCGACTCAGATGAGATCCCGGAAGCCGCTCGTGGCACCTCTGCACCCGCAAGCATGGCAAGCTCACCGAGTCAACGTCTGACAATTGAGGAGGTTGATGATGATGAAGACGGCAATGGTCGATGCCCGGACCCAGCTGACTTGAGCCCATTGGAACAAGCGGAAGAAGGTCTTGACGACATCTGGGATCCATCCGAGTGCCGATTACTGGGGGATAGGATGGGAGAGAGAGCGGAGAACGCACCGGGGACTGATGAGCAACCTCGGATTCATGGCCCATCCCCATTCCCTCCCTGGTTGCGAAACTCGGACGCGACATTCTTCCCCGATCAGAGTCACGGATTAGTGCTGCCCGAGCGCCGCAAGAAACTCCCTCGGCCAATTCCCTCCAACGAGTCTGTCGACAGAGCAATTCCAAAGTTGCAGGAATTGCTGCATCCCCATTGTTCGAAAGGTCGTGGACACGCGAAGAGCAAACTCGATCTTGTCACACATGCGCGCCTTGAATGTGTGGTGCGATTCCTGCGACTCTTTCGCGCCTGCGGATACACAAACTGGTTGGAGGAATCAGAATCGATTGTAAAGTCATGTGGGAAGCAGGGAACGAAGACGTGGATGGCAAAGAAAGTGCGGGAATGGGCAATTGACTTCTGCGAGGACGAGAAGAAGCTGCCGACTCACATGTATGGTCAATTCGACACCTCTGTTCTCACCCGCGACGAGGATATTGCTGGTTCCATTCATCAGCACCTTCAGAGCCTCGGGAAATGGGCATCAGCGAAGCAGATTGTTCAATATGTTGCCACGCCGGAGTTTCAAGCACGACTTCGTGTCAAGTGCGGGATTAGTGAGCGAACAGCACAGCGGTGGATGAGGAAGAATGGATACCGGTGGCGACAAGAGAAGAAGGGTCAGTACTCGGACGGACACGAGCGTGCCGATGTTGTTCATTTCCGGCAACACATCTTCTTGCCTCGTTGGAAAGAGTTGGAGGCTGGGACTCGGTGGTGGAAGGTCGGAGATTCAGATGAACAGATCAGTCATGATGCGGCATTACGTGCGTACCTGAGCCCATCTGTCGATGCTCGTGTCGTTGTCATCTGGAGGCATGATGAATCGACATTCTATGCCAATGATCGACGCCACTACAGTCAGACAGGTAACTAGGCCTCTAAGGGGCGTCATGACGAAAGTGGGACCCACCTTAGAGGCCAGTTTTCAGCATAGCTACCACTGTGGTATGTACCAGTCTGGTATCTACCTGAGTGCAGGTATGTACCTGCGACTGGTGGGTGGGACCCCAGCTGGCAGCCGGGGGCAAAAAATGCATTTTTGGGGCCGTTTCTAGGCTGTTTTGGCTGATTGTTTGAGCATTCTGCCAGGCTAGGTTTACCCATTTTTTGTGCAAAACTTTGATCCACATCATTTCTGAAGTGATCCCATCATGGGAACCATTTTGGATGCTGCGCTCCAACCAGTGATCTGATCACCCATGTGTATAGATGAAAGTTGTTCAGTTTTGTGAGGGCTACAACTTTGGTTTCTCATCACTTTCTTTGTCAGCATCAATCACATGCTCTACTGCCACGGCAAATGGCTCTGTTTTTGATTGCGCATCAATTTTTGATGGTGCCAATGATGCCAGTTCTAATCTCATCTTATCTTTCAGACCTAGATTGACATTTGGTGCTTACTCAATGGTGGTCCCTGATAATCAAATCCCAGAGAAATCTAATCTTGATGTGGCTGTGTGTGATTGGATCAATAATGTGGCACAGCTTCCATTTTAGGTTGCATGTTCAACTTACATAATCTCAATTGAACATATTGGACATGTGACTTCCTTTTGGGGATATTTTGATGCAACTTATAGCAACCCAAAAAGGAAATTTGCCTCAATTTTGCAATAGCACATGCTCATATTGTGGGTTTCTTCTCAGCTCTTTAGGATATATTCTCTTATGTGATTCCTTGCACTTGTGCTCTTCAAAACTTCTACACTGTTGTTTAATGCCTCTATATCCTAATTCTTTCAATGATACCCTATATGACTTTCATTGACAACACATACTTCTCTATGCATATTCCTATTTATTTCTAATGTTTTATGCCTTTCAAGAGATGTGTTGCTGTCCTGGATTACATAGTAGAGCCAGCCATTGCATATATATATGGATAGTAACCATTGCATACCCATCCTGCTTTACCACATAACCGGCTATTTCTACACCCCCAATTTACATGAGTCATGCCTTCATTGTTACAAAGAAGAGTTATTGAGATTAACATGAACATAGAAACAAAGAATACAGTGAAAGCAATGGTCACAGGTGGGAAATCAAAGTGCCCTTTGTAATGCAGGTATTCTTGCTTCAGTAACTCAAAGCAATGTTTCACTTTATTGTAGCAACCAATTCGAAGATTTTCCGCACTTCATTGATCTGAAAATGAGGCTGTATCTATTTCATTCAGGTGCATCTGGTTTTATATTGCAAGGTGAATAGGGACCCTTTGGATGGGTTTCATGCTCTCTGCAACATTGCAATGAGCTTTCACAGTGATAATCTTCCAGATTATGACATCTATTGCAGAGGCAGACAGAAAAGTGCGATTTTTTTCGAACTTGCATTGGTAGAATATCTGAATCTTGTTGAGACACACTAATTCAATGTCATGTGGTCTTTTTGTGTTTCCTTGCCATAGATGTCATAATCTGGAAGATTATCACTGTGAAAGCTCATTGCAATGTTGCAGAGAGCATGAAACCCATCCAAAGGGTCCCTATTCACCTTGCAATATAAAACCAGATGCACCTGAATGAAATAGATACAGCCTCATTTTCAGATCAATGAAGTGCGGAAAATCTTCGAATTGGTTGCTACAATAAAGTGAAACATTGCTTTGAGTTACTGAAGCAAGAATACCTGCATTACAAAGGGCACTTTGATTTCCCACCTGTGACCATTGCTTTCACTGTATTCTTTGTTTCTATGTTCATGTTAATCTCAATAACTCTTCTTTGTAACAATGAAGGCATGACTCATGTAAATTGGGGGTGTAGAAATAGCCGGTTATGTGGTAAAGCAGGATGGGTATGCAATGGTTACTATCCATATATATATGCAATGGCTGGCTCTACTATGTAATCCAGGACAGCAACACATCTCTTGAAAGGCATAAAACATTAGAAATAAATAGGAATATGCATAGAGAAGTATGTGTTGTCAATGAAAGTCATATAGGGTATCATTGAAAGAATTAGGATATAGAGGCATTAAACAACAGTGTAGAAGTTTTGAAGAGCACAAGTGCAAGGAATCACATAAGAGAATATATCCTAAAGAGCTGAGAAGAAACCCACAATATGAGCATGTGCTATTGCAAAATTGAGGCAAATTTCCTTTTTGGGTTGCTATAAGTTGCATCAAAATATCCCCAAAAGGAAGTCACATGTCCAATATGTTCAATTGAGATTATGTAAGTTGAACATGCAACCTAAAATGGAAGCTGTGCCACATTATTGATCCAATCACACACAGCCACATCAAGATTAGATTTCTCTGGGATTTGATTATCAGGGACCACCATTGAGTAAGCACCAAATGTCAATCTAGGTCTGAAAGATAAGATGAGATTAGAACTGGCATCATTGGCACCATCAAAAATTGATGCGCAATCAAAAACAGAGCCATTTGCCGTGGCAGTAGAGCATGTGATTGATGCTGACAAAGAAAGTGATGAGAAACCAAAGTTGTAGCCCTCACAAAACTGAACAACTTTCATCTATACACATGGGTGATCAGATCACTGGTTGGAGCGCAGCATCCAAAATGGTTCCCATGATGGGATCACTTCAGAAATGATGTGGATCAAAGTTTTGCACAAAAAATGGGTAAACCTAGCCTGGCAGAATGCTCAAACAATCAGCCAAAACAGCCTAGAAACGGCCCCAAAAATGCATTTTTTGCCCCCGGCTGCCAGCTGGGGTCCCACCCACCAGTCGCAGGTACATACCTGCACTCAGGTAGATACCAGACTGGTACATACCACAGTGGTAGCTATGCTGAAAACTGGCCTCTAAGGTGGGTCCCACTTTCGTCATGACGCCCCTTAGAGGCCTAGTTACCTGTCTGACTGTAGTGTCGACGCACCCTTTGCTAGGTGCATGAGAAAGAGTCTGCAGCCATCAAAGCGAAGGGAGAAGGAGTCAGCTTGATGATTGGTCGTTATGTTTCGCCCGACTACGGATGGCTCAAGGCAAGAACTCCAGGACCAGATGGGTGAGCTTGTTTTCACTTTTGTCAATTCAATCTGACAGTTTGACAGATCCTTGGACGACGCAGAGGTTGTTCTTCGGCCTGGAAAGGCAAGGGACGGGTATCAGACCAACGAGGACATTCTGAAGCAAGCGACGCACGCCATGAACACCTTGGATCGAGATTATCAGTGAGAGAAACATGTGCTGGCATATGACAACGCGAAGATTCACACAGCTCGAGCTGCCGATGCGCTCAGTGCCCTCAAGATGACTCTGGGTCCATCGGCAAACTTCAACAAAGTCAAGACCGACGGCGTTTCGAAATGCGTTCGGATGCGGGATGGAAGGTTTCAAGACGGCAGCCCGCAGTGCCTGTATCAGGCAGATGGGAAATTCAAGGGCACGAAGGCATTGATTATTGAGCGTCGCGCCAAAGGACACAACCTTCCCGATCCGGACGCACGGAATCGTGTCACCAACAAGAAGCCTCATCTCGAATGCACAAACTTCAGCTGCCGTTACAATGACATGCAGGACTGCTGCCTCAAGAAGATGCTCTATCTCGAGCCTGATTTTCAGGCGCAGAAGTCTCAGCTCGAGGAGCACTGCGAGGCTCGTGGATATGAGGTCATTTTTTTCCCGAAATATCACCCCGAGCTCAACTTTATTGAGCAATGTTGGGGATATGCCAAATGTGTCTACCGTATGCTTCCCGAGTCCACCAAGGAAGCTGATCTCATTCGGAATGTCAACCATGCCCTCAAATCAGTGCCTCTAGAGTCAATGCGTCGATTTGCAACACGCTCCTCTCGCTTTGCTGATGCGTATTTCCGAGGATTGAATGGTGCTGAGGCCGCTTGGACCAACAAGAAGTACCGCGGACATCGGACTTTACCGGCGGAGTATCGGAGAGATGTAGAGAATGAATTTAGAGCAACACAGTAGATCACATACAGCGAGCACAACCCCAATGTGACTCAAAAGCAAATTTCCGGCTGTCATTGAAAGAGCCTCCAAGATTTTGCGCCGTTACGCGTGACAGGTCACAGTGCACGTGATTAGATGGATGCGTTTGTCGCCTATCTTATGTGAATCACGGATATCACCCATGGAAGGGAGTGGAGCAGCGGATGGAATCAAGGAACAAGTCGGCAGAGGAATTTGTAAAAAGAATCAAAGGAATACAAGACGAAGCAAAAGCGGCACTAGAAAAAGCAAAAGAAAAAATGAAAAAATACTATGATAAACAAAGAAAGGAAGTTCCAGAGTTGAAGGTTGGGATGAAGGTGTACATAGGAGGGGACAATATCAAGACGAATAGGCCATCAAAGAAGATGAGCGACAAGAGACTGGGACCATACAAGATATTGAAGAAGGTTGGAGCAGCCGCATGGAAGCTGGATCTGCCAGACACGGACCGGAGACACCCGGTGTTCAACGAGTCACTGTTGACACCCTATCATGAACCACCCCCCCATCGCCAAGAGAAGAGACCCATAGCCAAGATGATTGGAGGAGCAGAAGAGTGGGAAGTCGAAGAAATCGTGAAAGAGCGAAAAGTCGGCCGAGGAAAACAGTACTTGGTCAAATGGAAGGGATGGCCGCACAGCGAGAACACCTGGGAACCATCACGACACCTTACCCACGCAAAGAAGATCCTGAGAGATTGGCAGAGGAAACAATCCAACCCAGACACACGTATTCACCTCCTGCCAACACTCGAAGCCAGACATTGGGACTATCTCATTCACCGCTACAAACCCAGAGACGAGCACCTTCCATATCCCCAATGACAACTATTCGACCCCTACAAAAATGTCTTCACGCCCATTAGCCCAGTTGATGAGGACATCGACCCTAGAGAGGGGGTAATGTCATAGTTTGGCCACTTTTTCATCTTATCATCGACTATCTTATCTTATCTTGGCACAGATTATCTTATCATGGATCACGGCATCTGACGGTCCGGGCTAGGAGTCTAGGGATTATCTTTATTGATTCAAGGCTGTGCGACATATGCTCCGGAAGGTTCTACTACAACCCATGACCAGCGCTCCATGCGGTACATAGCCTTATGACTCATTAGTTGTAGATATGACTCAGACTGGACTTGGGTATAAATACTGTAGCTACTTGGTTGTATTCTCCAGTCTTCGAATTCACTTCTCTTTTCGACTTTGTTTTGGGTTGATTGTCACACCCCTGCGCATTGGGTGTTGTACTGCCAGGAGCCGTAATTGGCAAGACAGCAGCAGTCTTCTGTATGGTGTGAATCTTTGGTAGTGTGCCCTTCCCCTGAGCTTTTGCAGCCAATTTCTCATGCACCTCCTGGTAAGGGGTGGGGAATATGTTGCTCATTGTCTGCCAAAGTGGTCAGTGGAGCTCTTATATATTGTGGGCAGAAACTTGCCTTGCATTTATGTGCAGCATGTTCCCTAATTTGGCCAGTGTTCCAATACGCAAGCTCATCACTGCATGCAACACAGTATGTCATGGCCCAATCCGCACTCTTGCTATTCTTGCTGACTTCCTTGATAATCAGCCCACCTCAGTTACCACCGCCATCACGTGGTTCTCCCCCCGCGGGGTACCTACTGGGTACCCTCAGACGTCTTGCTGAGGGTACCCAGTAGGTACCCCCTGGCGGGGGGTGGGGGGGCCATTTAGTCGATTTAGTAGCGGGGGGCATATGCGAGGGTCAGGAGGAGGGGGGGTGTATGTAGCATGTGACTTGTCCATAAGTGTCATAACTCGACTCTTTTTCATCTTATCATCGGCGATCTTATCTTATCTTGGCACGACTTATCTTATCACGGATCACGGCATCAGACGGTCCGGGCTAGGGGTTCCAGGGGTTATCTCTATCGATTCGAGGCTGCGCGACATATGCTCCGGAAGGTTCTACTACAACCCATGACCAGTGCTCCATGCGGTACATAGCCCTATGACTCATTAGTTGTAGATATGACTCAGACTGGATTTGGGTATAAATACTGTAGCTACTTGGTTGTATTCTCCAGTCTTCGAATTCACTTCTCTTTTCGACTTTGTTTTTGGGTTGATTGTCACATAATTCGAAGACTCCCCTCATACCCTCGTACCTCTTACCTCCTACCCTGCATCACTGCACCGCTACGCCCGCTATATCCTCTCCACCCTTATCACCCCACTTACCCTTTTACCGAATCATCTAGTCGTCCTCTGCGATCGCAGTGAAGGGTTGATATCGAGCAAACAGCACCAGGCCACGGGTAACGTTGAGCCCGACCCAAGCCTTACGGTAGCTACAAGGAGTGCTGCGGAGACCTTCGGGAAAACGCACCTCGGGATCATCGGGCACGTGAAGAGCTAGGCCCGGGATCTTTTTGCTAGCAAAAGAACCTTTCCTCGAGTGCTTGTACAGCACACGAATCCACCATTTCGTACCGATTCCCATCGTCATCTGGGAGTCCATCCCCTCCCCCCATCATACCATCGTCGCCCGATCTGGCGCATCAAAACCAACCCGGACCCTCCAACCCCTACCTTGCCCTTCCGCCGCCTGAAGACGAGTTCCCCGACCTTGGCGAGTTACCCTCCGAACAACCACCCTCGCCCCCACCTACCGCACCTGCTCCTATCATGTCCGGACATCACCGCATCACCCTCGCCGCCAACCCCCCCTACTTCGATGGCGACAAGTCCAAGTACCTGGGCTTTGTGGATGCGTGCACCACTTACATCGGTGCCTATCGATCAGAATTCTCACTGGACGAGACAAAAATCCTCTTCGTCCTGTCCTACCTCCGCAATGAGAGCGGCACAAGCTGCGCCGCCTCAAGATGGGCGATGAACTGGAAGCAGCACAATTTCGAGGGCTTCCAAGGACTAAAGGCGGGGGTCACCGCGACAAGCTTCTTGGAGGAGCTTCAGAGGGCCTTTGGGGATTCTAACGCAGAGCAAGTCGCTGCTGCCCGACTCATGGCCCTTCGCCAGGGCAGACGGTCCTTCGCGGACTACATCTCCGACTTCGAAATGCTGGCTGCAGACGCGGGGTACAACGTGGTCACCTCCACCGACAGCAAGGGCGAGTACAAGAAGGGGGAACAGGACAATATCCTCATCGAGTTCCTGGAGCGCGGACTCAGCAGTGAAATCGCAAGCCGCCTCTACAACACTGGCGTTCCCCTGCCCAAGGCATATGGTGCCTTCAAGAACTGGTGCGTCAACATCGAGGCCAATGCCTTGCGCGATCAGCTGCGTAAGGCCTCCTATGCGCACTCGACTCCACGGCCTCCTCCCCAATTCCGCCCTCAGGCAGCACCAGCGGCGCCCACGCCTGCTCCGACCCGACCGGCTGCCAACGAACCGGTCCCGATGGAAATCGATCGCACCCATGCCCGCGGCCGCAATATCATCTGCTACAACTGTCAGCAGCCTGGGCACATTGCGCGGAACTGCCCGGAACCAAGGAAGAAGCGCACATTCTTCAATCGGGCCACGATGCTAGAAGAAATCGAGAACGGGGACAAGGATAACGAGTTCCTCAAGGAGATTGCCGAGAAGCTGCGTGAGAAGGGTTTTTGAAGCGCTCCACTCCTCTAGCCAAGGAGGTGGAGCGTCCGGACTATGGACGTTTTTCTGTACTTGTTTCGATTAAAGATATGAACGATTCCCCTCATGCATACACGATCTCAGACTTCCTACGTACTAATATTCATGATTTTCTTGTTGCTGATATGGAAAAGGAACGTCAAAAGAAAATAGCTTTAAATAGAGAGTATTTACAGAGTAAAAAGGATCAGAAAGCTGCGGATAAATTAATTTTGGACTCCTACGTATTTATGGCTCGTGGAGAAGGAACCACGTCAACAAAGACCGAAAAGGGGAGCATTGCTCCGGAGGCTCAATCCTTGAAAAAGGAGGAAGCGCCCAAGGAATCTGCCGAAACCAAGGTTCCAGAAGCACCCAAACGCACAAGGGTGCCAGATGCCGTTCAAAGGAAATTGGCGGCCGAGAGACAGAAGGGCCCGCAGCCCGGCAGACTGGCGCAGGAATTGCGCGACTACCAGGCCGAAAGGAAGAGACATTCGATGGACGTATATGTCCAGATCACGGGTCTGGACTCAGGGAAAACGCGCGGAGTCAAGGCGCTGCTCGATAGCGGCTGCAGTACCTGTTGCATCGATACCGACTACGCACGGGCGGAGAAGTTGGATATTCAAGAGCTTCCACAACCCATTGTGGCCCGTAACGCCGACAACACCGAGAACATCAGCGGTCGGATCACGCATTACGTTGACCTAAGGATGAGCATCGGCCCTCACGTGGAGACACGCACGTTCCTTCTGACGTGTTTAGGGAAAGCTCGGATCTTCATTGGTCTTGATTGGCTGACGGAACACAACCCCGAGGTGGATTGGCAGGAGCAGACCATGAGATTCAGCCGATGCCCAGAGCGATGTCACATGAGGGGTCACGAGGAACATCAAGCAATGATTGACATGGATGCAATCGACCTGGACACGGGCACACCGGATCTGGAAGAGGGAGAATCGATCCTGTTGGTCGATTTTGGGAAGGAAGTGGATCTGCGGCTGAAGGAAACGCCGGCGCAGAAATTCGCAGAAGAAGCGGAAAAAGAGAAGGAGAGGATGACCGAGGGGAAGATTCCGGATCAATATCGGGAATTTGTCAAAGTATTCGCCAAGGAATCGTTCGACTCGCTACCAGACCGACGGGCATGGGATCACGCAATCGAGCTCAAACCTGGTTCCAAGGCAGTGGACTGCAAGGTGTACCCATTATCACGCAATGAACAAGTCAAACTCGACGAATTCTTACAAGAGAACCTGGCCAGTGGACGGATCAGGCCATCAAAATCACCCATGGCATCAGCATTCTTCTTTGTCAAAAAGAAGGATGGCTCGCTACGCCCCGTCCAAGATTATCGGAAGCTGAACGAAATGACAATCCGAAATCGGTACCCGCTGCCGCTGATATCCGAACTAGTCCATAATCTATGTGGCGCCAAGTTCTTCACAAAACTTGACATCCGGTGGGGGTACAACAATGTACGGATCAAAGAGGGCGACGAGTGGAAGGCTGCATTCCGCACGAACCGAGGGCTGTACGAGCCCTTAGTTATGTTCTTCGGTCTCACAAATTCCCCGGCAACATTCCAAAACATGATGAACGACATACTCCGGGAGTTGATCAACGAGGGTCACGTGGTAGTCTATCTAGACGATATACTGATTTTCACAGAAAACTTGGACGAACATCGGCGGATCACGAAACGAGTGCTCGAATTGCTCCAGAAACATAAGCTATACCTGAAGCCCGAAAAGTGCGAGTTCGAACGCACGGAAATCGAATATTTGGGTGTGATTATTGGACACAATGCGATGCGGATGGACCCAGTCAAGATCAAGGGCGTGATGGAATGGCCAGAACCAAAGAGTGTCAAACAGGTCCAAGCTTTCCTCGGATTCACAAACTTCTATGGGCGCTTTGTCCGGGGATACGCGGAGGTTGCCAAGCCATTGACACGGCTGACAGGGAAGGCAGGATGGTCATGGGGTGCAGATGAGCATGCGGCATTTGATGGATTGAAGAAGAGAATCGCAGAGGATGCGGTCCTAGCACTGCCAAATGACACTGGCCAATGTCGTCTGGAAGCCGATGCTTCGGAAAGGGCAACAGGATCAGTTTTGAGCCAAAACCAAGACGGCATTTGGCGCCCAATCGCATTTATTTCGCACGCACTGACCGAAACCGAGCGAAATTACGAGATCTACGACAAGGAAATGCTTGCAATCATGCTATCATTGGACGAATGGAGACAGCTACTACTGGGAGCCACGGAGACGTTCGAGATCTTCACTGATCATCAGAATCTTGAGTACTTCCGGAAGCCGCAGAAGCTCAATCGACGGCAAGCACGATGGATCACGGAGTTGGCGGAGTTTGATTTCACCTTACGACACCGACCCGGCGCACTCAACCGCAAGGCAGATCTCCTGTCTCGACGAGCAGATCACGATCAGGGCAAGAACGACAACAAGGACGTCACGCTACTGAAGCCCGAGTTCTTCCGATCACAAGAAGTCACATTCGAGGGACAGGATCAGCAGCTAATCGATGAAATCAAGGCCATTCGATCAATTGATGGAAGCGTCAAGGCGGCCTTAGAGAAGTCACTCATCGGATGGAAGAAGGAAGAAGGGCTTATCACGTATCATGGGAAGCTCTATGTACCAAGGGATGAGGAGTTGCGGGACAAGATCATCGGACTACACCACGACACCCCTTTGGTCGGACACGCTGGGATCAACCGAACGCAGGAGATGGTGGAAAGGAACTACTGGTGGCCAAGGATGGGAAACCAAATTCGGAAATACATCCAGACGTGCGAGGCGTGCCAGCGGACCAAGACCAGAAGAGCCAGGACAGGGAGTTTGCACCCGCATGCAGTTCCAAACGCGCCGTGGGAAATCATCTCCATGGATCAGATCGGACCCTTGCCGGTCAGTAACGGGTATGACGCAATTCATGTGTGGTGTGACACCTTCACCAAAATGATCCATGTCGAACCAATTAGTACTGACATCAGCAGCGAAGGAGTGGCACGATTAACCAGGGATCGAGTCTTCCGCTACCACGGGATCCCTCGCAAGATCATCACCGACAGGGATTCGCGTTACATCAAGGGCTTCATGAGGGAGACAAATCGGATGTTGGGCGTGGAAATGAACCCGGGGACCGCATACCACCCGATCACGGATGGGCAGACAGAACGCATGAATCAGGAGATCGAGCATTATCTCCGCATCTACGTCAATTACCATCAGACGGACTGGTCGGAGTGGCTGGGAATGGCGGAGTTCGCATACAACGACAAGATGAACACGTCTACCAAAATATCGCCATTCTATGCGAATCACGGATATCACCCGTGGAAGGGAGTGGAGCAACGGATGGAGTCAAGGAACGAGTCGGCGGAGGAATTTGTAAAAAGAATCAAAGAAATACAAGACGAAGCAAAAGCAGCACTAGAAAAAGCAAAAGAAAAAATGAAAAAATACTACGATAAACAAAGAAAAGAAGTTCCGGAGTTGAAGGTTGGGATGAAGGTGTACATAGAAGGGGAAAATATCGAGACGGATCGACCATCAAAGAAGATGAGCGACAAGAGACTAGGACCATACGAGATATTGGAGAAGGTTGGAGCGGCTGCATGGAAGCTGGATTTACCGGACACGGACCGAAGACATCCGGTGTTCAACGAGTCACTGTTGACACCCTATCACGAACCACCCCCCCATCGCCGAGAGAAGAGGCCTGTAGCCAAGATGATCGGAGGAGCAGAAGAGTGGGAAGTCGAAGAAATCGTGAAAGAGCGAAAAGTCGGCCGAGGAAAACAGTACTTGGTCAAATGGAAGGGATGGCCGCACAGCGAGAACACCTGGGAACCATCACGACACCTTACCCACGCAAAGAAGATCCTGAGAGATTGGCAGAGGAAACAATCCAACCCAGACACACGCATTCGCCTCCTGCCAACTTTCGAAGCTGGACATTGGGATTATCTCATCCATCGCTACAAACCCAAAGACGAGCGCCTTCCATATCCCCAGCGACAACTCTTTGATCCCTACGAAAACGTCTTCACGCCCATCGGCCTAGTCGATGAGGACATCGACCCTAGAGAGGGGGTAGTGTCATAACTCGACTCTTTTTCATCTTATCATCGGCGATCTTATCTTATCTTGGCACGACTTATCTTATCACGGATCACGGCATCAGACGGTCCGGGCTAGGGGTTCCAGGGGTTATCTCTATCGATTCGAGGCTGCGCGACATATGCTCCGGAAGGTTCTACTACAACCCATGACCAGTGCTCCATGTGGTACATAGCCCTATGACTCATTAGTTGTAGATATGACTCAGACTGGATTTGGGTATAAATACTGTAGCTACTTGGTTGTATTCTCCAGTCTTCGAATTCACTTCTCTTTTCGACTTTGTTTTTGGGTTGATTGTCACAATAAGAGCGGGTAGCTGGGTGGGAAAAAAAATCCAATCACATGACGCGCTGCATGGGTGGGATGGCGGGATAAAAAAATCACGTGATGCGCTGCACAAAATATTACCAGAATGCTGGCAGGGGTTGGCGGGGTCATTGGCGGGGTCACTACCCAGCTACCCGCTCTTATGGACAAGTCACATGCTACATACACCCCCCCTCCTCCTGACCCTCGCATATGCCCCCCGCTACTAAATCGACTAAATGGCCCCCCCACCCCCCGCCAGGGGGTACCTACTGGGTACCCTCAGCAAGACGTCTGAGAGTACCCAGTAGGTACCCCGCGGGGGGAGAACCACGTGATGGCGGTGGTAACTGAGGTGAATCAGCCTGTCAATCAAGTCATCCTGTGGCCAACCAGCTGTATGTTGCTTGGGACTCAGAGTGCAAGATGGGCCAGTCATACCCTCTTTGGTGGCCCCTTCAATGTGGAGGATCCTCTGGGCCTGAATAGCCAGATGCTTCAGCAAAAGCTTACAACCGTTGAGTGTGCCATTCAGGTCTGCTGCCTTCTTTGCCTTCTTTGACGCATCCAAGACACGGAATCTTGTTTTTGGCTCTGTCATGACACCGGGCGGCTGTATTAGATCTGTCAGGTCTTGTGGATTGATCACACATGTTGCACATACTGGGGGTGGTGGGAGTTTGTCTTCTGTGGTGGATATCAGAGCATCGACGTGAGCAAGTCACTTGGCATGTTCTTCACTCCCCAATGTTGTGTGCAGCTCATTGACACCTACAAAGTTGGGGATACTGTAGTCTTCCTGTTCAATGAACGCTGTGTGGGCTGTGATGAGGCAGCCCGAGTCTTCTTTTGATAGCAGCATGCTGCTTGTGGGGACCCAAGAGAAGGGTGCAAAAAACGTAAATCGTGATTTTGTGATTACTACCGGACCGGGATCATAAAAGAATGATTATGTATTTATAGCAATAAAAAGCACACTGATTTTGGATCACCTTGGCTATAAATGTTTAAAACATGTTAAAAAGCAGCTATAAACTTTTTGTTTAAAACATTTGCATTTTCAGCACAGCGCTAGCGCTGAGCCACGCTCCGAAACTTCAGAAATGATGCATTTGATAGGAGATGCAGATTGTATTTTGATGCGAAGATTTTGATCGAGGGCGGCTTCCCATCTCTGTTTACGCCTGATATATCCTATTTTCTACCCGCTCTACTGATGCCACAGAAGCACAAGCCTGCTCCTGCTCTTCGTATTCTCGCTACTTCGTCCTGACTCATAGACAACAGGCCGCGGATCTCTGACTGCAAGCGAGGATCTCTCCTCTTCAACGCAAGCGCTGGAAGAAAAAGTTAGATGGGAGGCGGTGCAATGACAGGTCGAGAACAAATTATGAAGATTAGGGATCAAATCAGATTTCCTTAGCTCAGTGATGTATTCAACCTGATCATCATAAGTTTCAGCGGCATCGACGATCGTTGCAGAGACCTCAGCCATGATCGCTCCTCAATTCTCACGTCGTCCATTCAGCCCATCCGTTCGGCAGGTCATCAGCCAGCATATATCCAGGGATGTAGCGTTTTCCCCACTATCTGATCCCCCCACTTACCTGCACGTCCTCGAAACGGGAGGATGATTTCTTTCGGTGATTTTTTGGGCGCATGGGGTTGAAATGAACGTCGCTGCTAACCATTCTATTCCCTAGTCGCGGTCCTTTTCATGGCAGTGCTGGCTTATCTGCCCTACAGCTGTACGTACAAGGCTGAAATGTAATGACTGAAAACGTCTTCCTGACGGCCTGAAAGCCGCAGCTGTTCTTCTGCCTGCAAACTCGTTCGATCTTACAAGGCGCGATCTGGGCTCGAGCGGATTCACCTCCGCGTCGTGGATCTGGCTCTCCACGCCCTCCTCGTCACCTTTCACACACAACGCTCCGGCCGGCACCGCATCCTTCCTCAAACTTCTTCCCACCCCGCCCAACAAATCTGCGTCCTCCGCGCTCATCACCATCACCGCCGATGACTCATTCACACTCTGGGTCAACGGGCAGCCCGTCGGCGCGTCGCCTCCGGGCGACGGGAGATGGAAGACGGCGTTCCAGTTCAGCGCCGCGCTCAACGCGTCGGACAACATCATCAGCGTGATGGGGGTGAACGCCTTCCGGCCCTTCAACACGAAGAACAACGCCGCAGGCCTCATCGCGGCGGTTCAAGTCCGCTACACGGACGGGTCTACCGAAGTATTCGGCACGGACGGAACTTGGCTTGGTGCGGGCCCGAATAACACGCAGTCGGCCTCGACGTACCCCGTCGGTTTCCCGCTGCCGTCTGCGGATCAAGTGGGTTTGCTGACCAGCGGGATTGGATGGTCCAACGTCAGCGTCGCGGGACTGTGGAACACCGTCGGGTCGTGGGGAAACACCTCGCTCCTCCCTTCCCCGGCGTTCGGGGTGCAGAACCTGACCGGGCAAGCGTCGTGGATCTGGAACTCGGGAAACGCGTCCGCGGGTTTCGTGGGATTCCGTAAGACGCTCGTGGCCCCGGATGGGAAAACGCCCGCCAACGCAACGTTGTTGGTGACAGCGGAAAGCGCGTTTCAGCTGTTTGTTGATAGCGCCTACGTCGGCGCGTCGCCGTTCGACGATAACGCATCCGGGAGCCCCTGCACCTGGCATTTCGCCCAGCGATTTGCGGTCCCCATCATTGCGCAGACCACAACCTTCGATATCATTGCCCAAAACTTCTCCGCACAGCAGAACGCCAGTGCGGGCGTCCTCGCCGCCATTCTCATCCAATACATGGACGGATCGAGTCAGATGATCGGCACCGACAACACGTGGCTAGCCTCCGGCGCACTGGACAGCAACAATCCCAGCGCGTTTGTCGCCTCGGATTCGAAATCTCTCAGCATGGCGTCTGTGCTCGGGTCGTACGGCACGGCGCCCTGGGGCCAGCTGACCGGGACGTCCGATGTACTCAATGCTGCGCTGCTGCCGGCCAACGTCCCGGTCGCCGCTGGTCCACCAACATCCATCTTGAATTTACCCCCGCCGACGACTACGACGACGTCGACTCCCGGGGGTTTCATTCCCGCACAGACGAGTGTCCTTTCCGTTCCGACGCAGAGTTCCAAGACCAGCCAATCTTCAAGCGCGGCCGTCGGTCTTGTCCAAATTTCCTGGTATTCTATCCTTCTTGTCGGTTTCTCTGCGGCCGCTCTCATGATATGTTGATTTATAATTTGAAGTAAAAATTGGTGGCCAATGAGTTGTGTGCAGTCGAAACGAGTTAGGCCTATTATGTATTGGGACTGGCATTACAGGTACTGAGCACAACTTTTGCTCATAAACCTGGGCAAATGGTGATTTAGCTTCGCGATATCACAGCTACGTTAGATCGCCTTCAGGCCTGGCCCGGGCAGCAGAGTTTGACTAAAATCATTTGTACATTCCCATTGCGCTATCTTGTTAGTTCCCGATGGTCTAGTCCTTGGAAGTCACCGTTCCTGACCTTCGGTGAGCCGGAAATCCATCAGGATCGTAGTCTTACTTCATTTAGTCAGGCTTAGGACGTCGCTGTCCCGAGGAACGTAGTCCGGATCGTACCGTTTTAGACACGTGACGCAACTTAAGATCGATCGGCTTCCCACTCATATGTATGTGATTTGTAATAGGCCTATCGCAGAGAAACCGATTCGAGGTATCGCTATTGTCGTTTCACCACGGAGCTGGTCGACAAGGTACCGATGAACCGACCGAATCGGAGCGTCACCCAGCGGCATGCCACTTCTCAAGCGACCGACTCGTCTTGACTGGTGTCGGTTTTGTGGAAACGAGTATCGAAAATTTTCGCCTCTTGTAGAAGGAGTTTCAGCCGCTCGATGTTCTGCTCCGATCCAAAAGCCACCAACAGATCTTCGGCAATATTTGGACTCGGTTCAACGAAATGCCTCTATATAAGCTGGGCGGTAGGAAGCATTTTTTTCAAGCCGCTTTCTGCAGTTGCGACATCTGTTACCTTCTAAGCACTCGATATGGCCATTATCTTCATCCCGATGATCCTTGCCTGGCTTGCGACGACCGTGTCCAATGGCCCGCAGGTCGCAGTCAGCCCCACCGGCGTCCGCATCACGCGTGCACAGGGTGTCCAAGGCTACAACACCTGGGCCTACCTGAAGCCCCTTTACGACCAGGTGCTCGACCCGGTCAAGGTTGACACGTTCCAATGCGATCTCACCATCAATTCCATCACCGTACGTCCGCGGCGCACCCTCATGCTCAGTACTCACCGTATTTGTACGCCCAGGCCGCCACCGAGTTCAAGCTCCAGCATCGTCATCCTGCGCTGCACCGCGCCGTACGCCGGCGGCCGCGTCTCCTGTAACTACGTCTACTTCGACCTTGCGGGGCGGTTCCAGACCATCGGCAGCTCGGCTTTCGTTCCTGGCGGACCGTCGCGCCAGATCAAGCTGGTCTTCGGATCCACTGGCGTGACGGTGTACGAGACGGGAGTCGTGGTAGGAACGGCGGGCACGGCCCTCATTGGCGTCGAACCGCACCAGGTCAAATTCAGCGCGCAGATCCTGGACAGAGGCGCGGGCTTGGATATCAGCGTCGATCAGATTGCGGTTGGGTCGAGTGCGAGCTTGGTGTGATCTGTTCAATATTCATTCCGTGTGTTCTCTTCATTTGTGATATATATTCTACGGTCTTTGAGATAGGCGTGGACACTGAAGCCAAAAAAGTGGTCCCCCATCCACGACTATCGTCAACGAAAGATCCAGAAGGGGAATCAATGGCCAGCCGATCGGCGCGTCGCTCCGAACATTAGTAAATTGACATCGACTCTCCAATGATGTACTCGCCAACGATGGACAAGAAATACAAAGAAATACAATTCCTTAGCTACATAGTACCACGGCTAGTTGACCGAAAAGATGCTCGAGGCCCGCTCACCTGGCGAAATAAAGTTCCTCGACTATACTCCACACTGTGGATTTTAAACGTCCAAGAGACGAGCTCACTGCTCCCTGAAGAATAGCTCATCAAAAATCCTCGAGGCTCTCGCATCCGACCGCCGATCCGCATCGACACGGATCGTCGGCGACGCAACCGGACTCGGCACACGTCCCGAAGGGCGCCAATACGAATACACCGGACTGGGGGCAGGACTCGGCACGCCAGAGCCCAGCACGCCGAGGACGCGGTCGCGAAACACCTCGCGCGCCTTCGCGACGCGGACAGTGTTCCGGAGCCCGATCTTCTCGGCCTCCCACTCCTCGAGTGGCTGGGCGCGCTGGCAGAGCGCCGTGAACGCCGGCGCGAGCCACTCGGGCACGTCGTACTTGGTTGCGAGGACGAGCCGATCGATCGGGTCCAGCGGCGTGTGGTGTGCCTCGATCTGCTGGATCGAGTGGTTGCGCAGGAGCTCGAATTGGAGCCGGGAGGAGACGGAGAGCAGCGAGACCCACTGTGCGAGGGAGAATGCGGTGTGGACGTACATCCTGCAGTTTTTTTAAGCTTTCGGGATTCAGGGGATGAGGTGGTTGTGCGCCGCACCCGTTATAGAAGAAGTCCAGCAGACACTCGAATTCGGCGCCGGTGACATCCTCCAGCGGAATCGCCTCATTCTCCGTCCTGCCATAGTCCCCGAGGGGTCCTGCAAATAGCTCTTGGAAATACACCGAGTCGCGCTCCAAGAAGTGCCGATGGACGCAGAACTTTTCGTTCTCGACCTGACTGAGGCTCAAGCTTCCCAAAAGCACAAACTCAATGGAAGCTGACCTTGAAGTACGTCATCTGGTCGTGCACGAACCAATAGCGTGCGTTCACAGCGCACTTCGCCAGCGTCTCGACGTAATCAGCCTCCACCTGCGCCTCCTCAGCGCCCTTCGCTGCTGCGGCAGTGTCGGCCTCGAAATCGAGAAAGTCCGTCGGCGATGATGACATGACGACACTCGTGCTGTCCTGCGACGGCGACCATAAGTGTCGCGGAGGTGGTGGGGATGGCATGCGCTCGCCCAGCAGCAGGCTGGCCGGCGCCGGCGACCAAGACGGGCTGGCGGCCGTCGACCCCTCGGGCGTCCGCGCGCGCGTACGAGGGCGTGGGCGTGAGCGCGGGGGGATGTCGTCGCGGTGCAGCGACCAGCTTGCGCGTGCCATGGACGAGCCGCGCTGCGACGGGAGCGATGCGGGGAGGGACATGGGCGACGACGGGCCCGAATGCGATCCCTCTTTCGCCGCAGAGTAGTGCGAGTCGGACGAGCGGCGGGAGAGTGTGTTCGACCGTGTGTTGGGGGGTGTCATGATGGATGGGGGAGGAAGAGGGTGGCTGCGGTATGTTGTCTACCTCCGCGCTTGCACCGTGCTTTAGGTGGCTGGACACGACTGGGCCGCGTGGATGGTGGTGGTTGCCGGCTGAGTCGTACCGGACGTGCGTGGATCTAAATGCGAGAAAGGTTCTGTGATCAAAGAAAACAAACGAACGTTCTGAAGCGAAGAGGCCGAAAGCTACGCACCGTGGTTCTGGACCTGGTACTTTCACTTATCGCCAGCCATCTCAACCTGGCCAAAAAGATTCCAGTCTCTCCGTGGAACCCTGATATCAAGATCGGAGGAAAATCCTGAATGACCTAGGGAGAAGATAATCTGCTGAAGGACATGGTCCATTGCGGGATGGGCGGGGGAGCATAACTTCATGGCGGCAATAGCCGCCGTTTGATCGGATGCGATCAATCAGATGACAAGCGGATTTGTTCGTTTTGAAAAGATTCAACCTGTCACTCACTGGCGGCTGGTAATTTCTTTTATAATCCCGAGAGATCGAGTGAGCTTTTTTTGTGGTGTGCCAAATTGAGCATGATGCCCTCCTGTTATGCTTGAAATGTCGATATTTTCTCACTCTCTCTCTGACCGAAATGCATCAACTTTACTCGATCAAACAACCAGACACGATATTGGGAGGCCGGTCATCATCGATTTGAGACACCGCGAGTTCCAGGCCCTCTGGCATCCTTCCGATATTTTGGCGTGGCGTTGCATAAGGCGTCAATCATCCCTTGTCGGACCTGCAGACTCTCCAGCCGAGGTCTTGTCTGAGGTGCTGAAATAAGATGAGATGCCACGTAGATCAATGTTTCAACGAGTGGGCTTCAACATAGAGGTAAGAATTATCCCCGATCAAAAGAATATCAAATCAAATCTCATCCGATCCATCTTCATCTGCATCATCCTCCGCGATCTCAATATGATCAAAATCGACGGTTCGGAGTTCCTTCGAGTTTGCTCTGCAAGACAATCAATCAAATTGCATTTTCCATTTTGGTGTGCGCCGGGCTCACACGTAAAATGCGCCATTCATCGCAGCTGTCGCGACTTTGAGGAACTGAGGAGACTCAAGCCAAGGACTTTGCTCATACCTTTGGCACCCATGGCATAGAACACAACCCAGTACAACTCTTCCGGGAAGAACACGAACTGATGCCACCAATGCGGTGAAACGTTAATGACGCACGGCTCAATGCGTGGGACGGAGACCACGCACCGCCGCCAAACTCCCAAAGTACAGACACAGCGCACCCAGTCCACGCGGCATCGCTTCCTGGAACGTGATCCCCCACAGGGTCCCGCGGGGAGTGCTCTTATCGGCGACGACGAGCTTGGCTGCGGCATGGCGCCGCCAGTGCACGGGCCACACACACGCCATGCAGCCGACGTCCGCAGAGAATTCGATGCGGGTGGAGGGAGGAGCATGCTGGGCCAGGAAGGCTGAGTAGATGAACGCCGAGCCGACGCAGGTGAGGAACGGGGTCAGTTGCGCGAACATGCTGATATTGGACACGGTGCTCGGTCCTGGATCGGATTCGGAGATGGTTCTCGCTGAGGTTGATATGCCCGCAAGGTCAACGTGCGAAATTGTAACCCGACGAATATATGGGAAAACGCACCTAGAGACGATGCTTTCAGAGAATGAGAGGGTCAGAGGCTCACTCTGAAGGAGAGGGACACTGTACCAAGAGAAAGACCCGCCGTCAAACCAATCAGCAATCCCCTTCCCGGGGATCTATCAACTATGCACAGTTCAAAAACGGTCTGGGAACGACGTGGTTTGGGGAGCTAGACTTGCCCTTGGCGATATAGTGAGCGTAAAACCTGCCCACAGTCCGATCGTTAATAGCGGTCACAAGATGACGCAAAGGGGAGCACCCACATTTGAGCCAGCGCAGCGACGAGCGTCTATCGGCACGTGGTGACGCGCTTACGGCGCTCCTAGGCTCAGAACAAGGTGGGGGGGGGACGGCGTAGATACCGTCGATGAGCTTCTTGATCACCCGGGACAGTGGCCGTAGAGATAGCGGTGAATTCGAGGGGTTTTGGTTGGGCTGAGTCAGACTCGATTTGTAAAATCGCAGAGGAATAGCGGCGTCTTGGGATGAAAATAAGCGACGACGGGAGTGAAACGACGACGTAGAGGGGAAATAAAAGACAAATCTTTGGAGGTGAAGGCTTTTGAAGACTCTGTGAGAAGTGGGGTAAAATCAACCTGCATTTTATGGACTGTTACATGTGTATTTATACTGTAGGTAGATGAATAGAGTCCGATTTCGGTTAGATAGAAGGAATAAAAGGAACATAAGACCTGTAATACAACGGAATGTGAAACTGGAGAAACTGTATGCTGAGGGAAATCCTGGACCGATCTCGTCCCTCTGGAACTGCCTGGGCCCTTCCAGGAATTCAGTCCTAGTCTGGGGACCATTTCTGTGGCGGTCTTGCATCGTAGCGCCACGTTTGACGAGTGTTTGAAGCCGGGATTGTGGATCGTTATGAGAGACCGAATATTGAGTATTGATGGGTGATGGGAGCATCGGCACGTGGAATGACGTGGTAAGCTGCATGAAGCACAGCTTATGATGGATGATGGGAGCATCGCCACTGATGCTGAACGGCACGTGGAATGACGTGGTAAGCTGCATGAAGCACAGCTTGTGATGTGACCTCTGTTATATCAATCAGCGCCGGTCTGGTTACACAGTCAAAGCGACCCCGAGCTCGTCAGTGGGTTAGAACGAGTCAGCCACCAGAAAGACCCGTAAGACAATTGGAGCGGACCGAGAGTTGCACGAAACACTGTGCGGGGTCAGAGCTCTTGGGCAACAGTGAATGTATATGCTTTGAGACATACGAGAAAGTTAGCATCGACGGAGCTGATCAACGACAGGAGTGGAATGGTTCCGGGATACACGCTAGGAGCAGATGGGGTTCGATCAGCGACGCGGATGAGCCTATACCGTAATCTAAAGGCTTTTTGTCGTGGATCTACCCAGAATTTCAGATGCCTTCGGGGCCGGTTCTACCCGTCCACTGGGTAGAACCAGAAAATTTCATATTGGTTTCAGTGAGGATTGAACTACTGACCTTGTAAAAATGATTCAAATTCAGTGCATGAACAGACTGAGCTAAACAGCTGATATAGGTTTCCCACTTTTTCCCCCCACTAAGGGTAACCCGCAAGCGGCTTACCCTAAGTGGAGGGAAAGCTTTATCCTAGTATTGGTAATTTCAAACCCTAACAACCCAATAAACATATTTCTGAGTCTAACCAACCCTAACCAACCCTAAATGAGCCTATATCAGGTCTTATTTTTTTTGCTACCTTCTCCCAACCATTACTGAGAGAAAATGACATCTTTGGGGACTAAACTTTAGCCCCAACCCGAACCCGAGCCCGAACCGCTAACCTCCGCGCCCAGAGGGGCGCGGTTTGTTTAAGACAGTTAGGCCCATCGTCACATCTTGTCAAGGGACAATGCATTTAACCTAAAGCCAGTTTGGCCCAGTGTGATAATGCATTGGTTAGTGATTTCTTTTTTAGAAGGTCATCAGTTCAATTCCCACTGAAACCAAACCCAAATGTCCTGGTTCTACCCACAGCCCGTGGGTAGAACTGGCCCGGAAGGCATATGGAATTGTGGGTAGATCCATGCGCGAAGGCTTATTCCTACCACTAGGGTTGCGCGGATCCGATATGATGCCCAGCCAATTCACGTATCGAAAACTGTCCTTGTGTGTTACGTGAGGCCCGAAATAGGCTGTCAGAACTCACGACAAAGCAGCGCAGCACTGTCCACCGCACTGGGAGCGTTCACGTCGAGTGTGAGATGAACCGGACCATTTACATAGTAGCAGAGCGTACAAAGTGACCAAGATCTGCACGCATCCAAGTCAGGAGCGCAGATTCAATGCCAAGAAGTTGACAGCGCACGAATATCTCTGCTTTGAGATCCCTCTGACCCATCCGCACATGGTGCACGCGGATGGCCACCTCTTTCGCTTAATTCTCAGTGGTCTTCGAGCAGAGAAATATAGACACACGCACGGTAGACGCCAGGGAAGTAGGCTGCGATGGATAGCATATACCTGGAAGCCAGACGCGAGGGTTAGTCTGGGCGATAAGGAGCTCGATGTCCACTCACATGGTCCACAGGGTCACGAATGCGCCCTGCGCCTGTTCGACGAGCGGTCTGACTGGAGTCATAGAGGTAGAAAGCCCTTTGTCGAGTGAATAAAAGAAGGAGGTGTACGAGATAAAGGTAAGGAGCGCACAGCCCAGACGTAGTAGAATACAAATAGGAACGCCCAGCAGGATTCTCCCATTCTCCCGCATGCCGCAATCCCGCACTGCGTGCGCTCAGCTACTCGCATCACCCATCTCAGCCACGCTGATAGAGGGCTGGATGCACTCCCGCTCAGTCCCTGCCACCCAGGAGATGGGTTCCGGTGAGTCATCACAAAAGTACGTACTCGCACTGGTTTCATATGTACGCAAGACTCTCATGCTTCCTGCACGTGACCCTTGGAAGTGCTTCCTGCGTTGCTTCCGTCGAATGATGGGATCCACATCCCCAGATTGTACCTGAGAAGTGATGTTGATTTTTTCCCCTCTGTGGTGAAACAACGCAGGAGGCATAGTCGGGGCATAGCTCAATTTGTCTTTACAGCCAAGGACAAATGTTTGATGGCCGGATGATTCAAGTCATCTGCACAGGATCCTTGCCGGCCGGAGTTTTCCTGATTTCGGAGCCTGCTGCACAGTCTGAGATGACATCTTTTGCTCTGCCTTTTGTGGGTGATCTCAGACACCGCATCAACCCAATGGGAAAATGTATGATTTCTCTCTACTTATATTGAACCTGAAGTAACTCGCTTCCAAATGAGGGGGGATATGTGCACATCACTTCTTTCGTCAAGCCCTAGGCCAGTCCCAAGTGCACCGTTCGACAACAACAGAGAGGGGCATGATGAGTTGATCCACTATGCAAGCTGGCAGAACCAATGGGTTTACATACCGATTCAAAATGAAACAGAAATCCTTATAGGATTTGGAAACTAGATGCTGACACATTTGCTCTATATCTGAAGAGGGTTAAATGGCTCGGGCCGGAGATAGGCTGAACGGCCGGCGCTGGAAGCGCCTTTTGGGGATATCGGAACAGACCAATAGAATTGTTCTCCATCAGCGCAGAGGGTCGAGACTGATCGAGACTGGTGTGCGACATATCTGTGACAGGAGAAGAAGCATCACGTGTTTCTGTCACACGGCTACTCCAATTTCCAGCTGATTGAAAAACGTTAGACAGTGCACGATTATTTCGATGTGATCGCGGAAAATCCCGTAGCACAGCATTGTCATGTCCTCGCGCGGTCTGTCCGCCTCCTGCATTTCGGCTGCGACTAGGATCTGCAAACGCAGCATCTTTCGAGCTCGGTCCAATGCACGGAACGGTGGAATTCCAGGGTTGTCCGTCCCTTCCAGCTAAAAACAGATGTCGCGTGGAGTGCGGTGGAGCGAAAAGTACTGAATGAGGAAATATGCTGTGCTACGGGATTTTCCGCGATCACATCGAAATAATCGTGCACTGTCTAACGTTTTTCAATCAGCTGTCATTGCCGAATTATTGAGGCAGATCATCTTGTGACCGTCACGCCATCTACGTTTTGAATGCTGGCCAGAAGAGGAGCAGGGCCCCCGACATCTTATTTTCTCCCTACCAGCCCCAACTATACCCAGGAAAGCCGCGTTGATTTTGGGTCATTCAACAAGGGTTCGCAACGTGCCCATGACACGTTTTGCTGCATTCCCGCTTCACGATCCGATCACACACGCTGCCGGATCATGCTCCGCGCGATGCCTGACTTTGCCGGTGACCACCACACTTCTTCGCGAGCACAGCGCCCATGCGGCGGTCCAAAAAATGAATCAGACGCCGGGCATCGCACCCTCGCCCATTCACCCAGAGCTGTGCCGATTCGAGCTCGAGATCTGCTCATCCTTGGCGGGACGGTGAGTACTAGTTATCATCGACTGGACTGCGTCCTGCATACATTTGCGCCTCAGGTGACCGCTTCGTGTGAAATTGCGACGAAGGTCGGGGTCATGTGGGGTGTGTGTGTGGGGGTAGAGTGTGTGGGGTTGATAGCGATTGCGATATCCGCAACATCGGACCGGATAGGGATGGGGGTGTAGGTTGAATGCTGGCTGTCAGATGCGAGGCGTCGGGCAGAGGGCCTCGGAGGACGTGCGAAGTGAGTTCTTGCATGCCATTGTCCTGTCGCCGGTCAGCATTTCCGCCGGCTCGCGCCCCTCATCCCCTAGGTTCATTTGCAAAAAAGCACGAAGCCTGGCTGTGACGGGACCGACTGACATGGGAGATTGATTTGGCCAGCTTCTTCTCTTTCTCCTCTCTTCTCTCAGCTGGTCTCCGGGCTGCCGTAATGTCGGTCCGGTGCCCATAATATACCGCATTTAAGCAATGCACGAGGTGTTAGGTCGGAAGAACACTCCAGCGTTCCCACTCCCACTCTCCGTCGTCTTTTCTCTTCTCTTGCGCTCTCCAACTCTTGCCACGATGATGACTCCGACGTCCGAGAATGAAAAACCTGCCCCGACGAAGGCGAGGCGGTTCAAGGCGCACTCGCTCAAGGTCGGGAACCGACTAACGAATGCGTCAAATTTGACGCTCAGGGAGACGCTTTGGCCGCTCTTCCTGGTTACGATTCTGTACTTCCTCTGGGTGCGTGCCATTCACGGTGTAATTTTCTTTCACCTCCTGAACATTTCATCACCACAGGGATTCGCGTACGGCCTGCTCGACACCCTCAACAAGCACTTCCAGAACACGCTCAACATCACCCGCACGCGCTCATCAGGTCTCCAAGCGGCCTACTTCGGTGCTTACCCGCTCGCGTCGCTGGGCTACGGCAACTGGGTCCTGCGCAACTACGGCTACCGTGCTGTCTTCATTCTTGGACTGGTGCTCGAGGGCATCGGTGCGCTGCTGATGTGGCCCGCGGCGCTCAAGCGCAGTTTCGGTGGATTTTGTGGAGCGACGTTTATCATTGGGAGTGGGCTCGGATGTTTGGAGACTGCGGCAAATCCTTACATGGCTGGTGCGTAACTCACTTTGCTGTCTTTCTGTCTGGAGGAAAAACAATCTGACTTGGTATCGTCAGTGACTGGACCACCTAAATACGCCGAGATCCGAATCAACATCGCCCAGGCCGTACAGGCCATTGGAACGGTTATCGGGCCCGTGCTGGGATCCTACGTGTTCTTCAAGCAGACGGGTGATTCGGTCAACTCGCTCAAGACGGTGCAGTGGGTGTACCTCGCGATTGCGATCTTCGTGTTCTTCCTCGCGGTCGTGTTCTTCTTCTCGGTTATTCCCGAAGTCACAGGTCGGTTAGCTTGGCGCGTCCCGGCTACACGTGTTGACGTTTTTTCTTTCTTTTCTGTTTGATAGACACGGACATGGCGGAACAAGCGGAGAGAACCCATGCGGGCGAAGACGCCGGCGATAAACCATTCCGGAAGCAGTACAAGGTGTTCTTTGCTGGTTTTGCGCAATTCTGCTACACCGGCGCGCAAGGTGTGTCTCCTGTGATTAACATGGGCTCTCCTCAAGTCTCACACGCACACGGCACAGTCGCCATCGCGTCCTACTTCATCAACTACATCACCGAAACACGCGCCAACACGACCAACCAGCTCGCCGCGTCCTTCCTCGCTGGTGCACAGGGCTGTTTCGCGGCGGGCCGGTTCTCCGGTTCGGCTCTTATGACGCGCATCAAGCCGCGCAAGGTGTTCCTCGCGTACATCTCGCTCGTGATTGCGTTTGCGGCGGCGTCGGTGGCGCAGACGGGGAACAAGGGCCTCGCGATGCTGATGCTGTGTCTGTTCTTCGAGAGTGTGTGTTTCCCGACCATCGTAGCGCTGGGAATTCGGGGTCTCGGACGACACACGAAGCGCGGGAGTGGATGGATCATTGCCGGGGTTGTCGGCGGCGCGTGTGGTGCGTGCCTCTAGTTGATGCTTCTCGGCGGATGTTGATTCCGCGTTCTTCAGTGCCCCCGCTCACGGCAAAGGTTGCTGACCTGCACAACTCCACTGCGATTGGATTCGTGGTTCCTGTCGCTTTCCACGTCGTGGCATGGGTCTACGCGCTCTGCTGCAACTTCGTTCCAATGTTCCGCGACCCCATGGATAAGGTTGGGAACGAGCACAGCGTTGAGGTCATCGCTGCGGCAGAGGGTCAAGAGGATCTACGGGAGGACTCGATTGAGGAGAAGGTTTGAAAAATTGGCCTATGTAATATCACGGAGATGTACTTTTATGCATACGAACGTAAATGATTCACGACTTGCGATTTGACGTTCTCGTTGGTTGAGTGTTTGCGCATCTCCATTATTAACACCTTTCGGTGAAAACGGCAGTGGTAGATGAGCTTGGGGCATACAGCTTCTCAGAGTGCTGATGAATCCGAGATCACACTCGCCAGGAAAGCAGTCTCAACGGCTCGCTCATCGGGATGACAGAACTGCACATGCGACAGACGTTACAGATTCTCGGCCCTGTTACAGGACCGACCGAACAGAATGTGAAGCCTTCTGCGAGCGGAACTGCAATTCCAATGCTTCAACTAAGCGGCTGCAAGTGCCTGTAGGGTTCGGTCACCCACCTGCGCAGGGCCACGTGATTACGTCTTTTTGTTTTTGTTTGAATCCGCATTTGTATTCCGCAACAAGTAAACACGTGATCACGTCGTCAGAGTTCCTCAGTGTATCATTCTGCACAATAGGCCGAAGGTTTGAGTGCCTCCTCGAGTCCGTTCAACCTCAAGGATCCGTTCAACCCCGAACATCGGGAACTGGAACACCCAATTCAGCAGTGAAACGAATCAGGGACCATCACGTCAGCGGGTTAGGGCGCTGATGTGTCTCTGCACTTTGATCGTCTCCCGCGCATCGCCTCACATCGCGAAGCCAGGTCAGAGCTGACGGTCGTGGAAGAAAAAGTGAAGGGTGCGGCGCTAAAAGTGTCCAGTCTGCTTTCTTCTCTACTCCATCTCCGGCCATGCTTTCCCTTGGTATGGTGGTCGAATGAAGTGAGGGCTGGCTGTTACTCACCCGCAGCACATTCCTCAGGTTCGCTATCGGTGCTTCTATGCACGCTCCCACTCCTTTGTGCGTGCAACCCGGAGACTCGCGACGTGGATGTCCTGACGCTTTCGCAGACGCACACCCTCACGTCTTGAAACGCGACCTCGCATCGAGCGGCCTGACAGGCGCATCATGGATCTGGCTCCCCTCCTCGACCCCATCGGCCTTCACGAGCAACGCCCCCGTCGGCTCCGCGTACTTCGTCAAACCGCTCACCACGCCACCCGGCAAGACGGCCGCGACCGCGCTCATCACGCTCACGGCCGACAACAACTTCACGCTGTGGGTGAACGGGCAGCCCGTCGGCGCGTCGGACGGGAGCAAGCCCGATAGCGCGTGGCAGACGGCGCTGCAGTTCAGCGCCGCGCTGAACGCGTCCGCCAACGTCGTCGCGGTGATGGCGTACAACGCGCCGGATCCGGCGAACCCGCAGGCGAACCCCGCAGGACTAGTCGGCGCGGTACAGGTGCGGTACACGGACGGCACGTCGGATGTGATTGGGACGGACAGCACGTGGCTGACGATGCAGCCCGGAGCGCAGTCGTCCTACCCCCGGGATTCCCGCCGTCTGGGGCGTCGTCGGCGACGCCGCTGGCGGGGTGGGCGCAGGCGGACCAGGCGGGGACGTACGCCAGTAACGTGAGTCCGTGGGGAAACCAAGTCTCGCTGGCGTCGCCCGCGACGTTCGGCGCGCAGAATCTGTCCGCGAGCGGCGTCTCGTGGATCTACAACAACGCGACGGCGGTGACGAGTGCGCCGGTGGGCTTCGTCGGGTTCCGCAAGACGTTCAGCACGCCTGCGGGCAAGACGGCGGCGAGTGCGACGGTGGTGGCGACGGCGGACAACTCGTTCCGATTGTTTGTGAACGGGCAGTACGCCGGGGCCCCGCCGTTCGATGATAACGCTGCGGGCAGCGTGAACCAGTGGGTCTATGCGCAGCGATTCACTGCGATCCCGCTCGCTGCATCGTCCAACAAGTTCGATATTATCGCGCAGAATTTCGAATCGCAGCAGACGCCCGGTGCCGGGTCGTCCGCGGGGCTCATCGCTGCGATTTTGATCACATTCACCGACGGATCGAGTCAGGTGCTCGGCACTGACAGCACGTGGCTCGCATCCGACGCTCTGGCAGGCGATCCCTCGTCGTTCACGACCAGCAGCTCGACGCAGCTCAAGCCCGCGTCGGTGCTCGGAGCGTACGGCATATCGCCGTGGGGCCAGTTGTCGGGGACGTCCGATGTGCTCAACGTCGCGCTGTTGCCGGCAAATGCTGCCGCGGCCCCGGGGGCGTCGAGTGCCTCGGTCAGCAGTGCCAGCCCGGTTGGGGCGTCTGTCACACCGACCGGGCCATTTACCGTCACTCCCGCGCTGACGAGCAGTCTGCCGTCTTTTGTGGCGTCGCCCGGGCCGAAACCGACGAGCGCTGGTGTCTCTGGCGGGAGGATGGACTTGTTTAGTGTTCTACTTGGGTGTCTTTCGGTTGTTGTGCTGATGTAGGCTACGTGGAATGTAAAAATATCCGAGATTTTTACTATCTGCATAATTATTCATCCTCGGGAGTGTCATTGGAATACTTGCGATTAATCAGAGAAGGCAAAGCATCAGCCATCTCCAGATTGCAGCCGTGAAAGACGGAGGGAAACTTTCCTTCGACTATTCCCACGGTTCGCTAGTTTAGTGGTCATAACACTCGCTTCACAAGGGTGTCTCCTGGAGCTCAGACCGCGCGAGAGGTCCTCGGTTCGATCCCGAGGCGAATCAGGGCTGTGTATGCCTGTTGTTTTGCGCCGTAAGTCCCCATTGGCTGGCTGGCTGACTAGGCTATCAAGGTACGTGCAAAAACTCGAAGAGATAGGGGCAAACGACCCAAAAAGTCCCGTCGAAATCGAGACAGAACACGACGCGTTTGCACTCCCGGAATGGAATAGGCAAGTCCTCAAAATGCGCTGCTCCAACTTCTCTCTGGCGAAAGACGGATACCAGTGCAGGGATGATTGAGACCATCTTCCCAACTTCTTGAACTCTCATCTTACGCTGATCCCAGAAACGGAACAAAAATCGCGGGAGTGGCCGAGGCAGACTGAAATAGGAGGACTTGTGCATGTCAAATGATGGCCTCCCGCCTCGTATGTTTTCAGGATGACAGACGCCTGATCGCGTGCCTGGACCTGATTGAAAACGATTCTTGCTCTTGACTCCTTTGTGCAGTGCTCGCACCCCCACGCTCATTTTCATCGTCCTCGCCAAGAATGCTCGTCCCCGCGCTGCTGACTCTAAGCCTGAGCCTGGTCGGGCCGACCCGTGCTGACACGCTCTACCCGCTGATCGAGTATGCCGGCACGTCGTTCTTCGATGGATTTGACTTTTACGGGGCTTGGGACAATCTGACACACGGTGCGCGCGTCTCGCTGTCTCGTATATGCGTCGTAGCTGACATGCAAACCCGGGCACCCAGGCAACGTGACATACGTGACAGACACAGTGGCGCGCTCGAGCTCGCTGGTGTCCGTCGATGGCAGCGGGCGCGCGGTGATGCGCGTCGACAACACATCGACCGTGGCCGATGGCGGGACGCGCAACTCGGTCAGTGATCACTGATACCCATCCCATCCCCGCACGTTCTACTCACACCGGGCTCGCAGGTCCGTGTCACCTCGCGCGCGGTGTTCCCGATCGGCTCGGTGTTCGTCGCGGACATGGCGCACATGCCGACGGGCTGCTCCGTCTGGCCGAGCATCTGGCTGAACGGCATCCTCGCGCCCGGCGACGTGTGGCCCGACGCGGGCGAGATTGATTTGCTCGAGGGCATCAACAAGATGACGACGAACCAGTTCTCGCTCCACTCGCCCGCGGGCTGCAGTCAGAACCAGTCGATCACGCAGCTTGGCAGCCCGATTGCGAGCCAGAGTAACTGCAATACGACCAAGGGCTGCTCGGTCACGGGCCTGCCGGACAGCTTCGGCGCGCCGTTCAATAGTGCCGGGGGCGGCGTGTATGCGCTCCAGTTTGATGTGTCGGGGATCTATATGTGGACCTGGCCGGTGCGTGATTCTGTGCTTGTTTTGGCGGGCGGGTCGTCTGAGTCATCGGGGCAGCGGGCGTCGGTTCCGCAGTCGATCTCGCAAGCTACGAGCGGCGGGCCGTTAACAAAGGATGCTACTTGGGGCTCGGCAGTCGCCGCATATGTCGGTGGTGCAACTTGCAATATCGCAAAGAGCTTTGGCGCACAGCAACTGGTCATCAGTGAGTCCCAGCCGTCCACCATCCACCTCGTCTCAAACCAATCTCCCCAGACATCGCGCTCTGCGGCGACTGGTGAGACCAGTTCTATCCATCCGATCATCCTTGCTCAGTCCCTGATCCTCGCAGGGCCGGCGAACCCGGCATCTACGCCTCCTCGGGCTGTCCCGCCGGCACGTGCTACGGCGCCAACGTCGTCGGTAACGGCTCCAACTACGGCGACGCGTACTTTGCGTTCAACTACATCCGCGTGTACAGCGAATCGCCCGGCGCCAGTGTCGCGGGATCTAGTAGTGCGGGGTCCGGCTCGGCGTCGGCGTCGAGGGGAAGCGGCCCGGTGAAGACGCAGAGCGCGGCTGTGAATGCGCCGACGACGGGTGCTCCTGCGCCAAGTGGGACGAGTTCCGCGGGCGAGCTGAGAGCTGGTATTGTGACAGTGGGGATTCTGCTTTTTGTGTCCGTTCTGCTGGCTTTGTGAGGTTAGTTCAGGGTTACTGTGGCTGGCTCGATCCAATAAGAGGTGTTCTTGAATGTGTTATGTATTAGGTTGTTATCTCTCGTCATTTATAGATTTTATATACCCATCATCCCTGTTCTGAGACTTATTCAAACTAGTTCCTAAAAACTGGCTGCATTTGACATGATTTGCGCTGTCAAGCATTCCGTAATTTTCCCGATATGTGCGCGGTACAATTTAACCCCCCTTCGTCAACCCCACCCGGACACGTCACGTGACGAATCACAAAGGACATGGTTCGAGTCACGGCGGAAATTTCTTATGTCAACTATATTATTTACTCAAAGCAATGATAAAAACAAATTGATTGACTTTGAATTTCAATTGGTCTTCTTGCCAATTCGAGCACATTTTGACGCATCTGTTTCATTGCTGTTGTGTCTTCTCTTCCTTTGCTTGTGCTCAGCACTGCTTTGATTGGCTGAATTTTGTGAGCAGTAACAGTCACATATTTTGTATTTATCATCTGGAGGGAGAAATATCTTGCACGTACAGGACACAAGTCCGAGGTGGCAAAGGAGTCAAGTCTGCGCTTGACTCGGTTTTCAAAATCCTAGTAAAATTAGATGAATGCGCCGCGCAAATCCCGAGAAAAAGGACGCTGACAAAAGACAGCAGGGCAACTCAAACTGGTGACTGCATAAGCGTGCAATGAATTATTTGCAACCTTTACCCATAGTCCATGATACTATACCAGGACATTAGAGCTGTCCAGCAGAACACTTGGAGCTCTTTTCTTATTTAGATCTTATCCAAATTTGTTAGAGCCTAATCGAAATATAAATGAGAAACGACCTCCAAGGTTGTGCTCCACCGCGATCATGTGACACCCCGAACACGGAACACAGGCCTGAAGCGACTCTCATGCACTTCTCCTCCGCTACATGGAGCCACCAGTGGGGTTGTTCTACATCTCCCTACGTCACAATGATGCGCATTGGAGTGGTTCCAGAAGTACGGGGGTGTAGTGTGCAAGCATAAGGTCAAGAGGCAGTCGACAAACTTGACAGTGCAGAGTGCCCTGTCCACAGATGTCTTCCGGGTCAGAACGCTGATCGCACGGACCGCAAATTGCCAATTTTGGACACAATTTCGGAGGCTCCTTGTCCCAATTCAGTTTACTCATAGCTCCACTAAACAGATTTCACTGAGCAAAAAATGCTCCACAATGAGATTCTTCTTATGAAAAAAAAATGTTTTTAGCTTCTGCTGGACAAGCTCTATTGCATATATTGTTCATTGTAACATGAATGATGTCTGAGGTCATGAATTTGGACCCATTCTAATGATATTTTGAGTGAGAATGGATACTGAAGTCATTAATAATACACGAAGACGCAGAAAAACTGTTCACTTGTACAATACTATGCACTTGAGATTAAGTCTGTCAGGGGCTACCGCCGAAGGCAGGGCACGTGACCGGACACGTGACGCGTCCGGGGTGGGTTGTCGTGGGCGGCCTGTACAATTTTCGTTGTCTCTTACCCGCACGATTTACAACAAGGGTGAGGAATCAGGATGTGCAACTTAGGGTATAAATCCTATCTGGCCACCGTGATCCTCACTTTCGTCTGACCGATAGGATGGCGGGGGCTCAGAGAGGGCGGTACCAGCGGGCTCGGGTTCATGGCCGCGTTGCCCCTGAGAGGCTTGCATCCGCTCGGTCAATATCCGGAACAACTCGGAGGTTGGTATCTCCTCGGCATCGGGCCGTGCCGGTACCGGTGCTGGCGCCGGTGCCGTTGATGTCGATGGCTCCGTCACCGCCCCTCTACGTGGCTTTCTCACTACCACTCGGACATCAATCCATCGATTAATAGACGCAAGACAGCCCACGCACCTGATTCGCTGCGCTGCACTGCTGTGTGCGCTGCGCCGATGGGGAGTGGACCAAAGACCGAGATGCGCGAAGTATCTTGGTTTCGTACGGGAGGACTGGACGTGCTGCGGGCAGCTCGTTGCCGGCGGCGGCGGAGAAGCAGACCGAGTGCCAGCGCGACGATGAGGAGGCTCAGACTCCCCACCACACACCCGACGATCAGACCCGTTCTTGTGGCTGGGGACTGGATTGGCGTTGATGGTGATTGCGAAGTTGCGGCGGGGACGGACGGGACTGAGCGCCCACTGCTGCTCGTCGGTGCGACCAGCGCGACCGGGATTGCGGTAATCTGCGTCGTGAAGGGGAGACCTGGACCGAGCCTGATTGTTACGGGTCCCGACAGCCCACGGCTATGGTTTCTGAAGTTGTAGATGCATTGCCCTATTGTGCTGGCACTGAGGAACCCGCACGATTCGAACAGCGAGTCGGCGCTCTCTGACTGGTAGTATCCGCCAGCGGAGATGACGATTGTGTTTGTGATCGCTGCGTCGTGGGCCGTCAGACAGATCCCGACGGGCGGTGACGCGGTGACGCACTGGGGGTGACCGTCTCCTTCGAGGAGCCAGACGTGAGGGTTGAGGCGGCAGACAAATCAAGAAGCTGGACGAGGTAGGTTGTCGCGCCGTCCCCCGCCGCTGTACCGATGGGCGTGAGTGGGCCCGCTAGCGGACGGTTGCCCAAGTTGGGGGCTTGGAAGCCATCGGCTTGCCATAAATCGATGGAGGTCAGCGAGGTTGGCATGAATTAGTCGAGAGATAGAATGAATGGAGGATGATGAAGCGACGAGCCCCTCATACCCTTGCCGCTGTGCTTTTATCCACACTCTCATGCCACCCTCCCGTTCAACAAGCAGTGAGTGTTGACGGTTCATTTGGTGTCAAGGCAACAGATATCGCACCTGAAATCTATGGGATACTTGGATCCCAATACATCATCCGTCAGAGTAAAACCTGCACGACTATAACTCTGGATCCGGGATGATGTGGGCGATATGCCAAGATCAGATGGGCTCTTCGTGCAGCATCACCCCGAGTCGGAAGGTGGGTCTTCTCGCTCTCTCTCTCTCAACATGATAATCACACGTAAAGCTCTTCGGTCCACCACGATAGACAAGGACTCATAGACATGAGGACTGCTGTGAGGACGTCGACTCGGAACGACCATGTTCATGAGCGGAAAGTTTCCACGTGACTCGTCTGGTACGTCTCCAGCTGTCCCATTGGCCTGTTGTCCATCTATGTCCACATCGCTACGCTACATATGCCCATACATCTTTACTTCCTTCAACACGTTCGATATACTCTTTCTCGAGCAGTGTCTCGATCGCCTTCTTGATATCAGGGATCTTTGGTGCAAAGCGGGTCGAGATCTGGGCGATGACTTCTTGGATCAGAGCCTGATTTTTGAGCGTCTTGCGGGCTTTCATGATCCTGTCATAATGTCAGCCGTGTGGATCCAAGGAACGAGGACACAGCACTGACCGCACAATCGTCGCCTGGATGACGTACTTGCGGTCCTCATCCACGGTCTTCATCACCTCGCTCGCCTCGCTCTGGGCACCAGCCTTGTCTGATGACGCACGAATGACCTGGTTGAGGTTGATCCGGATCTTCTTCGACTTGAATCCGGGGTTCAGATCGTACTGCCCGTCCTCCGCGTCCGGATCGTCGCACACCAGCACCCGTGCCTTGACGAGAATGTTCAGAACCTGTGTCAGGATCCCCGGCCCCGTGATCCCCGTCGCAGCCTCGAGCTCCTTGAAGCTGAGCGTGTCGGTGCGGTTGTACTGCAGCAGGACAGTCGCCTGGTACGTCGACGTCATCAGGATGTACTTCTGCCCCGTCGTGTAGTTCGTCCGCAGCTCGTTCTTGGAGTAGTTGTACATCCACGTCAGTTTGCGCCCCGAGTGCTTCGTCTGGTAATAGCGCGTGAAACGCTCGTAGGTGCCCAGCAGCTCCGGCGGCAGCAGCAGGTCTTGAGGTGGAGGAGTGAAGGGCCAGAAGTTGGTTCCAAGTACAAGCACAGAGAAGCCCGCGTCCTGCTCGTGGGCGGTGCTACGGTCTTTGAATGCGTCTGTCAAGTCCTTAGACAGTGACATATCTGGCGAGTGGTCAGCTGCGAATGGAGAAACGACTGGCACTCACCCGTAAACATCCTCTGCAGCTTGTTGGTGTACTCGAATCCACACGCCTCCTTCAACTTAGCGATCATCCCTGCCTCAGCCTCGTCCGATGCGCTGGCACCGTGGATCAACCTCTTGGAGAGTTTGGTGGAGTAGAAGGTCTGGAAGACGTCTTTATCCTCGAGGTATTTGAATAGAATCATCTGCGGGATGTGAGATTCTGTCGCGAGAGTGAACGGAGACTAACCACTCGCGCCAAGGCACCCTCGACATCCTCCTCCTCAGCCTTGTTGCTCTTCCTCAGCAGGGAGTCCGTGTACTTGGCTAGCAGCTCGGGGCTCTTGGACGCACTAGAGCCCGTTGCAGCATTCCGGTTGACGAACTCCCGACACGCCTTGTCGAGAGCTGCAGCAAAGCCCGCCTCGGCTCGGAAACTCCTTTGCACGATTGCAGCATTACGTGTGTGCACGCTTAGCAGAGCGTCCGTATACGCCTTGGGGTCGACCTCCTCTCCGTCCTTTCCAGCCACAAGCGTATCGACCGCCGCACATCCAGCACTCTTGACGTAACCCTCGAATTTCTTCCGCAGCGGCTCAAGCCCGTCGGGAATGCGCGCCAGGAGCGCATACATTCGCTGCAGGTCGTCGTCCTTGTCGTCTGCGAGTAGCCCCAAGAACGCTTCCCAGAGCTTCGGCGCATGCGCGCGCAGCAGGACGCTCTCGCAGCGCGTAATGAGGTCTTTCCGGGTCTTCTCGTGCAGATATCTTGTCACCCGCTCGTCTTCTTCCCTTAGCCTCGTCTCTACGCGGACCAGATACTCCGGGACGCTGCCTGAGGCCAAGAACCTATTTGATTCGGCGGCGTAGTACGCCTCGGAGGCATCGATGAAGGCACCCTCGAACGCCCCGCGGTATACGTCAAGACACTCCGTATTCAGGTTCGCCGTGTCCAGCCCCAGACTGACGAAAGAGTTCACAACGCGTTTGAGCAGCGCCTCGGACCCGTCGACCTCTGCGCCGTCCCTCTGAGCAACGATCACACGGAGTACCGCTGAGGCGAGCGCATCCTGCAGTGGGGTGAAGAGATGTGCGTGCCACTGCGCGAGAGCGAGCGTGTACACCGGCAAGATGTTCTTCTTCCCCTCGTCACGCTCTCGCTTGACCCAGTATCGATTGAGGTATGCGAACAGTCTGTTGAGGTAGTTGGCGCCGGTCGTGTAAGCGTCCCATGCCGAAGCGTAAAAACGTAGGAAGGCGACGTCGGCGGCGAGGAATTTCGACAATGGGGTGTGTGAAAGTCCCCTCTGTGTGAGCGTAGAGGTGAGAACTCGGAGAGAGACTGGGGAGGTGGCTATATACCTGCAATACCGGCTCGAGGTACGTTGTGAGGTACACTTCCAGCTTTCCATACAGGTCCGCACCAACGAGATTCGCACCGGCTGCAGATTTTCCATGTCAGAATGATACAAGGGTGCGTTTAAAGAGTAACAGGAGAAACAGGGACAGGGACAGAAACCAAATCGGAGGACCCACTCACTCCGATTCCCCTCTAATCGCCCATGCATCTTGTTGCTCGTGCAGTAGTTATATACCGTCGTGTACAGGCTGGTATACCCCGCGAACGTGAGGCCGGGCCCCCCACTTCCGGTCGCCTGTCCGCTAACCCCGCTGCTGCCCTCAGACAGGTGCATGATGTACCCCGCGCCGGCGGCAAGGAACTCCCACGTCTCATCCAGCGTCGCGGACTTGCCCGGCGCCGTGGCGAAAAGATCGGCTGTCGGTACTGGTGCTGGAGACATCGCCGTCCTGTTTCGTAGGCTGTGGTCCTGCGCCGTGGTTGCACTGGGATCGTGCGGGGTCGTACTCCGTGAGCCGATGTGTTAGCGGGATACGGTGTGGTGGACGATCGTCAGATGAGCGGCTTAGATGTCGGTTGCGGTCCAGTCAGATAATGGGGTGGATTGAAACTAAGAGAGGGACGTGTATGCGTCGTGTGCGTTAGTCTGAAAGGAGCGGGAAGTGTAGTGCGCTGAGTCAGCGCTTCGTGGTCCTGTCAATCGTTATCATCCGTCGTCCTGTTTTGTCTCCGGAACCATTCATTTCGGGTGCCCATCGTCAGAACACGCAGTGGCTGCGGTCGGCTTGCATCGCCATGGAGCACGTCTTTCCGTCCTCTCTGGATAATGATACGATGAGCGGAGAGTTGGCACGTGGAAGGCGGAGAGTTCACACGTGACCGACGCTGATTTGTATGAAGAGGATCCTGTATACCATAGTCAAGGACAGTCGATAGGTCATGCGATTTAGTGATCATATCCACTTCGAAAATCATATAACCGTGGAGTAGGAAAGAGAGAATAAGCATAAGTAATTCCCCAGGCAGGGTGGTGACGATAGAGAGTATCTTAAACCTGCTCCCCATAGGCCGGTGGTAAACGTCCACTGGCGCTGCGCCCAAGTGACACATGGTCTACTGGACCCGCATCGACATGTCGCTCTGATGTGGAAGCCGACAGCACAGGCGCCTCACCCAAACTCGTCGCCTCTGCTTCTTCCGCTTCCAAAAACGGCTCGGCCGAATCAGCACGAGGGATGGCAGGAACAGGGACCCGATTTTTTCGCGGGAGAGGGCCCGCCTGTCGACCACTACTCCCAGCCCCCGACCCAGATCCTGAGAGAGCCGACGTGGAGTTGTCACCGCTGAGTTGCTGGGTGTGGAATCCCCGCCTCTGACTGGCGCCAGCCCCGGTGCTCGCAGCCCCCGCCACAGCGGCGGCTCCGTAACCACTGCTCCCCGAGTCCGAGTATGGGTTATACAGGCTGCCCTCGACGGCGCTGTGCGGCACCCCGTGCGTGATGTGCTCATTGGATGTGGGGGCTGTGTCGGTATAGGGGTAGCCTATGCAGACGGCACGGCATCAGCATCTCGCAGCACTGACACGGGAATCAAACACGCACTGTCGACGACGAATCGCCCGCCGCCGGGCCGCTCCTGCATCGCATCCCTATCCCCATCGTTGTCGAGCGGTGCCTCCAACACGCCGGTTCGTCGGCCATCGTCGTACCTGCCTCGTCGGCGACGCCAGCACAAAAAGCCGAGCAGCGCGAAGGCGACGGCTGCCAGCGCGGCCACTGCAATTCCCGCGATTGCGCCCGATCCGATACCGGTGGACGGAGAAGGTGTCACAGATGCTGATGGGGATGATGTTGGGTTGCTCCGAGTAGATCTGTTCCAACGGTATGTCAGGGAAACAAGGGGACGAGAGGAGAGACGTACGACGAGCTGCTGCTGCTCCCAATCGACGACGAGGATGAGGTGTGTAACGTGGTTGATGCACAGTGGGTGAATGAGTTGTTGCCTGCAACGATGTTGTCCTTGACGATCGTGTCCCGGGTATAAATGCTGGCGAAGGGGGAGGGAATACGTTAGCTTGCTCCCAGACTCCAGGAACGCGCGACTCACTAGAACCAGCTCCCATCCGACCACCCGTTCGAGTACAAATCGTCATTGATCTTGAGTTGCTTGTTGCAAACCGCCGTTTGAATGTCCTTGGGCAGAGCATTCGATACGGGGCCCGAGCACGTCGAGACATACCCCTGGTATGCTGTGGCTCCCGCGTCGATGCCGGTGCCACTACCGATAGGTTGTTGGCAGCTAACAGGAGTGGCATCAGCATGCGGAACTGTAGAAGGGACATCTAAAAGCTAATACGTACTTAAGACAGAGCATGCTCAGTGCGAATGCGATCGTGTTGCAGCAGCACGTCGAAAGTTGGTCCGAGCACGTGTCCGGCGGTGTATTCACGTTTTGCACGCCCACCGTGTCTGGCGCGCCGATCAGCTGAAAAGAACATCTCAGAGAGAGGAATCAACGCACATTGGGAGTTGCATATCCCTCGCAGGCTCTGGTACGTTTGACCTGTGGGGCGGGTCAGGAACAGGGTCCGAAGAAGCGACGTGGGAATGGCAGAGAGGAGCGCAACAACGACGTACAAGGTGTTTCCCCGACCATGTCGATGTACCATTGCATCCCCGTACCATTGCATGCAAGGTGGTTCGGTAGCACAGCAGCCATCTCGTTTCTATCGGTGCGGTGTGGACGGTCTTTTTCTTTGTCGGTCAGTCAGTACCGCGTATCTCTCCCTCGCGTCTCACTCGTGCCTGCTGTCCGTGAAGTAGAAGAAGAGTCCGATCGGAGGGGTGGGCGCCCGGAGCCGGTGTCGCAGTCGTGGGGAGGTTGTCGTCGCGAGTAGGTAGGGAGGGGGGAAAGCACTCACGGTGGAGCTTTGTGACAACGGAATCTAGCTACAAATGGATAGTGGCGATGTCCACAGCAGCCGACGATCAGATGCGTGCTCTTTTGGGGCTTGGCGCCTTGTCTGATCGCGCAGAGCGCATCTGATGTGATGGCTTCCCGCCTTGGAAATGTTTTATGCACCTGCTCAACACCCGTGAGTAGAAAAGAAGGCCGACTAAGATGCTGGCTTGAGGATTCCCAAGGAGATAGCCAGCCGAATTGCGAGCTGCGCTTCAATCAACCAGGAACAAATCATTCCAGCATTGAATCAACAACGAGTGGGAGGTGACGCAACAAACGCTCCAGGCGCCATCCAGATTACAGTTTGTCATTTTCAAAGACAGCACTTACTAAACAGACCCACTTTGATGCTGATTTTGCTCAGGCAGTTTGTCATGAGACCACTCTCAAGCTTGCGTTCACCGTTTTCTCGAGCCGAGTGTCTCGTACATAGGGAAGCCACCGTGACAGTTTCGTGCCTCCAGCAGAATTCATCTTACGAAATGCTGCGCACCGATTCGCTTAACACGCTGCCCCTGGGTTGTTCGCTTTCACCAATAACTTACTCAGTAAAGCCCGTCGTCACCTGTGAGGATCAGATGCAAGCACCGCCACAAATCATGATGATTTGTTTCAGCTTTCGTCACGAGACAGGGATCACGTGTCTGGCTTGCGCGGTATAATCGTTGAAACATGTTTTTAGCTTGTTTAGAAACTTTTAGAGGTGATTTTCTCCATTCCATCTGCGCACAGGCAAATCCATGGCATACTGTATCCTTGGGAAGCAGTCCCCGGCCATCACTCGCTACCTCCCACAACGAGGTGCACGAAATATGTGCAGACGCAAGAACGATCATGGCCCACCCCAATTTATTTCCACCGGGAGTTTCGCGCGCCTTTCACGGACTGCATGAAAGATGGCCAGTCTAATAGAATGAATTGGCCGCACTGGGGCGGAGGTGTACTTCTCTAGCAGGGACTTGGAGTGCGGTCAGACTACGGACCACCTGTCTTCCGGGTTTTTTGCGTCGGCCATGAAGCCGGAGTTAAGTCCGGAAAATACTAGACACGGCGAGAGAATAATATAACCGATTCACGCGGGATGCAAACAAGATCCTTGATAAGGCATGGTAGAATACGGAAGAAGGTAGGCAATCCCGCAGTACGTGTTGAATCATGACGATGAAGTCTCCAAAGACAAATTTAAGCGCCCGAGATGGTGAAGTACGGGCTGAAGTTGCCCGAGCTGCCGAACACTTACCGACCAAATCGATTCAGATCGTCTTCAGATTGACCAAGATAGGATGACTCACGAACGAGCTGGTAATCGTCGCCGGTGATCACCGACGGAACGATAATCTCAACCTGACCCACGGTGATGTTGAACCCTTCCGCCAAAATCACTAGATGACCAGACGCGATTCAGCACGTGATGGGTCTGATGTTGAGCTGAGGGCATGTACGCACGGGGAGTGGTGTAGTTGGCCTTGCGGAGCATGATGCGTCCTTGGTTGTTCGTGATCTGCTTCGGAGCGTGGGACACATCCCTGGTCGTACGTAAATCCCATTGCCGACGATGACAAGAATGGACGACCGCACCAAGTGATGTTCGTCTTCCACCCGACGGTCCAGACGTCGCCGGTAGTCGGGGACGTGATGGGCGGTTCGAACACGTCGAGCACATGCGGCGGGACCACAGCAGCGGCGCTACTAACAGAGAGCATCGCAGAGACGAGCGTGACAAAGGTGGTAGTGAATTTCATCGTGGATGGAGGGTCGTAGTTGAGGAGTTTAGAGAAGAACGAGTTGCGTTAAAGGGAGAAGGGAGGTGGAGTGAAGATTGAGAGGCCAGTTGGTATCCTTTATACTAAATTCGTTCACGGCATTCTTCACGTCAGCCGCTAAGGTAGACGGCGCCTTCTGAGCGGTTGTCTCTGCTCAGACGTGAGGTAGGTGACGAGGCCACTGCTCAGCCGTCATCCGACCTGTGAGCTCCACCGTAGTCATGTGCCGCATAGGGCAGAAGTGCCCGCACTTTCGTCACTAGATCAGGCCGGTACTGCGTCAGGAAATCGACCTTTCGTACCCGAAGGAAGAAGCACCTGCTGCCGAGCTCCATGCTCGTCAGTCACTGTTGTTGCCCGGGCCAGACTTTGAAGCGACCTTCGTGACCCTGTAGACCGTAGCCGGGGTCCTCATTCGTGCTTTTCATGTCGGAGTTCGGAAACCGCGGACGCGGTGAGGGCTTTCCGGAGAACAGCCTAAGTACCGACATATGGCCATCATTCAGCACTTTGCCTGGTCGCCCGTAGAATCCTGTTCGCTCGCGCTTCTCGCCGCTTTGTCTTAGCTATTTTACCCTATTACCCTGATTAGCTCGGAATTTTCATTCATCCAGGCACATGAATCTAACAGTTGTATTGCGCACGGTCACAGTCGGAGAAGGTATTTGCCGACGCCGTCAATGCCGCCCTACGCACAATCTGCCCGCTCAACGATCCGGCACCGTGAAATGTCAATACAGACTCTCGTTGTGTGATTTGACCAGCTTAACGACCGACGGGAGTTCAGAATCTGAAGCGTTCTCGAGATGAGAGTGCCACTGGTGCAACGAGCATGGAGAATGAACTTCAGCTGCGAGTGGTTTCGAGTTGTATACTTTCAATGTCCAGTCTTGAAACAGCGCGAAACTATTTCAGATCAGTCTCCGCCCGACATTTCACCACCTTCTAGGTTTAATTGATCGACATAAAGCCTTTGCAATTTGTTCTTGGGATTTGAGTCAGCGAGACCTGAATATATTCTTGAAGCAATTCGATGAGAGTGCCCGGATCACGACCGCTCTTCTGCCTGCCCAATGCAGATGCTCCCTACTGCGTTATTTGAATTGTTTTCCGTCGTCGAGTCAAACAAGGAACTTTGAGGATCTGGCCGCAGGGAAATTCTTCATTACATCTCGGAGTGAATCCTTCCTTCAGCGGGACAGGATCGCGCCTTGAGGCACTGACCGGCCACAAAATTGGGCTGTAGGAACGCTACCTTCATTTGCCACGGCTAACGTAGCTCAAATTGTAAGTTTGATGAGCCTGTCTGAGCTATTTCAGTCTTGCCAAGTCGATGCTATCAGTATTTCTCAGTGGGCTTGGGACTCGAAGAAATTGGGAAGTGTAGGAGTAATTTCCGTGCTTGAACATTTTCAGTCTCATGAAATAAGGACGGAAGTCATTCCAAAATTGAATCTCCATCCATTTCTATCACTATGCCGCACCTCTGCATTTCTATGCACCATGTCCACCCAGGCACAAATTGAGGATTTCGCAATATTGCCTTGCTTGTCAAGGCACTCTCCAGACCCTATATTCACACACACAAATCAGATGCGCCTGATCCGTTTTTTGATCCGTTCTGATCACTCTTGCTGTCTGCATTTTAGTTGAGCATGCGATTTCAATGTTCGTGACGGGCTTTGCTACCACCTTTTTGTGGTATCAAATCCATCCTAACGGGATCAATCTTCACAGTCACATACGTCCGCATGTCAGGACTGCAGCAACTGCCTGCTGTGCATGCAATTTTGCTGTTTGTGACAGGCTTTGCTCCCACCTTCTCGTGGAATCAATATCCTCCCAACTGTACTGGACAGTGACTTGCTCTTATTCCGTTCCACTCTGATCACCATTTGCTCTTTGCATGCACGTGAGTTTCCATAGTCATACTACTTTTCCTCCCAACTAATATTCTGGTGGAAAGAAGAAGGGAACAAGGACTTCTGGGGGTTAGTCATGACCAATGTCCTTATTGAAATTATTGCATTCTTTGTGTCAAGTAGCAAGGCATTCTGTTGGCAGAGCCAACACTTTCTAGTGTACATAGTCCCTGATACTTAACCCCCAAAGACCTCAATGTCGATCACTGATGGCGGTGCCACAGAGGTGATGCCAAGGCGCTGCGGTGCTGCACCCAGTCCATCACAGGCTTTCTTCTCGCTTTCTCGAACCTTTTTCGCTTTCTCCCCTCGCTCTTGACGAGTCTTTCTTGTCTTCTTCATTTGCTCCCCATCTTTCCTTTCTTTTTCGCAACGGACGCTCTATTCGACTTCTTCTCCCACGACATCGACATGACTACTACTGTTACCGTCACTGTATCTCAGGCCTCGACGACGGCCGGCGTTCAGAAGCAACGCACTCACCTCATGCGTTCGACGCGCAAGCTCGGTTCCCTCCTCGGCGAGACTCCCCTCATTATCGACAACTCTCGCCACGAACACACCGCCTCCATGTCCAGCATGGCATCCCGACGCTCAGGCATGATCTTCCTGGGCACCGATTTGCTCGCGCTCCCCCCACCATCGCCGGATGGATTGAAATCTGTCGAAAGCTCCGGTGCAAAGATGGATAGGCCTATGCTCTTCCTGCGTCGGCCCCTCCCCACCCTCCTCTCGACTGCGCCCTCGCCCCAATCGCCCTCCTTCCCAGCCCTTACTCCAACGACACCTCTCACCCCGGAGACAGTGGTAGTGGATCGACGAAAGAAGATGGCAAAGCTTACCCGCACGCTCGGTGTCAATCCCCCCGCCGAGCTTGTGTTCCGGGGAGTCAGTGCAAAAGAGTTCGCCGCGATTCCGTCACCGCACTATGTCTCTTCGGTGCTCGCGGCCTTGGGCCCTGCGAACAGTACGGTGGGAAGCCGCGCGTCCATGATGTCGGTGGAGTCGCTTGCCAGCCCCACACGCGAGGCGACGTTGTTGCCTTATCGAGCCACCGCAGCGCGCAGCGCTTCGAGCCTGGTACTTTCCAGTCCTTCGGGACCATGGGTTAATGGTGGGGAGCGATTCTCGTCCCCGCCGGCCTCCAGTGCTTACCCGGACTACTCCCACAAGCACGCCCGGTACGCATCGACCTCCAGCACTCGTTCAGAGACCCCGTATCCTGCTCCCCCGGTCGCCACGACCTCGGAAGCCGAGGCCGTGGAGAGCAAGACTTCGCGCTCGACAGCCGACGCGCGGTTCCTCTCCCGACACTTCATAGTGGACCTCCCGGAACGCACGTCCTCGCGCATGCACGTCCAGAACCTCCGCGCCCTGTCGCCCGCTGTGGGCTTGCGCTCCCCGTCGCCGACCTGGTCATTGTCTGAAGATGTGGATGCGGATGCGGATGAAGCGCTCGTACGCGAGGAGGTGCGGGATGGGTGGACCGGCCAATGGACATTCGAGGGCGGGGCGGCGGGGCAGGATATGCAGGATGTTGTCAAGCAGCTGCGTGAGATGAGACTGTAGGACTGTAGCTAGATGTTTGGTGATGAACTTGCGCTTCCTTGCTTCATAACGCATACGATTTACCGTGATGTAGTATGTCGTGTATCACTCCTTCGTCTATCATCCTTGTTTATTGGCGTATCTGTATCACACTCTTGGTGTATTGAGCCTCACAAGAGTGCCTAACCACACGACTCGGAATCTAATCTTGAATCCACGTTTCAAGAAGAGAAGGGTGACCTCAGGCGATGTTTAGCCATCACATGATATCAGTTCATAATCAATCCGAAAGACCGTTGATTTAATTATCCTCAGTACGGCTAGCGCCCCAGCCGGACGATTCTCTCAGGATACGGACGTGGAATATTCTCAAGCTGGGGAGGGACGGCAGGACATGCGCTCTGCCGGAGGAATGCCATCAGCGGGATGCCTGCATACCTGGACGTCTTTTCCTCTATCCTTGCCATTGATCCCCTGGGCCTCACGGCTCGCGGCCCCAAACCCGCCTCGTTCTCATGAGCTGGGTTGGAATGCGTGTCGTGCGGCGTGCCTGGTTGTCATGGGTATCACGTGACTGTTTCGGTTCTGCGGCACTGCCAGATCTCGCGGATGGGATCTCGCACGACACAACCTGTAAGATATGGCATTTGAGCGCTAGCCACATCTGCGATAGTATGAGGTCCTGCATTCAGCTTTGTGCTTGAGGCTGTATGACTCCAAATAAAAGCCTGTGCATATGGATTATTCACGAGATGCCCGCATGTTTGTTGCCACCACTGTTTTTTGTCTCCATTCTCTTTCTGGCAGCTGAGTCACGATACCCATCTTTTACCACGGACTCAGCGTCGACGCATTTTTCTTGGAAAAGTCTTTCGCAGGGGATTACTTCAAGTTGATCCACGAGCGGGTTTCAGTTTTGGTATCGGCCGTGCGTTCATCATAGGACTGACTGTATGTGTTGAATTTGCAAAGGTCCTGTCTGCATTATGATGTTTGTCCCTGGAACAGCGCAGCCCCCCAGCGGATCAGCCCATCATAAAAACATTCTGTCCTGCCAAGGCATGTCTATTCCGTAAACATTCCATCGAACCATCATAAAAACTTTTTGTCTGTGCGCCTGGGCAGCCCGGGCGCCCAAATTGGGCCTGTGCATCAATGCCCATTGGCCTGTCCGCTCCCCTGACCAAGCGGCTTACACGTGGGCAGCTGGATGAAGCTGTTCATCAGCACAGCGTATATTTAGCCATTGCATGTCAAACCATGACTCGCTGCGCGGTCGGGGTTGGTACAAAAAGGCGGGGTCTCGCCGCTTGGACTCTCTCGATAACCACGTTCTGTTCTCACTCACAACCTTACAATCGCTTCTCATGCCCAACCCTCCGCGCTCGCGCATCGCCTCTTCGCCTGCTACTAGCAATGCCACTACGCTGACGTATTACGACGACGATGCCGTATCCGACACCACCACGGTTGTCGCAGGCGACTCAGACCGCGAGCCTGGATGGACAGTCTCAACCACCATCCAGGAACTCTATGGCAACCCGATCGACATGTCGTTGCCCGCCTCGATCGTTGGGCCTGCGCTCGGTCTCCCGCTCACACAGTCTCATTTCAAGGACCTGTCCAGCCCCGCATTTGATCCGGACCCTGAGCGCCTGCGACACATCCGGCTGACATTCCCATTCCCCTTCGAGCACCTCACAGTCGACCTGCGCCCAAGCGCCCACGCACGCTACATCACGAACGGCGACATCGCCGTGGCTATCCGCCAGGCGCTGCGCAAGCCGCTCGCCGTGTCGAGCCTGCCCGGTGCCTCCAACGAAGGCTTGCAGCAGGCGCGTCGTGCACGGTGCGAGCGTGTCCGCCAAAGTCTCGAGAGCAGCACGACGGTGCCCATCCCGGCGCACCAGGCGCGGGTGCTTGAGGAGGAGCGCACCTCGGCGCTTGTGTGCGATCTGCTCCAGGGACGCGTCATGTGGGCCGGCTTGATGGCGGCGAAGGGCGCCGACGACAAGTGGGAGGTTCTCCTCCAGAGCGCTTGAAGCCATGCCTTGTCGATGTCAGACAACACATCACGACTTTTCACGCGTTATGCTTATGTGTGCGCACTTGCGCTCACCCGCCATGGTTCAATGCGCTAGAACCGAGCTCATTTGAGCCATAGCCCGCCTCTCTGTATCTTTTCATGGATTTTTGGACTGACTCTCTCACCCTAACTCCTCTGTAAATCATATATCCTGGATCAATAATACTGTGTATTCTTACAACGTCCATAAGGCTGTGCGTGTGCTGGGACGCTGGGACACAGCAAGGTCAACAAAGCACACCGTTTAAGAAATGGTAAAGCTGTTTGTCCCACGGCAGTGCAAATTCCATGCCTTTGCGAGACACCTAGCTGTTAACCGTCATATAGTTTCGGTTTTCTCTGAACTAGCAGTTAAGAGCTGTCAAGTACGAGATCCTAAACCTCTGATTTTCCATCCCTCAAAACTCAGCTTGTATCTTATCAATATGTATTGAGATTATCAACGGTCAAGCTACTTACAGGGCCTCTGGTTTTGCAAAATTGTCGGGCTAACGTCAAAAAATATGCAGGTCTGCATGTTTTCTCGTAAGAATCTTGTCAGGATTAGTGTCGTCTCTTCAGTCGATCCGATGGCTGACAGTCTAAATACATTCTCATCCCCGGAATGCTTTCCCCTTACGGTGCTCCGTGGGCCTGTGTCATCCACATCTCGAAACATCAATCCCTCGCACTGCAACAGGGTGCATAGCAACGACGAAATAGACCCCTGCACCAGTGCGACGCTGCCTTCGATGGAAGATTTCAATGTTTCAGTGCCCGAGCTCTGGGTCCTGTCCGAAAGAGCGCAGGGCCTGATTCTGCCAGATTGGCCAGTACCGCCGCGAGATCAGAGGTATCAGTTCATCATTTGATGATATCGAACTCAGTGATGTCACATCATACATGATGGGACACGATCAAAAGAGGCGCGGAGGCGCTGTTGGACGGCGCGAGCACCCCCTCAGTGATTCAACGGCCGCGCATCACTGCCATGCCGCGCACGTGAGTCACTTACCGGAATTTGTTGGACCATCTTACACTTTGCAATGAACTAGGCCGTGCCGAAAATAAACTGTATTCATTTGACTTCCCACTTGATACTGAACCCGGGTGTCATACCCGAGTACACTTTCGGGTACGACTTGAGATCATGGCACAATTTCAGGGTATTACCCCAGGGCCCACCGCCACAACTACAACTTACCCTCCGCGGCCATCTCTGCTGCCAATACGGCATCCGGATCGCGACCTTTGACCTCCGGCAGGAGCAGCGTGAAGAATGCGCCGAGAATGCAGCACGCAAAGAAGACTGGGAATACGTTCAAATCACGGTCAAGGATTTGAAGATGGGGTTCCGCGTACTCCAGAGAACCTTGGGCGTCCCGATCGAGACGCTGAGCTGGTTGAACGCCAAGGCGCTGATGATTGCACCGAGCTTTCCGCAGGCGGCGGACATTCCGTGCGCGAATGCGCGGAACTTGGTCGGGAATAGTTCAGCAGGGTAAAGCTGCGACAGTTATTATCAGTGAGCGAGAAATGGAGGGTCGAGCTCACGTAAGTCGTGCTGTGAGTGGGTTTCAGTAAAGGTCATCTTACCCAAGAACGTGATGGCTCACGCATTAGCGCCGAAGTTGAAGAAGAATTGGAGGAAGGCGAAGCAGACGATGAACGCCGGTTTGCTCAACTCGTGGAACTTGCCAGCCAGAATACCCACTAGAGCAGAAACACGTTCGGTTCCTTGAGCTAGCAATTTCTGCCTAGCACTTACAGAAAAGAGCCGCCATCAGGAACCCTTGGATTTGGATGAACTTGCGGCCCAGCGTTTCAACGGTGAGAACGGTGACGTAGTAACCTAAAGAAGCAGAAGATTTCAGCAGCCGTCACCGGCTCCATAAAATCCAACCACCAGACTCACCAGGCACGAATCCGAGAGCCGTGATGATCACATCACCAATGCCGAGCTTGAACAGTCTCTCCCAGTCACTGGTCCCCGTCTTTCCGTCAAATCCGATCTGCTGCAACACGACATTTTGGTTGAGATTGATCCCGTAGAAGCTGCGCCGTGTCTAGCAATGAAATACAGCAAGGCTAATCGAGAGCACGTACGCGATGTCCAGGAGGAACCAGCATGAAGCCGTTCCAATCAAGAGCTTCAGGTGCCGCCATTCTCTGAAGTATATCAAGAACTCTGTCGTCACGTTGAAAGACCGATGGTGCGAAAACAAGCGAGAAATCTACCTCGGAAATGGGCCTTCTTGGTTACCACGTTTTCCCGCACCACGGGTTCCGCAGACTCTGAATCACTGCCCTGTGACTTTTTGAGATCCGAGGAGAGGTCGGTCTGCTGAGATTCGACGTATCGCGTCGATTCGGGGAGAGTAAGCCGCTGGTACAGCGTCCCAAACGCAGGGATGAGGGAAATTCCGACAACGATCCGCCAGACTGGATGACACGGTCAACGAATATGGAGCACCAATCGGGCAGAAAACTCACCCCCATCGACCTTGCTCGTTTTGCCCTCGTCCAGCATCACATGTTTGTAGCACGCCAGGGTCACGATGAACGCCACGGATCCAAAGAGCGAGCCCCAGCCCTGGTTCGCGAAGATGTAAGCCAGCAGCGTGCCCCTCTTGCGGAGGACCGCGCGGTCCGTCGTCACGGATGCGCTCATGGGATAGTCCCCACCCACGCCAATGCCGAGGATGATCCGGAAGACGGTGAGGTAGATGAGCGACGCGTCGGCGCTGATTCGCCCTAGTTCGACGCTGATCGATACGAGGCGGTTGAATGTATAGAGAGGAGCCCACCGGTCGGCGTAGTCAGACACATGATCGTCGCGAAGATGATGAGCATGAGCTCTTTCCCGTCTAATTCACCCCAAAACGTCTCAGTTCTCGAGCGATAGGTATCCTCTCCGCCTCAGCGCCGACTCACAGATAGCTTTGCGGCCCAACGCATCAGCCATATACCCTTTGCGTAGTTGACAGTCAATGCGTCATCGCGGATCTAACATGATACTCACCAAATCCGAACTGTCCGATGACGCTCCCGATGTTGGCCGATGCCTTTAGCAGACCTTGGAGCCCTGCCGGCAACGCATGGCCGTTGTAAAGCCGAAATTGAAGCATCGTGGCGACCGGCTGCGGTGTGGAGTATTAGGGTGACTGTTGCGCGGGCTCGGTGGGACAGACGACGTGCGTTAATGACGAACAGGTCATAAGCTGTTTTGGGAATGTAGGTGGGTTGGTTGTACACTGAGACGTTGTTCGCTCACCATCCAGGAAGAATCCGACCTATCGCCCCCGACGAAGTAAGGAACTGCGGTATGAGAAAACAGCACACGACTCACACCTGCGATACCCAGCAGCTTCGCCTCTACTTTCGTCAGATAGAACGTCGGTTTGTTATCCTCCCGCTCGACCTCTCCCAAACGGGGTCCCTGCATAGGCGCCATGACCGGCTTTTCGATGGAGGACATGGGTGGGCGGAGAGATGAGGGAGGAAGAGAAGCCGCTGCAAAGCGGCCGCACCATATGGAAGCCTTTAGGTGTTTATGTAAAAGAAGCTGACTGCTGCTATATGTACCGGAGAAGCACGCTGATGGGTATCAAGTTAAAGCATGCGTGCCTTGGAGCTGGACTTCAAGCTGATGTGGAGTGACCGGGTCCCATCGCGCCCGGTCAAATCCAGGACAGCAACCGGCACCTCGAAAGCTGAGAAAAACTGAGAAAGGTGTCGCATGCGTCTCATCGTCGCATGCGCACACCTCCCACGAACAGCGCAACAGCTTCGGACTGTCAAATATCGCAGGCGCAGGCCGAAAAGTGACATGTTCACGTTGGCAGATCATTTTCATATTTCTTATTACTCAAACCAATTGGCTGCTGTGTCAGCATGATGCCGTCATGAGCTGCGAACTGTGGCCGCAAGCTGCTTGTAGTCTCGCAGGTTTCAGGGGGTGGCATTCATTGAGATGAACTCTGATTGTTGCTCGTTCATTGTGGACTGTGCACCAGATTTGAAAGAAGAGAGTGTCGAGACCCTGATCAAGCCTACATAGGGTTCGGGGCCAGACTTTTCTGACTGATCGTCGCCGCCTGAACATTCACGCAAAAATTGAGCCGGCTTTGAGCTCAGCCGAACTCCGTGGGAGCATAAGACGCGAGAATGGGGTCAGCAGCGCGAACGCCGAATACTACTCGTAATCCTTCGAGAAAGCTGCCAAAAATGCCACGGACACTGACATTTCATTTGGCAGCAAAACTGGGGCTGGCTGCACGCTGGCTGCAGGGATTCTTTCTACTCTTGGCAATCACTTTCTAATTCTTCAATCACAGGACACAATCCCACGACGTATTTCTAACTTCCCTTTCGAACACTGTCCTATATGCCTAGGCGTGCCTCGAACGGATACCTCTTTCCTAGCTCACACGCGAGGTCCCCATCCTGACGATGCCGAGTACTCGTAACCAGCGGCTCTCCACCGATCTTCCAACTCCAACAACGCGTCGATCGCTCCAAGCACAGTCTTCGAGAGTCAATATCTCAGAGAAAGGGAATGAACACAAATCCGCACCTCGTCCAAGGTATGAAAGTCACCGACCTTCATGCCGAGCACCTGTTCCACCCTCTCCCAATCCATGGGCATGGCACCTTTCGTCGAAGGCGTCGGCGGAACAGTCATCAGACGATCTTTCAGCGCGGGCCGATTTTCGGCGATATATTCCAGGATCTGTGCCCACGTCTTGCCGTGCGGGGAGGACAACAGGATCCGCTTGCGCCCCACCTCGGAGCTTGGTGGAGAGACCAGAGCCTGGACGTGTGCTTTCGCGACATCGCGCACGTCGACGAAGTAAGACATGGGACTCATCAACTGGCCTCGAGGTTGGATGAACTGGTACACGTAATCGTTCGTCGAGAGCATCGCAGTGTCTGGTTCGGGGATGCGGAATTCGGGTGTGAATGGGCCAAAGAAGAAGGTGGGATTGACTGGGCGTCCGGATCAGTTCAGAACTGGTTGATTCGAGGGAGAAGTGAGTGAACGCACGAGTGGTGACGTCCACTTCCGGGTGCTTCTCCGCCCAATCCCAAAGCGCCAGCTCCGCGAATTTCTTCGAAGCCGAGTACGTCAAGAGGGGTGGGGCGTCAGATGCAAGGGCGAGTTCCCGAGTGACCGGGTTCCAATCTTCGAATAGAATGAGCTGAGAGCTGGCCACTATGATCAGGAAAGCAACACGCTACCTTTGTCGGTGAGTTTGTTCTCCGGGTTCAGGACCGAAGCGATCGAGCATGTGACGACGATGCGCTTGATGCCAGCCTTCTCAGCCTGGCGCACCACGTTCATTGTGCCCTCTTCTGCCGTCTGCAGATATTATCAAGCGTGGAACACATCAAGTAATCGTGTCGCACCTGCAGAATTTGAGCCGGCGCCTCCCGGCCTGCCAAAGGCGAGGCGAGATGAACAAGCGCGTCAACGCCAGCCAACGCGGCGGGAAACGTGTCATGAACGAGATCTTGGATGGCGACTGCCTCGAATTGACTGGCATGCGAGGCGTATCGCTCCCTCAGTAAGTCGACCTTGACACCACGAGCAGCACTGATCCTCAAGAGTCAGCCTGCGAGCACTGGCACCAGTGGCGCGTCGAGTGAGCGAAGTACCCACGCTCTGACGCGGTACCCCTTCTCGAGAAGCTGCAGGACAACGTGCGAGCCGAGGAATCCCGAAGCGCCTGTGACCTTCACATACGAGTGAGACAACAAAGAGGAAACAGTGGACTGCACGGACGAAGATCAGTTTATCGGGCATGGTGTAATGAGTTCGTTGGGGAAGGATGATCGATGTGGATAAGATCTTTCGGGTGCGTGTCCAGCTGTTATACCCTCCGCTCGAGCGCCCGAGCTTTGTCACGAGTCTCCCACACCGAGCCCGCAGCCCGGGGCCGAGCCACATTGGTAAGGTGGCCGAAGCCTTGAATCGCCGTGCGCCGCGAAATCAAGTGAAAGCTACCGGTATACCAGCGGCTGCAGCGGTTTCGGATGACAGGATATATGCGGCCAGTTGTTTATCGTATGCGAACTGGTCCGAAGAGAGCAGTGAGTATGACCTCATTGCACAGCCACATCGATTTCTGCTGTCATTGCTTAGCTTCGCCCTCTCGAGAAACAAGTGGAGATCATACCATGCTCTATGAATGGACACGTCCGGCTACGATGTTTCACCTGAAGAATTTCGCGGAAAGCCTCGCAGAGAGGCCTTGCACTTTTGGCTCACCCCACACGAATTTACGCATTCCGGACCGAGGGACTCTGTACATGGACAGCATACGGACTGCCTCTTCATGCAAGGTTCGATATCGAGGTCTCATGTGACAAGGTAGGATGGAGGATATTTGTTCGTGACCGTTCCTAGGGGTCGAGATCATGCCGTCCATCGTACACGGCGAGTCTGCAGGTCTCGTGTCCCTCCGGCTCGATTGATCGATCACCCTCGCCAGCCGATGTCCATGCATCCAGCATTCACCCTGTATGACCCTGGTACGGTCAGCGGTTCCTTGGACTGCCATGGTGTATAGGCTATCATGACACCCTCTGCTTTCGCATATCAGACGCCCCTTACTATCCATCGACATTCTCCCAGTGTCCTGTCCCATCTCCATACCCGGGTATGGCCTCTTATCTCCATGGCCGACGCCCGAGCTCAGCGACCGTCTACCAACATGCGAGAACTGCGTTTCGTCCCAAAAAGGAAATCTCCGTTTTTGGGAACGGAAACCAGCGGTTGGCAGGCATACGCGTAAAATGGTTCGGCAGAACGCCACGGTCGGCACCAGCGCGGAATCGTGTGCTACCAGCCTATTCACTTAGCGGCCTATGTGTCAGGGCCTTGGCCTCATTGGCACACTGTGTGCCACAAGGCCATCCCCGCGAGAGCTTTCTTCTGTATTCATCTGCCTCCGTCGTCCGCTTCCAGTTGTCGAACTCACTCGAGGACACCACTGTCGTAGTCGGCTGTCACAGCAGGGCTCTCTCAATTTTTTCATCTACAGACTGTTCTGTTTTCACTAAAAATTGTTGATCATGATCATTCAAACAATATCATAAAATATGATACAGCAGTCAAATTGAACTGGTCGGCCATTTTCCGCGTTCTGTGACGTACGCCAGTTCCGCAGCTCATATCAATATAGCCGTTTTTGTTCTCTGACACGAAACACATGACTCTTGGAGGGACTCCAGCGACCTGCGACCGGTTGGTCTGAGCTTGACCTCAATAACAGATTTGATCGGCTAGGTTCGGGGGTCAAGCGCTCAAGCCCGGGTTGGGACTGTTATGAGGTTCAGGCTCAACCCTGAGGATTACAAACGCTGCCAGTGCTTAGGCTTTCACAAAGTCAGCCCGAACGAACCACCTCGTCCTCATCGCAGACAGGCAAACAAGATTCTTAACCCAGACAAGCCGGCTTGGCTCCCCGCAGACTTTGCCACATGTTTACTGCTGTGTCCTGTACTCTATTTTGATCTGCCCCAAACTGAGGTCGAAGTATGTGGGTCTCCCACTGCGTGCAAGGGTGGATGAGATCTTCCTTTGGCCGTGCATTAGACGCAGCTGATCTAATCAATCGGAATGCGATCATCGTATGCGCCACCCGCAGAATGACTGCTTGCTTCGGAAATTGTCTTCGGATCCATATCGTGTACATGTCCATGTATGTCAGTGTCTGGTCTCCCGTTACCGATCGCCATGTCGCCACATTAGCTGCCGGCTGAGGTCATCCTGGAGACACGCTTGCAATCCGCAGAGCGACGGATGAAAGCGGCGGACAATCGATGCTTGTCTAGTTCAACTGAGAGTACAGACTGCGATTCAACGCGGTGGGCACCTTGAAGCACTAGCTTGCGATCGAGAGCGACACGAGAAAGGCCGGCTTCCGAGTTGGTTTCACAGCAAGATAAGTAATAGCACAGTTACAAAAGCGCGAGAACGTAAATACACGATAACCATTCCTTTCTAAATCACACCCCAAATCGGCGCTTCACCGCGGCATGCTGCGCACATCACTCTCAGAATAGCGTCCCACCCCCAACTCCGACGCTTCCGAATCAGGCCATAGAGCTGTTCGCCCCAGCGCGATTTTAGCGGCATTTCCGGATCCGTGGTCGAGCGGCGTCAGCGGCGTCTCAGGTGATGAGGCCGAGGAGCCGGACCAGGTCGAACCCGGCGGAGTGGGGCTGCGGTGTGGATCGGGGGCCAGTGCCAGCGGACGGGGATTGGCTTGTTGTGACTCGAGGTAAGGAATCTGATACGGCGAGGGGCGGGGCGATGTGGTAGGTTCGGATGCGGAGTGGTTGCGATAGTGTCTACGCATGTTCGAATTGACGTTGAAGGCACGTCCGCAGCGTGGGTATGGACAGGTGAACGCTAGAGAAGAGCATGAATCAGCGCTTGGAAAAGGGGGGAAATGGATCAAAGAAAACAGGGAAACGAGGAGAAGCGCCTGATCACACCGCTGCTAGGCGAGCTTCTGGCGCGGATACTGATTGCTTTTCATCCATGGACAATCCAGAACCATTCCCGGAACGGAACGCAGAAAAGCGAAAGGCACGCACGCATCTCGCCCGTGTGGGTATTCACATGGATCCGCAGACTGCTAGGACGATTGAATCGCTTGCCGCAGATATCACACACATGTTTCCGGCTGCGCATCTCCAGCTCGTCCTCGACCCCTTCGTCCACCTCCGCCTCGCCTTCGACCTCGAACTCGTCCTCCTCGAGCTGTCTTCCGCGCCGGCGCGTCGCGAGGCGCTGCAGGTACGCCGACGAGCCCGAGGCCGAGTCCGCCCTGGCGCGCTTCGCAGGTGCAGACGAGAGCGGGGAAAAGATGAAACGGGTCCGCATCTTTGAATTCTGATTGTCCGTGATGGGCGGGCTCATGGGCGCCGCGCGATGATGACTCGTATCACCGTGATCTGTGGGCTGCGGCTCTGACGTGCGGAGTAGATTCTCGTGCAACTGTAGTGGTGCGGGGGGTGGGAGCAACAGCGGACTGGTGCCACTGCCGCGCGTCGGCTTGCACGTCGGCGCGAAGGGATGCGGTTGTGGAGGGGCAAAATGATGGTGCTGATGATGCCCATCGCAGCCTCCCTGGCCGAGGGTGGCATGAGGGTAGGCACAGGGACATGTGCTGCTCTGGCACGCGCATGTGCTGTGAGAGTGAGGGAGCAGGGTCTGCGGATGGCTGCGTGGATGTGGGTGGCTGTAGCGCCCAACGTCGACGCCGAACTGGTGTTCGGGGAACATCTCTTGGATCCCGGGAAGGACGGGCATCTTCGGGGAGGCGGAGCGGGCGGCACTCATGGTCTCGGCGAGTGCTTGTATGGTGCGAGGGGGAATGCGGGCGTGGATGCAGATGGGTGGGCAAAGCAGGGCCACGGGAGGGGAGCGAGGAAAAGGGAAAGGGAAAGAAAGGAAGAACAGAACAACAGCACCCGCCCGTCGATCCTGACAGCTGTTATGTACGTATCGAGCTGCCGCACACACATAACACCGAGACGTCTACGCTGTTATGCCTGGGAAAAATGGTCCCCAGCCGGATCGCCGCCCACCGGGCACTCCGGCCTCCTGGCTGCAGATGACGAGGAGCGAGTCGAGCGCTCGCCGACGGAATATGGTTTGCGATCGAGCAGCAAACACGAACACGTAATCGACATCGTTCAGGGAATCCATCGAGACAGGGATTGGCAGTGGGCCATACACGAGGCGGATTAGCGCCCGCGGGGAGCACGTCAGAACAGTAAATGAAGGCTGATCGATCGACGCGTGACGTCGCAGATGATGTAAATCCGTCGATCGGATCGGCGTCGGGTCCCGGTTTGATCAGGTCTTGCAAGGCACACCGCTTTGGGCAAAGTCTGCGGCCGAAGGGGAATGCGTGAGACACAGCACGGGTGGACATCTCGACCAGAAATTCATCATTTCTCATGTCGAGTAGAAACAAAAAAAAATACCTAGTTTCTTCATGTCGGAAATCAGTGGGTTTTCTCATGCACGGGAGAACAGTAATCATGTGAAACCTCTCAATCGGACAAAGAGCACATTGATTTCTTCTTCAGCGTAAAACAAAGAGCGGAGACATGGCAGTTCTGCTTGTCTTTCATCGGCGGTGTAGAAATCCTCATCTTTGTCTGCTCTGAACCTCTCCCTTGTCTTGCGCCTTTCTACCTGGGTCAGTCAAAATGCTCCCAATCGAGGCGAACCGGCACGTCAATTATTCCTTTTAGAACCAGCGCCTCAAGGCCCAGACCTTAGCTTCTTTGCAACCCGATATCGACCGGATTAAGTTCAGTTCGCCGAGCGACCAGTTGCCCGGCTAAAGGCGGTGGAATGTTGTTCCCCTCTCTACTCGAAGGAGCCGTGTCATCGCGCGAGCGAAATCTTACAGAATGCCTTGCGGCGGATCACGCCGGGAAACGTGTCCAGCGTTGTCGGGCTCAACGATGACGACCTTGCAGCTCCCACGCCTACATCACTGCCGGTAGAGCAATAGCACCCTTGTCCAGATCTTGGCGGATTGGGCACCGGTGCTGACCGTGCGTGGGCTTAACCGGATAAACGGATGTCTCACACCCAAGATCGCATCGAGGTGGCTCGCCGCAAATCTCCTCCAGTCCGAATATAGTCCAGAGTTTACACTCGATGTATATACGATACGATACGATACGATACGATACGATAGCTACAGCAGAAGCACAATCAGCACGGCAGATAACAAGGCGAGAACCGGCTTCGAATACAACACAGCAGCCTCGTTTGGAAGGCTTCCCGACATCCCGCTTGGAGCCGTCTTCGAGCCAGAGTTCGAGCTTGAGGACGAGGATACGACCAACGGCTGATCCCACAGGAAATCCGCATCGTCTGTGTACGGGAACCCGGTGCTCTTCAAAAACCCGACGTATTTGCCTGTCGGATCACCGTAAACGGACGCGACGGCAGCAATGTTCGGGTAGAGCTCTGCGGTGACGTTGTTCTCGTTCGTCGCGTTGGGGTTCGTTGTCATTAGAAAATTGACGGCGCTCTGGATCGTCGCGCCGCCCTGGGCGGTGGTATTCCAGCAGTTGGATGTTGGGTCAGCGTACTTGAGCAGCCGTGCGTTGGTCTGTGATGTGATGTGAGCGTTGGCTGGATCGTTTCGGGTGGGTCATCTGCTCACGATCATGCCCGCAATATTGAAATTTCGGTAGTGGTACGGCCGTGTCCGTGTGCCTTCCAGGGGCTGAATGATTTTTAGGGCAATCATCCGACCCATTGATTGGTTGATGCCCACCTGATCCCCGTTCGACGCAATCTGTGTCTTGTACACCCCTCCAAAATATGCGCGCCCCACGGTAGTAGCCCCAGCAATATCGTTGACTATCAGCTTCAATGCACTTAGCTGATTAGCATAGAACGTTCCGTGATTGCTGGTTGCTGATCGGCAAAGAGCAATACAATTTAGCGCAGCTTGAGCTCACTTTTTCGCCGCAGCGGCGATCTTGGCGGTGGGGGCTGTCTGCAACCAGTTGATGTAGTTCCCGCACCAACTGACGAATTGCCGGTCCATCGCCGGTGTCCAGTCGGCGCTTTTGGAGTTGCGGAGGATCAAGATACCGGATGCTATCTTTGCAAAGCCTCGGAGATCACTGTGTGTGCACAGCTCCAGCGCGGAATGAAACGAAACACGGAGAAGACACGCACAGAATCCCCGTATATTCGCCGTGTTGGCCGCGCGGCCCCCGCAACATCTGGGCATAATTCAAGTTGGGATTCATGAATGTCGAGTTGTTCAAGAACCAGGCATCGATGTATTTGGCTGTCAAAGTCAGCACGTCGATGCATATCTTTCCGAACAAACCGCACCGATGTTCCGCGAATACCTCGACGAGGACTGGTTCTGAAACGTGTGCGCCAGCGCGCTGTACAAGACGCCGTCTGATAGATTGAAGAATGACTGGAAGTCGTTGATAGTCGTCCTGTCGGGGTTGACGAGGCCGTCTCGAAACACGTAGGGGCATGTCTTCCAGACTGCATCCATGAACAGATCAGGCCAAATGGAAGCAGGATTTCCCGCACTGACACTGACCTTGCTGCGGCGTGAGAACTGTGCTATTTTTGACGCTGGAACAATCCGGCCACTGACTGTGGGAATTCAGAGCCCGATGTGAGGCGAGAGCTGTGGACGGACTCACTACGGAGCCCAGCTCATATAGTCATGCTTGTTCCCACTCGGAGCGGTTACCGGCTTGAATGTCACGCCTGCAAATAAGCAACGAGGTGGTCAATCCCCGCGGCCGGAAAAGCGCGGCGAAGAAAAGAAACCACACACTCCAAGGTGAATACGAATCCATCTCGTCCGCCCACGCCATGATCGTCTGCTGTGATCCAGCAAGCGCCGCCCCGTAATGGCCCGTCGCGAACTTCGGGTCGACAAAGTCATTCGCGTACTGCGTGAATGCGGCGGAGGACCGCACACGTGTGATCTCCGCGAGAAGCGTGATGAGAAGCGAAAGATACGCGTACGCGCATCGGAAAGGGGTGATGCCCGACATCGGTACAATCCCGGGTAGGGAGGGAGAGGGAAGGGAGGGGAGGGGGAAGCGGGAAGAAGAAGAAGGGGGACAGACACAGCCAGCCGTCGTCGTGAGCGTAAAAGACGAGAATTCTGGCAAAGTGGATGATTATGATTGCTGCCAATCTTTTGCGGCACTCCGGCACATGGTGACCGTGGGGTCTTGGCTGATATGGAGACCCTAAATTGGAGCAACGCTTCCACAACGATTCGGCATCGCTGCTTCCCGAGCGAGGTGCGGGAATGGACTGAAATCTTCATCCATCTCGATGAGCGACTGGTACACTAGCGGAACGCATGCTGATAAGAACCGGCCTTAGATGACCGCTGGGTATCGCTCACTTTTTTGTCTTGGTTCCAGAGTTGAATCGCCGGCCGACGCCCGGTATCCGGAGGAGAGCAACAGAGTCGCGTTATATTAGGCGAAGACCCAGCCAATGGAAGACGGCTTCGGCCTGGGAAGCTTGGCTATCGGCAGCCTCTGGCGTGGCAGTGGGTAAACAGCAAGATGTGAAAGGCTGTGTTCGATCAATCAACTCCTGATTCGACACTGCCGTCAGGCACTCCTGCAGGCTCTCAAGAGGGACTTGTGTCAGATATCTCATCGTCAACATTCTTCACATTGCAGTCAAAGAAAGAAAAAATGGGTCAAAGGTAGAGTCGCAGTGCCGCCCTTTCCATACATACATGTTGCACGCTGTGCCGAGCGTAATTTAATCATATGCGAACAGCTGCAGCATGTGATGCGCGTCTACAGCTCTTCTAACTTTATTCACTGGAACGCTTCGTTGGCATGAGAACCGAACCAGGTATTCCTCGTGCCGGGCTGCTGCGCAAAGGCCACCCGGGTTCAAATCACCCGCGGGATAATCAGATGGCGCCACGTCCGAAGCTAGTTCTGAACTCTTGAAGGCTTTTCAGGGCTAAATTTTCAGCAAGATCCCATCTCAACATTTGCCCGCTCTCTTCAGTCTTCACCGGCATCCACGGCTCAGCGACACCTCGAGCTGGTGCCGCATCTCAATTGAAATCGATAAGCAATGATGCCAACGAAGGTCATCCAGCCAAAGAATAACAACTGGATCGTGCATATAGCCCTCTTGGATGTGCTCCAAGCTCTTAAACACGATCTGAACAGACCCGTACCAATGCGCAGAAGGAGAGGACAACAGACGCGAGTTGATTTGCCGGGCTGCACGGGAACTGGTGTACTAATCACTCCGCCCTATGCACAGCCGCCCATGACCAGGGCTCATCGAAGTATTCTGAAGCCCCTTTATCTCTTCTAGACACCGAAATCACCACCTTGGAGGTTAACGAAGGAAGCGGTTTCGACTACATGGACAACCCGGCAGCAGAGAAGACTCTGATTGCGGACGAGGATGGAAGAAGTACGATGATTTGACTGGCGTCTGTCAGCACTGCATGGGAGGACCGGATTATGGAGGGAATGCAAGTATCCGACGCCCTTCCGCCCATTGACAGCTGGTTGCATATTGCGAGGCCACCGTCCCTCATAGAAGTCGCATGTGGCTTATATCACAGAATCATCAGGACCCGGCGTTCTCAGATAATGCTAGGGATGAGGCAAAGGTGCTTCCGGGCAATCTGTGGAGGCCGGACGAGGGTTGGTGCCAGGCGTTCAGTCGCGACCCCGAGGACAACACGTGCGTTGCTCACAGATAAAAATTTCTCTTACGTGCTGTGTTGTAAGAGGGAGAATTGAGGCGGAAAGTTACACTTTTGACCCCTATCCCGGCTTTTGACGCTCCAGTTGCTGGCAGCCTTTCATCGAAAGACGGCTAATATTCGGGATAATAATGATTGACAGGTGGCTGTGTCCATCAGCCCCCCTTCCCCACACGCACCCTGCACGAGCCACTCGGCCAAGCCAAGCTCGCGATCCCGACCGCTCCTCAACCGCTCCCGATCTCTGACGAACCCTACACGATATCACGACCGCACCCGCACCTGCCGCTCTGATGGACGACACCGGTGGATGGCGTTTCGCACAGGCATTTGGAGACAAGGGGGACATCGAAGAGATTACGGAAGGTGCGCACGCGTCCATGTACTGGGGAGCCTTAGACGCGGTGGAGACATCCCAGAGGTCATGCTGACGACTGCGATGCAGCGGATATCATCTCCGCAGTGGAGTTCGACCCGTCGGGCGACTTCCTCGCGACCGGCGATAAGGGCGGGCGGATCGTACTTTTCGAGCGGAATCGCTCAAAACGCGCGTGCGAGTACAAGTTCTACACCGAGTTTCAGTCGCATGAGGCGGAGTTTGACTACCTCAAGAGTTTGGAGATTGAGGAGAAAATCAACGCGATCCGATGGTGTGGAAGGGCGAACGGCGCCCATTCGCTCATCTCGACCAATGGTAAGGCGGATCGGCAGACTCTCATTCACTCATTTGACTTACGATCCGCCAGACAAGACGATCAAGCTATGGAAGGTATTCGAGAAGTCACTTCGGGTGGTGGCACAGACCAACCACTACGACGGCCAACGACCGCTTCCTGCGCCTACAGATCTCCGCAGACTGCGCTTGCCGAGCATGCTCCTCAACGAGAAGATTATCGCGGCCGTCCCGAGGAAGGTGCGCGCGCTTTTTGCCATACGTCACGCGGCACATATCGATAACACGCCGTATAACCGCATAGACGTACAGCAACGCGCACGCGTATCACATTCACTCGATCTCAGTCAACTCTGATCAGGAGACCTACATCTCCGCAGATGACTTGCGGATCAATCTTTGGAACCTGGGAGTCGACAACAGGAGCTTCAGTGCGTATACTGGACCGCGCCCCGTTTCAGTACGATGATGCTCTGCAGATATTCTTGATTTGAAGCCCGACAACATGGAGGAGCTGACGGAGGTGATCACCTCAGCTTCGTTCCATCCATCCGAGTGCTCGATGTTCCTGTTCGCGACCTCAAAGGGAGCTGTTCGAGTCGGAGATCTCAGGGCTGGGGCTACTGTAGATGGCCACGAGGGCTTGCGTGCGTTCCCACTCAGGATCACATTCTGATGATCTCCCCATGCTCGCACAGGCTACGAAGACCCGCCACCGCCAGCGTCGAGTTCTTTCTTCTCGGAAATCATATCGAGCATCTCAGATGCGTCCTGGAGTGCGGATGGGACCAAAATCTTGGCGCGTGGTATGCTGTTCCCTCTCGGCTCCAATTGTGTTCTCACGAAAGAAGATTACCTGAGTCTCAAAGTGTGGGATGTGCGCCAACAGAGTCGGCCGCTGCGATCGATCCACGTGCACGATCATCTTCGAAATCGCCTGTGCGATTTATACGAGAACGATTGCATATTCGATAAATGGGAAGGCGTATGGGGCTCTGACGGAAAGTGCGTCGGAATACGGGCTCTGTTGTCTGCGCATTGTCATCTCATTGTTTGTTTCCGATGTACAGACAAGTCCTGACGGGTTCGTACTCCAATTACTTCCGGGTATTGGATGTCGAGCAGAACGAGGGCGCTGTCGGTCGAGACGTGGTTCTGCAGGCGGACAAGTCGGTATTGAAGACTCGGAGAGCTACAGGTATGTTGATGTTTTCCGTATCTCAATTGAACCGAGGAACTGATACATCTGACAGGGAGCAAGAGTCTCCGGGACGCAATGACGAACGAGGCGCCCGACTATAATAAGAAGATCCTTCACGCGAGTTGGCATCCGCGAGAATCTACCGTTGCGGTGAGCAGTCTCGCATCAAGCAACTTTCGGCCAGTGTGCTAATTTGAGCACAGATCGCGGCTACTAATAGCCTCTTCGTGTACAGCGCAATATGAGACCTTTGACGCCAGATTCCCGGTTTCAGTTGACCTTTGGGCATGCTGTCCAACCGCTTTCGAGAAAGCAAGGAAGAGAAGAAAGAAGACTGAACGGGGAGATGTAAAGCCATCATTCTCTTTTTCCTTTAGTCCAAGGATCGCGCGACACGATCAGCACTTCGTGATCGCTTTGAAAGGTGAGCATTGAAATCCTGAGAGTCTAGTCGCACGGTGGGGTCGAGTAACCGGCTGCGGTTTGGTCCAATCGCTCTCTTCATACCCGCATGGCCGAAGAGACTGTTCAATTGTATTCTGTTCCGAGGCTCTGTTCCGAAGCATGGCGCCCTGTCTCACTTGTCAGAAAACTGATAACATCCGTATGCCAGCTCCCAGCGTGAACAGATGAAGGGAAGAGTGAAACGCGAAACGATGGAACATGTATCTAGACATCAACCGTTGGAACTTTCCCTGAGCATTGACTCATGAATATGCAGTCGCAGCAATAATTACACTCAATTTCGAGGCAGATGATGTTTTGTTTGGTATCCAAGTGACATCAAGTCCGATTTGGGTTCCTTAGTCGACTTTCCCACAAAACCCTAGAATGCATTCGATTCAGGAGCATGGAAGCGCAGTTGGACAGGGCACTTGGCGTCTCGTCAGGGTCAAAAGATCTTTTCGATCAGGTACTGATGGGTTGTTTGACGTCATCAATTCCACAGGCAACGTGTTCTTCGGACTTTCAACGAGAACGATTGGGGGAGCAACTGTCGACGCCGGTCAGGGCATCTCGCAGCAAAGGTAGACCACCTCTCTCTAGCTACTCCAGATGAACTCAATCTGGAATACTTAATCCAAATCATAGCCCCAAAATAGCCAGGCTCCGTGCGAAACAGTGTGAATCAACGGGAATGCGAAGTCTTGAGCTAGGATGATGCGAACAGCGGCTAGAACATGAAAGAATCCTGAGCGTGGCGTAAATCAGTCTTCGAGGGGAGGAAGGGGAATAGTCGGGAGCCTAGTAAATCAAAACTAGAACGTGCTGCTTCACTGGAAATAATGACGGCCATGACGTCATCACATTTCTACGGCCGATTATTTCCAAGAATAGGTCCGGGGCGCGGGGATAATTTGGGGACAGATATCATTACGCTGAGGGCTCGCTATATATGAGCCCCGGGCATGGCTCGGGGAGCAAGGAACGCCGCTGCACACGTTTTGAGTTGACACATCATCCGGGTTCCGAATTTTCTTTCCGTCGGCTGTCAAAGCGGCCTCTTGGCTCGCCAGTCACCAGGGGGACTGCGGAGAGCACAGCTACACACGCTACTTCAGCACCATTCACTTTCCTTCATTCTGTTAAGCTCTGCTTCTTCTTCTCCCAATCTTTTTTCGAGTACGTGGCAGCAAGGCACGCAACTCCTTAACGCCGCAACCAGCTCCACTTCACGCTAACCCGACTCACACGTCCGGTGCGCATCCATTGATTTCGGCAGCAGGTGAGATCTTTTGGACGGCTCAGTGGCGACGTCCAACAGGTGTGCGTCGGAGCGCTTGCATTGCGTCGTTGCCAGCTGACTTTTCTGTGTCATCGCAGAATCTCGCTTTCGCTCTCTCTTTTTCCCCTTTCATGCAGGGTATACTGCGCCGAGGATGGACAAGCCTGCGCGTCTTGACCGGCAAGGACACCAAAGCAGACCTCGAATACTACGAGCTCGTTCCCCCTCCCGACTCCCCGCTTTCGTTGGCATCGAGGCCGCTGGGCGGCGCGCGCTGGAGTCGACCGCGACTATCGTTTCGACGGTTCCTGTGCATGCTGCTGGCCATGCCCGTCATGTTCCTGGCTGTGCTCATCATAAACGGCATTCCGTCGACGTATTTGGATATCAAGGCGTACGAGCGGCAGTTGCCACAGCATAATGCGACAATCGAGGATGTCCACGACGGCCGCAGGTACTTGAGATTTCCGGGGCATCTGGTGGGGCATGGGTGGAACAATGTGTTGCAAGAAGCGTGCGCGACTTTACTTTTCGCGATCGATCCCATGTTGTTACTAATATCTGCTTAGTATCGTCGCAGCGCATCTCGCCCATATTACAGACCGCGTGTACGTCTTTGAAGACTACACCTGGTCTCAGTCACCATTTCCGTACACTGTTTTCTGGCCAGACCTTGCGTTGCGACCGTCGAGGATCCCGCTGAACGCGTTTTTGTCGGGACCGCTTGCAGGTGGCGCTTCGGCCGAGCGGATGGAGAAGCGGGCAGTCGATTTCGAGTTCTTCGAACAAGCATGTGGCGCGGATCAAGTGCATTCAGTCCACGCAACGGAGGATACACCCGCCGGATTCAAGGGTGCGAGCGCCATGGAGGTAGTGGAGTGGTGGGTGGAGCACTTGAAGTCGGTGGAGGATGTCCGATGCGTCGAGATCGTATCGGAAGAGCCCGTGTTTGATTCTCAGTGCGCGCCAAAGTAAATTGCCTTGTTCCCACTCATCCGTCGCATCACAGCTTTTTTGGCTCGCACCAGATGGTGGCGCTACTTCCCTCGCTATTTTCGTCACCCATCCTACGCGAGTTCACCTGGTCTCCGCTCGTGCAGAGCGCGGTTGCCCGCAACTTTGCTGTCCTCCGTCCACTCGACAATTCTGCCTTGTACCCTCCGCTCCGCAACCTCATTGACTCCGACCACGATGACGGCACTGCCGACGTCACTTCTAACAATGCAGGTTTGGTCGCGGTGCATTTACGACAGGGCGACTACGAACGCCACTGTCCGCGGCTAGCGCTCTATCATTCAACGTACCTTGGCATCAACACGCACCCGGATCTGCCGGACCGATTTGTCCCGGGTACTGAGGCGGATTACATGCCACATTGTTTCCCCACTGTCGAGCAGCTCGTGCAGAGACTCGAACAGGTACGCGCCGACCACGCTGCCCGATATCCCCATCGTCCGCCTTTGAAACGGGTATTCGTGTTGACGAATGCGAGAGGGTGGTTGGTCCGTAGTCTCGAAGAGGAGCTGAAGAAGGAAGGGTGGACCGACGTTTGGTCGAGCTACGACTTGCTCCTTGACTCTGCGCAGAAAGGTGTGGCCATGGCGGTGGATATGGCACTCGCAGAGGGTGCTGAAGTCTTCCTGGGAAATGGGGTGAGTCGTTATTTTGAGATGCTGATATCTGCCCGTTGCTCATTTTGCTTGGCAGTTCTCTAGCTTGACGGGGAATATTGTCATGCTTAGACTGGCTCGGGGGCTAGACCCAGAAAGTATACGATTTCTCTGAGCTGGGATTTGCAGACTCGGACTGCGCTATCTATCAATATTGTATCCTATTCACATTTCATTCTGCGGACACTAGCTCAAAAAGCTTCATCTTTATCATTCCTTGTGCAACACTCATTTTCAAATTGTGGACTCATTAATTGGGCTAATTTGGCAGATGGAGTAAGGCTGCATCTTGGCACTTGCCAAATAAGTGTCTTGTACAAAAGAAGTTCCGCTGCAAGGAGGATGGAGAAGCCAACTCTAAGAGTGATTGACCAAGGAAAAAGCAAATGTTGCTTGGGTGGCTGGGGGAGCAGTTCCATGCAATTTCTAAGGTTGAATATCCTCTCAAAAATATCCACTTCTCCTTCTGCAGCCTTGGTTACTGAGTTGATTGCAAAGGGTGGGCCTTTGCAAGGGTCAGGTTCTTGGAAAAGAAGATAAGCAAATACAGCAGATTTCAAATGATTGGGCGGGTTTTGATCACGGATTGTGATAGTTCGGCCACTTTTTCATCTTATCATCAATGATCTTATCGTATCTCAGCACAAGTTATCTTATCATGGATCACGGCATCTGACAGTCCGGGCTAGGGGTCCAGGGGATTATCCTTATCAATCTGAGGCTGTGTGACATATGCTCTGGAAGGTTCTACTACAACCCATGACCAGTGCTCCATGCATTACATAGCCTTATGACTCATTAGTTGTAGATATGACTCAGACTGGATTTGGGTATAAATACTGTAGCTACTTGGTTGTATTCTCCAGTCTTCGAATTCACTTCTCTGTTTGACTTTGTTTTTGAGTTGATTGTCACACAGTTGGCTGCTTGATTTTGTGTACCCTTGATTGTTTGTGAGTTCTACGTCATTGGGCTCTAGGTCACTGTAAATGGTGTGGTGACTGCTTTTGGTGTCTCTCAGAGACTTCAACAAAAGATCACTCAGTGACCCAGTAATAAACAAAAGCACTAGCAAGTTTTTTTCTTTCTGCCTAGACAGTTCATTGATATCTACAGCAAGCACTGGGCACAATTTTGAAATCACATGGTCAGGGCAGATAACCCTGTGATTGCCCGCTGTAAAAGGGTGTACCGGTTTCGGGTGTAAACGGTGTACTGCCGGCTGAGCTGATGGGTCAGCCGGCTGCCATTGCCTGATCTGGCTAACCTCCCATCCTCACTAGGTCCTTACCGTTGCTGCTTTTGGCCCGTGGCTACTACTGCCCAATAATCATCGTTCCTTTCCCCGTATCTTTGTTGTATATTGCTCTGAGAACTGCGCCCTGTCGTCACTGCCGCCTTCCATGAAATCTATGCGTCCTTAAGCCCAGGTAATGTCTTTCCGCAGCGCATACTATTCTGGGTGGGAACTCAGCGAGATCTTGCTGGGGACCAGCAGCGCCAATACGCTGTGATCTATCACTATCAGCAACTCCCCGCGAATTCTCGCTGTCATCCTACATCTTACCTACGTCAGCGTCATTTCGCTGTCGACTCAACTGCTCTGCGGAATCTCACTGGCGCTCACCTCTCGTACCCATCTGCACAGCGCGAGGTCGCTGCAATCAATCCCGAACCGCGGAATCTCGCTGGCACTCATCTCTTGTACCCATCTGCACAGCGCGAGGTCGCTGCGATCAATCTCGAACCGCGGAATCTCGCTGCCGTCCCTTATCCCGCAGCGCGAAGTCGCTGTAATCAGCTCTTTCGATCAGACCTCCGCGCAACTCCGCTGGATTCTCTCCTGGCGCCGCGACATTCCGCTGTGATAAACAGCTTCCCACATCTCTTTTGAAACAGCTCCAGCGCAATCACGCTGTCCGCAAGCTTTTTCAACGGCGCAGCGGGATGTCGCTGTGATCTATCATTTACTGCGCGAACTCGCTGCTCATCATTTCTGTCGTCCAGGTTCCGCGGATTCTTGCTGCAGGGCCGGTTCCTTTGATCCATCCATTCAGTGTAAAATCACTGTCATCCCTCTTTCCAGTGCTTTCTCAGCGTAACTTCGCTGTATATCTGTTCCCTCATACCTCAGCGGAAATGCGCTGTCACATGTTATAGTCAATCAGCGGGAGGTCTCGGTAAGGCATCATCAGACTCTAGATGCACTTACTCTCAGATATAATTAGCTGTTATATGTATGCACACGAAATCATTTATTCATGTTCCTTATTCTAAGCCTGTTCCAAATACAGAGAAAAACTCGTGTGTACAAGATCGCGCGGCTTTGAGACATGTAGCTAACAGACTTGCGGATGCGGGCAAGACCGCTGTTCCCGCATTCCCCGGCACTCGAGTTGATTCAGGCCAGCCTCGGATCGACGTTTGCATACGTCTTAAGGAACGCCGCTTCGGAGCACTTGGTGTGTCCGACTGAGTGAAAGTCGTCAATCAAGAATTGAGTGTCAGCGAAGAATTTTGGTTCCCGAGTCATACAATAAGGGCCAAGCGCGCAGGCAAAGTCATAGATGACACGTTTTGGTGCCTTCTCCCATCGGGTGACCAGCGTAGAAAACACATCATTTCTCCCCTCGCCTTTTGGGATGCAATGGAAGCCATAGCAGACACTGTGGGTGCACCAGACGCACATGATTCCGCCAGTCAAACGACGTTCTCCATATTGCGAGTAGAATTTTGAACACTTGGCGCCGCGTTTCCCCCCGACTTCGTTACTTGCGTCATGCTTGAGTTTTGGATATCGAGGACGAGCGCGGATTTTCGGCAAGCTGTAATGACAACCTGTCTAGAGTGATGTCAGAATGGGCGGCATAGAACAGATAAATTGGGACTTCCTCCTGCCAACGCTTCTCTCTCTCTTGTCCATCCAAGTCCGGGAGTTGATGCGGCTCTCGAAGCGGGGATGCAAATGTGATACGCGCTCTGCAGAGGATCCATTCACAGACGTGGATGGTATTAGGAGCGGGAGCGCCGAGAACACCTGTCTCATACTTGAGAAGCTCGTGAATGACCGGGATGTCTGTGAGTGCTGAACTTGTTGTTCTTGTGGGATTGCTGACGAAGCATTCCAAAGCAGCTAGCGCAGGACGGGTAGCCAGCTGTAAAATCGATTCCTCGGCAGCAAGCTAAGTGAGATATGTCAAAAAAAGGCACGTAACTATCAATCAGGCCGCATACCTGGACAAAAAAACGATGATATACCTGGGGTGGTGCTGATACCTCTAGCACCGAATGTACCCCAAATTGCTGATCAAAAATAGCACCAAGGGCCTCGTTGAGATGCGACAGGCCTCGTACAACTGCCGGAATGGTATCGACCCAATCCAGGAACGACTTGCGTGCTTTTTCCAACGCATTTTTCCCTCGGGGATTGAGCAGCTCTTCCGGTGTTGCGTCATCCGCCTGATCATCATCATCTTCCTCCGAGTCTGAGCCGGCTGCTGTTTCCGCAGTGTTCAATGCAGCTACAAGCTTGTCCAGCTCCTTCTTGATCAAGGGCTTCCCTGTCAGGACGAGACGCAACTGCCGTCGCAGTTTCTGATTTAAGATGATCTGCTGACTGGGAACATATCGTGTCGACGAGCGTTCATACGACCCTGTCTCGGATACTGTTGGTGGCTCGAGTGTCAGCAGGACATGTTTCTTGTTGAACGCGAGAGTCACTCCATCCCAGATGGTTGTCTCCGGGCACGGTCCGCAACGAGGGCATTGCATGCTACCGTCGAGATGCTGCAGATCCGCGTACAGGAACCAGGCTGCTCTCAAGGTCTCCGAGGTTGGGAACGGACCTGGACTTTTGTGCAGAGCATAGCAACGAGCAACGACTGATACCCAGGCAGAAAAGGGAGTCTCTGACGTCGTGTATGAAGAGGTATATTCATACAGGAGATCATGAGCAAAAAGACAACGGTTGTTGTAGTTGAAGATCCCTTTCTCCCGACAGTCTGGCCCGACCAAGCGATGTCTGCAGCGAACATTGCTGCATGCTTGCAACTGAATTGTCGTCTCCCAACAACGGGACAGTCAGTAAACAGTACATTTTCGCATCACAGTCGCTCGATCTGGACTGAACTGTGGTCGCGGCAGGGTGCAACAACAAGTGGAGGTCTCGGACAGCATCAGAGGCCCAGGAGAGCTCTCCAGCGGCGGAGCTTGCACATACAGCTTGGGATCGGCATCCAGAGAAGCCCAGGATGGAGGGAGCACTGGGAGGCAAGAGACCGAGTGCGAGACTTGGATCTGCCGTCGACCATAAACAACTGGAGACATTCAGGTTAGCACTTCTTTCTGATTGATCGTTGAAATGGCGCACCAGCATAGTCAAGCCTATTGGAGGGATCATGCTGTGTGTCCTCGTCTTGTGCATCCGGGTCCGCAGAAAGCAGCTGCTGAAGCAAGTTCCGACAATGTCCAGTGTGGAAACAACTGGCCATCCCACGATCTTTCGAGCAGATCCATTTGCCCGAGCCCGAATCATCCCCGGTGTATTCAACAAAGACACGTCCGTTCAGTGAGCGCGAATTGTGTGAGGGACAAGAGAAAACATTGAGGGAATCGTTGTCTTCAAGCTCTTGGCGTAGGAATAGAACAGCGTTGATAGAATCGAGTCCTACGCCATTGCCTTGGACATTGACAGGAAAGTGTTCATCTCCGTGGTCATCGAGGAACCGAGTATGCACGCAGACATGTTCAAGACTTGTGCGAGCTGTAGGGCATAGGCAGACTGTGACGGCATTGGCACCAATGATGGACCGCTGAAGGTGATGCCAGGATGTCTTCACACGCTTGTCAGCAACCTTTGCATACAGCTCACAATCTTCCCTCACCTTCAGTGTCCAAGCATGAGCATCCCATCCATGTACAACGAATAACTCCTCCGAAATCTGGTAGAAGGCCCCACCGTCTTCGAGAATGGCTTCACAAAATGCAGCGTAACCATCAGATGCAGCGCCGACTTCGCCCCAATCTTGCTCTTCCCTAAATTCTTCCCTTGCCGCTTGTGGTCGCACGGGACTGTTCCAGACCGGTTCACTACCCACGGCCAACTCGTCTGCAGCGGTATCCCATGCCACCTCAAGGTCATCATCAGGCGCAATTGGGGGTGGTATCAACTTTGCGGTAGATCTCATCCGAGGTCGGTCCTCAAGAGGACGCCGTTTTCGTGTCGGAGTTGTCAGGTCTGGTTGAGGACTTTGGGAGATGGACACGGTTTTGGAGCTGTTGGCGACATTTCCCAGTCTGATGACAGCGGTAGGGGAGGGAGGAGGTGTGTTGAGGGTAATGTACCCTTCGTCGTCGGAGTTGTCACTCATTGACTTCTAGTCAAGGTTGGGCTCATTCGTCGAAATTGCGCTGTGTCAGTCACAGTTCGCGCCGAGATTTTGCTGTGGTCGCTCTGCGTGCTCGATGGGCTTCCTTTTCTCTCCTCCACGACCAGTCTATGTCTTCGTGCACTGAATGTATAGCTGAGGGACTCGAGCCCGCTCTCTGCCACCATTCGATTCCCAAGTCGCCCTCTCTACCAAACCTGTACGCATGGCTCAGCACTCTGCAAGCCACTCGCACATTGGCACAGATGACACACATACCGCCAGGCTAGCCTCGTGCACCCTTTGCGCCGGTATGTCTCCTTCCTGCCATCCTCTCTTGACCTGCGCATTTCTCATATGCCTGCTAGCCCATCCTACCATCCTCATCTCCTGTCCTACCGTCTTCATCTCCTGTTGGTCCTGGCTCGTCACCCATGCAAGCTTCTCATACACCGTCGTCACCAACACCCTCGTTGGATCTCGATCAAGAGCCTCGCGAGCCTTCCGGCAGCAAGCAGCAGAAAGATCGTGTACAAATCTCCAAGAAGAATGCATTGTATGGAAGGGTCCAAGGTGCGATGCGAGGAAACAAGCCATTTCGTATGTCTCATGCCTGGCATATGGCGTGTACTGCCCTCTAACAACATCCTCAGCAATTCTTAGGACTTAAGCGCTTCGCGATCGCGTTTCTGACAAGGTGTCAGGGGACGCCGCGCTCCTTGGGCATGTGACCATGCACGTGACCCACTGCACCCTCTCTGCCGACCCGTGCCTGCTCACCCGTCGATCACCCAGCCTCCTCCTCCTCCTCCGATCCTCATCTCCATCCATGCCGACATCCGCCCTCTCCCTTCTTCCCCCGGCCATCTCCCTCGAATCCCCGCAAGCGGTCTAGCCAAGCCCGATTCCTTGCACCAGGGAGTGCTACTGCCGTATGCACTCCTCCCCCTTCACTTCGGCCTTCTCCCCGCGGATGTGGTCTACTGCCGTACAGGCTCGTACCAGATGCCCTTGCGCTCATCCGTACCACCCCTCTTCCCAGTTGGGCATTGGTCCTCGCCTCCAATGTCTCCACTGGCCGGCCCGGCACTGGCCTGGCCGCTGGGCTCCTCCAGTGTGGCCTTCCACTGTTGGTGTCTCAGGAGCTGGCCATCACTGGCCCCTCTGAGCCACTCACTATCTTATCTGGGTTTGTCATTATCTACTTGTCATCTGCCATTGTTCCATGGCAGTGATATCCCATCATCATCAGTCACTTGTCACAGCTGACTATATAGTGTGACACCTGGGCACATGGATCCTTGAACCGTTCTCTAAGGATCCCCCTCTGTGCTCAGGTGAGTAGTATACCTCCCTTGTATTTGATAGTCTCTAAGGATCCCCCTCTGTGCTCAGACTCATGTGAGGTTGTTGTGTGCTGTGTGCTCTCTTCCTTCGGGCTGGCAGGAGTTGCCCTTACAATTTCTAGTAGTCCATTAACTCGAATTTCAAGTACTTTGGATATCTCCGCTGACAGTTTCTCGCAAATAGACATTAGGAAACATTTACAGGCATTTTTGGCATCTACTGCTCTCTGTGCGAATATTTAAGCCCAGGATAGTTAAAATGGAATTCAAAGGTATCTCATTGATGATCTTAGACTGCAACTGACACCTCCTGATACCTTGCATAGCAAGAAATCGCGAACAAGTTCTCGTGTGACCGTATTGCAATGTGACTTGACGTGTCTCATTAGACTCACGTGCTGTGACAGCCAACAAGATGGCGCAAATTCAGGCAGCCGGGTCAAACCGGTCCGTGCCCAGCCACCATCAGGCAAAAAATATTCCTTATCTGATGACAGACGCGAGTCTGATGTCCAGTCCCAACTTGATCTGCTCAGTTCTAGCGACAAGACAAGAAATGGAAGCCGATTGTGTGTACCCAATACTTGATTGTAATGAAGCGCTGATATCCCATGTCAGATGAGCGTATCAAGCAAGAGTTGTCGGCACTGAAGGACAACATGACACGGCTGCAAACTTGATTGGCCACCATGAAGAACCGGACGCCAGCTTACAAGGCAAAGAACAAGCTCGGTTCGTCAAAATCTAGTACAAGCTAGTACATGTCGAGCTGTGTTACTGATTTTGAGGTCAGCTGAGATGGAGCAACTCGAGACCGACATTCAAACTGACCTAGACACTGAGAAGTGCTTGGAGAACAAACTTGTAGTCCTTGAACAGGCCTTGAGACGTGATACACCGGATCCTGCTGCTCGTAAACCCTTAGCCACTACTGATGACAAGCCTGATGATGTTAGTGAAGGTCAGTGCGTTCATGACTGCGGATTAGTTCCTCATCTTTGAATAGTGGACGGTGATGACGACGTTGATATGCCAGCTGACAAGTCCGATGTTGAGGTTGTTGGTTCGGATGGTCTCAGCGCCGTCGATGGGCAAGCCATTCCCGATCTCGATAAGGATGATGCTGACAAGGAGGGCAGTAAGCGCCTGCAAAGCTTTGCCCTGTTGCTATATTGAATATCTTGCAGTTGAGAGTGATATTGAAAAGGAACTTAACAAGATTGAAGGACAACCCATGTCGGAGGACGAATCTGAAGTTGCAGCGAGCTCAAAGCCGGTCGGCAAGAATCCTGTTGGACCGATCGAGGAGAAGCTCCAGGAACCCGTGATTGAGAAGACAGAGGAAGAGATCGACGTCGAGCGAGTGCAGAATGTTGTCAAAGGGATTCGTGAGCGGTGGATTGATGACAAGACTGCCATAAAGCACGGATATCACCTTCTCCTTCTGAAGATGATCGCAAAAGCCCGCCAAGACGCGCTCATCACACACCCTGATAGCGAAGCCGGAAGAGAACTGCGTGACAAGGTTTTGGACTGTGAGACTCTCCAGAACGCCCTTGTGGAACTCTTGGGACCCAATGCCGAGGAAGCCAGCAAGAAGGTTCCAGCTAAGACGCGTGCGAACACTGAAGATAGAGGTCTGTTATTTGTGTCAGTCAAATCAGATGAACCTGATGATGTTGCAGGAACTTGCCCTGCAAACTACGAGGATAAATGGTCATGGGCAAAAGGTCTTGCTGCAGCACAAGACAAGAAGACGTTCCCTAACGGTCCTGAAGTCTGGTGTGCAGAGCAAAGAGGTCGGTTTAATGTCCCATCACACATGTAACATTTGCCTACCGTATATCACAGAACGAGCAGAAGCAGCCATCGAAGCATTCGAGGAAAAGGGCACCCCAATCCCTGACAACCTGCGCACCCTTATCCGCACACACCCCGATGCCACTCCCAACTGGGTTCCCCGCTCTATCGATATCATGTTGCACGTGCTGACTACAACGTCTGGAAAAGAGACCCGGACCTTCTGCCAGTATCATCGCTCGCGCAAGAACGGCAACCTGGAAGATGTCAGGTTGCGCGACGGTTATGGCACTGGATCAAAATACGACGTGGAAGGTGTCCCCAACGAGCCAGATCTGTACAGAGATGTCAACAGCGCCAAGGCTCTCAGCTGTGGGTGCGAAAGAGATGTTGGGCTCCTCGAGTTCTTTCTTTGGAAGGTCCGCAAGCTGAGATCTGGGTTGAAGACACTCCCGCCGGAGGGGATGAAGTCTGACGTCATGAAACCTCGCCATCGTGGCTTCGAACAGCAGCTGTTCTATGATTACAGTGGGCTGACATTGGAGGATCTCATGCCGCAACGCCATGTGGATGCAGATGGATCTGTGACGAATGAGGTCTTTGGTGATCCGGTGTACGAGGAACGTGTTGTCGACATCCGTTTGCACAATGTGATCGAGGCCAAGAACAGATTGGCTGCGCGTCGCGGAGAAGGAGTTTCCCTGGTACACTGGGAGTGGAACCAAGTTTCTGTCAAATCCAGCTCTCAGCACGAGCGCAATCTGATCAAGATAACTCACCCTGATGGGTCAGAGATCTTCTTTCCTCCTGCTCATGCACCGCAAGATGTTCCATCTCGCCAGGGGAGCCATGATCCTGCAGGTTGGGGAGTTCCATTCTCAAAGGCGCAGGCCTCGTTCGACAGCGCAGTCATGTTTGGGATGGATGAGATCTTCAAATGGCCAGGTAAAGAGTCGGATTCCGGGATCAAGGTGGACGAGTTGCAATCCGGAATATTAATGAAGGTAGATGGTTATGAAGATCCAGTGGCGACACGCCCTCTGTCGTATATGCGTTCGTCCAACCCTGATATGCAGTAGGCTAGATTGTCGTAGATACAATTCAGACATACATACTTGGAATGTCTGCGGATACATTCTCAAAAGCTCCCATCAGCGCAAACTTGCTGTGAGATAGTGCGGAATCAGCGAAAGGACGCTGTGACTTGCTGAATACCCTAGAGTGTGCTGTCAGCGGACGTGCGCTGAGAGCAGCGTAAACGCGCTGCAACTGGATGGAATACACAGACCTTCTCACTCTCCTCCCATATCACCATTGTACTGTTCCCATTATGCGCTCTGAACAGCACGGCCAGCGTAGAGACAAGCTCATACAGTAGAGCAAAAGAAGCCACCAAGCCGCTCAACTCTTCCAACACAAAAAGCTGGTGAACGAGGTTGTTCAGGAACAGTGGGAACTAGAGCGGCGGGCTCGAGATTCCATAGCCATGGGAGTCGACTCGCATCATCCGAAGTGACCGGAGTTGATCCTTTTGGTCGCATTCATCCATCGGAACAACCGATGTCTCCTGGCATACCACCATCAACGCATTTCCCGGCAACCCGTTGCAACTTGGACGCGAAATCACACCCAGCCACCGAAGCACATACTACTAGCAACAGTGGAGGCCGTGCGGAATACCGGGTTAATCCACTTAGAGTCGGGCCTTGTCGTGTTCCAGAAAGGCGCACGGTAGATCCTACCCAAGATGGAGATTGCGTATCTACTACAACTGTAAAACAAGAAGTGGCCATGTAAGGTTACCGCCGTTCAATAAACCTATATCCGTCATCTGCTGAGTCTGACCACCAAGAGCATTTAGCCGTCCAAGACTTGTTGTTCTGCCCACAGACACGTCGGCTCCGGTTCACAACGTCGAAGGTGTACCAATGTCGGTCTACCACATATCCACACGTGTCAAGCGAAGACCGGAGGACAAGGTATGCCGAAAGAGAAGCATGTGCGTCAACAGCGGCATCTTTGTATTGTCAACAGTGGGAGCAGCGACAAGGAAACAACTCACAATCATGCTGTTCCTCTGAAAGCGGCCCATCCCAGCGAGAATCTTGCATCACCTTGTTTAGTTGGTAACACAGAGAGAATCGGACGATGGTTGACAGGCCGGGCTCATCGGCAAAAGGTTGTTGAGGTAAAATGTCGTCTGGGTACGCGAGACAGGCAACAAGTCCTAGAGCAACAGCGCTGTTGAGGTTGATACGGAACGAGTCATAGAGTCGTTGACCGTCACCTACATAGTTCCTGATTAGCACAGACGTCTCCGAAGACAGTCAGGACATCATCACATACTGAAGATACCAGCAGAGACCTTGATGATTTCCGTGCTTTCACAGATCCTAACAAGATGCACAGGAAGAGCTGGAAAGAGTCTGTGTATAGTAAACGGAATATGAGACTAACGGAACGTACCTCGAATCGAGAGCATGTCAAGGACGAGTACCCTTCCATCTTCTGTTGCAATCTGCACAAGTCGAATGGTTACAGCGCTCCAGTCAATGACGAATCGACCGTCGCGTGCTTCCTGAATCCACTGCTGCAAACGAAGCTTCTTCTGCTGACGACTAAGCTTCGCTCCGGGGATGTCGACACCCTCAAGGTCGAAACCGATTGTCGATCCATCCAAAATTGTTGCCAGGTGTTCATCAGCTTCGTGCGCGGTCGTAATTAGCATGTATGCTGGAACGGGATAGGAAAGGAGGACCGTAACGGGCGGACGGAGACATGTTAGGCAGCAAAGAAGAGCTGCACACCTAGAGAGGAAAAAAACCATTTCTGTAAGCGCACAACACAGCGAGATTTCGCAGCGGTACTTACAGGGCAGCGAGTCTACGCTGATTCGGAGATGGGAACTCGGCGTGATTCCGCTGAGAGGAGCCGACGCAGGTCAGCCAGCGAGATTTCGCGGTACATGACCTAAACGTCGATCAACTCAGCGTAATTCCGCTGAGAATGGTGCCGCACCTGAACTGAGCACCAGCAGAGTTACATAGAGAGAGCGGGAGGGAGGAAGAGCAATAATTTCTCAGAAATGTTGTCGACACTGGTCGTCACCTTGTCGTCGCTGAAGAAAATTGGCCCATCACGTGATTATGGGAGGGGGGCGAGATTTTGAGGCGTTCTCGAAGCTGTACAGGGTGGCAGTGTCAGACGGCGACGACGAACTTGGAGTAAAGTGGGTTTACAACCAGGATTTTATTTTTTGTTAAATTGCACTAAGTATGCAGTAGACGATGAAGCACATTATAGTAAGTAGCCGCAGCTGGATCCAGAGCCAGCGCAATCCCGCAGTGATGGATCATCGATCAGGTTCCAGCGCGACCTCGCTGAGACGGAACTGGAGAGGTGATCCCAGCGAAGATGCGCTGTGTTGTAGCGAAAATGCGCTGGGTGTTGATATGTCAGTGGCCGCTCAGCGCTACTACGCTGCAAAGAAGTTAAAAACAGCGAAACCGTGCTGACGACTCGCTATGACACATCACAGCGCGATCCCGCTGAGAGGTCTGACAGAAGGAGTCCCTGCAGCGGAATTGCGCTGAGCACCACTGATGGCCAGCGAAAGCGCGTGGAGAAGAGGCCAGACAGTGAGATCACGCTGGACTGATGAATGCTCAGCAAAATCACGCTGGCTCCAGGCTAGCAAACGTAGCGCAGCAAAATCTCACTGGTACTTGGCTGGCAGACACTCATAGAGCAGCGAAATATCGCTGAACCTTGCTCTGTCGTCGTTTCTCAGCGGAAAAGCGCTGTATCACGGCTATATCACTACCAGAAATGGGAATTACAGCCAGCTCGCTCATCGTCTCAGCCGGCAGTACACCGTTTACACCCGAAACCGGTACGCCCTTTTACAGCGGGCTATCACTGACTTAGGCCGGTCAGGGACAGATCACAATGCATCAAATTGTTTGATGGTTCCCACAATCTCCATGGATTGTCACAGCATTCAAAGATTGCACACAATATTGCATTAGCATTGCTGCAGCTCATGGAAGGGATACAAGACAAACTCTCCCTATCAGGGATCCTAGACCTGGTACCCATTCCTTTGGAAGTCAAATAATAATAAAATGAGGTGCGGCCGCATTTCCATCATGTCAGTGGAGCGGATACCAAGCATGCTACATTCGATGTAAACAAAAACAAGCAGCTGCCTGCAATCAAAACCTGCCCAATCATTTGAAATCTGCTGTAATAGGTTAAGAACACTATGATTGATCTCAATTTCCAGCTCATCAATGTCAGAGTGTTAAGATACCTAATTTGGATAAACACCAATTCATCTAAGTTCTCAATTCTCTTCTGTTTTGGTACTTACTTGGAAACTTCACTGTTCACTGACCGGTCCACTTTAGGAGGTCCCAAACATCACGTGCAACTGAACACCTTGATCATCAATATTGAGCCCAAAGTGGTTGCCATGCCCAACTCCCAGTTACCAGATGATGCTGATGCATTACATGCATGGTTCTCAGACAAAGAAGATTCTCAGGATTATATTGATCATTGGTAGTACATAGTTGATTTTACGAAGTGAAGTGTGCCTAGTAATGCTAGAAATTAGGGAAACAGTGTTTGGGGCTCAAATATCACAACATTGATCCTATGACATCAAGCTATCACTTATCAGTGATCCATCACTTGCTTATCAGCATATAGTTCCAGGCCTCCATAGTAACGGCAACCTTGAGACCTGATCTCAGAGTTCTGGCAAGGCAGAATCCAAAGAGAAACTGTGTTGGGGATTCTCCTTGCCAGGGACCACTGTTTATATGATACAGGAACAATAGACTGTGCTGCAACAAACAAGAACAATAGGAACAATAAGTACAATAGCCATCAGAGAACAATGGGAACAATGCACCACCTGCCATCAAGGAGAAGCGCTCAGTGCGGTGGTCCAGGCTGCTGCGTGTGACAGCTGACAGGTCACACAAGCACAATCACATGTCAGATCCCAGGCTGATTGGTCCGAAGTGGGGGTTCCCCTGACAAGGATCTTATACCGTGGCTCATCCCTTACACGCATTTTTTCCCTGTTCAACCTGATCTTTCTGACTTGGCAGCCAAGATTGCTTGGGCACAGGAGAATAATAGAAAGGTTAGATCCATTCCCATGGAATGTCTCTTTACTGAGAGCTGTTTTGCAATAGGCTCACAGGATACAAGAATCAGGAGGTTTGTTTATTGGTCTTGTGGTTTGGTTTGGTCCAGCCCATTTTCTGAACTGCAAACCTGAACCGCGGTTCAGGTTTGGACAGTTTGGTTTGGAGGTTCAAACCAGTTTGAACTGCCAAGCCAACTTTTGATCAGAGTATGGCATTGTTCAATCCAGTAGAACTCAAATGCAAGGAAATCATGTGTAATAAGTCTACAGATGGAAACAAGCAGATCCTGAAGGGTTTATGGATCTTCTTGGACAATTAGTCAGAGCAGGGTTGTCCAAAAACTTTGACATGGAGATGATTACATCAGCATCACTTGACCTTGCATTGGACAGAATGCTTGGTCCATCCATAAATTCATTGAGACACACCTCAAACAAGTTCATTTGTATAGAATTTGAACTTTTGAAGGATGGAAAGAGGTTCTACAAGCCTGTTCAGCTACACAAATGCCTTAAATAATTTCATTGGTTCAAACCAAGTTTGGGTTTTTTGGTCTCCCCCAAACTCCTAGGCTGGTTTGCTGAAGATGTACTAACTAGTGCCCAGAACAATTGCTATTGGTTCGGGGTTATGTTCAAGTGGGGAGAGCTGTGGGGCTTGGCAGAACTGTAGAGAATTCAGATAATTTATTGCTTGTCAGTACAATTGCGGAGGAACCGCTTCTTGAGTGATCACGTACATCTCACGTGCACACCTTCCGCTCTCAATTGGACTTGAAGTGAAAAAGGGTTTTGTAAGATTTTGTACGTGAATAGTACACGTCAAGATTTAAAACATTCTGCCAAAATCTACTGCACATATCCTCGCACCAGTATACACGTGCGGACATTGATTCGTTACTTACATGTTTCATTACTCAAGAGTCGAAGATGGCGCCATAAGCTGCGATCCCCCTGCTTTCCATAGCATACACGACGCGCTGGGTGAGCTTGGGGTTCGATATGATGAAGACGGCTTTGGCCTGGGCCTCGACAACGAGCTGGTACGTCACTGCGACCATGTCTGGCCGGCCTTCCGTGCGCGTGTCCCAGATCCACGCGTTGGGATCAGCCTTCCTGACCGCGCCGACGACGCCCTCGCCATACGTGACAAGCGGTGCGGGTGTCGACCAGAAGATGCGTCGTGGGGTCACGTTCGCGTAGAACAACGAGAGGCACGGCCCGATGCCCGACCCCGTAGCGACCACGACGATCTTCTTGAACAGGTTGGATGTGTAGAGGAGCCCGTGCATGGGTGCGCCACGGACCCAGAGCTTCTCAGGCGGGTTGCGGATCATCTCGCTCGTCCAGTCGCCGGCGTTCGACACGACGACGGAGAAACCCTTGGACCCGGCCCCGTTGTCGTCTGGGATCGTCGCGAAGGCGTGCCACTCGAGGAGGGGCTTCGTCGAGATTTTCAGACCGTAGAATGGCTGCATGTCACGGTACTTGAAATGCAAACGCGTGGCGTGGCTCGAGAGCACTTCGGGGTAGACCTTGATGTGGCGCAGACGACCCCAGGATAGAAGCGAGCAGCTCGTCGAGACGCACAACGTCCAGAAGTTGGGTGTGTTGATGATGTAGCGTCCGAGCGACGGCGGAAAGTCCATGTAGGCGCGGTACTGGTTGCCAGCAAAAAAGCTGTGCATCCAGAAGGTCATCAATGCAACCCAGCCAGAATAACGATGCACTGCCTCGAAGTGGTCGTGATACCTGCGTCGGAGGATCGGATGGGCCGACGCAAGAATGCAGACAAACATGGTGATCAGGATGTACGACGTGATCACATTCGCCAGTCCCCAGTTGGACGGCCGCGCCAGGTAGTCCTTGGTCGTCAGCCCAGTGTAGAGCGCGTACCACACGACAGCCGCTGTGCCCGAGCCGCTGTGGCCCCCGCCGTAGTGGAAAACCTTTGCGAGCCGGCTTCGGAGCCAGAGAGGGGCGCTCTGAGGGCAAGCGACAGCGATCTCGTACAGAAGATTCACAAAGTTCTCTTGGCGGAAGAGCAGCGTGACCATTAGGTTGACAGAAGCAGCGCTACCCACGTCGGGAGCAAGTGGCCGGCCGTCCTTACGAACCATCAAACCAATGAATGCTGCCATGTTCGCGATGAATATCGTGGCGAACGTCTTGCGGTAGTACGTAAACGCGGTATCTATCGAGTAAATTGGTCAGTAATCAGATGAGATGCGAGGGTCAGAGCCTACAGTGAAGCCAGCGAGTGAGCCTGGAGGCTCCCTTCTTGGCTGGAAGATCAAGATCCTTCTTTTCGATCTTTCCTAGCTCGGCGACGACAACATCGGTGATACCGCCATCCTTCAAGTCCTTGGAATCCCCGCTGGAGTGAACAGAGGGCGTGGAGATCGAAAAAGGGGCTGGCTGTTCAGCAGAGTCAATGAATTGCATGAGATTGAGCGAGACTGGCACAAAAGAAAGGGAGCACGACTCACAGTCGACATGCTTGCCTGTAAGAAAGACTGGGGGGACTTCTCGACGGTTTATCAAGAGAGATAGCTCCCCGCTTTTATCCCGTTTAGCCATCTAAGAACGAGCACTCCCATCCATATATGGTCCTTCAGTGAGAATCAGGAGCGATACCTGTGATTCCTACAGCAGCACGTTGTTTTGATTGGATGATCATGATCGCAGTACAGCTCGCAAGAGGTCAAAGTTGCTAACTGAGCGGATTATTCTTCGAGCGGCAGAGTTGATCCTGTGGGAGAAAAGCACCAGCACCAAAGCAAGCTCAGTCGATAGCGCCCCAACACGAAGATCGGGATGGAATCCGAGTCGACAGATAAGACATCGCGGGCCAAGCAGAGTTACCAGTGTTGTCCCACGTCGGATCGCGGGTCGCGACTCCACCCGAGAGGTGGGTCGAGTCGGGCTATCTGCGCGACCCGACAACCCGGGTCTCAACCCAGACCCGACCCGCGACCCGACCCGACCCGGAACAAAACTAGTGAAGAGAGAATGTGCAGATGGCGCAGATGGCCCGGAGCAAAGACAGCTGGCGGCGAAGGCGTACTTTGTCCTCAAACAGATTGCTTGTGGAGCCAACCATGAAATCGCCAAGGCACTGGCAGAGATGGATTTCCAAATCCCCAAACAGCGTGTGGAAATGATCCCGATACACGCTACGAGGCTTGTTTTGATCGAAATCCCACAGCGCTGGGAGCCCCTCGACTGGTCTCTCAAGGTTATCGTCGTCAGTAACCCTCAACTCCTCAACTACGACCCTCTACCCACGATGAAATTCGCTGCCACCTTTGTCACGCTCGTCTCTGCGATGCACTCTATTAGTGGCGTGGCCTTTACTCAGTGATGATCGAAATCTTATTTTCGAACGCACACCGACGTGAACAACCTATTTCGCCGTGATGCATAAAGACTGCAATAAAGTACCAGATATGCATTTGTGAGCTTGATATAAAGAAAGCAACTAGTTGTCGCACCTCAGTGTGTCGTGTCAGAGCAGTGTCAATCGATCAACAGCTGACAATGCTTGCTTACATGATCTCATATTTCCTTCCTCATTCGTTGCATACATCTCGTCGCAGCATGTGCAGCGCCCAGCCCACTGGCGATGGGCCATAGTCATTCTATTACGCTACTAACACCATCTCCGGAGAACTGGACACTCGAATGGTCTCCCCTAACGACTGCAAGCTCTTCAAACGTTTGTCGCCTGACCTACATGCATGTATCGACGAAGCTGCCGCCCGCATCGAGGAACCGGTGCCTCGCACTTTCCGGAAACCGAGATGGAACTCTCGAATGAACGCTGCCAGTTTTCTGCCCTTCCTCGACGCATATACGCACGCACATCTCCGGCGCTCTCCACCCGCACCGTACACGCAGTCGTTTCTAGTACCCCAATCCGCGGTCCAAACCCCCGAGAAGTCCATTTCGTCTCGTGCTGAGCACGTCTGCGATTCATGCCCTCGTGAGGGCGCGGTCCCGATTAGCGGAGAGCGTCGTGGGGGTAATGTAGGAGGACAAGTCTAGGGGAGGCTGCTAAGGCAGAGATACGAGTGGGCAATCTTTGACGCGTGTTGTCGCATGGGGGTACGTTAATGCATTCCCTCCCTCTCTCGATTTGTGGCTTGGTGCGGTGGGTACACACACCGTGGGAGTAAGCTCCGCGGTCAGCCATTTCGCCTGGCCCATGGTGCTTCTCTGACTCCTGTTCGTGGTCTAGCTTCAGTCGGTCGTATGTTCGTTTGGGGAATCGACTTTCTCTCAGATAAGAGACTGCGTGGGACAAGCGCTTATAAGGAATGCTGCAATCTGTGGTACCGCAATCCAGCCGGCAGGTCCTTGCTACGATGTGGACGACGACCGTCTTCCTCCTCGTCGTCTCTTTTGCGCTCCACAGTTCCGCTACTCCATTCCCCACAAGCACCGACCCCGTCATTATACCGCTTCGCCCCAGAAAGTCGCTGACCACTGCGAATGGTGACTTTGACCGAGACCAAGCGATTGCGGAGACTGTAAAGACTGTCAACAAACACCGGCAGAATCTGATCAACCTCAAGCACAACATGGGCGTCGAGTTGTTCAATCCAGTGTGTTTCTCGGGCTGTCCAGTGTACGTCGGCATTGACAGCTACGCCAGGGCGCAGAGATTAAGGATCCCACGGTCGTTCCCCGCGATATCGAATCTCGGCGGATAGACAAGCGTCAGCGGGAGTCCCTCGTAAACCAGCAAGATACGGAGTGGACTGGCGCGATATCGATTGGCACCCCTGCGACAACGTTTGTCATCGACTTTGACAGTGAGAGGCCTCCCTGCGAGGGGGAGCGAACTGGGTCTCACACTTCGCAGCGGGATCGTCCGACCTCTGGGTGCCTTCAAGCAGCTGCAAGTCCTCTGCATGCCCCGTCCACGCGAGGTACGACCCCAGCCGCTCATCGACTTCGACTCAGAAGTCGGGCGAGTTCTCGATCGAATACGGTGACGGTTCGACTGTTTCAGGCCCCATCTACACTGATACAGGTATATCTTCGCCTCTGCCACCATCTGGGCCAGTACTGATTCGGACCGTAGTTACCGTCGCGGGAGTCCAGGCGAAGAATCTCTACCTCTCTGGTGCCACGACCGTCTCAGATGCGTTCATTGAAGACCCGGCTGACGGTGTCTTGGGCATGGCGTTCTCCGAGATATCCAATATGCAGCAAGACCCGTTCTTCATGACCGCTTACCACCAGGGCGCCGTCGCCATAAATCAGTTTTCGTTCTTTCTCGCTGGCGACGGATCACAGCTGTACCTCGGTGGGGTCGACGGCACCAAGTACACCGGCGGGATCGACTTCCATGCGCTGTCTTCGTCCGCTGGATTCTGGCAGATCTCTGTTGCCGCCGTCAAAGTGGACGGTGAGTCCACTGGCGTCGGTGGTCACGGGTTTGAGGCGATAATCGATTCGGGGACCACCCTGATGTATGGTCCACCTGCGCTTGTTGCAAAGATCTACGCCAAAGTGCCTGGCTCGCGGCTATTTGACAAAAACCAGGGTGTGTGTTCTAACCTTGTTGCGCGGCGTATCCTGCTCATATAATGAACGAGGATACTACTCTTATCCCTGTAATTCTCCGCCGCGTCTTTCCTTTAGCTTTGGCGCTCGAGACTGGGACATCTCGCCCGACACCATCGGACTAGGTCCGACGGCAGTGGGATCGACGGAGTGCGTCGCGTCGCTCGTCGCTCAAGACATTGGTCTGGGAAGGAAAGTGTTCCTGCTCGGTGATGTGTTCATGCGCAACTCGTATGTGGTTTTCGATGCAGGAGAGAAGGCGGTTGGATTCGCGCAGCTTTCTTGATTCGAATATGTGATGTGATACAGACGTGTTCCACTTTAGATATGTCCCTTTGTGAAGGCTGACGCTAGTCTATGAGATCGAATCAAGTCGTGAGTCCACGCACACAATGGGTTTGCTCAGAAAACTCCCCAACGACTGATCGAAACGGTTCCATATGAGATCCACCCTTCCACTGGCATCGCTTTATAATCTTATCAGTCATCATTTTATGAGATGAGATGATTATCAAAATGCCTCGACATCTTTCATGACTGTATCTTCCCCGAGTGGACTAGGAAGTACGATTACATCTATCCAATGATCATCAGTACGCGCATTTATCAGCATAGGACTCGGGCGGGCGCGCTGGCTTGGCAGATGGACGTCGACGGACAGACAGTGGACAGATCTTGATGATGGATGCGCGTCTCGGAGTCTCCAAGTCGGGCTCTCGATGAGTGGAGCTCCTGCGCTGAGGAGAGCTCTTCTCGTTACAGACCCTGACGCGCGACAGATGTCAGAGATTGATTTCCTCCATCTCACCGGTGTGCATGTGGGACTCGATCTTCGGGGAGTTAGGTGAGCGTAGACTCTTATGCAAAGAGTGTAACTGCAACAAACTCCCAGACATCCATATCAGCTACGGGAACTGCTATCCAGTTCTTGTGTCTCCAAGGGCTCGCATGTGTCACGTAGGGGTATGAGTCATGTACGAGGCCACACACGAGCGAGGCTGAGCTAGATCTCGGTACCACATGCAAGTTACTATTCTTGCCCCCCGCTCGACAGCTGACAAGGCAGTTCAGTCAGTCAGTCAGCGCAACCTACGTGCGCATCTGCATACACAGACATGCGGCACCAATCGTATAAGATGCGCGTGCCACTGCCTTACTCCACATACTTTCCCCTTCCCCATTCCCACTCCCGTTCTCGTTCGATTTCGCTTTCGTTTTGAAACCCGTTCAGTTTCCCTCCTTCCTTCAGTGACATTCCAGCCTTGATTCGGCTACACACAATCTTTCTCAAACACGAGATGCTCACGATACGATTCTCGACTCTCCTGCAGTTCACACTACTGGCCACGGCCGTCTTGAGGACGGACGCAGCGCCACTGGATGTGCACAACGATGTTCACGCGCGTGCCGTGCTGGGATTCCTGGATGCCGCATCCGTGAGTGATGCTCGGATGATCTGCACTTCTCCGTCATGTTGACCAGAATGCAGTGCTCGAACATCACGACAGGTCTCTCCGGCGGCCTTTCCTCTGCCCTCTCCGTATTGTCCACAATCAAAACGTCCGTGCTCTCTATCGTCAACAGGCATGCAGCTGACGCGCTTCCAGGTCTGACATCAACATTGCGAAAGACCTCGCCGCGCTCCAAGGGTTTCTGACCACTGCGAATGGCGTCGGACAAGCCGTCTCGGGTGCCTGCTCAGCTGCATCGGCACAGGGTAAAGCCGCGACACCCGCCCAAAGTTCTGCTGCTGCTGCCGCCGCCGCCAGTGCAACCCAAGCACTCGCACAAGCTGCTGCCCTTGCCGCCGCTGCCCAGAACTCCCAGGTCATCGCAGCCAGCGCGATCCTCGCCAAAGCACAGACCGTGGCGAAGGCACCTGCAGCTGCAACTCAAAGCGCAGCCGTTGCTGTTGCCGTGCCTGCGAAAACAACGGCGCAGGCTGCTGCTGTCAAGACGCCCGCTCAAGCTGCCGCCCCCGCCGCGCAGCCGACACAAGCCGCCACACAAGCTTCGGCTGCGAACGCGATCGTCGCACAGGCGCAGGCACAGGCTTCGTCCATCCTCGCCCAGGCCGAGGCCAAAGCTTCTCAGGCGATCGCTGCCGCCATCGGTGCCGCCGCCGCCAAGGCCACTCAGGCTAACAGTTCGCTCGGCAGCCAGCTCAGCTCTGCGGCCAAGGCTGCGTTGGTGAAGGCTGAGCAAGCCGCCCTCGCGAAGGCGCAGCAGGCGGCGCAGTCGGCGATTAGCAAGCTCCTCGGGGGTGGGGGGAAGAAGAGCAGTGGCGGTAGTGGTGCTAAGAGCGGTGGGGGAGGTGGTGGAGGCAAGGGTGCTGCTGCCGCGAAGACGACCCCGCCGCCCACTGCCACGACGACTGCGTCGGATTCGAGCGAGACCTCGACGGATGTGCAGACGGGTGGAAGCACGGACGTGCAGCCGACTTCGACCGACCCGAGCACGGATGCGACGTCGACGGACGTGCCCACCACAACGGACAGCGCCGCTGCCGATGCCACCTCCACCGATTCGAGTGCGGACGCGACTTCGAACGATTCTTCTGCGGACGCCACTGCGACGGATTCCAGCACCGATCCTTCCGCGACCGACTCGAGTGCCGCCGCCGACGCGACAGCCACTGACACAGCCGATGCGACGGGAACCGATACATCCGCCGGTGCTACTGCCACAGACGATGGATCTGCTACTGCGTGAGTAATCCCCCGAGTTCCCTTGCTCTTGTCTGAATATCGAAAATCCAGAACCGACTCGGCCGATTCGTCCACCGCGACTGATCCTTCTGCGTGAGCATCCTCATGACTTCGTCCTTGCAAACGATGGATACTGATGAGCCTTGGAATGCAAGCACCGACGCTGCAACTGCTGCTGATGCGACTGCGACAGACGATGGGTCCGCTTCTGCGTGAGTCCTTTCTCTTCGCTGCTCTGATTATGTCGACGTGGCTGACGACAATGCAAGTACTGATGGGACCGCTGATGCCGCCACTGCCACCGACGCCGGATCAGCTGCTGATGCGACTGCGTGAGCTTGCACGTGATACACTATCTCGTGATGCTGACCACCCACGACCTAGCACGGATTCGGCCGACGCAGCTGCTGCCACCGATCCTACTGCGTGCGTCTCAATCTCAACCGTTTACTCACATCAAACTAATTCAAAGAATAGCACGGACACGACGGATCCTGCCGCAGCTACCGACGCGACTACGGATCCCTCTGCGTGAGTTCTTGTGGTTAATCATTTCGATTGATTGACATTACTCACCATTCCCAGGACCGACGGTGCCAGTGACCCGACTGCCACCGACTCAACGACGCCTGCGGATCCGAATGCCGCCACAGACCCCAATGCCGCTGCATCGGACCCCACTGCCGACCCGAACGCCGCCACCGCGACCGACCCCACCGCGGATCCCACTGCTGATCCCACCGCGTCTGACCCGACTGCGGCCGACCCGACTGCGTCTGACCCCACTCTCTCTGACCCGACTGCGTCTGATCCTTCGCTCTCTGACCCGACTGCGTCGGACCCTACGCTCTCTGACCCTACCGCATCTGATCCCTCGATCGACGACACCTCCAGCACTGACACGTCTTCTTTCGATGATGGCTCCTCTTCGTTCGACGACGGCTCCTCTTCTTTCGACGATAGCTCCTCTTTCGACGACTTTGGCGGAGGTGATTTCGGCGGGGACGACTTTGGTGGCGATTTCAAGCGCCGTAGTGTATCGCGGGTGATGCGCTCGTTGTTCGTGTAGACTGTGTTTTAAATATTGCTATTCGTATTCTTGCTTTTTGAAATTATATCTTGTTTTGGGCTTTGCATCTATGGCATGTTTCTGCTCAACGAACATGAAGCGAAAAGACCCGTAATTCACCGGCCATTTGGTGGGTTCAACGCTTGGCATGTGATCCGGGCCAGTGACAAGGCAAGATCACACAGCCGCTTGACATATCTTGTGCTCGTCTGGTTCCTGAGCCAGTTGTGTTCTGCATCCTCAATCTGTGCACCTTTACAGTACACAACATATTAGGCTGTCCTCAACACCGGTTTCTCACAGGCTTCTGCCCCAGCGTTACAACTCCCACGAAACGATTGTAACTGGAATGAATCAAGACACCCAGTGTCCGTGCGATGAGACTAGTGGAGCAACGCTTAGTGATATCCAAGAGTATGCAAGCCAGTGAAATCCTTTATCCTCGTTGGCATGGACCCTGGAAATCAGATTCTGATCCACCCGCAGCACAGAAGATACTCGATGTCGGATGGTTGTGCATCATCAGATTGTGGACCCACTCGGAGGTATCGATAACGGAAATGCCATCATGCGCTTTGCTATATATGAGGCGAGCGAGGACATTCATCGATACGATCATGTCTACCGCCTCGAAGCTTCCTTCTGGCTCGCAGAATTCCAACGAGTTGGAGGTTGTGCTCGCTTTGAACAAATCCAACCACGGACATCGTCTGATTGATTACGCGGAGCTGCCTGATCTGTGGAAGAATAATCCGTTTATGCATGGTGGATACCGGTGTGTTTCCCTCTCGAGCCTTTCTGACGCACACTCATGAGTTGATTTCTCTCTCCATCAATTAGTTTCATCCCGCTCGAGAGTCCACACTTACTGGTTTCATCCATATTCCAAAGACATAATGAATTCCGTGCGCTCTATTGTTCCGTTATCATACGCACTTATCTGAGAAACTTGGCCAGTGAATATCCAGACTCATTTGATTCCTGCGCTCTTTTGGATTTGGAGTATCTCATCTGGCGGAGCAATGCACCTCTCCGAGACAATCTACCTGTCAGCCGTATCCTTGTGCCTCCTCACGAGTGTGATGTGGCACACCATGACCGGTTGCGCCCACCACCAGACCATGTCTGCCTGTGCGAAATTGGACTACATCGGCATTGGATGGTTCGTATCTTGTTAGACGAGTCTATTGAAGAGCGGGAGCATTCATGCAGGGTCTGACAGGCTGATATCTGCCAGCACGGCGACCATTGTTCTGCATGCCTACGAGTCGCGTCCGTTGTTGCTGTCAATGTTCCTGGCCTTCTGTTGCACGATCGCGATTGCGGCGACGGCGTTCCCTTTCATGCGGTGGTTCGATGGATACGAGAATAGGGTGCGTTCCACCAGTTCCGTTCGTTCTCATGTGCCATAACGAATCGCACGCTCGTAGCTTTGGAGATTGGGGTTTTATATTTCTCTGACTCTCATGGCAACCACGCCCTTGATATTGCTCTGGATGCTAGATGGGACGGCAGAAATGTGGCGCTATCTTTGTGAGTCAATTTCCGGATCCTCCATGTACCATGAAGTGCTTAAAATTGTGTGAAGCGGTTGCTCTCCCAACTTTCGCCACTATGGGCACAGGTGTAATTTTTTACGCTTTGCATTTACCAGAGCGATTCATTCTTCAGGGTGGGCCCTTGGAAAAGCTCATGGAAGCGGTAGGCGCAGGATCTCATGCCATCTGGCATTTAACTATCGTGTTGGGTGTTGTGCAATGGCGAGAAGGGCTCAGATGGCTGCATACAAACGGTATCTAGCTCCAGAATACAGATACTGTCTTTATTAGATATCTAAATAGGTGATAGCTGAGAGAGAGAGAGAGGAAAATTCATGCTGAATTTCTCAGATTCGAACTCTCCATATCTTCATCTTTCCTGAAGAATAGGCCAAAACAATGAGTGTAACTCTAGTGCCAGAAATCTAGATATTCACTCTCATGAGCGAATTTTATTGAACCTCAAAACTTTCATGACAATCGAGTGATATTGGAAGGAAGAGAAGCTGTGAATTCGGGGTCGAAAAGTTGAATGAAGTGACCTGTTGTATGATGGAATCTACGAATCACCACAAGACATAGGCTTCTTCGAGAAACTTGAGAATAGATTCGTAACACGGCACAGTCATCGCCCTTGATATTCCGTGAAACGCTCTAATCATCCTTCCCCTTTGGACTTCATCTTGATCTTATCTTAGTCACTGGCTGATGTTATGGCTGATGACATCAGCCTGACGTGGCCGTGCTTTTTCACCATCAGAATGCTTTGTCGCTCCATCTTTCTCGCTCGACAGTGCCAGCCCAGCCGATGGACGCGTGGCCTAAAACAAGACGTATCGTGAGTTCATCGAAATTGCCTCTGAATTTCAAAAACCTCGCCGACCATGCAAAGGTACCGCGTCATCAGCTCCTTGGACCCCCGGCACATTCAACGCTCCGACTACGTTGTTCTCTCTGACTTGATCTTCATCAGCTTCAACCTGCCGTATTCTTCACCTCCTGGAGAGCCATCCCAGACTCGGACCAGCGTCAAAACTGTGTACTCCGCTAGACGCACCAACGGCGCCCGTGAGATCCTGCCCTTCCCACCGCAAACTCGGGGCTTCTTCTACTGGGACCCGTGTCTTGATATCTCGCACTCCGGTCTCGCGGGCGGTCTCAAACTCCGCCTCAGCCCGTCAGATGATGATCCGGCACGTGCGTTTGCAGAAGGGGAGGACCTGCGGTTCCCGGCCCCTTCCGACCGGGTTTGGATTCGCACGCTCCCCGCGGTCGCTTCGCGTAAGGCATTCGTGCAGCTTACATCGCACCTCGTCAACACGGGCCTCGTCAGTGCGGAGGATCTTGATTTCTTCCGCCGGACGTTTCCGGAGCACACGGCGATCTCCAACCGCGCGTCGTTTTTGTATCGGCTAGGGCAGAGCTTCCTACTCGATCTTGGCCAGCCGAAATTCACTGTGAATGTTATTTCTCTCGGACGGCGGGTCGTATTCCCCGGGATCAGGTCTGCGTTATACCGAGCGCCTACGAAGAACGACAGTGAGTCTTCTCAATGGGCTTATTGCCGCTTACTGTGCTGATGACGCTAGTCGGAAATGTTCCAGTTCCTTCGTGCCTGGTCCGAGTTCATTACGAACTGCTGTCTACGTCCTCCCCGTTTTCGTCCCCCAATCTCACCCTTGGACTTCGGATAGAGTCAGTTGTTACGCCATTTATCCCACACCCAACCATTCTCATTGCGCCACCCGTTGCCGGCCGATTTTTGCACACCTGGGATCCGGCCACCCACAAGGCGCAGGTCTGGTCCACGCGCCCCAGAGAGGCCCGGCAGCAGGTCTTCGAAGCTTTGTTGGAGGAGGAGGTTGCTCATCACGCTAGCGGTGGTCAAGCTCTTGGTCTATGATCAAAATAGTATTGCAATGAATTATACCCACGTGAAAAGATGACGGACTCAATTGCCGAAAGAAACCGGATTGGAGGGCATGAGCGTGAGGAGCTTCATGCGGACTACGTGTCACAAGGCCCTCTACTCGAAGCGCCCCTCCCACCAATCTTGCAGAAACGTTCTGAAATCTGAATCTCAAGGATGAAACAATCGATCTCGCTCAGATAGAAAACAGAGAGAATGCTGAGACGCAAGGACAGAAGTCGGAACTCCATTTTCAATGCTAAATCAGGACTAAGTTTGTTTGACAAGACTCGGAAAACTGTTGCATCTGATTCGTATGTAGGAAGACCTTGTACACCGGGAAGAACGAAGAACAGAGTGCACTTGTGAATCAACTTCTTCGATGCCCGTTCAGGGCATGCCCTGCACTTGTGTTGCACCAGCAACTGGGCCCAGGCCTGTCCATCGGCTTTTGACAAAGACTGGGTGACATGAATAGATCAATACTTCTCTCCTTGTTGGGCAGTCACTGCAATGACATACTTTCCATTCCGATCGGGATGTCGGCGAAATCCTTGAAGTTGCCGGTCTGAACCGCCTGGGACTCGCCGAAAGCGGGCGTCAGATGCGTGATGGCGCTTCCACAGTTCCCACAGAAAACGCGCGTCACTGTGAAAGGTGTCAGCGTTGAGCAGACTGCGGGTCTAACCGTCGTACCGATGTTTCCAGACGGCGCTTTGAGATCAAAGCTCTGGACGGGTCCAGTGATCTTGACTTCTGTCTTGGGAACTAGGACATTCGTGCTGAAGGCGCTGCCACTCGTCTGGCGGCAGTCGGTACAATGGCAGACGATCTGTCCGCACAAATCATTCAGGCACATCTTCGACTGGGAGATGGTAGGCCCCGTACCTGGTTCTTTTCAGTAGTACCAATCTCGATAGAGACTTTGCCGCAGAGGCAGGATCCTTGGTGGGGCATGACGGGAGTGGGTTAGTCTCTCTTGCAAAGCCGCTGTTGTATTTATATCGTTCCGGCAAAAGTCGCACACTGTGAAGCCTGTTGGAGCGGCTTCCCGAGAGTCAGTCATATGGCCTGGAGTGCGGATAGACTCGCACCGGAATCACCCGCTCCGTTGAACTAGCCTTAAACTATCTCAATGGATATGTGTCTGTCGAGCCATCTGATAGTCCGCTGTAGTTGAAGATAGTTGAGGAAGAGATATTCCGGTCATACATAAATGTTTGCAGGACGTGCAAGATATCTTGTCGAGCTAGCAAGCGGCGATTGGTATTGCGACGGTTGGATTGCGATTGTCCGATCACCCGCGTGATCAAAGGGATCATGGCGTATCATCTCGGGAGATGATTGGAATGCGAGAATCGCCGCCCTTTTACGGGTATATCTTGGGAATTGCTCACAAGACTTCCATCTGAGATCCCATTGAATCCTTGCGTTCTCCTCTCACCCGCGAGATATCGGCCAATCTGGGTGCTCGACATCTCCGCGCCTAGACGACGTGTCGGACCACATTTACCGCAGCGATGCTCAAATGCAGAAACACGGAGTACTACGTCTGCCATAAGGCCTCTCTACCTCCTCCTCCGCGGGTGAAGCCCAGCCCCTTCACACGCGTGAACGACCCGTGATCCGTCGAAACAAATGAGAAGTTGCGTCCGCACTTCTGAGCACGAGTGCGGGGGCCGCCAGTGATGGTCAAAATGTCTTCCCTCGCTCTCACCATGCACGAAAGTGTCTGTCGACTTCGCAACGTCAAAGGCTCTGGGCTGAACTTCTTTCGCACAGCTTCCTAGTCGCAATGAACACCGTGTGTAAGCCGGTCATTTGCTAGGCAAACGGGTTTATTTATCCCCGGTACATTGCAGATAATCTTTTGCATGTCTCGGTGATGGAATCTTTGGCTCAGACATCTCGTCCATGCTCAGCGTATTACCTTTCGCATTGAAAAGTGTTCCACGGCCCCGGCTCGAATGCTTGAGTAGCGAATGTAGCGGCCCTCCCCGCCGAGCCCTTTGTCCGATCGATTCCGGTGAGATCGCTGGGAGATAGACTGGGATGCGAGCGCGCTGTAAAGCTAGCGGATTTGATGTGGGTTGGAGGGTCTATGTTGCAATGTGTATTCACGGTGCGTGATTCGATTCTGCAGAGAACGTGCTTGTACTGAATCACAGTAGACCCGCAGCTTGGCGACTGTCAGACGGTAGACCTGGCACTTCGACTCGTGCCATTTATTGCGCCCACATACCAAGGCGAAGTCATATCGCCGCCGAATCAACCCTCTACAACAATGGCCCACGACTTGGGATATCCTCATCCGATACTGCCTGCAATTCGGGTGCATTTTTCATCGATTGCCCCGCATTGTTCCGCAGTTTCCGTGGGCCGTAGAGACGATTCCCGCGTTGATCCTCACTCTCGGTGTGCAGTTCCTTCCCCAATCACCTCGCTGGTTATTGGATAACAGCTATGAGGACGCGACCTTCACCCGGTGTTGGACATGTCCTGGTCGTGCAGGAGTGTGAAGAGATCAGTTCAGCGATCAGGTGGCGTTTGAGAGATGAGGTATCGCTCGCCGACGTTCCCCGTCGCTCCAGATGTGGACGTAACTCTACTCGCATCATGATATTCATCCCTAAGGCACCGCAGGTCAACCTGGTCAACTGCATACCCAGAGTCTGAAGGTGCTATAACGTATGCGCCTTACAAGAGCGCATCACATCATTTTACCTCCATTCGCATTTTCTTCATGTATCAGGTGTCGCGTTCCCTTCGTTGCGTCGTAGATGTTCATAACATTGTCTGCAGCCAAAAGCGGCCGTCGGTCTCTTGAGGAGATCGAAGACGTTCTGGTCAAATGTTATATCTTCTCTGCGTGGTTTATCCCAGCGAGGCATGGCTCAAGAATCACGATAGCAATATAGAAGAGAAAGCCAGTATCTCAGGATGATTCACAAGACTAATCATTTCTCGGCCAGCTTGAAATCAGCCTATCTCAGTCGTCGACCTCTATTTCTTAAATGCTGAACTGTTTGTTTCTGTACCAACGTATGGTATACAAAAGTAGATGGAAAATGATCTGAAATGAATGATTTATTGCAATTTGAACGTACCGGGAAATGCCGATCTTTGTGATGGGCGATGTGCATAGCCTCCACGTGTTTCTCCTGCCTGTCGTCCATCGCTCGCCGAATCAATCGATCATTTTCGAATCTCCTGGTCATCGCACATGTCCACCGTCGCCCCACCGCCGCCAGCAGCCTCCAGACTCACATCCAGCATCTATGAGACCCACATCATCCGCCTCAAAACTCTTATACGCCCAGGCGACGTGCTCAAAGTCGTCCTGCCGGCCTTCGTGGCCCCTGTGCAACGATCGTCAGCAGCAGCTGAGGAAGAGAGAATCAAGCAATACGCGTTGGACGGGCAGAGAATTGTGGCGGTAATATCGCACACTGAGCCGGATGGGAATGGGAAGGAAGAAGGCAGCGTCTTTGTGTTCGGGCTGAACCCCCAATCCTCCGTGCTCCGGACCTACCCCATATACGGCGGATTCTCGATCTCGATGGCGCAGGTATCTCCCAAAGAGGGTTCTGGGATGAGTTTGACGCTCAAGCATGAGTCTGAGGTCCAGGTCAAGGGCGACGAGCCAATGACGTTGTATTGTGCTCCGGATTCGCACTCGATCGACAAGCTCAAAGAGGTGTTGGCTGAGTGCAGACGATTAAAGGGCTCTTCTGGTAAGTCTACTTTGTTTATTTTTACTCTCCGCTTCCTTCCTTTTCCCCGGATTCTCCACCCCAACATCCTTGCTCTCAAACCGGGCGCTGCTTATTTCCGGCTTTGTGCCAGCGGATCTGACAACGATGTACAGATGCTGAACCGCCGACCTCACCGCTGTCACCCTCATCAGCCGCTGCAGCCCTCACAACATTCTCCTGGCTTGCTCCATACTCCTCGCCGCGCCCCACCCTTACTCCGTCCTCACCGTCCTTTCTTGCGGACTCATCGACCATCCCGCCTGATCTCCGAACCAAGTCTCAACCACTGCCGGAGCGCCTCTCGAACGCTTCTGCAGGAGCTCCGGGGGACGACGCTGCAGACATCTCCCTAATTCGAGAGGACTGGATGCGCCAGCGTCGGAGAGACCAGCGGGCGAGAAACGAGAAGAAGGATCTGAGGTGTGTTCTAGCATGTAGACGATGTGAAATTAGCGCTCATAGTCATTATTACCTCACAGGATCCGAATGGGTACCTTTAATGTCAATGGCACTCTACCCTCGCATGATCTAGCACCATGGTTCGGCGCATCTGGAACCGTGCCCAGACTAGAAAACGACAACGACAACGTGGATGCCGCATCTACGGCAAATTTGAAGTCAAGCCCAGTGCCTCGCATACCCTCTTTGGAGGACGTGTCACCATTTTCGGTTCCCCTGCCCGCTGATGACGACGAGGAAGAAAAGAATCCGTTCGATGATCCAGTCTTCACAGACCCGGCGTCTCCTGTGGCTGACATATATGTCCTCGGGTTTCAGGAGCTGGACCTTTCGGCTGAGGCTTTGTTGTACGCATCTGGCAGTGCGAAGGAGGAAGCTTGGACAGCAGCAGTATTTGCTGGGCTGGGAGCGCAGAGGGATTCTTATGTCAAGGTGCAAAACAATCTAACTCCTGCGGCGACTTTCGCTTATGGCCTATCCTTAAGATCGCATCCAAACAACTGGTTGGCCTCCTCCTCTTGGTGATAGTCCACCGCGACCTGGTCTCGTCTATCGATGACATTCGGAGTGTGTCAGCTGGGGTCGGAATTATGGGCTTGATGGGCAACAAAGGCGGAGTTGCTATCCGACTGCGGTATACACCGCCATCATCCCAGTCTTCTACAATTTTGACATTCGTCAACTCTCATTTGGCCGCGTTCGACGAGATGTTCGAGAAACGGAATGCTGATTATCACGAGCTGTGCCGGAAGTTGGTGTTCAATCTAAGTACCAGTTCGAGCGCTCCTGCCGCTGGAGGACAGCTACCCGAACTGGCTGTGACGTGTAATGTATTCGAGACGGATGTTCTATTTTGGATGGGCGGTGCGTGTTGCTCCCAGTGCGAACTCGTTGAGACTAATGGTGCCAATGCGAACCCCAGATCTGAATTACCGGATCTCCGCTCCTGATCCGGACGTTCGTACGATCCTCGCCGCTTCCGAATGGGACTCTTCGCGGTACGAGACCCTCCTCGGATATGACCAGCTTCGGCAAGCGATGCGAGATGGGAAAGCATTCGTAGGGTTCACAGAAGCACCCCTTCGATATTTCCCGTACGTTGGTCGTGCATTACAAATTTGACTTACTGATCTGAGTGCAGCACCTATCGCTTCAATACTGGGCTCCTTCGAGACGATCTTGGATACGATCTCAAGCGCCGACCTGCCTGGTGCGATCGAATTCTATACATGTCGGACTTGGAGGTTACCACAGTGAAATACCAGGCGTACCACACCGTCCAGGGTAGCGATCATCGACCTGTTGGCGGCGAATACGTTGTTCGAGTGCTTCATCTCTCGATGTCGACCTTTTTCGGCGCTGACGGGCACGTAGGTTGATATACAGAGCGAAGAAGGAAACGCGCTGGAACTAAGCAACCTGCTTGACGGGCTGGGCGAAGCACGAGGGAGTTTGAAGGTGTCGGATTCGGTCCTCGATCTCGGACACATTTCGTGAGTCGCTATCTTATTCCCCTTATTTTGCGTGACTGGGCATTAGCCTGGGCTCGAAAATCATTCGTGAAGTCACCATTGAGAATACGAGCCCTGTCCCGTGTTCTTATCGGCTCGTCCAGATCGATTCGGATTCCGATCCTCGTGCGTGCTCAAGGTTCATTCCGAGTGCGCGACTGACTTATTAGATCCGGAATGGCTTCATGTCGAGCCGGCGGTGGTCAGTTCTAGCTACTGCTCGTCACAACCCATCCAATTTTATGATCACAGGCCGTGCTGCTCCCATCATCGTCGCTTACTTTGACCGTTTGCTGCTCCGTATCGGCAGTGACTGCGGCCGAACTCAACAGGAGGCATATGTTCTCGCGCGAGATCGAGTGCACGCTAATTTTGCATACTATCCTGAGTGCTGGGATGGGGAAGGATCATTTTGTTCGAGTGTGCGGCTACTGGGGTGCGTCGCAGCTTCTCTCCTCGGTTTGTAAATAGCAACAGGTTTCAGAGCCGACATGCTTTGCTACACCGTTGACCACTCTAATACTGCTCCCTGGATCCATCCGCTCTGTAAAATCGGCGGCAGATCTGTTCACTGCGGCCCGAGGAATCAATGCTCCTCGTGAAGTAATGCGGTTGGTAAATTGGATGATGGGGGCAGAGGTTGAACTGGTGCGTGCGGTTCTTAGAACACTCTATTCTCTGCTCATGACAACAGAGCAAACTATTCACCACTCCCGCTAACATCACTGAGATCCGGGAATGTCTCGACACCGGCTCCGAATTCCCGACTGACGTATCAAGCCTTGCGATCGCCGAAACACTTGTCCAGCTCCTTGCAGCACTGCCTCAGCCGCTCATTCGCCCCGAGTTACAGCTGAAATGGTTCGGTGTGGATGGACTGGTAGTGGACCGGGACGAAGCGTTTGAGTTGTTGGACCAGATGAGTCCTGTCGAGGTCAATGTGTGGATCTCAATCACCGCGTTCCTGCATTACGTTGCGCAGGGTTCTCAGACTCGCGTACAGGAATTAGGTGCGTGGTTCCCGTCCGTGCCCATCCGTTCTCATTCTTGAAAAGCCTCGATTTTTACACCGGTATTACTTGGGGACCCAATATTGGGCGTTTCTCCTGTCGCGCGGAGGAGGTTCCTGCTGTTGTTTATCTCCGCGTAGACTGGGACGTTCGTCGAGGATAATTCGGTATGCGATTGTCAGAGGATGACACGTCATAGTGCTGCTAGGTACAAAGTATAAATCCAAGACGCCCATGACGTTCCTCTGCTATCACGGTCCGTTTGCGCCCTTCATTGGCTGTGCCCGGAGCCCATCAGGCCATCACGATACCCGGCCTGTCCCGTGATCTGATCTGGGACATACATTCACACTGTAGAGAGAAAGTGGGTCTACAGTCGAACAGGCGAAGACATAGGGCTTTGAATTTCAAACGGTTCCTGCTTCTAGACGGCAGCCGCTAGGGTTTGGGATCTGTCGGATTGCAGAGGTCGTATTCAAACGGAAAAGCTCCTAAAACCATACCCTCAGCCGAAGACCCGTCTTTGAAGTGGCCTTTGAGGTCTATTCACTCGTAATATCTTCGAAGATCATAGGTTATGGCAGCGAGCCAACTAGCATCCGACTCTGCGAGGTCAAGCGGATGCCTATTGGCGCCGGTTAGTCAATGTGCATCACGGTCATACACTTTCCTTGGTGTTCCAATTTCTTATAGCAGCTCATTTGCAGTAAGCTTCTTGCGTTCTTCAGTTCAACAGACTCCACCCGAGCTCTTGTGATCGGATCCCGAAAGATCGGCTTGAGATAAGATAAGTTTATTCTCTGTCACATCACGACGCCTTCCATCAACTCGTGACAAAAGACGATCATGCTTTTTCCCGACTAGGTGCTTATTGGCCTGAGAGTGACGCTGAGCCTCAACCACATCCAATACTCGTCGGAAAAAAAGACACCGAATTCATGATATGACTTAACGGAGACTCATCTGGGTGAATACCCTTCCGTGCTTGACGTTAATTCAGAGTCTAACTGCTCATCTGTTACCACAGCGGATGTGTGCGGTGGAACGCACACCGATACCTGGTAACCGATTGAAACGACGTGCAGCTGGACGGATGAAACGTCTGGCCTACTCTCTTGATATCAGCTAATAGGCGAGTACACTGGGTTGGCTTCGAGATATCGATGATCCCTCCTTGCCATGCCCTCAACTTCTTCCCATTCAGACCCCGGCCCTCGCCTCCGCCTCCTTCAATAAGGGCTCTCCTCAAGGAATCCAACTGGTGTTTCGTTGCCCTCCCGACAGCCGCCACGTCAATGAGAATGATCGACCCACCACTCCTGAGCTTCACAGTTGCTGTCAAGCACGATCGAGGATTCATTTCCTCCCGAAACGAGACTGGATGTGTTTGGAATCGTGTCTGAACTGTCGATGAGCAATTAGTTACCTTTGAAAACGGGCGGCAGAGGGCGCCTTAAAAACCAATGGTGTCGAAAGGATGAGACTCACCAACATCGTCTTCCCCGCGCCTCGTCGGAGCTGCGTCTCACATTCTTTCACGACCAACGCTGCAAGTGTCTTCGTCGGCTCAACTTGCTCAACTGCTTGACAGGCCCGCTTGTCTCTTCTCTCGTTCCAAAGCTCACTCTCTTTACTTCATCGGCACGGTCCACATGCGGTTCATTGCACTTTCTCTTGCCCTCGGAGCACCTTTCCTTTCACTTGGACGGACAGTTTCTGTCCCTCGCACACCCTCCATCTCCTCCGACGTCATCGCTCGTACGCATGCCCATGGGGCAGCGGGTGCTTCAACCTCGATGTGCGGCTGTATATCCGGCGGCATTGAGATTGGGGGCATCCACTACGGCGACATCTCAGGTGTGTTCCCTGCATGATCAGGTATCGGCGCCTTCGTCCTCACAAGATTTCAGCCTCCGAGGAGATCTGCACATGCGCATCGCTTCTCGCTTCGCTCGTCGCGGACATCAAGCTCAGTCCTATCACCTGGGCCCTGGATGTGCTCGGCCATGGGGCTGTTATCGCCAGTTTGACGGACAAGGTGTGTCGACTTGTCTTTACGATCTGCTTTGCTCACATCTGCATTGGCAGCTAAACAACTGCGACACGAAGCGTACCTGTTCTCTCCCAGCCTTTGCCGAGTCTCGCTGCAAGAGGGACGATATCTGCGGCTTCGAGTGCTCCGGCGGATACTCTCGCGAGGGTGATCACTGCGCGGATAGCTCTGTGGTTGCTGACGGTCAAGTTGGCGCTGGTGTGGAAGTCGGCGGCGGTGTATCTGTTGCCGGGGACGTCGGCTTCTCGGTCTCGTCTGAAACGACAACTTCTGTCTGTGCCTGTATCTCGGGTGATCTTAAGGTCAAGGGCAACGAGTGCGGAGCTGTCTCAGGTAAGAACTTTGCTTCCATCCATCCCACCACTCATGCCTTGTAGCTTCGGATGAGCTATGCACTTGTGTTTCTCTCCTGCCCTCACTGATTGGATCTATCTCGGCTGCTGGCGCAGGACACATTGGGGCATCCATCGGCATCGGTGCTGGGCTTCAAGTCGGCATTGGCGCTAGTCTCGGTGGTGCTATTTCGGCTGGTCTGGGCTTTGGCTCTGTTGGAGATGTTGTGGGCAGTCTCAGCGGACTGGTGCGTTCACCATGCTTTCGAATAACGCACCTTGTTTCTTAACCAATGCAGATTGAATCGTGCGGCGCCCAGCAATCATGCACCTTTCCACCGTTTGCTGTTCCGGACTGCAAGAAGCAAGCCATCTGCGGCTTCACCTGTGGAGAGGGATACAGCAAAGTGGGTGAGGAGTGCGTCAAGCCGTTGAGTGGTTCTTCGGGCTCTTCCTCTGGTCAATTGGGTCCCGGTAACTCTGGATCGACGGGATCCGGTAGCTCCGGTGAGTCAGGCTCAGCATCTAGCAGCTCAGGCCCTTCAGGCTCAGACTCTTCGGATTTAGATTCCGGTAGCTCGGGATCGTCGGGCTCCGGATCATCTGAGTGCGCCTCTACCGCGACATCCTGCACGGATTCGACGTCGACGATGGCAACGAGACCCACTTCGACTACGACTACAACTTCGTGCACCGACACTGCAACCACCACTTCCCCAGCTGCGACTCCTACCGTTTCCAATTCAGGTTCCGGATCTTCTGGATCATCTGGATCATCTGGCAGCTCGAAATCCTCTGGAAGCACCGGCTCTGACTCGAGTGGAGAATCATCTGGCTCATCGGGTCATGGCCCAGGCGCAGGCTCTAGCCTGGAACCATCAGGGGGGTCCGCCTCCAGCGGCTCTTCAGGTAGCTCGGGAAGTGGGAGCGCGTCATCGGGCTCCGGCTCTTGGTCGAACACATCTTCATTGTGCGGCTGCGTCTCTGGATCACTGAACGTCAATGGCAAACATTGTGGATTCATCTCTTGTGTGTCCTCTTTCATAATTGTACATCCGTCGATCTTGGTTCTGACTGCACTGCTAGCTTCTCAAAGCCTTTGCTTCTGTGTCAATCAGCTCCCTAGCCTCGTCGCTTCCAGCTCTCTCGACGTCATTGCCGTTGGTCTTCAAGTCGGATCTGCTGCTGATGTTGTCACCGCACTGACTGCCAAGGTGGGTCATCTTTACCTGCCGCTCAGTCCGAGACTGAATTCTCCTGCACAGCTGTCGACTTCTGCTGCCACAAAGACCTGCTCGTTCCCCCTCTTCTCCACCTCAACGTGCGGAAAGTCCGATCTCTGTGCCTTCTCCTGCGCACCGGGCTTCAAGTCCAAGGGCGGAGCGTGCGTTGCTGGATCTGGGCACGCCGAAGGACATGGAGATAGCGGGGGAAAGGAGCACGGTAAAGCATATGGGCACGGCAAACACGGTCACGAACACAGCACTGGACTTGGATTGGGGCTGGGTGATGGTCTCAGCCTGGGTCTCGGTCTGGGCGGGCAAGCTAGCGCGAGCGCCGGTTTTGGTATCTCGGCGGGCGGCATGCTCTCCCTGGCGGTTCCTAGCGCGTCAATCTGCGGCTGTGCATCTGGCTCGCTGGAAGTCAATGGTAATCAGTGTGGTGACATCCCTGGTGCGTTGACATCCTCCTATCTCTCGGCTACCCCTGACCAATGCGCAGCATCCGCAAACTTGTGCGCGTGTCTCTCGACTCTTTCCGTCGCGCCATCTGCCTCGACCCTCCTCTCCCACCCCGCCGTCGCCTCTCTTGATGCTATCCGCGCTGGGTTGACCATTGCCAGCGAGGCCGACGTCGCCGCTGCTTTGGGTGCGAAGATCTCTGCCTCCGTAGGTGTGTCCGCTGGCGTAAGCGCACAGACCTGCGCCTTTCCGGCATATGCCGAATCTCGCTGCTCCGCCTCCGATGTCTGCGCATTCGATTGCGCGTCGGGTCACTCCAAGGACGGCAAGTTCGGCATATGTGTTTCCTCGGATACGAATGTCGGAGGGAAAGTAAGCGGCGGCATCCTTGGCTTGGGTATCAAGCTGCCTTTCGGCTTGAGCTTGTAACGATATCGGTACGCAATGTGCTCTAATGCCATGGACTTCTCAGAGCTGCTTACTCATCTATGTGCTCCTACGTATTCACTCTACGGACCGATTTCTTCCACATTGTATCTCCTGGACATTCTTCTGGTTGTACATTCTAGTTACCCACTTGTCCTCCTTGTAAATTCGGTCCTCTGGGATCATTGAGACCCTCGTGTCGCAGGACTAGTCGGTCTTGGAAACCGGATAATTGGTTTATTGACTCCGATTTGAATCATAAATTCACTGAGAGGTGATAGCCCTTAGTTCCAGTCCTATCGAATGCAGTACGAATTCCTCCGTCTGTACTCCGTTGATTTCAAAAATTCGAGACGAGGAAATGCGAGTGACAAGAAACCGCTTTGCGGAAGAACGGCCAGGAACGCTCAGGAATGTAACGACGGGAAAACGGACATTTCGAAAAAGGAAATCTCAGTCACGTAATGTCAATCACCCACCACACCGCTCGCGGCCAAGGCTAGGCTGACTTCTTATAGGTCGTCAGGAGGCAAATGGCTGACACATTTTCCTCACCCCCTCTTTTTACCGCCGCCCAGACAAGCTTCACGAACGAGCATGGATGTAGGGACAGTTGCGACAACCAGCGGCACCAGCGCTGATGGTCTTCGCCCACTCTCCCCGAGTCGTGAATCGGACGTTACTTTCGCACCTACAGTACCACCAATGGAGCCAGCAGGACATCGTGTCCCCGTGTTCACTGCCAGCGTCTTCGATAAAACTCCGAGTGCCGCGGCGTCACTCAAACAGTACCTGCGCATCATGGTCGCCGGTGTCCTTGCGATCTCGTTTATCATCTTTGGCGTTTTCTCCATCTACTGGGGCAGCGTGTGGTCTACGCCTCGCTATGCAGTCGACGGCTGGATTGTCGACTTTGACGGCGGACAAATTGGAGCGGCCGTCTCGTCCGCGATCAGTTCTATCCCTTCTGGACGCGGTATCGCTTGGAAGATTCTACCCGCGGCTCAATTTCCCGGTGGCGTAGCCGATTTGGAAGCAGCTGTGAAACAGGAGAAGATGTTTTATGGGCTCGCTAGTACGCCGACTCCTTTCAGGATTGGTCTTTCGTGCTCATCTTGTTCCTGATCTCAGTCAATGCGGGCGCTACGGCGAACTACACCTCTGCGCTGGCGAGTGCGAGTGCGTCCTATGACGGCAGCAATGCTATCTGGTTCATTGGTGCCGAGGCGAGAAATCAGAATGTCTAGTGAGTGCTCGAGGACGGTCTGAACAGTCGCGCTCTGACACGGCCTCCAGTCCGATCCACCTGCAGATCATGACCGGCGAGCTCTCGTCTCTGACCCAACGCATGGCAAGGCAGATGGCGAATAACTTGACTCGGAACGGAAACATCAACACGATCCTCACCAGCGCCCCTCAGCTGGTGACTGATCCTGTCGGCTATACCGTCGACAACGTCATTCCGTTCGATATACCGGTGGCCACGGCAGTCACTTTTGTTGGCCTGATCTATCTGCTGATTCTTTCTGTGCGCGTTAATTTCTTGGTTTGCCTAGCCAGGACTGACTTTCGCAGTTCTTCGTCGTCGTCATGTCCGCAGGAGCTCGTACTGCTGCCGGCTACGAACAGACTCTCAAGCTCCGATCTATTGTTTTATTGCGTTTTGCCTCGTCTTTCGTTTCCTACTTCTTCATCTCCGTTCGTGCTTTTTTTGTCTACAGCGCGCGTTCTAAATGCCTGCTCGCAGTTATTTTACACTCTACTTAGTCGTGCGTTCCAAGTGTCCTATTCACGGCATTTCGGACAAGCCGGATTTGTGATCTTCTGGTTCCTCAACTGGATGTCCATGTGCGCCACGGGCCTCGCGCTCGAGGCCATGATCACTCTTCTGACCATTCAGTTCATTCCATTCTTCCTACTCCTCTGGATCATCTCCAACGTTTCTACGTGTGTCTTTCCGATCGAGATTTTGCCGCATGTGTATCGGTACGGATACGCATGGCCGTTCTATAATGTCGAAAAGGCCGTTCGGGCTATTATTTTCGGCACGAAGAACGACAGTCAGTTTATCTTTCACATCGTTTGCCGTTCTCATTCTGACACTACTTCCAGTTGGCTTAAATTTCGGAGTTCTCCTTGCATGGATTGCGGTTTCTTTGATCACGATGCCGCTGTTCCAATTCTTGGCGCGCAGGAGGGCTTTCAAAGCGGCCGCCATCGCAACGGCGGATGGACCCTCTGAAAAATCTTGAACCCTGCGGCTCGATAGACGTAGGACACCTCTAGATTTTCCTAATGCGTATCTGCCAGTGTAATCAAGCTGTTCAGGACTCGTGTACAATACTTGTATGACTGACTATAATGCTGTATGAGTTGCACATACCGCAGAAGCGGTTCGTTGAGTGAGAATGTCTGTTATCTCATCGACCTATTCTTCCTGTTGTCATGTGCATGTGATCAGAGAGCCTGACAACGGCGATTTCTCCGAACAACCCCAAGCATTACTTGGTTCTCAACGGAGTGTCTGACAAATCATTGATGGAATCGGACTGAGCGCGCATCGAATAATTAGCCTCAACACACTCGTCCTATTGAAAGAAACCACACGGGCACGGGCTGAGACGGCGGCCACTCTCAATTGTGAGGTGTGCTTTGACATGTGATGATGCCGCTTCCACATTTCAAGTTAATCGTGGCATGCACGGGGTGGGGTTCCATGAGGATGAAAATATAATCTCAGGTGTCATACGGTAGACCCGAATGCCGGAGCAGCACGTTGAGAAGGGAGCAAGTGAACCGCTGCGACAGCGACAACAGAGCCTGTGGAGATCCTCCCATTACGCCTCGTGAGAAATATCTTCTCAGCTTTTCGTTGCACTGGAGTGAACGAAATCGCTTTCTCCTACACAGCAAGAAGCCATTAGTCCGAATTTTCCTTCAATGTAGACGGGGGTTCATTTTCAGTGCCCAGAGCGGATCCCACAGCCACTAAGCGAATCTGCGAAACACGTGCATAGATCGGCCTCCGTCACTTACTGTCAATCATTTTTTGTAACCGACTTCGATGATGCACACCAGTGACCAGTCCACAGACAGCCCTCGCTCTTTCTCTCTCCAGCAAGCGGACGGAACGCTCGTTTCTTCCCCTCACCTCAATTTCTTCCTCCTGTGTCAACAGTAAACTCACACTCTTTTCACACTTTCCTTTTCACACTCCTCTCTCCCCTTCGCTCTTGGCGGAGAGATTCTATCATCGGCCTGGCTACGGGGTCGCTTCCGCTCGCGCGTCAACAAGAGGAAGAAGTAGAACGACGTGGAGAACAGGCTTAAGAGACGAACGTAGTGCGGTAAAGGCTTTCCTGGTGCGCAGCAAGTCTAGGCCATACTTTACTGCACTTCTACTGACATCCGGAAAATATCAGCCCAGACGCGATGCTTGGACGCGACACCACACCCCTGCGTCCCAACATCCGTGTGCCAGCTTCCAACACCATACAAGCGACCCGCAAATCAGCCTTGCCAGTCAGGAAGCCCGATGTCAAAGTGAAAGATCGCGGGGGTCCGAGCGCGAATGCGGGAACTGTGAACGCGGAGTTGACGATGAGCACCCCCGAGGCGGACACCCGGTTGCGTTCAGGCCGCTTACCCAGCTCTGCATCACCGGCCACTGCGTCTGGACCTTCGGTCACCCGCACTTCGGCGAAGGCTGCTGTAGAGACGGGGATCACAGAAACGGGCATTCCGGCGACTTTGCCCGTAGAGCCCTCTCGATCTATCCCGATTCTTCGCTCCGCTGCTTCCCCATTATCCAAGATATCCTCGTCTACCACGAAGCTTGCATCACCGCCAACTCGTTTGCGCCTACCTTCAACGACAACGCGAAGTGCCATCCTCTTCCCAACATCGGCACCGTCCGAGGTGCCAGCTCCCTTAAGCCCACCGACCTCCCTAGCGCCTCCAACACCTGCTACAAAGCCTTCAACAGGGCCATCTCGATTGCGTGCGCCTTCGACGAAGGCACCAGGTGTCGCGCTTCCGAAATCGATTTCGTCTACCGCAGCAAGACGGGATGCGACAACAAAGCCCGCTCAGACTGTTTCCAATTCATCCAGCGTTTCGCCTCAAACCCCATTAGCGCTTCATTCGATTTCTAAGCTGAAATCGCCGACAACGCTCGTGATAAAGGGTGCAGCCGACCCAACAGGGACAGCAATGTTACGCGGTAGGACGATTTCGGCCGCTGCTTCATCTACACCGCGTAAATCTGCGGCTACGACTTCGATTCCCCGCGCCAGGACGCTGTCGATGATGGGTGCAGGGTCAAGCAGAAAACAGCCTTCGCCAGTACCTCCGGTTCCGACAAGCCCTGGACCGCGCATGCGATTGGGCACTGTGGCTAGCGGATCCACCGCCGTCGTACCGCCTGCCGTACGTGCTAGAGCGACCGCCACACTTGGTGCGAGGCCTGGCAAACTGTCCACTTCGTCGCCCACGTCAACGAAGACGTCTGTTACGGGTGTGGCCACCAGTTCCGTCACATCTAGCACCGCCGTTAAGACTGATCTGCCGACCGCGACCGCGACGATGCCTGCTTCTGCCTCGAGGTTGAGGAAACCCAGCTCAACAGGAAAGCTAGCTGCTTCTAGAGCTGGTATTGGGGGCAACGGGAGCGTGTCCAGTGCTGTCTCAGGTCCCAGGTTCGTTTGTTTGATCCGACTGTCGCGTCTAGTGTCTGTTAATGACCCGCTTGGACAGCGTAACCACCTCTGCCGAAGGATCTCTGATTCTGACGACATCTGGGCCAGATGCAAGTACAGCGGCACTCATCCAACGTACATCCGGGCCGTCTCTTACTTCCCCAACTCAGCACATACCTGATACCTCATCCGCAACTACCGCGATCAGCCCAGAAAAGATCCAGCCTGCAATCCCTCGGTCAAAGTCTGCCGCGGTGATGTCATCATCATCCGCACGCAAGAGAGCTCCACCAAGCATAGTCACTGATACTTCTTCCCTGCCGTCTCGTGTGCAGGTCATTTCACCATCGTTACCCTTGAGACGAACATCACCCCGGCCGCCGCCGAGCCCTTCATCCCCGGCACATGCAGCTGCATTTGCCACTGCACGGAGCGTCTTTCAGAGAGGGCACGACAATAGCGTTACTTCTACCGCTCTTGTAGCCTCTGGCACTGGCTATCGATCAAAGTCCTTATCGCCATCTCCAACACCAACAAGGCTGTATCTCGGAAAAACTATCGCCGACATCAGCAGAGAACCGGCAGCGTCCTATGCGTCGCCGACAGATACACCCCCACTGAGCACTACGTCTGACTGGACACCCTCGACCCCGCAAGGAGATGCACGAATGTTGGCAACCCCGCAGTTGCATCCGCCGGTCGCGTTCCGCGTGCCATCTCTCAAGGAGGATCCCAACTGCGCATCGTTTACCGAGGCGCATGTGGATGAGTCGGATACCGTCACGAATCTGCCATCGGCGTCTACACGAGGAAATATCCGCAACAGCCCTATCACGACAGAGGCCACCAGGACCAGTGTGGCTAGTACCATCAGCGCCTCCTTGAGCGCGGTTGGGGGACCTGGACCACGGTCGTCACAGGAGTCTGGCAGTCTGGTCTCCCCGGACGAGTCTACGGCTTCTCCCCACTCTCCCAAATGGAGCTCCAATGCCAGTGATGCAGATTGGGATTCACCTTCAGTGTATCGGAAGGGGCCAATGGACACGCCGAGACAAAGCGAGGAATCAGTCAGGGGGCAGTATGGGCCCGAAGTGGCTGAGAGCATCGTCGGACAGATCTTACCTGGTACGTGGTGTTCAGCACGCCGATGACTAGGGTCAAATGGAAACATCCTTGTGGCCCATCGATTCTCGGTATTCTTGAACAACTTGCTGACGATAAGATCCATAGGGTCTGCAGCAACGCAACCAGTTGTAACTACCGCCAGCACCCTGGAGGGCCACTTGAAGCAAAGCCTCCGCCGAGAGATTGATGGCACTAGAACGATGGACTTGGAGCAGCCGGTCCGAATGAAAACCAGTGTGTTCAATGTTCGCTCTTCGTGGTAGATCACTGACTGCGATGCTCTAGTTGCACTGCCGTCTCCGATCCCACAGGACCCATCCATAGAGCTTCCAACCATCAGGAGAAGGACGGCCGGCTCGTGGACTGGTACCAATCCCGGCAAGGACAGCGTTACCAGTTTGACCGGGATATCATTTGCGCGGAGCCGTTCTGGGAAGGGTGAAGGGATCGACGAAGCTTTGCTTCCTGCTACAAAGCCGACTACGAAATCATCAGCATCTTCTCACATGCACCCCAACTACCAATCTCGAGCTGATACAGCCAGCATGGCACTTGGAACGGGGCTGGATACCGCTTTGCCATCAGGACTACCGCGTTCACCAACGACAAAGAGAGAGCCGCAATTTCCGGTCAAACAGGATTTCATTCCGGTTGACCGGCAGCCGAAGAAGACCTCTGCCTTTGCAAGACTGCCCTCCCCCCTCCTGATACCTCCATCCTCACCAAGGCTATCCCTAGTCCCATCCCCATCGACGCTCTCACCGACTGTGCTCGCCCAACCTCTACCGCCGTCACCATTACCATCAATGCCACCATCCGCGATGCGACTTCCACCGCCATCTCCGTCGAGACCTGTCTTAGACGTGAAGGCTCTACTCGCGAATCCACGGGATCGATCGATTACGGCCGAAGGACCGAGGTCGAGAAAGACCACGACATTGGATTCAGGTAGCTTTGGTACAGGAGCTGATGACGCTATTGTAACGAGCAGGACAACGATCGAGCATCTCGAGCGGGATGGGGGATATGGTGTCAAGACTGCAGCCGAGCTGTCATCGCCTCGCATTCTCGAGGGCCCCTCGTTAACTTCCAAGCTTGTGCCAACAACGAACAGACTTGGCGACGAGCGAAAGCCCAGACCACCCATCCTCAATCTCAAGCTGCCGCTTACGCCAGTGTCTATCACGATGGAACCACCGACCCCACTCTCTCATGGCACGTCTGGGGCTGGTACAGTCACACAAGCGGATCAACGAGCTTCGGCTGCTTCTCCTTCACGGATTCCATCCCTATCCTCATCCCCATCTCGTTCCCATCATGCAGGGGACGCTCCTGCGACTCCCCAACCGTACTACACTGTCTTCGGCTCGACTTCGGGGCGGACCGTGTCTGCGGGTTCAGGGGAGGACTGGATCAGCAGCTCATTTGTTCATCGGACGCAGAGCACAACAAGTGAGCGTTCGCTCGTCAAAAGGTTCAGCGAGCGTTTTGTCAGGAGGAAGGAGAGCGCAGACGATGAACAGAGGGGTAGAACAAGCAGCAGCAGTATGAAGCTGTCCAAACGTAGTCTCAGTCGTTCTTCGCGGACTTCGGCGTGGTCACTGGGCGCTGGATTCGACGACGACATCGAGCTACCGCCACCCAAAGAACTTCGATCAAGGAAACCAGAGCCGCAGTCGGGCAATAGAGTGTGGAGGTTGATGAAGAGAATCAGCACGGGCGGGATGAAAGAGAAGTACGAGGCTGATGATCACGCCTTTCCGCCCCCCGTTCCTCCGCTACCTTCTGCGTTGTATTCCCATCGGGGGCCTTTGCCATTGTCGACCCGCTCCCTGCCCATCCCAACATCCAGCAACACAATGCGCTCACCATCTCTCGAATCGAAGAGCATTCCTAATCGATCTCGCCAGTCCTCCGTATCGTCTGATTACCCAGAGCGCGTCAGCGACGACCCAAGTATCATCCGGGTCCCGACAATGAATGCTATCAACTCCTCCCGTTTCGAAGCAGTTACGTTCCGCGCGCAGAAGAACGAGAAGACAGGGATCACCGAGCAGGAGAAGGCTGATCGCTGGAATGAATTGTTGGAGAGAAGCGACAGAGCTGGTGGGACACTTCGCTTTGGAGTCTTGGACAATTCAAGTAGCGGAGATTTGTTTTCGCTATAACTCTTATCCACCTGCTCATGTTTTCTCTGATGCAGCTCTTCGCTCATGCACAAGTCCAGGCAAGTCTACACACTTCCGAAGAAAAGGGCACGGATACTTATCGCTATAGTCCGTGCAGATACTGGTGCGGGCCTGCTTTTCCGTGCTCCACTCGCGTATACAAGGCGTTGCCGCAATTGAGGTACCAACAACGAAACGCTGACGCAATCGAAAACAAAACTTCGGGCGCTTAGCTGCTGCCTGGCTACCCCACGCGTTTGCCCGGTTAACGGGTTGGGGCCCCGACCCACTGCGGGGTATCGGGTCTTGATGGATTCGCGAATCGTGAGAGTAGCGAGAAGCTGCGTGACCGCCGAGCAGATCTTCGATTGACACTAGGCGCAAACTCTCGAGCACTTCGTTGGCCCTTCTGTGAATCCAAGACCGTGGATCAAAGCAGAATCTTGGGACTGGGACAACGCCGCACATATTCTGTGGGGGGACAGATTGTGCCAACCATTTCACACATCCACCCATGACACGCTGAATCCAGCGGATGATGCGACAACATGTGTTGGTATGGAATGCGGAGGAAAGCTGCTTCTTTTGACAGGGTTAGATCATCTTGACCGCCAGAGCGACCATCGGCCCGGGAGCATTAGAGTGGTTAAAAGCCAGGGGTGTGGAGAAAGATTCGACTGTGTTGTAACCCGGTTCCCACCATGAGCAAGAGTGTGAGCGATCGTTCGTTTAGAATGGAGTGCCCATCACTAAGGACTTCGACAGTACAGTCCTGGCATCGCCTCTAATCCCGTGCGAAAACTCACCTTCTCCGCTCTGACTTCCCTCTGACTTGAGCCCAGTACATCGTGGGATCATTCGCATGTATCGGCGGAGGTCTGTTCGGTTTGGACATCTCGTCCATGTCCGGCGTGCTCTCGAATCCGGCATACCTGAAGACGTTCCACAACCCGACTTCCAACCCTCAGGGAGCCATTGTGGCGGCGATGCCTGCAGGGTCTTTCGTTGGATCTCTGCTCGTCACCTCCCTTGGTGACAAGATCGGCCGTAAGCGGACGGTGCAGCTCGCCGGCCTGATTTGGGTAATAGGGTCTATTTTGCAATGTGCTTCGATTGTGCGTGCATCCACGCTCCTGCGCACGCCCTCCTCCTGACCGTACTCTTCTAGGACCGTGGGATGCTCGTGGTCGGCCGTATCATCTCTGGTATCTCTGTCGGTCTCGCCTCTTCCGTCGTGCCCATCTACCAAGCTGAAGTAACCGCACCTCATCTCCGAGGACGGTTGATTTCGCTCCAGCAGTGGTCTATCACATGGGGTATCCTGATCCAATACTTCATCCAGTTTGGCTGCTCCTACATCAATGGCACCGCATCCTTCCGTATTCCCTGGGGTCTGCAAATGATTCCCGCTATCATCCTCGCTATCGGCATGCAGTTCTTCCCTGAGTCTCCGCGTTGGTTGGTCGACAACGGTCGCGAGCAGGAAGCTTTGACCGTCCTAGCCGATCTGCATGGTGGAGGTGACGTCAACAACGAACTGGTGTTACTTGAATACGAGGAGATACGGCAGCAGGTCGCGTTCGAGCGGGACGAGGGGGCGAAGAGTTACATGGATCTCGTCAAGCCCGGCATTTTCCGCCGTGTATTCCTTGGTTCGTCGTTGCAGATGTGGTCTCAGCTGTCGGGTGTGAACGTGATGATGTGGGTCGTTGTCCTTTCTACCTGTTTTCATCTCACGCGGCGCAGGTACTACATCATCTATGTGTTCGAAGGCGCTGGTCTGTCCGGTCGCCGGAGCAATCTCATTGCCGATGCGGTTCAATACGTGCTCAATGTTGTTGCCACTGTCCCGGCTATCGTATACATCGACAAATGGGGCCGTCGGCCCATGCTGCTCGCGGGCACTCTCGCTATGGGATTCTGGTTGTTCCTCGTGGGTGGCCTGCAGTCCAAATTCGGGCACTGGGACACGAGCTCGCCGCCCGTCTGGATCATCGAGGGCCATGACGCCGCGACCAAGGCTATCATCGTCTGCTCTTATCTGTTCGTTTGCTCCTTTGCCGTGACTATGGGCCCGGTTTCTTGGACTTACCCGGCCGAGCTGTTCCCGACCAAGGTGCGCGCCAAGGCTGTCTCTGTAGCCACCTCGGCCAACTGGGCTTTGTGAGTGATTTCGTTCGCTATCTTGTTCGCATCTTATCTGTCCACAGCAACTTTGCCCTCGCGTGGGCGGTCCCACCTGCGCTGTCCCATATCGCGTACAAGACGTATTACATCTTCGGGACCTTCAATTTCGCCGCCTTTGTGCACATCTTCTTCATGTTCCGTGCGTCCATGTCTGCTATTCTCGGCTGTCCCCACTCACATCCCGCAGCCGAAACCGTTGGCCGCTCGCTCGAAGAAGTCGAAGCCATCTTTGCGGAGGGACACGTCTTCTCGCCGTGGCGGATTGGTCGCGATGTTGGGGTCAAAACCCTGGCCGAGGTGTCTGCGGCGAGGAAGACGGGTGCCAACGAGGAAAAAGCTAGCGTCGAGAAGCTCGAGGCTTGAGCACATGTTGTTACCTGAGGTTTACGTTTCTTTCACGATGGTCGCATTTCTGCTTTACGATTTGTTGTACGATAAACGCACGTAGTTTGAATGATATCGACGCACTTGAATATGTCGTATGGCGCACTATGATGGAACGGAACATACTCGGAAAGATGAATATTTTCAAGTGCTCACGACTGGTCGATTAGATACATCTGCACTGCACTAGAGGCAGAGACAGTCCACACTTCTTTTCAGCCAGCCGTGCGAAGCCCCAGTTCAAGCGGAGCTGGTCCTGAGTGTTTCGGAGTGGAGCTGAACGCGGGACTGACGTGTCAGCGCTGCGAGAAGTGTCAAGTCACTGCTCTCAAGTATATAACTGCATCATGTCAACCAGGAAACATGCCGAGACAACAAGTTCAAGTTAATGACGTCTCAAGATGCTGCGATGGGAATTCATCTAGAGCCCCACGGCAACTCTGGCTGAGCCATGAAGATCATCATTGAAGACAATCACCAAGCGGCCTACCCGTAGTCGCATTTGGGGTGCGAGCGGTCACTCTTGTCATGCGTCACATCTCATTTCTTTTACCGCCTTGCACCAATTGATATAAGTGTTCTGCGGAACCTACGACGTGAGGACCGAATCCTTGCATGCGGCTACCTTTGCATCAATGCCTAGGGTTAGGGTTGTTTTAGTAGCTGAAACACACAAGAAGAGGGAAGCTGCTGCAGGACAACAGGCTGGTGAAGACTCACCGGCTCACCTGTTTCGCTTATAAGCTCTTCAGGTCCTGCTTACACATTCAGATTACATGCGCACAACAATAGTGCAGTCCTAGAACAATAAGAACAATAGGACAATAGAGACAATAGACCTTGATCGACGACGCGAGACAATAAGATTGCCTATCATATCTAATCAAGATAAGATTACTAGGGATCAGTAGCTGTGCGATGAATTGATGCCGCATCAGTCCAAGCCTGACCAAAGGGCCACTAGGGCCTGGACCGAACGCAAAGCAAACAAAACAAGTCAACACTGCCGCATCACCTGTTCATCAGATCTGATAGACAGACTGGCAAACATCGTCAAGCACTGATGCCAACAGAGGAGATCTGATGACTGGATCAGTGATCGTACTGATGTGATAACATACCTCGTGATGCCCCGTGATGAGATCACGTGCCGTGATGGTCACGGGCCGGGTGTGGCTACCTGACAAGTCAGTCCGGACTCTTACCTAGGGTTTACGGCTAGCCGGTTAGGGTTAGCCGTTAGGGTCCGGGTTAGCTAGTTATCGCATATAGTTAGTACGACCGTTGTCATTTCGATTAAGAAATATTACTCACGGTTAGAGTTAGCGTTAGGGTTAGTAAGCTTCCTAAACGATCTCGGTTAATACCGTCTGCGTGACTGCAGAAGCCGTGGTACGTACAAGGTTTATATATTATAGCATGTGTTATAAAAGGAACTTGCTTATCCGTTGTGGGCTCAAGCCGCGACCTATCGAGAAGGGGACCGTTAGGTCAACCCGAAAAGACTGAATCGGGGCGAGGAGATTAATCTTTGCCTGCAACGTGAGAGGAATCAGCTTATCTTAGATTCCGGCATTATAAATCGCGATAAACGGGTCTTCATTATCTGAATCTGAAGGAGATGAAACAGCCATGTCCTCATCATCCAGTTGACGATCCGGTTCTGTGACGTCGCGATCAAGCGTGGTGATTACGATCTTTTTCCAAAGACCGGTAAAGTCGAATAGATTCTTAGTGCGTTTGCGACTAACAATCATTCGTCGATGTAGGATATCTAGTTTACGTATGTCTGGCATCGGGGACATTCCTGCAAGGGTCCGGATAAGCGTAAAACGCGAATCCGGTGCACCTTCCAAGTCGCCTCTGAAGTCAGAGAGTATACTTTGGCCGATAGATCTAGGATTGAGTCTATCGGCCTCGGCGGCATCTAAGTACCGCCGCCAGTATCCGAAAATCGTGTCACCGAGTTCCTTTGCGGAGAAGTAATTCCAAGCAGTGTTGAAAGAAGATTTCAGTACAAGAACATCCTCTAGTCCGGTTTTCTGACGTGACTCAGAGAGCCGTTTAGTCCACCGTTCTTTAATGTTGTCTGAAGCCCACTTTCTAACAAGGTCAGACGGGTATCCACGCTTGACATACAATGCAATTAAGCTTCGTATGGCTACGATGTAGTTTGAATGAGTGCTACATAGCGTGGCTAGCCGTGACATTTCACCAATAAAGGTTCCGCGTTTTACATCAAGCGGGTGGTGAGATATCCAGGGAATTCTTTCCATGTGGGAGCGCGACTTGCGGTAAGGCATGTGTTGCAATTTGCCGTTATCGTCGACATAGAGCGTCATGTCCAAGAATACTTGAAAATTAGGTGACGCGCTCCACTCAATAGTGCAACCATCGAACTGAATGACTGAGACAATTTGTAGCGCTTCCGCCTCAGAAGAAGCGTAAACAATTGCAATACAGTCGTCGATGTAGCGCCCATAATATGGAATTAATGGGTGCTCAGAGATTTCTTTTTTACGTTCAAACCACCAACCGTACAGGTTGGCAAGGTCTGGAGCGCACGCGATGCCCATTGCAAGGCCACGTTGTTGTTTATAAATTTTATCTCCGTATCGCATTATAAGATTATCATTTGCTATGGACAAGCATTGAATGAACATTTCTGTATCGTACAATTCCTCGAGAGGTTTGTCTAGGTAACTTCCTTCTAAATTCCAGTAGTGTTCCACATAAAGCTCGGTAACAATGTCTAGACATTTACGAACTGGGATATTGGGATAGAAGGCAACCACGTCGCCAGTTACAATGAAGAACTGGCGCCTTGGCGTTATGTTAATCTTACTCAATTTTATCGCCAGATCTTTGGTACCATGAATAATGGTTGGCGCCGATGCAATGATCGGTTTGAGTTTTTTACTGACGTATTTGGCCGCGGGGTTTTGGATGGCGCTGTGACAGGGCACGATAGGGCGCATTTTGACGGGTTCCTTATGGATTTTAGGAATACCGTAGAACACAGGTATCACATGTTGATGATCTTTCGGAGTTATCCGATGCCGCAAGAAATCACCGAGTTGTGGGCCAAAGGGAATATGCGCATCAGCGTACGCAGCAATATATTCCATTTTCGAACATTGAGAGTCGCAGATACTCTGCATTATAAGAACGTGGATTTCTTTATAGTCATCCTTGTTCGACAGAATCTCTAGACTTTTTTCTTCGATCCATTTTCGCTCAGAAATAGCAATTCCCAAGTTTTTATCAGTATTAGTAACCATATAGTTGTTGCTAATTAAAAACTCTTCGATACGGCGTGGAGACGGGGTGAGCGTTCTAGTAGCTATCCCTGTGCTGATATGACAGCCCATTGGAAACGTGGTCGGTGAACAATTTTTAGTAATAAAAAATGTCCAAAAATACATACACATGTGCCCGAAGGTCCCCTCCACCCATCCCAGGTTCGGCGACCACTTTTCGTGCACAATTCCGTCCCCCAGAAACCATCCATCAGAGCGTATGTTTTCAGCCCGACCAAAAATCAAATGTTCTCTGATGGCGTGGTCGCCGAACTCAATTCTTTCCACAAAGTGGTCGCCGACGTCTAGGATGGCTCCAAATAGCCCCTGGGACATCCCCTGAAAGTTTCGTATTTTTCTGAGGGCCACAGCCCGAGATATAGACAAATCTTTCCCTGTCACAGCCACATTGACATCAATGAAATGTTTTCGTCTCGATGATGTGGTCGCCGGGCTTCAAATCCAAATCCGAATCAGCAGGAATGTTCATTCACATGCTAATATCGTTGTGCCGAAATACCATACCCATCGTGTCTTTATTCGTTGAGAACGACGCCATCGACTGTTGCAAGTCTTTGCGATCGTTCTGTCACGTCACATCACGGCTTCTCTATACCACCTGCACGATCATCACTCTCCTCATACCTTCTATCGCATCGCTCCACGCATTTCGACCACGCACTTCGACCACCAACTCACGGTCGCCAACTCGCGGCCCCGGGACAGTGGACTGGGGGGTTTGGAAATCATGGGAGCCGGTTAGATGAGAGGTCAACTAGAGTGAGAGTGCGGATGGGTGACACCCAGGTGCGTCCTCTTTTACGATCGGTCTCCCCCTCCGCCCATCCAACGTTCCGTGCCACAGAGCGCCGGATCCAGTCCGCGTCTGCTTTTTCTCGGGCTCGAACGCACGGTCTCATATCCTGCAGCGCATCGTGCTATCTGAGACATCACCCACGCCGCGCCGCTGTACACTCCCCTCTCCATTACCCGAACGCACAGCCCAACTAGGGACTCGCAAGAACTGACTCATAGCGACCGGAGAACAAAAGTGGGCCATCGTCCTCGGGCAACCAGAGGCAGGGGAGGCATATGGGCGAGTGGCCGGAGCGCGAGAGTGCATGGGGGACTGGTTCACAGGTACGTTTCTCACCGGCCGCTCTTCTTCCCGCCGCTCACTATTTCAACACAATCGCGTCGCGTACGCAACAGAAGATCACTTCATCGTGCATCTTGGAATCAGATGCGGGCCTGCGTCACGACACTCAATGCACTTTCTGGCTCTCCTCTCTATCGCGCGGATCGCGCACCCTCAACTCACAGCGATCGACTTTCGGCAACCGGACCGACGAAAGAAATCGGGTGCATGGGGGCTGGGGAGTCGGATGGGCGAGTGGGCAGAGCACCGGGAGGGCAGATGGGACTAGGTCTACCGGTGCGTTTCTGAAAGCTTCCCTCGCACCATTCGCTTACTCTACATGCTGCGCCACATATCAATCAGGATGCCTCGAGCATGCACTCGTCCAGTGGGAGCGGGGAGGGGTTTGGATTTCGATGGAGGAGGTGTAGCACTGGGACACTGGGACAATGCGGACGAGCAGGTCTGCAGGTGAGTTTTTTTTCTCCACACGACCTTCCACTGTCCGCAAACTCGACATGGAATCTTAGCTAAGGGTCTGAACAATGAAAGCGCACGCCGGCGTCCCACTTCCGGTCAATGGTGCGTGTCCCAGATCCCATTCCGCGGGTCTCAAAACGATCAATTCCCATCAGTGCGTTTGATGGGATGGGGACGCAGAGGGCTGTGTACACGACATTCCGGTTTTTCACTAGGGTCGTTAGATACATATTAAGCATGTAGAATCCCGATTTTAATATCCTAATACTAGGGTTACACCGCGGTGAATCCCCCACTTTCGCAACCGCAGTGTATCTCGGCCCGCCAAGAAAATTTTGAACAGGTTTCAGGGGTCTAGGCTCATTTTGTACAGCCACACCTAAGCGATCCGATCACCGGTTGCCAAGATATGGCCATGTCCAAGCACCAATTTTTGGCTCATTTTTGCTTGTTTGGTCTGCTGCACTGTGGATACACTACCAAATGATCCAAGTCCAGTGTATCCTGGGAGCATTTTTTGAGCTGATTCTGAATATATAAAAATCTTGGCAATCGGAAGTGTATCCACAGAGATATGGGGCGCGGCGTAAGTCGACACAAAAAAAAAGAGAGAGCGAATCCATTGCACAAACTATAAGTTTGTGAATGTCTTCATCTGGATGTTTAATCCCATCTAGGATGTATTAGAGTGAATCCATTGCACAAACTATAAGTCTGTGAATGTCTTCATCTGGATGTTTAATCCCATCTAGGATGTATTAGAGTGAATCCATTGCACATGGTGAATGTCTTCATCTGGATGTTTAATCCCATCTAGGATATATAGAGCAAATTCAGTTCTGTTGAAGGATTTCTCCTTCAAAGCTGCCTTTACATTGGAGAAGATCTCCTCTGTCGAGATTGCCAGTGAAGAACAGGGTGTGTTGTGAGCTCTGATCCAGCTTCATTTACCTTCCCATAATATATTGAAATTGAGGATACTAAATTTAAAACCCTTGAGACTGTCTTCATGACATTTACTCGCTATCTGTGGGCAGAGGATGAAGCCACACAGTTGCAAAACAATCACTTTTTTGGGCGGGGCTGACCCCCCTTTTGCAAATGCTTGTCACACGGGGTCACACTTTGATGCAATCCGGCACGTCTCGGCAATGATGTGGCCTGACTGGAGGCGGGTCTTGGTTATTACATGCAGGAGTTGAAAATTGATGGCCTCCATCACACATGCTCTGTTCTCATTAACTGCGAGGCCTGGACTCAGGATGTATCAACCATGTGTTACCAGTAGCAAATCTAAGGGTGTGAGCTTTTTTCTGCATCGAAATCCCATATCTCTGAGTCAAGATGAGTAAAAAAGTGTTCTGAAGGTAGATTTATGGTCTCAGGTCTAATTATTTCAAAATATGGAATGTATATATTTTACAGGAGCATTGAACAGCTATATAATAATCTCTGGGAGTCCACCCGGGACACATTGAGGGATGTCGAAGCCCAGGAAATGTGTGTTTATCACGGATTGCAGATCAGGGTGCAATTGCAGATGTGGGTCAACGATAGTATTGCCTTGCTTGTCAAGGCACTCTCCAGACCCTAAATTAACGCACAAATCAGATGAACCTGATCCGTGGTGTGATCCGCGTGATGATCAAAGTGTGATGTATCTCATGTATCTCACGTACGGCCAAGTCAATTATTCAATATTTACGTTTGCGCCGAGCCTCGTACCTTTCTGCGCCATTGATTCCATGCTACTTGTACAAGACAGTCGCTCAATAAGAACACAGGTCGATTGAGTGTAGGTAAGAGCGCAGGTTGATCGGGCGTCAGGCTGACATTCAGCGTTGTAAGTCCCCGACAATAATCTCATTGTCCGTTTCACGTCTCCAGCGCATCCGCCATTCTCCCCCACCATCTCTTTGTATCTTTGTTCAATCGCTCTAATCTGTCATCCTCCGCAAGTAGGGCCATATTGTGAGTTTTTTTGAACGTCTTCTCATCGAAGTCGCGCAACAGTCGTATTGTCTCCCTCCCTGAGCTGCGAGACAACACGACATTTATCGCCCCGGAAGATTACATGAAGAAACTCCTGGGAGCTTCGATTGCGGTCGCTTTCAATATGACCCACTATTTGTTCATGAGCCAGGAACAAGACACATTTGTTGTGGACATCGTCAAGATACGCGTCATCGAGTCCCAGGTCGCTCCGCCGCCTAGCCCGAAAAAGTGTCGACCAGCGGTTCCTGACATGGATGAGAGCCCGAAAAAGAAAAAGACGAGAGCTGCTGGGGCTTAGTTACAATATGCTTGACAAAATGATTGTGTATTAATGCCGGATTAAAGTTATATCGGTAACTGTCTCTGTAACAAGTGGCAAGGCATTCTGTCGGCGGAGCCGACACTTTCTAGTGTTTTCAGCCCGACCAAAAATCAAATGTTCTCTGATGGCGTGGTCGCCGAACTCAATTCTTTCCACAAAGTGGTCGCCGACGTCTAGGATGGCTCCAAATAGCCCCTGGGACATCCCCTGAAAGTTTCGTATTTTTCTGAGGGCCACAGCCCGAGATATAGACAAATCTTTCCCTGTCACAGCCACATTGACATCAATGAAATGTTTTCGTCTCGATGATGTGGTCGCCGGGCTTCAAATCCAAATCCGAATCAGCAGGAATGTTCATTCACATGCTAATATCGTTGTGCCGAAATACCATACCCATCGTGTCTTTATTCGTTGAGAACGACGCCATCGACTGTTGCAAGTCTTTGCGATCGGTCTGTTACGTCACACCACATCTGCTCCTAGCCATCCTCGTCTCGATCATGTGGTCGCCGGGCCGTCAATCCAAAACCGAATCAGCAGATATCTTTATTTCAATCTCTACTTTGTTCCTATGAAATACCATACCCATCGTGTCTTTAATCGTTGAGAACGTCGCCATCGACTGTTGCAAGTCTTTGCGATCGCTCTGTCACGCCACGTCACATCTGCTCCCAGCCATCAACCGCGACACGTCTCCCCTCCTCTCGACACACCACTAGCTAACCTGAAACCTCCTCTTCCCTCCTCGATCTCTTCTCACATGGACACACAGACGTCAGTCCTTAATTTCACGGCCTCCGTCTCATGGCCTAGACCGTCCAGCCCGCCCCTCCACTCTTCGCGCCTCGTTCCTGTCACCCCGAAACCCTGGCAGTCTTCTCTTCCACCCCGCCAATCTGCACTTCCGTCCCATTACACTCTACTGGGCTACGGACGACCTTCCTTACAGCTTCTCCTCGGTACGTCTTTTGCTGCAGCGCATTCACTTGCTCACCTTTGACCTTCGCACTAACCTTTACCATGTCGACCGCCGAACGAAAACTCTCACGTCGCGAGCCGCCCCTCCCCGGGCAATTTTATTGCAAGGCCTGCCGTCGCTACTTTCAAGAAAGCGACGGCAGCCGCGCAGTTCACCGGCGCCTCTTTCATCAAGCCGTCACACAGACGACCTACTACGGCGAACAGGAAGTCCACACCTTCCACCGCGGTCCCAGTGGTCTCTTCGCGTGTCTCCGCTGTCCCTTCCAACACCATGATCCCCGCGCTTTTTGGGTCCCGGTCTTCCTTTTCTCATCACACCCCGCTGACCTCATCGCAGGACCACGTTGCCCGCCAAGCCGGTTGTCCGCAGACTCACGCGCCCAATACAGACCCGACGTCGCTCGAAGAGCTCGGAGTTGCTGTATCAGAGTTGGCGGGCCGCTTGGAACCGGTCCTGACAGGGCAGGAGGTCGGAAGCGTTATGGAGCGGGTGGAGGGAACGGATAGGGCGGAAATGGCGGAGTCCCTCGAGGCAGCACAGATGGATGCGGAGGTCGCCGGCACCCGTACACATTTGTGCCAATTGGAACACGTCGACACAGAGCTGGTGGAAGCAGGGGAGGCCGTCGAAGTACCCAAAACTGACGTGGACGTTCCTTGCGCCCGCGAAGATATGCAGACATCTCCCAAACTTGTACCTAGCAATTCACACGATTCGCTCGATCTAAGCGCGCTCGCGCCCTTGCCGTCTCCACTTATACCTCGTCCCCGCTCCCTCCCGGCAATCCCCGCAGCACACAAACCCATCGCCTCGGGCACCCTCCACACTGCCGAATCATCACAGCCTGGCGATATCCCTATCGTCGAGGACTTCTCATCGCCAGCCATTCCCTCCCTCGATGACTGGCCCTCTTTCGACCCGACGGAATGCGAAATCACCCCCGGCCCCGATACTGTCACACACGACGACGATCACGACCTTGAGCGATACAATCTCGTCATCAACACCCAACTCCGCCTCATCATATGTATCCCCTGCTCCAAGGCCGTCCTTCCCGCTCGACTCCGACGTCACCTTCTGGACAAATGGCCCCGCCTTGACGTTCCGGACGACATCGGCGAAAAGCTTCGGTCCAAGTACAACGTCGCAGCCACCCACGACTGGCCCTTCCCGCAAGCCCGTATCCTGCCGGTGTTCGGCCTTCCCATTCTTCCCAATCCTTATCTGTTTTGTCAATCGTGTCACCACGGGTATTCCAGCCACACATCTCTCGCGTCGCATCACTATCAGCGCACTTGTGCGCGCTCATCTGACCAGTCGCCTGGTCATTTCATCGCCTATGGGCAAACCGTCGGCTTCGATCCACGCGTCGTTTTCCCAGTCGACACCTCCCTTCTCGCTACACCTGTTCGACGGCCCGCCTTTTCGACCGAGCCCTTCACCACCCTTCCCAGGCCCGATTACGCCCATCTCCCCATCTCAAAACCCGTCAACTCATGCAACATCGACTTATTCTTCAAAAACGAAGACTTTTATTCACTCGTCGGGTCGCTTACCCCCGAACAGGTCAATCAGTCCATCGATTGCACCGCCCACACGCCCGAGCAGAAGCTCATGTCTACGCACCTCGACATCGTTTCTCGCACGTACTGCAAGTCAATCCAAGCCGCAATAATCAAATCATCCGCTGGACTGCGGAGGCTGATGGCTCAAGTCGGCGCGTAAGTGTATACACTCCCACTGAACACCCGAACTCAAACCATCACTCTCAGGGAATCATCGCGCGAGGAGCTTAGACCCCTCGAAGACAACTCGCTGAATCAGTACTCCGCGGTGCTGGCAAATCTTATCTACACCATGCTCCGTGCCCACGCCAGCGACTCGCAGCACCTCAAATTCCCCCTCGATCCACCTCAGTGCGAAGCTCTCACAGGCCTGCGCAGCATTCTCATCCGCGCCGAGCTTCCCAACGAGCAGCTCACGGCCGAGTTCTTCCACCGCACGTGCTTCGCTTTATTCGCACAAGAGAAGCAGCACGGTGGGCTAGACAACTGGGTCCTACCCGTCAATCGCTATGTCGTTGCTCGATGCATGGGGAGGGAGACGTGGATCAAGGCAAATGAGATCACTCGCATCTGTGCCAAGCTGCAGTGGATAAACCGCGGCGTCATGCTCACCGAAATGAATCGCCGCATGCCCCAGCATCTCATCTCGTCTGACCAGTACGTTTATCCTTCTTATCACACCTACCCTCTGACGACCATGCAGAGCTTATCAAGAGGTCAAAAAGTTCCTGTTGGCCAACAACGACACCCCTTCCGCCTTCATTTACGACGTTCACCACACCGTCAGGAAGATTCGTGACGAGTACAATGACGCCGACGTGCAGATGGAGAACGAATCCCACACGCGGCTCATATTCGACGGTCACCGCATCGATCTCCATCAGTTCAAAACACTCGCGGAAGCTCTCACTCGACGTCACGCTGACATCCTCGGCGAACACATCTTCTTCGGCAGAGGAGTAGACCAATCGTGCTTCCCCCCCTTCGAAATCGAGGACTTGGTCGACAACCCACACAACTTTTCACCCGGGTTCTGCTTCTTAGATATCCCATCCAACGGCTTCGACAAGTGGGCCGAGCTTTATCCCCGATGGCTTCTATCCCATCCTGATCTCGAAGCCCGGTTCACATATGTCCTTAACGGGCAGCAACGATGGAAGCTCCATCCCACACGTCAGCTCCTGGAACGTTTCGAAGAGCTTCGTCTCATTCTCGCCATCCGCTGTATCGTTTCTTGCGGTCCCTCCGTCCGCGCCGCCGAATTCGCTCGCCAGTCACTTCGAAATCTCCCTGGTGGAGCAGCACGAAATGTCGTGCTGCTCTATCGCACACTCTGTCTCCTGGCCGTGCTAGAGAAGACTAGCATGCAATTTTCTCGGAAGCACTGCACCCCGCACAGCCCCGTGCCATCCGTATCCAAGGATCTTATTTGGAATTTGGCCGTGTTCCGTCCGTTCGAGCAGTTTCTCATCTCCCAGTTCAAGGGTCCCATCGACGCTGAACGCTACTTCACGTCGATGTGGCCCGGCATCGACGCCGACTTCACCAGCCACCTCATTAGTACCACACTCGGTAACTGGACCGAGCAGATCCTTGGCGTTCGACTCCAGATCATCGAGTACCGCAAGATCGTGGGCACATTCTGCCGATACATCGTGGACCCGTTCCTGTACAAGACTCTCGAAGATTCCCTTTTTGACGAGCTCCAGAACCACTCCACCGGCATGAGCTACATGCGCTACGGTGTCGAGAAGCAGACGCTCGCCTCAAGCGATCCGCGAAAAGTCGTCGGGTGTATCAAGGCTTGCAGGGCATGGGGAGCAGCCACGGGAATCGACGGTGGGATTCCCATCAAGCTCGAGCTGCCCCCCAATCTCGAGAACCAAACCGTTCTTTTGCCGCACACTGCAGGCACAGGTAAATATATTCTGTGCTCTACGCTCTCCTCACACTTCTGACATCACCATTGTAGGTTCGGGGGATCCTCCTTCGGCTCTCAGCCTCGATACGATCCAACGCGCCATCTCCGAAACCCTGCGGTCGGACGAGTTCATCAAGCGGGAATCGCTGGAGGCACCACTGACCCAGATCATCGCCTCGCTCGCCGCTCTTTACTTCCCAAAAGTGCCAGAACCTCCTTCCGCCAATCGACTACAGCCCATTTCCTCCGTCGTCGTCCATCCTTCTCGTCGTAACGCGTTGCGCGAATTCCGCGGGGACGAGACCGCCAGTTGGACATGCCCACACCAGGCCGAGCTCCTCGAGCGAATGCGCGACAAAAAGCGGCACATTCTCGCAGTCCTCGCTTGCAACTCCGGCAAAACCGCTACCATCCTCATGCAAGCCAACATCTTCGACTCGGCTTCCACCACCATCTTCGTTTTACCTGTCAGTGGGCTTCATCAAGACCTCCATCGTCGCGCAACGCAGTCACGACTCAATGTTGCCCGGTGGAAACCCGACCACGCTGCCTTTAACGCCGACTTCAACGTCCTCTATGTGTCAGTCGAAGATATCAGGGACGAATTCATCCGGTGAGTGCTTACCTAGCTTCAATTTGTCATGCGCCTAAGTTTTCTCTCAGATTCGCGAAAGGCTTGGCCTTGACACAACGTCTCGCCAACCTCGTAGTCGACGAGGCTCACATAGCACTCACCGACGCTAACTACCGCGAGCCTATTCGACGTCTGATCAGACTAGCGACCGAGATTGAGGCGCATATCACTCTCTTGAGTGGTTCCATCGGCCCTCAGCACGAAACCCCCCTGCTCGACATGTTCCTACTTCAGAACGTCGACGTCATTCGCATGCCTTCGTGGCGCTCCAACATCGAGTATCTAGTTTCCCTGCACGCCGCAAAAACGGACCAAACCGGATGCAAAGTCGAAACTTACGTCGAAGCTGCCGTCGTGTACATTAAATGGCGAATGAAGCAGACGGCGGGCAACTGCTACCGCATGATCGTCTATTGCCGCAGCGTCCGAGTCGCGGAAGATGCCGCTAAAGCTCTGGGTGTAGTCGCGTATCATGCTGGGGTCGACATGGACGCTCGCCGACGGATTTTCAATAACTGGTTGGCCGGCGTTGATCAAGTCATCGTCAGTACATCGATCCTAGGCGCTGGCATCGACACAATCGTCCGCGAAGTGATACAACTCGACGTTGCTCACACAGTCATCGACTCGCATCAACAAGCAAACCGCGCCGGACGCGATAACTTACCCGCCCGCGTCATAGTTTTTGCTTCTTGCAAACGAGAGCCTTCGCTCGGCGAGGATCATAAGGCCTCGCTGGGCAGCGTCTACCTCGTCCCCTGGCTATTTCATTTCGTCTGTCGCCGCCTACTTTTCGCTCTGTTCCTCGACGGCGTCGGGGTGACATGCGGCGTCATCCCTGGGGCACAGTATTGCGACGTTTGTCATCTCCAATCTCGTCAACCTGCTCCGAGGAACGCACCGCCCATGCCCACTGCTTCCAGTCAAGAGGAGCTCGCTGCGCTCCTGCCACTGCTCGTAACGGCTCAAGCACGGCGTGAGGCCATCCTCCGTGCCCCAGGTAGATTTGCTTTCTTGTAATTTGGGCCTTTCATACCGCTAACTCACTGATCAGATGTCAAGCGTCTGCTGTACTCTGGTGCCAGACACACCGTTGCTTCTTCTAACACGTCGGCCAGACAAGCAAACAGCCTGCTCGAGCAAGACCATCCACCTCGCCTGCGCAAGATTCCACGCATCGAGCCTCGCCCTGTTCGTCATCAGCCCGTCTCGCACCCCATGACGAATGACTCGCCCGCGTTCTTACCTCCGCCGCCGCTGCCGCCTTCCATGTCCCCTCCCTGGTACCTGCCACCGCCTTCACCTCATTTCGGCCCGCCATTCCATCCACCGTATCCGTTCGTTCCACCACCTCCCTTCTTCCACAATCCACCCTCGATATTCCCTCCGCCCCTGCCCCACCACGATCCCCGACCGGCGGCGTCACACCTGGCTCTCTACCCAAGTCATCCAATGGAGCAACCATCGTCACACGCCCAGCAGTCATCTGCTCGTTCACTGGACTCTTCGCCTGCCAGCTCTTTGTTGCCATCTCACGTGAAACACGAACCGGCTCAATTTCGTGGCTATGAAAACCCGCCTCCGCCATCGTCTCAGCCCGCCGGCACTCGAGTGGATCAGCCGGCGTCAGTACCAGGCATCTCCGTCGTAATTGCCCAGAACGAGCACGTCCTTCGCAAGAAGGAATGCATCCAAATCTGCCGAGAAGTCACAGCCGCGCTCGATACCATTCTTTCGAAGCAAGGGTGTGCTGTCTGTCTCATTCGTCAGCGTATCGATTGGGATGCGCACTCCCTCGACGACTGTTCAGCTAACGTCGCGACGGCCAACGATCTGCGTTACCAGGGATGGAAGGGCACCGCAATGAAGCTGCCGGATGGGTGGTGCTTCCACTGCATGCGTCCTCAGGTACGTTCTCGACGTTTCGACTAGTTTTCGAATCCTAACGCAATTCAAGGGTAAAATAGGATCGTTCCAGACTCATGAATGGATGGAAGCAGCGGCATCCCGCTGCGCGCATGCAGGCGTCATCAAGGCCATGCTTTATGCGTTCTTCACCTCGGCGCAGGGCACCCCTTGTCTCTCATCATGCGCACTTATCCCTTTCCAACTCCGTTCGTCAGATCACTTCGGGTCTCTTTGCCATTGGGTCACAGACGACGCCCGTGACTATTCTGGATTGAAGATTAAAAACCATCTCGTCCTGTTCCGGTGGCTGATCAAGCACACCAGTAAGATATTGTAGGACGGAAATGTTTCACGCTCCAGTTAATTACTAATTCAATTCGTTTCCCTCCTTCTTTTACCCCAGTGTGTGGCAGCAGACACTCGACATTCTGCTGGCCTGCAGGTCAAGAACCTTCTCGTCGTGTTCCAGTGGAACATTGAGCATACCACGAATATATTGCACCTGCAAAAATGTTTCACCTCCCATTAAATTACAAATTCATTTTCTTTTCATCTTGCGCTTGACACTACGACGTGCCTCACACTTTCCTCTTTTCGCAGAGTGTGTCGGCACTGTATTACGCCAGAACGTCGCCGAATCATCGCCTGACCACCACGCCCACATCTTTCTTCAAATAGGTCCAGTCCGCCCACGTCTATGCTCAGTTCCCATTCTTCCCCGCTCTCTCGTTACACCTCTGGCTTATCGGCCACTTCAATATCAAAACCCGTATGTTCCATTCGATCCGTACTTCTCAGTTCAGCTACTTACTGTAGACAGATCTACCATGTCTTCCGCGTCTGATTCTCCAAGTGCGCACGACCACGGCGAAACTCCGCATTCTCCAAGTGCGCAGGACGACGGCGAAACTCCGCATATCGCGACCAGTTCGCCTCCTCCTGTCTCACACAGGCCGCCCCGTAGGCCGCCCCCATCTCCCGTACGACTTCGGGAACTATCTCCCCTTCCCACGTTCTACGCAACTGGCACCTATTCGTCACCCCCTCCACGCGCGTCTAGTTCCCCGCCTGCTTACGCCGGCCCCTGTCCCTCGTCCTACGTGCCTACCCCGTCGGACAATGCTGATCGCTATACCTCGCAGCAACACGTCCCCACGGCCCGAGTTCCGTTGCCATCCTCCTCGTCGCACGACTCTCCCTATCCGTCGCATTACGGATACCCATATTCGTCGCCCTATGCATATGGATTTCCTTGGGTCTATTCCCCTTCTCCTCACAGTCGCCCGCCTGCAGATCACGAGCAGGGGCCGAATCATCTCGCATTCCGAGGACCAGCTCGCTCGTCTACGTCGTCGTCAGTCCCGTTACCTCATCAACGTCCTGCGCATTTGCGTAATGTACGCGACCGGACCAACGCTCCACCACGCGCGCCGCTGGACAACGTTGACCCATTCATTTCGCATGCTAATCAACACCAGACCTCTGCCGTGCCCAGCGACATCTTCGATGGCCTCCCTCTCCCAGCCGCTGGCGCAGCACGGAAAGACGAGCTTGTTGCGATCTGCGACCGCGTGAACGCCGCGCTGCGATACTTCTCTGCCGGCCGATGCGTCATCTGCTTCCTTAGGGGGACCGACGACTGGGACCAGCATGTTTTGGACCGATGCGCGGGCCCCATTTGCTCATTCGGCGACTACAACTATCGTGATTGGAAGAACAACGGTTTCGAGCTCCCGCCCGGATGGTGTTTCTACTGTCTCCGGCCTCAGCATGCGCAAGGGGGTTATCGCATGCATGAGAAGACCAACGCGGTGGCGAGCTGCATGTACAAGGGCTTGATCAAGGCTGCTTTGTATGCTTTCTTTTCGGCCGAGGACGACATGCCCCTCGTTCGCGACTGCACCATTATACCGACCCATCTGCGTGGAATGGAGCGTGAGCTGTTGTTTTGTTGGGCGTTGACCAACGTCCCGAACGCCGAGGGTCTGAGAGTAAAGAACCACTTACTTGTTTTTCATTGGCTGGTCGATCAAAAGGCGCGCGTTCTGGGCCTGTAGCTTGCGCCGTCCTCATATTTCTTGCCCTACCTACTCTTCCTCAAACAATTAAAATCTAGGCACCACTTGGGATCCCTCCCAGTCGTTACGTTATTGTAGTCACATGGTCACGGTGATCGATGCCTGTATCTTGCTTGTCCTCTATGTATCACAACGCGTTCTTGGTTCTTGGCACAAAGCTCTAGACTTGACTGTTAAGACGTTTCGAGTTGGACTCCGAAACGCTGGTGTGTCAAATGGGTTAGCTTCTTCGGGAAGCAGGTAAGTCGCGACTATTGAATGCGTGGGAACCTCACCCCAGGTCCCCGTCCCTTTTCTTTCCCTTCCCTAAGGTCTCCGTCTCTTCACTTCGCCCTCCATCTCCACCCACACAATGCCGCCTCCCGCGCCGCTGCCGGTGAGTAACGCCCTCCCTCCCAATCCGAGTGTGTACTAACTGGTTATTCAGTCATACACCGTCGATCCAGGGCGGCGCATCGTTTACATCGATTCCGTTCAGCAATGCGACGAGATGCTCCAGTCGCTCGATGGGCCATTCGGGTTCGACACCGAGTTTACTATGTCCGCCGACGTGAACCGGGTGCGTTTTCACCTGGGAACCCGTGCCTCGGTCAATGAGTTAAGGGGATTCGTAGATCGAAGTCGTCCAACTCGCGACGCGCGATGCCACCTTCGTCATTCACCTCCAGCCAATGGCCTACAGTAAATCCGCATGCCTCACCGTCCAACTTGTTGTCTGACCTACATCAGTAATCTCGAACGAACTCTACCGCATCCTTACAGATACCCGAGTCCTCCTCGCCGGCATCGGTCTCGCGAATGATCTCGGCGTTTTCTATCGCGGCCATGGGATCGACCTTACTCACCTCGTCGAGCTTGGCGTGCTCACTATGCTCTACGACCCTGAATCGCTGCCCACCAAGTACCGGACTCGCGCTTTACAGCCTATGGGAATGTGTAGTGCCGCTGAGTACATTTTCGGCAAGACCATCGACAAGGGCCCCCAGTGCTCCGACTGAGATACTGGCGTGCTCTCGAAGGAGCAATTACAGTGTACGTTAATGAGTTTTCATTCGCTTGCTACTGCAACTTACCAGTCCCGGCAGATGCGGCCACTGATGGGCAATTCTGCTATGATTTGTTTACTGAACTCGCGACGCGAATGCTCATCAAGAGTGTGGACAATCCGCGCTACTACATTCCGCGCACTTGGTTCACCTTCGATGCCCAGGAGGGAGTAGCTGTGCTCACTGTCCGTGCGCCGGATGGACAAGCTGTTCGCTGGAGTGTCACCCGCTGCAATTACTGGGCCAGTAACGTTTACGTCGGCTGCCTTGAATAGATACATGCTCAGTAGTACCAATGTCTTTCACTTCTTGTTCAAAAAAGAAACTTGCATCTGATCTTCGAACATGTAGCTGACTTATTGGATGACAAAGAAACCAATGTGGACTACGACCTAGGCTGAAAAACAAGAGACGCGGCTCCGACCGCCTCTGGGGAAGCCAACTACCCCCTCGCCCTTATGATCTCTGCCAGTACAAGCATGTATCAACAACTTACGAGTGCTGTCTTCTTGTACCACAACGTGCTAATTGAACAAACGATTGTATTCTTGGTAACACGCTGTTCATTTCAGGGCCTAGATGTGGGGACGGGGAGGTTGAAACGCCGCGGCGCTTCTCCACGAATAGGTAAGTCCCCCCGCTTTTATACTCGCTGTCTGGACGTTTCGCTGTGTCTTTCCCACCACCCCCCATTCGTCGTCTTTTCACCTCGTCCTCCATGTCTATCCAAAATAGCCTGGCTAGATCCACACTGCCGGTAAAACACGCTCTCCGTCCCAATCCGTTTGTGTGCTAACTACTCACCCAGTTGTACACGCTCGATGCTGGGCGCCGCTTGTCTTTAATCAACACCGTTTCGCAGTGTGACGCGATGCTCAAGTCTCTCGACGGACCGTTCGGCTTCGACACCGAGTTCACCATGGCTGCGGATGTGCCTAGGGTGCGTTGATAGCCACGAACTTGGGCCGAGTTAACGGGACGACTAGATCGAAGTGATTCAACTCGCGACGCGGGACTCGACGTTCGTCATTCACCTCAAGGCAATGGGATATGGTACGTGCGAGTCTCTTACTGGGCAAGCACGTCTAAGGAGCGTTAGTCATCTCTAAGGAGCTCCGTCGCATCCTAGTAATAGTACATAGGCTACACCCCCCCCTGCAGCCTTCCCTCTTGTTCAGGCCGCCCAAGGCCACTAAAAAATCTGGAAAAATGCGCAAATAGTTGCTAGGGTCCTGGGTAAGATGGCGCATACTGGCGTCCCCACTCCGGCCAATGGTGCATATCCCATATCGAAATCCGTGGAGGGTCTCAAAATGATCACTTCCCATCAGAGCTTTTGATGGGAGGGGGACGCAGAATGGTTATTAGAGAGTGGTCTAGGGTCGATTCCCTAGGCCAGACCTAACCCCAGGGCTGGGTTACCCTGGGCCAGGGAAGCCCTTTAGGGTTACCCTAGCAGGGGGCACATGACTGGAAAGGTGTGGTGCCGGGTATCTTGGAGGTGACGATGTTGTGCGTCGACGCAGCTCCTTCAGCCTGAGAGGGGCTGGGTACACGGTGTATTGGTGGTGACGACGTTCTGTCAGACTGTCTCAAAAATGAGCATTTGCACGAGACAAGTAAACCGAACTTTCCAACTTGTAGCAAATGTGGTCCTACACCAAACAACTTTTGCTATGTACAGCCCGTGCACGGGTCCAATGCACCATGCCCATACCCGCAGTCTTGGGCGTGACGACGTATTTACTGAGAAGGGTCGAACAAAAGATTTCACTCCAAAAAAAAGTTTGTTGGTTGCCAGAAAGCAAAACGTCGTGACGTCCAAGACACCGTGTGGCCGGGTGGTGAAGTCCACATGTTTATTGCATCACATGACTGACATGTGACATGATCGAATCACATCATCGTAAGCTCCAAGACACCGGGTATCCAGGCGGTCAGGGTCATGGTCTGACATCGAGGACCATGACATTGACCGCCTGGTTACCCGGTGTCTTGGAGCCAACGATGATTTGAACGGGTCAAGTTGCCAAACGAGTCAGGCAAAGAGAATAACGAAGGCAGACGACCAGCCGGACACACGGTGTCTTGGACGTCACGACGTTTTGCTTTCTGGCAACCAACAAACTTTTTTTTGGAGTGAAATCTTTTGTTCGACCCTTAGTTAATACGTCGTCACGCCCAAGACTGCGGGAACTGGCATGGTACAACTTAGAGATGATGATCAGTCGGGGATACAGGACGCGATTTTCGACAACGACAATAACAAAGTAAGGCGGAAAAAGATTAGGTAATGTCTTGGTAAGCAACCTGTTCACGTGCCATGCAGTGACACTTGGAACAGTGATGTGTGATGTGACTTTGCCTCTTGCTCTTGACCACCACCTTCCTAATCCGTAGTTGTACAGCCTCCGTAAGAGAGATCGCACACACGTATCGTTTCGATCCCGACGATAATCTCAGAATGCCTAAAAAACTGACCGCGGCCGAGAAAGCTCACCGGAAACAAGAGCGAGAAGCGTTAAAAGCTGCTCAGAAAGCGGCCGAGGAAGTGGCGGAGCAAGAAGCCCAGGAAGCGGCTGAGCGAGAAGCCCAGGAAGCGCCCAAGAAAAAGAAGGGAAAAGGGACGCGGCGACCGACGCCCGAGCTCACCGAGGACGAAGAGGTGCAACCTGCGCCGCCGAAGAAGGGGAAAGGGAAGCGGCGACCGACGCCCGAGTTCACCGATGACGAAGAGGAACAACCTGCGCCGCCGAAGAAGGGGAAAGGGAAGCGGCGACCGACGCCCGAGTTCACCGATGACGAAGAGCAGCAACCCGCGCCGCCGAAGAAGGGGAAAGGGAAAGGGAAAACCGTCGCACCTGAGCAAGATCCGATCGATGGGGATTTGACGGCGCTGTCCGGTAATGATTTCGCAGTGACGGTGGATATGGCTGATGTGATGCGGCCAGATGACGACGATGAGGGACGGAACGATGTGGGGCTAAGGGCGCCGGTGAAGGTGGTTGGACGGGGTGGTCGGGGAGAGGGCGTGAGCAAACCGCCGGGTGCGCCAGCGCCGCGGAAGATTGTGCAGGGGATGCGCCCGAAACCCCGACGTAAGTGGATTCGATGAGAGAACCTTTCGCTGAAAGTGATCTAGCGAAAAAGAAGACGGCGGCCAACGCGCCGCAAGAAGGGTCATCGATGGATGCGCGGCCTTCCACGCCGCAGCCTGCGCCATCGCAGTTGCCTTCGACGCCGCAGCCTGCACCATCGCAGCTGCCATCGTCGAGTGTCCCTGTGACGCCAGCCACGTCGACTCCGGCACAGGCGGCGAAGGCCGCTGAACCGTCGCAAAGTGAGTGCAAAGTGGTATCGGCACTTGTTCGTTACTGACGCAACGCAGGGAAGAGAAAGGCGAAGCAGCAGCCGGCGGGGCAGGCAGCGAGCAAGAAGCCCAAGGAGTCGGTGGACACGAGTCGGAGTAAGAGCAAGTTGTCGCAGGTGATTGTGATTCTTGCGGCACTCGCGCATCTCGTGCAGCTGTTTCCGGACCTCTTCGACGAATTCGAGGAAGAAGATGGGGAGAAGCAGAAGCCGCAGTTTGTGGAGGACCTGGAGAATCATCAAGTGTATCCGCTCTGGGCTGAGACATGGCCCGGAGGAACGACGTTCACGAAAGAGGAGCACGCGCAGTTGCGGGCGGAGCTGATCGGGGAGGGGCGCAATCTCCTTGTCTGGACGAACAAGGAAGCCAGGGACTTTGACTGGACGCAAGCGCCGGTCTTCGAGCGATTCAGGGATGCGGCGCTAGTCAACAACTGGCACGACACGCACACGGCTCGTGTAAGTGGCAATTAACCGTGGGTCGCCGATGCTTAGGGCTATGCAGTTCTTGGAGCTCCTGAAACAGTCGAACATGGGGGATCCGGAGGAGGTATTCATGTCGGACTCGTACCAGTTGCAAGATGCGGCAGCGGCGCGAGTCCCGCCGGGAGTAACTCACTACGGCGGGGAGAAGCAACAGATCCTCAACAAGTTGTACCGAGGGTCCGTGGGGCAGATATGGCGGTCGACAAACGCCGAGATGCTCTTCTCGATGCTGTACGAGCGTCATGCGGATGCGCTGCGAGCCAAGGCGGGGCGGTGTATGAGGAGATTGCAGGATCGGTGGAACGACTTTGCGCAGTACCTGCCAACGATGCCGGAGGGAGACGTGCTGGTGGGCAGCGATATCGAGCTGGAGTCGCTTGCGTCGGCCACGCGTGCCGCGGCGGTGTTCCTGAAAGGGTTTGGGTTTGTGCCCATTGAGGGCCCTGATCGACACGTCCTGCGAAGAGTCAACGTCACCGAGAGGAAAGAGCTGGCGGATCAGCTTGACGCACTGCTGAAAGAAGAACCGGCTTCGCGCCGCAATGGGGGACTTGCGCAACCGGCATGGGGTCGGAAGCTGGAGATTGCGGCGCGGACGCTGGGGTATTTAAGCGTGGTGGCTGAGATGAAGGGCAAGGACATGAGTGAACCAGCCGAGGAAATGCAGGCTCTCGCATGTGAGTGATCAAACCTGGTGAACCGTATCTCTAATAGACTTGACCTTGCGCCTAACGGGCATCTTGGGGGTACCGACGATCTGGCAAATCGTTTGCCAATTTTTTTTGTTCTTGACTGATTTACCTTCTGCCTAACGGGCATCTTGGGGGTACCGACGATCTGCCACATCGTGAATTACTTTTTTGGTTACTGAGTTACCTTGCGCCTCACGGGCATCTTGGGGGTACCGACGATCTGGCAAGTCGTTTGCCAATTTTTTTTCGTTCTTGACTGATTTACCTTGTGCCTCACGGGCATCTTGGGGATACCGACGATCTGCCACATCGTTTGCCAATTTTTTTTGTTCTTGACTGATTTACCTTGTGCCTCACGGGCATCTTGGGGGTACCGACGATCTGCCACATCGTGAATTAGTGTTTTTGGTTACTGATTTACCTTGTGCCTCACGGGCATCTTGGGGGTACCGACGATCTGCCACGTCGTGAATTAGTGTTTTTGGTTACTGAGTTACCTTGCGCCCAACGGGCGTCTTGGCGGTACCGACCATTCACTCACCCCGTTCAGACCTCCGCGGCCGCGCTGCAGCCACGGCTTGGGGCGTCGACCCCGAGCTCCTTCGGAACATCGACGCCGCCGCTCTCGACGAAATCGCCCTCCGAGTTTGGGAGACAGCCGAGTCCGTGAGCTTCGACGGGTCGGACGAGGCGGATACCGCCGCAACGACCCTGTTCTCCGGCGAGATCGACGCGACGGCAAAGCTGATGGCCTCTTTCGACAACCCCGCCCATGCCAAATTCGACAAATGGTCTGTAGACCACATGATCGCCTACTGCGGTGGATGGCCCCCCTTCCTCAGAAAGCACTGGGCGCGCGACTACGCGTTGTACAATCACGACGGCAAGGACGTCGAGATTCCCAACGTTACGCAAGAGCTCCGTCCCCACTGGCATCAAGCGGTGGTCTGGGCCGGTTTCTCTCGCGTTTTGGCTCAGCCCGTGCAAACGGCAACCCCGTCAGCGACCAGCGACACGGGACCAGAAGCGACGGCCAGCGGCCCGACGCGCCGATCGGCGTCCGCACTGGCGCGTCCATTGCAAGAAAAATGGAACGAGATTCCTGGATTCATGCTTTGCGATTCGATGGGTCTTGGGAAAACCCTCTCCGCCATCGGCATGATCGCCATCATGCAACAGGCGGCGATGATGACCGAGTCGCCGATGCCTACCGACGCCGAGCCGGAAGAGATGACGCCGTTGTCGCCTTGGCCCAAACGACTCCGGGCGGGTGGTAAGGAGTTCACCTGCATGGCTTGCTCACTGCTTGATATCCGACAGAGTTGAGCATCAACGGGAAACAGTCTGTTCCCCTCGGGCCGTCTTTGGTCGTCGTTCCGAACAGCCTTGTGCAGCAATGGGTGAACAGCTGCAAGTCGCACTTCGACCAGCGCATTCGCGTGATTGCGATGCCCTCTGCACAGAAGCTGTGGAGAGAAACCATGGACGCCATTCCTGCGCAGGGCAGCACCACGGTTGTCATTGTGACCTACTCGGTGAGCGTGCATCTGAACGAAGACGATGATTTCTGACACGCGCTCGCTCTCAGACCCTCCGAGGCATGCACGACGTGATCGGCCACGCCAGCCAGCTGCCATTCCAAAACCCCG